GGAACTCGGGCAGCTTACAGTTGCATCGGTACTTGAGGCGGCCACCGGAGACAAGCTCAACGCCGTCAACCTCAGTCGCGGGGAGAATTCTGTAGAGGAGCGCGTTGAACAGGTAGTATCCTAAAATGGCAGCAGTGACCTTGTTGTCTGCCAGACCCCAGATGCCCTCCTCGGGCCATCCCACTTCGCGCTTGAGTTGATCGAGCTTGAGGGTCGAGGGGCTCAGGAGGGAAGGAGCAGGGCAGCCCGACACGTCGTTGCAGCTGAAGGTGAAGAGATAGACGAGGATCGGGAGACCGAAAGAGATGCCGAAGGCGCCGATGCTGTGTTGCCGCGGGTTAGCTAGATATTCAAACAACGATAATCTGAATTACTCACGGTCCTCCGAACTCGTAACCATGCGGCTGTTGGACAGCGTCCTTCTTTGCTTTGGACGCCATGTTGACCGTTCCCCCAAAAGCAAGTGCTGTCAAGTTCGGTTGATGGGATGGAAAGGGGGAGCAAGCTCGTGTCGAAGCTTTGCGTGTTTGACTTGAGGTTGTTGGCGAAAAGGTTTCCGTAGATGAAAAGGAAAATGTAAATATTTGTACGCCCCACCAGCTCAATGTGGAAATACGAATGCGACAGTGACAGCAACTCTAGAGCTCAGAATCAACCCCGGTTTCTGTTAATCGCCAAGTGGGCTGTGAAGGACTGCTTGCGCCGGAGCTCTGGTGTTCCGGGTGACCTCATGGAGCTCAATTCGATGACGCTAATAAAAAGTTGAGCCGCCTCATTGGGCTGGACGGGGAGTGGGGCTACGAAACCGTTTACGCTGTACGGTGGGCCTTTTCCGTCGTAGCTTCCCGGAGGAATGGTTCCACCGAGGCAGGCGGCACCCGGGGGGACGTTCAGCAACATCGGACGATATCAAAGCTAACCAGTCCGAAGGTTACGACCAGAAGAAGCTTATATTGAGAATGATTTTACAATGCCTCCTTCGGGCAACATCAATGTTATAAGATATTGATTGTTGGTGGTGCGAATCGGTGAGAGTGATCCCTCCCGTCTTTCACCTGCAAGAAACATTCATGGCACTGGTCGAGCTGGACGTATCAGAAGCGGGCGGGTCCTATTACGGGCTGTCGGCAATCGCCCAGGGCCGCTTTTATCTGACACGCTGACTAAGACTAACCGCAACTGACTGTCCCAATGACGGCAGGAGGGATGAACAGAATGGCACGTGATCTGGAGATTGGTGGGTACCTCTCCGGACACTGCAGCCTGACTGCGCTCAACCTCCGGCGGATGCTGCAAGGAGGGCCCATCCACCAATCAATGCCCCATCCCCGGTCACTCCCGTCATTCCCTGCAGATGAAGGCTGACGAATTGAAGTGACCAAGGTGGCTTTCGTGGCCAGGCACCGCTCTACTCTGTGCACCTCGATAATTCACATCTCTTCCCAACGGATCCGTGTCCACGTTTCCTCATCGTTACTTCTCGTCGCATAGCAGATTCGCTACACCATTCGCTTCGATTACGACTTCCCAGCGACTGACTATCTTCAATTGACGTAGGGGTCTTCTCGCGCCCACGTCACCCCCGCGTCCACAGGGCGCCGACGTTAACGATCCTTCATTCCAATTCATCCTTATCGGTATTGCACCGAAACAGAGACAGAATCATGCATTTCCCGCATTCCTCGACACTCCTCCTTCTCCTCGCAGCTGCGACAGCTCGCGCTGCCGATACCACGACGTCTTCAACGACAACGAGTGCACCGGCATGTACGGCGGCATCCAAGAGCGGCAGCGGGGCTTTCTACGACCTGCGGCCGGACATCGCAGTTAAGCCGGAGGAGGGCAAGTCGTCAAAGTCAGGCGTCTCTGTCGACTATCATGCCAGAGGGTGGGACTACGGTCGAAACTTTACCCTGAACATTTGCGCGCCAGTCATTGAGGCACTTGACGATGTCGAAGGCCTGACAAAGAGCGAATCAAAGAACGTTAGCGCGTTCTACGAATACAAGAACGAGGTCTACTCCATTGGGTACGTATTGCGCGGATTTGTAGGCACAACAAACAAATGCTGATTGCATCGGCCTCCAGGTCATCATCCATGGATATTCAGACCCGCGGGCGCATACTCGTCCTGCAGTACAAGAACGGCTCCCCTTGCGGCAAGACCAAGTCGAAACGATCCAAGGCTCACGATGGGGCTTCCTACAACAAGTACGCCGATGAGGAGGAGGCAACGGCTTTGAGCGCCTTTGGCAACACCCAAAACAAGGTTACTGCCGACAAGGACGATTCCGACTCTACCACGCGCCGCAAGTCGGCTACCATCTCCTTCCACTGCGATACCGAACAGGTTGGCGGAGCTGCGCATATCTCCTTCGTCGGGTCTGACCCCGATGACTGCGCGTACTTCTTCGAAGCGCGTTCCCAGCATGCGTGCCCCAGAGCCGAACCGCACCAGCCAGGCAGCGTCGGTCCCGGCAGTGTCTTTGCCATCATCTTTGTCATTGCCGTCCTCGTCTACTTTGGAGGTGGCGTGTTCTACCAAAGAACTGTCGCAAATGCGCGAGGTTGGCGACAGCTGCCCAACTACAGCCTCTGGGCTGGCATTTGGGGATTTGTCAGTGTACGTAGTATTCGCGACTCTTTTCTTCAGAATCGATTCTGACATGATTTGCAGGACATGTTCATTATCTCGACGTCTTCTTGTGCGCAGCTGCTTCCTGGGAGGCGCGGATACAGCCATCTGTCTGGATCACCGAGCAGAGGCCGCAACCGTGAGGATGAAAACCGACTGATAGACCAGCTGGATGAGGAGTGGGACGATTGAGGCCGATAGGCGTGGAGTGTATCATAAGCATTTGAGCATCAACTTTCCTTTGATTTACACAGATTGCGATTGCGTGTTGGAGCTGCGGGTTTGTTTTCAGGGGATGTAAGTGAGTCGCAGGCAACCATCCTAGATACCCCTTGTGAAGAATGCATAGACGATTCATGACGTTCGTGGAAGTTAAGCGCTGCTTCGTTTTCTGTTGTGACTTGCGTGCTTAGAACCCTTTGGCGGCACTCAGACTGCGGCCCCGGATGCACTGAAGAAGTGTACAGCTGTGTCTGCCAATTGATACTACCTGGCTCGGACGATTCTCTCGGAGGTCGGGGGAATTTGGCAGAAAAATAGCGCAAGAATACGTTAAAGAGCCAATGATGGTGCACGTGGCTTCCGAGATGTATCTACGTCCAGGTCCGAGTTGAAGCTTTGGCTCCCGGAGATTTCACGACGTTCGTTCGGAGACCGAAACCGGGGCGGGATGATGCCCCGCCACCGCCCCTCTTTCCAGCGTGATGTCACGGCGGGTCAGCCCGCGACGTCGGGCGACACTGTTGCGACCTTGTACTCCGAACGGATTTTGGAATCTCTCTCACTTTTCTCACTCCAAGTTGAACCTCAAGACAGCAGCAGTGAGACTGAAGTAGTAACAATGGCGTCTAACAAGTACACTCTGGCGACACGCCTCACTGTGAGTTCTCACTCTCGCTCTCACTCTCACTCTCAACCCTTCCCCAATGCTGTCACTACCGGCACATCGACTAACACGCACCAAAGCTTGCAAATGGCAAGTCTATCCCCCAGATCCAGCTGGGTCTCTACTGCATGTCTGGCCGCGAAGCCACAAAGTCCATTCCCTGGGCCCTGACCGCCGGCTACCGCGGCTTCGACTGCGCGCAAATGTACAACAACGAGGCGGAATCAGGCAAAGCCATTGCCGATTTCCTTACGAGCTCCGAGAAGAACACGCAGGGTCTGAAGCGCGAGGATGTGTTTTACACGAGTAAGCTGGCGAGCAGCAGTACCTCGTACGATGCCGTGCGCAAGTCGATCAAGGAGTCTGTGGAGGTTGCTGGGCTGGGGTACATTGATTTGTTCTTGCTGCATAGTCCATATGGGGGCAAGGAGGCTAGGTTGACGAGCTGGAAGGCGATTGAGGATGCGATTGATGCTGGGGAGGTGAAGATGGGTGGTGTTAGCAACTATGGTGCTGCTCATGTGAGTTTCAACTTGCCGACCGATTTTCAAACAAAGACCACGGGCAACGACACTGACGGTATTTCTAGATTGAAGAACTGATGGCTTCGAAGCCTCGCATCGCACCCGTCATCAACCAGATTGAGGTCCACCCCTTCAACACACAGACTCGCATCAGGGAGACCTGCGCCAAACACAACATCGCCATCGAGGCCTACGCACCGTTGGCGCGCGGCATGCGCATGAAGCACCCCAAGATCCTAGAGCCGGCCAAGAAGTACGGCTGCACTCCTGCGCAGCTGTTTGTTCGGTGAGTTAGCGTCCATGGTTCCAACTTCCACGCTGTCAAGGAATTTGGAGGCTTGGTAGAGTGGTCGCAGTAACTGACTGTGGTTCATCTAGCTGGTCTTTGGACCGTGGCATGGTTACTCTCCCCAAGAGTGTGCGCCAGGAGCGCCTCATCGAGAACGCGAACGTGTCCGAGTACGAGATCTCCCGGGAGGACCTGGCTGCATTGGATGCGCTTGATGAGCACTTGGTGACCGATTGGTACGTTTTAGAATGACTTGATGAAGTGTTCGCAAGAAAGGAAGACTAACGAAATGCGATAGGGACCCCACAGAAGCTCCTTGAGAAACGCTATTAGAAAATCGAAATAGAATAACTCCCAATTCATAAGTTCATGCTAGTTTGACTGTGACCAATCAACCACCTGCGACCTGCAGATAACTCAGCCTCAGCTGAAGTGGATGAATGCATCACGTGGCTGCAGCTTGCCCAGAAATCTTGACAGGTTCCCTCACCCAGCCTCCTTCTCACTTCACATCGAGTCAACCTCAAAACGCCGTCACATGAACCCCGGACCTTATTCGATCGCGAGCCGCAACAAACTTCCTGTTTTCTCTTCTGACTTACCCTCTCAAGAAACACAGGTGCCAAAGGGGAAGGTCGAAGTTGCAGACGGAGCACAAAAGTCACCATGCGACTTCTCAACACCACGACATTGACATTAGAGAGCTTCATCAGCGGACGACCCAAATATGCCATTCTATCGCACACTTGGGGGTCGGAAGAGGTCATCTTCGAGGACATCCGGACCCCAAATCAGACTTCTCTTCGACAAAAGGCAGGGTGGCCAAAGATCGGAGGCTCTTGCGCACTCGCCCTGAAAGATGGCCTTGACTGGATCTGGATCGATACCTGTTGCATCGACAAGTCTTCGAGCTCCGAGCTTTCTGAGGCCATTAATTCTATGTTCCGTTGGTACCGAGAAGCAGAGATATGCTACGCCTATCTGGAAGATGTGCCCCCCTTGAAGTACGCCTCGATCATTGGCTTTCCCAATCTCGCTGCTGACCTGGACTCGGATCACATCGTCGCCATCGAGAACGATCAAAAAACATTCCTCGGAAGCCGATGGTTCACTCGAGGTTGGACCCTCCAAGAGCTTGTTGCGCCAGAAAAAGTCGACTTCTACGCTTCAAATTGGTCTTTTCTAGGAACGAGGGTCGACCTTGCGGACGTTATTCATAAACACACTATGATAGACAAAGAGGCTCTCGAATTGAAGGGTGCTCAAAAGCTATCAAACTTTACCGTATGGAACAGAATGCAATGGGCTGCCAGCCGAGAGACAACTCGAGTCGAAGACACTGCTTATTGTTTACTGGGAATTTTTGAGATCAACATGCCACTTCTGTACGGGGAGGGTGGCCGAGCGTTCCGCCGCCTCCAGGAAGAAATTCTCAGGACCGTCGAGGACTATAGCCTGATGGCCTGGACATCATACGATACGTTGCCTCAGCCTCTCAGAGTGTTATCACCGGCTCTTGCAGCACATCCAAGAGATTTCAGGGTTATGAGGCTAGACACCATCTACGTTTCAAAGGACGCGATGGACAGAGACTTCAAGAAGGGCACGCAGAGAATAAGCATCCGAGGTTCACCGTATCCACGCTTGATTAAACCAAACAAGGAGTCGATGCTTCGGTGCATCAAACCCCATCTAGCAGCCGGCTATGATAACTTTCCGATGCATCAAAGAGATTTCCCTCCGCCTGTATTATCGGCGCGTGGTATCTCGATTACAATGTTTACGAACAAAGCACATGTTGTGCCCCCGAATAATTGGCTCGCGTGGACAACTCTGAACTATCACACGAGAAATGGCAGTTACGGTCTCTGCATAGAATTATCGGATGAAGACAGGCGTATTACGCCAACTGAAAAAGCTTCTCGGCTTGATTCGGAACGACTTCATGTCGTACCTTTTTCGATGCTGCAGAAGTTCCTGTTAACGACGTTCTACCTCCGTGCGGGCTCGGTGGACTATGTCGGATCAATAGTAGGCTCATGGGGTCCAAAGCCCGAAAGATCCGGTTTGCTTTTCGACGTGAGAAACGAGGCTACGTCTGCGACCGTCATTAGCACGCATCCTCCTCTAGAGCTGGAGAAACAGGGGGATACATACACCTTCCGGACAAATCCGCGTCAATTTCAAAGGGCGATCGCATTCATGTGCGACCCAATCTGGGCTTTCATAGTCGAATTTAAAGAACCAAGGGGCCAACAGCGGTTGTTGCAGTTCGCTGTCTTGTATGGAAGAAAACAAGAGGAGGGTCTGCCAGATAAAAGGTGGCGATGTAGAGTCACGCCTGCGCCGACGAAAGAAGACTCGCCCATTGGGTTTCATTCTTTCTTACGTTATACTGGGACAGTCCCAAATTTTGAACAAAGCTCGATCCTTCAATTCCCATGGGGTATCGTTGGCGCGATGGTAGGTTGGGACACGAAGGAAAGTCGTAGCGTTGTGAAGGTGATGATCCATTTGGAGGGGGAGATGATAGATCGGCCTGAGAGGCTGCCTTCTGGTCAGAGATAATAGCATACTGATAAAGAAGTTGTGTATTTATACCAGTCACTGACGAAAATATCAAGCGATAGTTATTCCATACAGATACATGATAAGGACCCCAGCTGGCAGATGACAAACTGTCTACTTCTTCATCATCTCCCTCAAAGCGTCAACCTCGGCCTCTTTTCTTGCGAGCTGCAACTTCAGTTTGTCCCGCTCCTCCTCGACACCTTTTAGAGTATTTTCTAACTCGGTTATGCGGTCGCGGCCCTTTTGACGATATCGACGAGCTGCGACAGTGTTGCGTTGTCGTTTGATGGCATTGGCGTTATCTTCATCAATCGAATCGAGGTCAGTCGTGGGAGATTCGTTGGCTTTCCGTTTAGTGCCCGAAGCGGAGTGATCGCGGCGCTGAATGTCAGAGGCTGGAGGCTGAGTGTGTAAGAGACCGGAGGTGGTGCTTCTTGAAGGAAAGGTCGAGGAGAAGATGGATCTTGGGTTATCCGAGGTGATTGGAATGCTTTGCTGCGGGCTTCTATGGGCGGCTGTTCGAGATGGTCGATAGTCTGAGATGAATGTCAGTAAGAAGATGACAACAACTACGATATATCATTACCACTCGAACGTACCATGCGATTTTGGTGATCGAGAAGGATCGATACTACCAAGTAAGCCAAGAAAGACATCGTCTCGACCTGTATCCAACTCCCCTAGCGCAACGACGCTCTCATCTTGACTACGTATCCGAGGCAACTCATCAGATTCAAGTTGTGGATCCAAAGGGATCTGATAATCTGGAAGCCGAAATCTATCTCCTGAGTCTGTCGTGATGCCCTGCCATCCAAACATGGGATCCAACGCGTTGGAAGCAGGCCACCAAGTATGCTCTCCAAGGTGGCACCGGCTCCTTTGGCTGTTGGTCTCGGTAGAATACTGGTCGAGTCCAACTGCACGTAGGAAATATGGATGATTGTGGTGTTGCCATGGAGTCAGAGTATTGCGCCTCTCCTTGGACGAGAGGCAGCACTTTGATAAAATATCGGTATGGCTTGGCTTCTGAAGAAAGTCAAGGGAAGCTCGACTCTCCCTGTACGGTTTTGTCAAATGACTGAACGTGGAAACAAGTAAACGGGGAGATTCAAATCAGAAAGGGAGTTGGTTGAGTGGGCCACTTGGATAGAAAGGTGGATGAGTCGAGATGGCTCATAATGACGGCTCCTTTGAACGGCTCTGAGATTGGTCCGTGTAGTGTCTGGGGAATCGCAGACCGCCATTAGCTTGGCATAGCTTCGGAGCTTAATGAGAACATCCCGGTAATTGTACCAAGTGTGTGTAGACTGAAACCAATTTTCGCAGATAAAGAACGTGCATTTCACTACAGTGTAGTTGACGTTACCGATGCCTTTGTCTTTGCAAAATTAGAATTACGTGTATTTTGGTAAGTTTGATAGGAAAGTAGACAAAGAAATATGGATGCAAGCTTGACGACGGAAGCGCGCAGTTCTAGGCTGTATTCGTTGGCGCCACACGCATGCATCCTTCAAGCCGGCACCTAGAGCCTACTGCTCTCACGGGAACCCCCCTCTGGAGACCAGTTGTACCAACCCATGTCAACTTCATCAATGACACCCCACTGCTCAACGAACTGCTTCTTCTTGTCCTCCAGACCTTCAGTGCAAAGGATCTCAAACACGGTTCTCCACGCGCTGTTGACGGCGCCAATGATCCAAGCGTGACCCGAGCTCAACGCCTCGCCCGCGAAGTGCATGTGGCCATCAGCAGAAGGTCTCATTAACCACGGCAGCGTGCTGCTGAACTGACCCGGGCCGAAGATGGCAAAAGCGCCGTTGGAGTATGCTGATCCGTACCAATCGTACGCGTGGTAGCCCTCAAACTGCGACAGGAGGAACTCGTGGGACACGCCGTTGAGTTCTGCCAGGTTTCTCAGAGTCAAGTCGACCATGACGTCAATGCTCTCTGGTTGATAAGGTGCCTGTTGCTTCTCGTTGTGCGGGTTCATGTATGAACCTAGTCTGGAGGCGTCCTGGCCCCAGACGTAGCTGGCAATCATGGTTCCGGGGGCACCTGGGACATCGATGCCATATGAGGGGTAGACGCAGCGGCGAATAGGGAGATCGGTGAAGGACTGGCCACCCTTGAAAGGACCAGTAGCGAGGTTTTCCCACCTGAGGGGATATCAGCTTGGAATCATTGCACAAGGACAATAGCACAAGAGACAACTTACCATCGGGTCTTGAACTTGAACCCAATCTTCGTCGAAGGGTCGTAGCTGTGTTGTCACGTAAGCCGTATGGACTTTGGAGCAAGTAAAATTTCTGGGCTAGACTTTAGATTAACTTACTTGAGAGTGCGGATGGCGTTGTTTTCGAAGTAGTTGAGGTCTAGCTCGGTCATGTTGATGGCCTGGAGGGCACCCAGCGGAACGGTCGAGATGACATGGGCATAGTCATACTCCTGGGTGCCGTTTACAACAATCTTCAAGGAGCCATTGGCATTCTTCTTGATGTCGGAGACGCGGTGGTGTAGGATGGGCTTGTTCTTCACGATGAGGTTCATGCCCTTGGTCAACATGTCCATGCCGCCGTTGATCAGCGACCAGTTGTCGATATCTGCGCTGTCAAAGATCCACTGTTCGAGGACGGCTTGAGACATGGAGTACATGTCGTAGTGACCTGTGGCGTCGTTGATGGTCTCCATCCAGTCGATCTCTGTGTTGGTAAACCCCTGATCTAAGAGGAACTCCCGGACTGTCATGGAATCATACTTCATGAGAAGATTGAAACCCGTGTCAAAGTTGGCCGACAGCGCTGTCGTCATCGTGCTGACTTGAGCCTTTCACACATTATACGCAGACTGCGTCTCAAAGGTCGAGTTGAAGACAGGAACATCGTACTTAGCAGGGGAGGCGGAATCGGGGTCTTGGAGGAGAGAAGTGACACCGTTGAATCGCCTGAATGTGTTGTTCGTTCTGAAAATATAGTGTTCCTTGACGACTTGATCGCGCTCAGAAACTCTTGCGTTGATATAGGGGATAAGACTCCCTGAGTCATTTCCAATGATGCGGCTCATGTAAGGCATCGGAGGGAAGCGCATGGCGCCAACGTCCTGAGTGCCCATGTTAGCTACTTGAGCCGAAGGCGCGCTGCAATCCGACAACAACTCACGTAGTAATCATAATAGGCAGGATCTGCGGGTGTCGACTTGTCCCAAGCCTCTTGATCGAAATGGTAGGTGTAGATTCTCCCGCCAATGCGACCAGAAACCTCATGGATATCGTAGTCAATTCCAAGAGAGTCGAGAAGAATTGCAGCGTAGAGCCCGGCAGCTCCACCGCCGATGATGCCCACCTTCAGGGGAATATCATTCGGCGTTGGTACTCTGCTGTGGTTGCTGTAGTTTGACTCGTCCACGACCTTACGGAAAAAAGCTGCGCGTGGGTTCTTGGCGGCAAGCTCGCCGTCGTTGCAGATGTTCCTTTCTTTGAGCTGGACTGGCTTGGACTCAGGGGCGGGTAAAGCGAATGACTGTGCAAACAGTAGGGCAGTAAGGAGCGTGCACGTGTTGAAGAACGACATTGTTCGGACGGTAAAGACTGTATGATAGCCGACGTGGCTTTGATAAACGTGTTGGTTACACAAATAACAACGATGTTTAGGGCAGCATCTATGTCTTCATTTATACCGACGGTTGCCGACTGACATCTTGGATGCGTTATTTACATGGACCAGCATTTCAACCAGGTCTACAGAATGCCAACTTGGTTATCCTGTTTCTTGGGCCATTTAGGGCGTGCATGTCTTTAGACTCAGGTCTTGTTGAGTTCCAGCCTTCATTCCTCTTTTCTGCTCCCAAACTGACACGTGGTTTGGACCCCTTGGCTCTGGAATGCGGCCCAGGCCCAGGACGGTCTCTGAAAACACGCAATTCTCCCGGGCTGTTGGAGGCGCACGGCATGGCCCTTATTTCCCAGCATACCTCTGAGCAGTCGGGGTGAGAGGGCTGAGCGTCACATATCTTTCTGCAGCCACACGCAATCTCTTGCCTTCAGATGGAAAGTCGGATAGAGTATAGCGCCGCAGTTTCGATCCATCATGGGTAAACAATGCATGAACGATGGAGTAGAAATAACCTTGAAGTGAGTCTGAATAGACATTAGCAGTTTTTGAAAAACGCCACGTTGTTTCTCAGACAATGGAATCACTTGTCGTGGAATTGTCAAATTGTGCTACATCTCAAGTGTAAGAATCGGGTGCTTCGGCGAAATAGTTCCTTGGGCTTCGATGTATTTATGACCTTCTGAGTCAATGCATTAAAATACAACTTTGGTGCCCTGTGGCTTTATTGTCATTTTCGGATATGAGAGCTCAAACAAAGAGGCCGGTGGGATACTATGGCTGATTGCACAGGTCACGTAGGTACCTAGCCTACTACTTACTTGCTTGGGGGTAGCTTGTTCCTACTTTCTGATGTGTAATATGGTCCGGTTACGGATGCATTATATGGTATCTACTATAATCCCGCCATTGTCATTTGAAGATGTGTCTAGATGGACGACCTGCATTGTTCCGGAGTGAGATCGGTGAAGCGACTTATTGGATTGCCAATCAAAATAGCCGTGTCAGCATCTGTCCTGACTCTTGAAATACCATTGTTCCCCGATAAACTTAGCGGCAAATCCAAGACATTTAGCTGCCGAGAGAAGGGTACGGTGCCGAGTCTAAATGGATTGCCGTATCACGCAGCAGCCGGAACCTTCTTTGTTAGTGTTGCATACGGTGCCACCACTGTCCTTCGGAAGCAAAATGAGCACGGAAGCACTTTGATACCGAGAAGATGCGGTGGGGGCACAGGAATACAAAGGGTCAAGACGGCGCCTTAGCAATGCCCGCTCGCCGGGAGGGGCCGTTACACGGCTGAGGACCTGATTGATAATATAGAGTGCGAAACCGCGGTGGATCTTGCGTGCTGCGTACACAATCGTGCGAGATCTCCAGTTATTGCGCGATAGCTCGGTGGAGGCGGGGTGAACGTTAGAGACAGCTGTCCACCAGCAAAGCATATAAGCAGCTTCACCCATCCTCCGATCATGCCGATAGGATTCAAGTCACTCACCATTAGATAACTACCCGCAAACAACTCTAAATACTCCGCTTCCTCAAAGTTCAACATACGCTTCAACCTCATTCAAAATCTCAATATGTCTGCCATCAAGAAGGTCGCTATTGTCGGAGTAAGTTCATCTTTCACATCACTCAACTTTCCGACACTAATTCTGACAGGGTTCCGGAAACCTTGGTCCCAGCATCGTCCGTGGCCTCATTGACGCCGGTTTTGAAGTCACAGCAGTCTCAAGAAAGGAGTCCAGTGCAACATTCCCCGCTGAGGCCATCGTCAAGAAGATTGATCTCTCCTCAGTCGAGGCCGTCACAGAAGTATTCAAGGGTCAAGACGCCGTCGTGTCTGTTGTCGGAAATGCCGGATTCGGAAGCCAAAAGACCCTCGCCGATGCTGCCGTCGCCGCACAAGTCAAGAGATTCATCCCTTCAGAGTTTGGAATCAACACCCGCAAGGCCCGCGGCTCCAAGATTGGCGGCATCTTAACCCCCAAGGTTGAGTTCGTTGATTATTTGATTGAGCTCTCCGAGAAGAACAGCTCATTCACATGGACTGGTATCTCTACTGGACCCTTCTTCGACTGGGTAAGCCAATACTCACCGTCTCCCGCACAGATCCAGAGTGCTAACCGGATACAGGACTTCAGTGGTGGCCTTCTGGGCTTCGATGTTAAGAACAAGGCTATCAGAATCTTTGACTCTGGAAACGAACCTGTCTCACTGTCATCTCTTCCCTTCATCGGAAAGTCCGTTGCTGGCGTTCTCAAGAACACCGAGGCGACCGCAAACAAGTACATTGATGTTGCTTCCTTTACTACCACCCAACGCGAGCTGCTGAAGGTTGTCGAAGAGTTGACTAGCTCCACTTTCACCGTCAGCAACGTCAAGACCGCCGATCTGGAGAAGATTGCGGATGAGAAGCTCTCCAAGGGGGACTTCAGCGCTTTCATCGACTTGCTGCAGCAGTACAGCTTTGCTGATGGCAACGATAACGCCGCAAAAGACAACGCTGCAGTGAAGTTATTGGGTTTGCAGGAGGAGGATATCAAGGCCGAGACCAAGAAGGCTCTGGCCGCATGGAAGTAAAACGTTATGAGTTACGAAATTAAGCAGATAATACATTGAGGCCATTGCCCTTTCACATTTACTAGTTCCTGTTATGCCACCTGCGCCGTTGCGAAAGTTTAAACATTGACTCTGCGTAGTAAGAAGGTCTTGATACATGTAGGGGAAAACGTGAAGCGGCGATATGCTAGGCCGCAGGATCCAATTCTCAACATCCGGTGGAAGAAGTTTGACGGTACTTGGGCACTATAAAAACCTAGAAGAGCCTGAGACGCTGAGGAAAGTTCAACCGACGTAGATGAACAAAGTCTGAGACCGCCAACACATTCCACATGCAGTGTTCAACGCCCTTTCGTCTGATTTCAATGCAGCCGAAGCCGCAGATACCTAACTCAATCATGTTGAACTATGCCGTTGCCACCCCAGTCGTTCTCTGGCCAAACGGCGCTTCCTTTTCGGGAAGAGCCCATCCCTGGCCCCGTCTAAACTTTGTTATGAAGCTTGCACATATTTATGATTTCTCAACTTTGTCGTGCGTCCATAAGAGGTGTGCTTGCGTGCATCATTAAGTTCGCTTGCTCCACAAATTCTTCAACGTCATGATTTGTACGCTGAGGTTTTAGTTCCTCGGTATCCCACTAGCACTGACGAACCTGTAGGCTCAGCCAGTGCTACTCCACCGCCGTCGACATATTGAGAATATGCCTATCGAAATTCGGACTGCGCTCGAAAGCGACCTAAAGCGATGCGCAGAGGTCGGACACATAGCCTTTGGCGAAAGCCCATTCACCCAAATCATGTTCCCTGGTTACGTTCCGAAAGATGGGTTCTTGGGGCTTCGTACAACCGACTTGGTTAGGCAGCTTCGCGACGACCCGACCGTTCGAATGTTTGTGGCAGTGGACACGGAAAGAAGAGGTGAATCTGCGATTGTTGGATTTGCCAAATGGCATATCTACGAACACGGCATGCCTTTGAGCAAAGCAAAGCTGCATTCCTGGGGGAGCAGCTGCAATGAGGAGGCTTGCAGTTTGGTGTTTGGCGGCGCGGGACTAATGCGAGACCGACTGATGGCATATAAGGCGTGCGTTTGTAAGTGATCTTTCGGGGGATTGGATGGTGCTTGCTTTACTGACAATCAGTGATTGCAGACCTTCATATCTTGGTGACTGAACCTCAGTATCAACATCGCGGCGTGGGGCAACATCTTCTTGCATTTGGAATCCAGGAGTCTCTTCGACTAGAAGTTCCGATCTACCTGGAGACAACAGAAGCTGGCCATTCTCTTTATCAAAAAGTCGGCTTTGACGACATTGAAGTCCACCGAGCTGACTTGACCAAGTTTGGCGAGCATCGTCCGCATATGATATGGGGAATGATCAGAGAACCATATTCCTGGTTCCCATGAGCGACTTACACATCTGACGATTCAGCGATTTCACATCGAGGAGAAAGTAATGGGACAAGTGTGGAATGAAAAGAAATCTATTGCAAATAACCATCTATGTTGAAACGCCATGCTATGCTACCATTTTCCTATCCCGTCCCATGCAATGCAATACCCCTTGATGCTGTGCCACTGACCCAAAAGATCAACTCCGGCGAGTCCGAATGTTACGGTTCGCTTAAGAAGTGTAACCGGCAGCACGGTCAGCAGCAGTACCCTGCGCCATCTTCTCTGTTCCCACAGACACGGTGGGGATCCAGCCCTGGGGGTTGACATCGGTACCAGTAGTAGCGATGCTGTCACCGGTAGAGTTGACACCGATAGTGATGTAGCCAACGAGGCCGTCTCCAACGCTGTCGCCGAGAAGAGAGACGCTGATGAAGGGGCTGTAACCGTCCTCGCTAACGCTGGACAGGACAGAGTCCTCGGCATTGGTCGTGCGGTTCAGGGTCTCGAGGTGGGCAGAGTAGGGACTGACGGCGTAGACCTGAGAAAGAAGGTCCTCCTCGAAGAAGAGCTGTCCAACGTGCTGAAGGGCGCTCTTACTGAAGCCAACACCGTCAGAGGCATTGGCTTGAACAGCGACGTGGATGTGGGTAGAGCGGGAAGTGTAGTAGCCAGGGAACTTGGTGAGGAACTCGATCATGCCAGCCTCATCGGAGACCTGAATACCGCGGAGGAAAGTCTCATCATCGGTCGTGCCGTCGGATCGTTTGCTTCAGTCAGCGAGTAACTCAGAAGTGTCGGGGTCAATGCCAGTGAAAGAAGCATATGAGCCAGTGGCGTTGCAGGCCCAGATGGAGGCCGAGGCTCCTTCGAGCGGCTCGCAGGTCTCGACGTCAATGATTCTGATGTCGAGGTAGAAGTCAATACCGGACTGGGTTTCGCGGAGGTCGTGGCGGACCAACTCGCCGTCCACGCCGTAGGGGCCAAAGATAGTCTCAGGGGCCAGGAGGCAGGTGTTGTTCTGGATGCTGGTGTACTGGAGGGTGTTGCGCTTGGACATGCCGTGGACATTGGGAAGAATATCGCCATTCTCAACGCGGCGCTCGTAGAGGCGCTGGGAGCGCTTGGCAATGATCTCAGCTTTGCGCTTCTCAATTGCGGCAGCGCACTTGTTGGTTGAGCGACCGGCCAGAGCTGCCTCCTTCTTTGCGTTCACCTTGGCCAGCTTCTCGGGTTGAGCAATGACCTCGGTGGCGGCCAAAGAGAGGACAGCAAGAGCGAGAGGAGTGAACTTCATCTTGTCGTATAAGATGTGTGTAAGTCAAAGCTAGACTGTGGTTCGAGAGAGAGATTTGGATGTAAGTGAGTGGGAAAGCTTGGATAGTAGTTAAAAGTGAAGGTCTGGATGAAGTCTTGTTGCTGGTGATGATGATTTAAAATCTCCTCCATTGCGGTAACTGTAGCTTTGCTTTATACGTAGGCCTTCACTCTGATGAAGTCCATCATGATATTTTTGTTACCCACAACTTGGCATCCCTTTTCGCATGAGCTCCCATTACGACTGCTCTGTGCCTCGACTAGGCCGTCCCCATGGAGTGGATATGGGATGGGGAACCTCCTAGGATCCATATTCGTAATCCCTCGATTCTGGTTGAACAGGCTCGTCTGGTCTACGGGATTTTACATCCAATGTTCCAGGAATAGAGTGTGATCGTAGCTTAGCATGAGAAAGCTACGTGAGTCATCCGTACATCCCCGGGATTCAAAGGGGAGGAAGGCAAGTTTTCTGCCCGGAACGTGGGCGATGTTGCGCTCGGGAGGTGAGAGGACAGGCCTACAATACCCGCCTCGTCCGACTCAGCCTACCGGGCCGCCGCCCTACCCCTACTGACACCGAGGCTCTGGCCCGGATTGTCCCACCGGACGTCCTGTCACTGACACGTTTGCGTGTATGTCAACGTCTCTACGGGCCTCGCGAGACTCCCCTGACTGGGTTCTAGAAGAAAATCCCCCCTCTCGCATAGAACATTAAAGGAGGCGCGGATGGGACGAACACGACGACTGTTGGTAGTCCTTTCACAGGGAAGTTGGTTCGAACCGTAGGGTCCTGTGGTTGACGAAGTATCAATATCTCTGTATTGATTGATTCTGCGTAAGGAGTAGAAGGAAGATTCCAACCGGAGGTTGGGTGGGTAGTCGAGGTCTAAGTGTACCCCCTCGAGGTGGCCCATGCTCTGCCCCTACTCGCGGCCGAATTGGACTTCCAATCCGACAACGACTCTTGTTGTTGTTGTTGTAGTATTTAACGCCGTGGCGTCAAGGGCGCAACCGCCCTTGCGGCCGACCTCCCAGGGGGTATGTGGCGTGGAGGGCCGCAAGCTTAAGCTATCTACTCTATAGTACACGCCGCCTCCTAACGTCCTCCAAGTCTTGCCCGTGAGCTGCTATGTGTTCTATCCGCCCCCAGTTCCCGCTGGTTCCCTAGTTTCGGAGTATAAATCTGATTCTTTAAGAGAGGTAGTTCGTTAATATAGGGCTAGGTTGTGGCCTAGCCTTTAATACCGCAGGTAGATCTTCTGGAAGAAGCCTATTATGCGGAGGAAGGCCTGGAAGCCTTGTGGGTCAGTGATTAATCCCTTGAAGTATCGCTCTAAAGATCCTATAGGTCCTATAGGTTCGAGCGGACTAGAAGGGTGGAGGATAGGCCACTGTTGCCTCCTTACTAGGGTCTGTCGGCAGTAGACTAAATGGTCTACCTCCTTTGCCTCTCCACAGGGGCAGGCGAGCTGCGCGTCTATATGGTTGAAGCGTTGGTGGTACTGTTCGAAGTCTCCATGGCCTGTTCGGGCTGCTAGGAGGTGATGGAGGATAGTCCGTGGTAAAGCTAATTCAGGGGGGCAGACGAGGGTAGCCTCAAGCCCTAATCTAGTATATCGGGATGTTGCCTCTTGTTTTTACTAACGTCTATATTGGCGTCGTAGCCGCTCTTTAGTAAGTCGCTTGATACCTGATAGAGTTGCTAGTTGGCCCCTAGGGACTGGTAGAGTCGTTCCCTTCTTAGCTAGGCTGTCTGCTTCTTTATTTTCTTTTATATCTTGGTGCCCCGGGGACCAATGGGTTCGTATGTCGTATATTTTAGCTGCCTCCTGGATCTCTAAGAAGGCAGCTTGTGAGGAGTCTGGAACCTTGCCACGGATTCCCTGGATGACACTGGTATTATCGATGCAGATGTGTATCGGCTGGCCCTGAGAGGTATGGAGGGCCCGTCGGAGCCCTGCCCTCGCCCCTTCCGCCTCATCGTCAAACACCTCTGCTAAGCCGAGGCGGCCGTAGCCCTGGGCTATACGTCTGTTCTTGCGGTAGATGACAAAGCCGAACCCTGTGGCCCTATTAGCGGCTTTAGAGCCGTCTGAGTAGACGATTGTATGGTTGTCTGGTACGGTATTGAGCCAGGCTTGGAAGGCTTTAGCTGCATCCTCCTTGCTCTCTAGGGCTATGAGGTCTTGTGAGCCTTGGGGGTATTGCGGCTGTATGAGTAAAGGCCTTGGGCATTTAGGTAAGAGGCCAGCTGTTCTTTGAAGTCTTGTCTGTTGCCGCCCTTGCTGCCAGAGCCTTGGGATCAAGGGGTGTTGTTGGTCTATCTTCTGTAGCCGTGTAGCGAAGCGTAGTCGTGCTGCTTCGAGGGCTACCTCTGCTGTGGGTAGGCCAGCCTCTCGAAGGAGGCTGTTTAGCGATGATATTCACAATACGAATTCAGCGAAATGCTCCCAAGTATTACTATCGCTTCACTCATAAATGCGTCTTTCCCAAGTGATATCATCTTATCTCTAAAATTGCATGGGATTATTTTATCTCCAACTGGATCGATGGCAATATTGGTTGGTGACCAAGTTCAACTGGTTGACTTTTGACTTGTGAGCTTGGCATACACGGCTCTCAATGCCGCGACTCTTGGCAGCCAAGAAGCTAAGCACCAAAGATCAAATCCATCTCCGCAGAAATAGGCTACCAAATTAGCTTGTCTTGTCGTTCAATCGAAAGAACGGATTACATGGGATCGGGTAAGTCGGCACAGGATTTCAGTCTAGATGTTCGGGAAGCCCATGGCGGCTCACATGCCGGCCTGACATATCGATCAATTCTAAGCAAGGGCTTTCGCTTCCCCCTGGCCCCCACGATCCCATGAAAACCAAAGTTCCTAACTCATGTGGCCCTCCTGCCTCATAGAGTATGCTTAATTCGTTCTAGATCGTAGTGTAAACCAGCACTTGTGACCCACAGGCGGACATGTCACCTCATGATGGACATCGGTGCGGCCCTAGGCGGGCAGACTTCGACTGGTGCAAAAGCCCCTCTTGGTCGGCTCCCAACAAACTGGAGACGGGTTTCGACCGTAGGGCCCTGCACGTCGGCGACTGGGATGGCAACGGTAAAGCCGACATCATTGGTGTCAACAGACGGACCGGTGCCCTCACTGTGTGGTTCAGCAATTGGGATGGCACCAACTTCAACTGGGACAAGCAAGTTTTGGCAAACACCGACAAGTGTAACCAGGGGTTGGGTCGTGGATACTTCGACCATGGCGCTTATTTTGCCGACATTACGTGAGTTATTCGTGTTCTATTCCTACTTAGTCACCTGGGCTAACACCGGGTTCTTTGCTAGGAATAACGGCCGAGTCGACTATCTGTGCATGGAACCGGATGGCCGCACTACCGCTTGGCTGAACAGCGCAAGTGGCCTCGAGAATGTTGGACAAGTCAAATTCACCGAGGACCTGGACCGAGCAAACTTTCGTTTCGCTGATGTCAACGGTTAGTGATGCCATGTCTACAGCGCGAGATCGGAACAACCTACTTACACCTGATAGGTGATGGAAAAGCTGACCTCCTGTGGACCGACAAGTTCACCGGAGACGGCAAGGTATGGTACAACGACGGCCGAAGACCGGAAAGTGAGCGATCCGAGATGAAGGGAAGCATCTTTCACTGGACGAAAGTGGACACTGCCGTATACCAGGGCTCTTCGCGCGGCCCAAACATGCAGTTCCCAAGTCTTGGTGACCAAGGACGTGCAGATAAGGTTGAAGTGAACCCCACAACCGCTCATGTAAGCTTTCACCCTTGATCTGGCTTTTGATGGGCGGGCAATCTTCTGACTCTTCCTAAGGCCTGGATCTGGTTCAACATATGCCCTTCCGGAGGTGACGATGTGCCCGAGGGCGAGCCAGTTCCCGATCCCGGTCTGCCTGACTACGTTCCAATCGAGATCCTACCACCAGAGGCTCACCCCGATGATGAAGATGAACACTTTTTCTGTAGCAAGAACGGTGCATCTTGGACTCCTCAACTGTGGAATGACAAGAAAGTTGGATCTTGGTTGACCTCCAGGTACGTGACTCTATTTTATGCATCCTGCGCTGATGGGTGAGCTCTGGCTGACTCTGCCTCTCAAGGTTCGAGTTTTACTCTGGACCTTATGTCAGCTGGCCTAGCGACGTCCTTGGGGCACCGCGCACAATTGCAGAGTACAATGTGTTTGACCACGACAGAGAGTTCAACTGGCCTGGAGAGTGTCGAAAGTAAGTGTCAATCATTTGCTTAAACTTCACAGTGCTGACCAATGTTGCTTTTCATTCAGTCCTTCGCTGGTCTGCGTACTTGCAGAAGCCGCCCTTCTAAGCACCCATTGTAAGCTTCATTGGGAGCGAGCATTCTCGCTTTGGTCCATGAAGAACTACGTCAAGTTCATTCAGACTTACTACACCAGAGTGTCAGACGTGATTACCACTACCAGCCTCCGAACGGCCGAAATCTCATCAACATTCATCGCCCCAGGATCTTCAACACTCGAGATGTCTCCAGCTGCCTGGATGACTATTGCATCGAGAGGTTTCACTGCAGTTGGCGCCTTTCTTGGCCCAGCTGGTGGTATAGCCGACGGTGTCGCTGGTCTTCTTACAGCTGCGGCCGGTGTTGCAGGTGCAGCAAATTCGGATGCCACCGACCCCCGGTTTACCAACTTCGCGGGACTGAATACCAAGCTGGCAGACATGAAACTAGCGATTCAGTCTGCTATGGAGGCGTATTTCCAACGACTCTTCGTGAATTCTCCTCCGAATCATGATAATTCAAGGGGTACCGAACTAGCCAACTTGCTATCATCGGGATATTGGGCAAACCAGGATCTGGCATCGCTCAGTGCCCCAACGTATGGTCATTATGCGGTGGTCTAAGGACAAGCTCAATGATATGAGAGGCAAGCACTATGATCCCTTCTTCGGTAAGCCGATAGATGATCAACTGGATGACTGGGTTGCTTGCGCAAACGACCGGAACTATCTCTTCGTAAGTGAAGTCCGGAGTTTCTGAGACTGACTGAGTCGATAATTGCTAACTTTGTACCCCAAGCTTCGATGGCCAACAAAAGACACCTCGATGGCCGCCGACATGGGCCAGACGCAGGAGACTCTGAAAAGCTTTGATCTCATTCACCAAATTGTCATCGACGCCTCGGAAGCTATGCAAGGTCGGACCCTTAAATGGATGGCTAGGAGCTTCAGCGATCTCACGGATTTCCTCAAAGATCTTGCAACACGCCCACCGAAAAGTTCCGACCAGCTCATTCAGATGAACATGCCCGTGTGCAATCTCGATATCTTTGATACTATTGAGATCGACTACAACGACTGTGTAATTATTATTGGATGTATCCAAGGCGTTCTGAGAAAGAATTGCCCGAAACTGATTCTCAATGGGGCTGCTTTTCCCTATGTCGACTACAACTAGTTCTAATCCATTTGAGCAATAGTGTTCAAGAGTTGGAATGCAGATTCTGACTGCTCTCTTTTCTTGAGTTTCTTTGACTTATTTTCTTTGTTTACTCGGACAAAACAATTGTTCCCTCGTTTGAGAATTGATTTGCCAACAATAGCTATTGTTCTCGAGCTTTCTCTCAAAAGCCTACTGGACAATCGACGGCCTGTGTCTCGAACTCATATATTCTTCTTGTACATATTGAACCCTCATGATCAACTATATTTCGGTCGGGACTTGAAGTTGACGTGTTGGGTGACCCAAGTACCTCGTCGAAATCTACCAGGAATAATCGCCTTCACACGACATAGCCTCCAAGAAATCCCCAGTCTTAGGAACCCGTACCACATCGACCAATCTTTGGCGAGCAAGTCTACCCTCACCATGTCGTCAAATCATCCAATTGTTCCATCTTCGATGTATTTTAAGTTACTCAGAAGAACTTTGGCGGGAAATCCCAGCTTGTGGAACGGACTAACACTTGAGTGCACAATCTGCAGAGAGACTATGAGCCTTGTCGGCGACGGACTACCTTCGTCAGATAACATTGGTTTCGATGGATTCAGTCGCTTGCATCCAATTCATGGCCATCAAAATTTTGACAATCTGCGCCCAGGTTCACTCAAGGATGCAATCGTCCTACCGTGCGCTCACATATTTTGCAAAGGTTGCTTGTTCACGGTCTGTTACTCGGATTACGATCTCGCCGACTTCCTGCCCAGCAATGTGTACCCAAGGCCCGACCCAGTCTGTCCAGCTTGTCGAACCAAACTCACCTTCCCAGAATGCGAATTTCGTTGTCGCTTTCCTGGCATACCTTTTCCACGCTCGAACGAAGCAATGAACATCTTTCCCCCCACGCTCCAAGGTGGTATCATGCAGGGTTCCCGTAGATGCAACTCATGTCGGACTATCGCAGCCTGGTATGACTTGCAGCACCATGTTGATAGCGTGATGACAGCCTCTATGCCTTATGGTAACAGGGTCATCTCCGTTATCCCCACTCGTATCGCGGGGGAAGCTTGTCTATGCCGCACTGAGGTGTACTTGGAAAGAACGTTTGGACGACATCTCGACCAAACGGCACGCGATTTGCGTGTCAATACTGGGTTATGGCCTTGGTCTGGACCGCAGGCTTCTGATCGGCTACAATTTGTCCTGAGATGGCGGTCATGATAAGGACTGATATATGTAGTCTGTCGCAAACGACGCCGTTAATTACGGGCAGCAATTAACGCCATATATATCCTACGACATAGTCATAGTAGAAAGCCAGTCCTCTTGAATAAGTTCTCGCGATCTTAAACAGTAGTCAGACATAAGCTTTTGCCGCTTTTTATGTAGATAGTTTTGGCCCAAATATTATAATTTGACGTATCATGCAAACATGTCCTATCCGGGCACTCATCGAGAAGAATTGTTATTCTTGGCTGCTAGAGTTATTCTAGGGCAGCCAGGCTTGTTAAGGCGTGTAAGAAAACGAGACTTCGTGTTTTTCAACGGTGTTCCGACGTTTGCACGATGATGGCCCGACCGACAGTCAAAGCGCTTCTTGGAGAGTCCGTATCCGCTTGCCAACCGAATAGTGATTAGTGGGCTGGTCGCCTCACCGAGAACTGCGCAAGGTTCATGTAGAGAAACATTGCACCGCATATCGACGCCTCATGCACCAACGTACCAAAGAGGGTAACGTTGCCCAACTATGTCCCACCGGTGGCCGTTTTCAAGCTTTGCGGCTTGCGAAACCGGGGATCGGAGGGGTTGCCGTGAAGCTAGAAATGGACGTGTGACTGGCCAGTGACGTCTCCGTGTGAGCCTAGCACGCCGATCATAGCGTGGAAGAATCTCACTTTGCGGGGTTCCTCCGTGGGCGGGAGGAGATTTCCTGAGACCTGAGACTAACACGAATATTTGCAGGTGATCACTTATCAACGACCATATCTCCCCGATGACGGTTCACCAACAGGGTCCTCGGTTTCTCAAAATACCATTCAAAGAACTTTATACGAGGAGCTCAGCCACGACCGGCAGTCCCGACAAAGCGGTCTGGAGGGATGCTGGTGACACTGCGCGGCCGTATGTCCGAAAGCTTTGTTTGCTGCAGGATTCGGGTGCGTACAGACGAGTAAGACCTATGTAAGACCCAAGTCTTCGTCATGTTGATCTTTCGTATTCCCGGAAGAGGACACTTGCGGTCAGGGTAGGCCGATGCAAGAAAGCAAACGCATGATCACGAAGAAATGCCGGAAGATCAACGATTTCTGTGAAAGGCATCGAGAGTTTCGGGCGTGGTCAAGAGGAGTATAAATCCAGGAGAGGTGTCCTCTCCCACAGTCCTGCTTCTCATCTCCTCATCATTCCAACCACTCTCAGCCCTCGGACCGTCCAAACTCCAATTACACCAACAAAAACAGACCTCAACGCTGCATACCCGAACTCTATTTCACTCCCAGCTTCATTCAAGACCCTTTGCCTCCCTCTAAATAATTAAGAACTTCTTCATCCCGCTCTTCATCCCGTTCCACCATGCAGTTCTCAACCATCCTTGCAACTGCAGCCGCTCTCTTCCTCGGAGCCGAGGCCGGTGCGGTGCCCCGTCAAGACCCCCACATCACCGACTTCCGGATCTGGAGCGAACAGGGATGCGGAGCCGCCGGCAACCTCGGCGTCTGGACAATCACCAAGTCCCAAACCGACGTGTGCCAGACAAGCTTCAATGCACCAGACAATGTCGTTAAGGCCATTCGCCTCAGCAGCCTTACAGACGCCTGCGAAAGTAAGACCCGAATATCCCGTTTGTGAAGAATTAAATGACTAATTCTAGCCAAGTGACTGCTTACCCTACCGCTGATTGTGGAGAGGGAGGTCGCCAAGTCGGCGTCCAGACCTGTGAGGAGTGGAGCGATGTCGCCGACAACTTCTTGAGCTTCAAGGTCACCTGTTCCTAATTTTTCCTCGGGGCATATTGGGATTCTCGCATTTTCTGGCGTTTCTTTCTTTCTTCAATGATTTGGGAACGCATAATACGGTGCATGAATGCATGGGTTGGAGTTGCACAGAGATAGTGATATGCTCCTTAAGAATCACGACGAACTCGGAACAAGGGCTTACGCCAATTACTTAGCTTGAGATAATAATAGTAATACACTCCTTATCCGTAGACACTCCTTTTCAAGATATTCAACAGGATCATTGATCAATGTGTTTTTCGACGCGCTTGAGGAATGACGGTCGAACTCTCTGGGTCTAGCGTAGATAACGTCGTAGCCTTCGGCAGTTAGTGAAGTGAGACATCTAATATGCATTCCATGTAGGAATAGATAGACCTGCGCTGATTGTCGCCACTGGGTAAGGTGTATCATTGGAGGAAGCACGTGGCTTTCATGAAGGTGAACTTGGTCTTGATGGTTCCCGAACCGCACAATTACTCAGCAGGAGGATATCGGCGATCAAACCTGAATCGAGAGTATCGTTATTTCAAATCGGAATGCCCATCAAGAATAGTTCCATGGTCCCTGAAAGAGGAATTGTCATAGCTCGGACCCTTGAACGTGGGGACGGCTCTAAGTGGTTTGGCGCATGTCCTAGAACGGGTGAGTCTTGCAATGCATGATGTCAAGAAAGTCATAGTATCGATACTAGCGGCACTTCATCGTCATTACGCCCGGGTGCCCATCTCGAGCTACATATCTTCGAGGTTTCCCCGAACGCGTTGCAAGCTTTTATCTTTTGATTGTCCCAGCACTGAATCAAAAAGCCCTTCTGGTAGTAGCAATTACGATCCTGAACTATCCAATTGATCGCAAACATGAGCCAACCGATTGGATTGACAACGATCCCCAGGCTGCTGCGTAAGTGCTAGACCCAGATTCTTAGCCTGGTGTAGGTTTGCTCAAGAGCTAATTTGCATCTCTGGGCAGCTGTCACGGGCACGTTCGCGCTCCCTTTTACGATCTACTACGCATTTCTTAGCCTTCGCGTCGTCAACGAGCGTGTGAAATCCAAGCAATACTTGGGCGAAAACTCCTCAAAGCCTGGAGCGGATCCCGAATCATACAAAGCTAATGCACTTTACCTTGCCGGCCGTTCGCACATCAATTACATCGAGAACGTGCCGCTTGCTTTTATCCTTGCTTCGTTGATTGAGGTCAACGGTGGCAACCGCAAAACACTAAGCTGGCTGCTCGGGAGCTTCTTCGCCTTCCGCGTGCTGCACGCCGAGCTTGGAATTATGAAGCCCCGAGGCATGGGCAAGGGCAGGCCCATCGGCTATTTCGGTAGCATCGGCGTTCTTGGTGCTTTGGCCGGCTACGGGGCTTTCTTGGTAAAGGGATATTGGGGACACTGATTCAATCTTTACTTGCCACCTTTCCATTTATCGAGCTTGTAGATGGGTTGAATTCAAGGAAGGATGAGAAGGATTCAAAGCGAGTCGTTTTACCTTGCAATGTTGCGAGGGTTGCCGCTGTGCCCAGAACTTTTCTCCTCACTAATACTGTATCGCGGGGTCAAGCGAGATCAATAGTGCTGAGAACTGGAGAATCAAGTATTAGAAACATCCTCGTGTACGGATGCTTCGTATGACTTAATATGAATTTCAGCTAGTAACATAGGCTCGGCATTCCTGGTTATCTCAAGTCAGCATCGGTAATCAAGTCTTGATTCCTGCGCATCAGTCATACAAACTATCAGCCAGGATAGTTCATCGGAAATGTTAGTGGAACATCGCTTAAGGCCCTGCATAAAGGTCGCCTGGCCATTTCCCCGCCTGCAATTAAGCTAACGGTTCACATCGTTGGACCTCACTCAAACCTTAATCGCAGCAGGCTCGCATGATTTGCTGTTGCGTGAATATCCAGTGTCTGGCTGAACGGCAAAACACACCACCAAGTCCGATTGAGTAGTGTACGGATACAATCTGTCTCCGGCTCTTGGCGCCGAGGTTTGTCGGTTTCCTTGCGCTCTCCGGGAGTGATCGTCGAGTTATCCAGGTATTAAAGCTGTCGAAGATCGCTGCAAACTAAGGCATCTGATCCCCCGACACTTGCTATCATATGTTCTGATCCATTTTGCTCGCAATGCACTTCTATAGGATTGTCCTGCTTTTCGCGCCTCTGATGGCCATGGCTAGCCCTGTCGAATTGGAAACAAGACAGGACAACACTTGTTGCTATCAAACCGAGGTGAGAAACCATCAATGCGACCTGTAGGACGCCAGCTCGTTAACGCTGACACTGCCCAGGACCTCGTCTTTGTGACCAAAGGCCAGTCATCCCAGACTTTGGACACTCTCAACTGGTGCTATTTACAGGTTGATCGGTATGCACATCCTCTAAACCATCTCATTTAATGACTGTAATCCAATTAATCGGTGCTAGCGACACGACTGATCCAGACAATTGCGAAAAGGCGACGCGATCGTATTGGGCTGGGTACTGCCCCTCTGATGGCACAAAGGTTATCCCGTGTCCTTAGTTCATGCCGTTTGCATCGGATCCCGGAGATAACATGCAAGGGACATATTAGCAAGTAGGCAGTCAATGGGACCTTTCAATGAAGCTTCAAGTTTGATCCTGTCTTAAAGTGTCTGATTGCATTCCAAGAACTTGGTGCCTCGAAGCTTCAATGAACCCACTCCCCCAGCCAGCTCTACACCACAAAGGAGCATACTTGTCTCTGTTCGTGGTTTGCTCAAACACCCTTCTAAGGGCGGGAACTATTTACTCTTGTCACGTACGGAGTACAAAACCCCGCTAGATTTCGCTATCGCTACAAGTAACCAGACCACTCTCGGGCGATTGATCAGGGGGGATAGCGTCAAGGCTAGGCTCAGCTTGGCCAACAAGTCAAGGGACCATCCTCGTCCACATGCTTATTCTCAACACGACCAAAAACTACCAGTTCTAATTGGCTAGTAAGACAGGCATCACCGTGGCTTGGGAACAACGAGGACAATAACTCCGCCCCTCCTGCCTCCTTCGGTGTCAGCCTATTTGCTCACCGTAGGCGTCCCCGATAGCAGCTCAACAGGCGCGGCGCAGCAGCTGAGAGGATTTAGCTCCGCCGCGCAGCTTTCTACTTAAGCTTGAGCGCACCATCTTCCCTGGCTTTCGCATGGTTCCTAATCAATTTCCCCAATAATAATATCTCAACCTCAAAAGAACCCCAAGTTCCACAACTCGACCGCACTCGTACAGCCCTTTTATCGACGACAGCTACGAATTTCTTAAGACAAACCAAATCCTTCGGTGTTACACAATCAATTCACCATGCGCAATCCGTTCAAGCCAAGACAAGCGCCCTCCCAAAGCTGGGCCGGGAGACCAAGAGCCCTTTCAGCCGATGACCCAGTCTTCAAAGGCCTCGACGAAGACGAGCGAAAGAGCATAGAGAGCAGCTCGATCAACCAACAACAAAAGAAGTCCCAAGAATCAACCAGAGAGCCGTTGAAACCTTCTGGCTCGGATAGCGCCGTATCAGTGGATAGCGGATCGTCTCCTCACCACAGCGTCAGCGCTGACATCGGTCATGGTTATGCCGCAATCGCTGGCGCATTCTCTGGCACCGACCACTCTGGACAGTAAACGGGGAAGAAAAGATTGATTCATCTCGAAATCTTCGCAAGATTCGCGGGCTTATGGGCGAAAAGGATGCTTCTTTGGATACACAGGAAATGGATAAGGGGGCGGACAACTGGTTTACTTGTTTTACGAGCGAAAGATACCCAAGACAATCTTTATCAACGACGGACTGAACCGCGCTTAGGAATCAGCAAGTGATGTAAACAGACCGCGCTCCATCAGTCAAGTAAAATTGCCCATCCTTGTTGGCAACAGCGACGCAAGAATGGTCCTGGTAAGGGTTGACCGTGCTGACCGTCGCCTTCCCACTGCACCCGGCATTTGCCCAGAACTTGAGCTTGCAAACATTCCCGCCTCTGTTTAGGAAGACTGCGCCGTAGACATTTCCTGAGAAATCTTGGCATCGGCCAGAAGAGACGTCAAAGTTATTGGTGAAGCTGCCAGCGCAGCCTCCGTCGTGGAAGACACCGAGGGTGATTGTGTCGCGTTTCTGTAGCGTTCCGGGCGTGGCGGCAGCTTGCGCTCCGAGGCTCAATATGAGACAAGATAAGGACTGAGTAAGCTGAAGCTAGATAAAGTAGGAATCAGTATCTTATCAAGGTCTGTTATTGTGATCAAGTTACCATTGCAAAAGCGAGATTTTTGTTCTTGAATGCTTGAAGATGGAATAGTTGGATCTCAAGGTTAGGCTTGTGGTCTAGCCGTGGCACTTATAGTATTTAGACCTCCTAGGTTGTCCTCAAGACCTTGAATACACTATTGGATTTCTCTTCAGAGAAACGTACGACTAAGGCTAGATACTGGCGGATAGCTATTCGCAGCAGACTCCGTAAGAAGAAGGCAGTAGCGGAATTCCGCACTTCAAACTAGATATCCACTTGGTTGCCAATGAAAGCAGAGAGCTGACCTCATTAGCAAACGAAATAGTCCCGTGGCCCACGAAAGTCTGGAGCCATGGTCCGACTACTGTCTCACTCTCGCGCGACTAAGTCTACCAGCGTTGTAGTCGTTATGTGTGGTGCTTACTCACACTATTTTCAAGGACTGCTGCCTGTTAGGTTGTTACTCAGCACCAATGTAACATGAACTCTTCTAAAGCTGGATAGTACCTGTTGATGATGATGATGATGTATTTAACGTTTGGTAACAAAAGGACGTGCCGGGCGCTATGCCGACATGGTCTATACTAATCTAAACTATATGACAGGCTACCGTCTTCACCTAACGTTCCTGTTCAATGACTCGGGCAAATTTCGGAAAAGAAATTGGTCTCCTCTATCCATTCGCATAGAAGAGAGGCTCCCTTAGCAGAACCTAACAAGAAATCAATGCTTGCTTTGGCCATACGTTGGCGGAGGTAGCGCGGTGTAGCCTTGCGTCCACGCTTGCAGAAGTAGAAATGGACTGGTGTCTTGGGTTTCCCACAGCTGCAGTTGAGCAACGCATCTTGATGAGCGAATCTCTGGTGGTATGCTGCAAAGTCTCCATGATGGGATCTTGCTGCGTATAGCCTTCCTAGTAAGTGCCGAGGGAGGCGGAGTTCGGGCGGCTTGGGGTGAAGAATTATCTCGAGGTCGGCATATTGCCGAGGGCATTGGGACAGCCATTTTCTGGCAAAGGCTTGGAAGGCAGCTGCTTTAGCTTGCCTTTCTAGGTGCGCTAATGAGGGCTGTGGTTGTGATTTTGGGATTAGTTTGCAGGCTTCCTTGGCTAGAGCATCCGCTTCTTCATTTCCTGGTACTCCCGTGTGCCCAGGGCACCACCAAACATAAACCCTGCCGGGGGTTGTCCAGCTCTCTCTTTGTCTCCGAGTCCAGGAGGAAGAGAGCCTATTGAAGGCCCTAAATCTAGCCTGGCTGCTTCCTGTGCTCTGGGAGTATAGTCTAGCCGCGACTGCGAGGTTGTCGAGGCAGATGTGGACGTTATCTGCCATACGAGCCGTAGGAGCCCGGGTGGCTTCCATCAGGCCGTGATACGCAGCATGTGCCTCCGCGTCATACACCTCAGTTTGGGAGCCGAGTGGTTCGGATCCGCGGAAGATCTGCCGTGTAGCTTGGTACCCTACCCAGCCTGCTCCGGCGGAGGTGCTGCTGCCGTCCCAGAGCCGACGAAGACCCAGTACCGGCCGTAGATCTTGTGGCAGGTGCAGGTGGGTCACGTGAGGCAGCTCCTTCACATCTCGGAGCTGCCCCACCTACACCTTGCCCAGATATCCAGCCCAGCCAGCGCTCAGCTTTTCCCTTCATCATCATCAGATCCAATACAGTAGTATTGCCTCCACAGATCTCGCTGATCAGGGCTAGTATCATGGGCACGAAGCCGAAGCCCAAGACGAAGAGGGTGATGCCGAGGTTAAACTCTGTATTGGAAAGCTTCCACTTCTCGGTCAGAGGGACTGCGGCCATGGCGTATGCGCCGGCAGAATAGGCGGCCAGAGTTGAGGCAAAGAAGGTTCCGAAGAGGAATGTGATCTTCTTTCGCAAGGGCCACGCAAATGGGGATTGGTATTTAGCATCAAGTGATGATGGGTAGTCTTCCTCGAGGATTCCCTCGATGCCGTTGGATCGCAAGCATTCTGTGAGTTGGAATGCCGGTTCTAGGGCGTCGATGTTGAGAGGGATATCGATCACATCTGCTTTGACTGTTGCCGACTCTCCAAGCGCGGTTGGGTTCGTTTTGTCCTCGACATCGTCGATGTTAGTAACCTCGGCTATGTTGGCCTGTTCAATGTCAGAGTCACCAGCTGAGATGCCTGCTAGAGGCAGAGGGATCGGGCCCATGGTCGAGTGTGGTCGCATCTTAGACCATCTGCGTCAGTGACTGTGATACCATCGAGCTGGTCAAAGGCGACGTTGTGAAAAACTCAATTCGTGCGTCGGTTCAACGACGAGTTTAATCCATCGCCTTTGCCATTGACTCAAAACAAACGCCAATCGATGCAGGCGCGGAGACTTCTGCGCATGCCGCATTGTGTATCCGGTATCCGTCCGTAGTCCGGTCGTCAGCCTCCGATGATCGGAGGACCCTAGTGGGTCCTCTGCGTCATTGTCCACTTCTGGTCAGCCGGCATTACAGCTACACCTCCGCACTGTGATTGTGCAGAGTTATGAGATTTGACTTGGTGAAGATGTGAGGAAAGTGTGCAGGATCACGCTGCATTTTGGTTATCGGTCACAGACAGCGTCTACAGCAGCCTTAAATGAGACACAAACTCTCACGGCCTGCCCAATCGGCAATGTCATAGTGACACCAAAGTCGGGATACCTGCAGCGCATGTGAAGCAAGATGAAATGATGCTATAATGAATGTCTCCATTCAAGAAGATGGCATTCTTTGCACGATTCTCGTTGATCCACCAAGCAAGCTTCCCCAGTATCGCGTGGCAGTTCATCTGGATGAGACTTCCGAAGGATCGGCGGCTGAAAGCGTGGGCGGTCCGGTCCGCGGCAACGGCACTGGCCTGCTTCTTCAACCTAAAAAGACGAACATCCCGGCCCACTGACACTAAGTAACTAAACAGGGGAAGATGCAGCAGTTTATCCAAACGACTGGAACTAAGAGGGGTTATCGGGGAGATGCAGGTCTTCCGCGGGGTTAGAGATCAAAGGGCGATGTGTCGGTTAACGTGTCGAGCTATCAGGATGCATTCCCGGAATGAACGGTAATGCGGGCACGGCATCTTATCTCGGCCCTTGTTCACTCTTTTTCGAGGGGAATGAGATAGAGCTGAATAAGATACCAGCAGGTTTAGTCCACCTAGGTCAGGATCACTCGGCTCTCTATCACAAACCTCGTGCCACTACTCTTGGCAAGCTTTCCATACGACACGACAACCCACAGATTCCATCTTTCGTGATTGGATGGCGGTGGTAGGAACACGTAGAAACCACGCCTCCTCCGCATTCGGGTTCACTCGACTGTATTCAACGCTCACTAGGTAACATCCAAAAAGACATACGGCAGCAAGAAAAAGCTCAAAGCCTACTAACATCACCATTTCCTTCTCCCTAAATCTTACCTAGCAGATGCAAGGTTGCTTTTTACTCACACAATTGAGGACCACATACATTGACTGAGTTTATCGACATATTCTTTTGATGCTTGAACTAGGGAGATGTGCTTTTCAAATCGTGTACAAGTTGCCCCCCTCTCTGCTTGCTCTCTATCGCAAGGTAGCCCTTTAAGTTGCGGAAAGTGATGCAAAGTTGATGTTCGAACTTCGAATAACGTGTCAATAAGACGAGCCTGACTATCACGTACCTCGACGAATGAGTAATCAGGAATGCCATGTTCGGGTAAAGCAGGTAACTGTGTAGCAAGTCTCACTCTCACTGGCCTCGCTTGGCCGCGGCTCATTGGCGCTATCACGCGATGGTGGCTGGGATGGCTTCATAGCGCCCAGCCATCGCATGAGGAAGGAACCAAGACTCAAGACCAATATGCTTACCCGTCTCGTCTCTTTCCCCGAAGGACAAGACGCCTCTTGAGGTTCTTTTGTCAAGCGAGGCATCTCAGCTAAAGGTCAGCAATATGCTGATTTGTTGATGTACTCCGTCACTCCCGAGAAAAGTTGAAAACTCAGTCTCGCCATGAGAAGATGTTGACTGGCGAGGCCGCAAGGGCGTACGCCCCCTGGGTGTCATGCAAACTTTGCGCGGGATGAGGATCATATCCCCTGTCCAAGATGCAGCCTATAATTCGGTTGTAACCGATGGATGAGTGCCCAAACCTTGTCATCGTTGCACCATCTGCATCAGATCTCACGCACTGAACTGCAGCTCCCGGCTACTGTTGAGTTCAACGTGTGGTTTGTGGATGATCATGACAATTTCTTACCTGCAAGGTAACAGATTAGGTTATCATGCAACGGGATATCATAAGAACTCTCAGAGTATGTCGTGAGAATGGGGCTTTGTGGTGTTTATTGTGTCCATCAAGGTGAGACATTCGAGGAAGGAAGATTCGGGAACGATGAGAAGACCACATCATGGCGCTGGAGAAGTTCCAGCAGCGTGCGAATCACGGAATATGCACCTGCACGGCGATACATATCCTCCTGGAGCTACAGTTCCCAATCAATGCCAAGAACCACCGAAGTCTTGAATGAGGTCGGTTAGTCAGGTGGAATCTCGATGCAACTTCCCCCCAGCGAAGGAATCATCGTAGTGTCCGGTGAGGCACGACCAAGGTTGAGCTTAAACGGCAATTGGGGCGACAAACCCCTTCTCTTTTGGAATATTCCTAAGTTGTACGTATTTGAGCGGAGGAAAGTGCGACATTGATTGCATGTACGTGAGGATGAGGCAGGAGACATCGATGAACGAGATGAGATGAGGTTCGTGACTTGGACACACGAATGTGACTTGGGAATGACGCTATATCAGGAACAATGCGATTATATCACTTTTTACTGAGAGAGTATCATGTCCACGGCATTTCCGCAATGAGATATCCATATCTCAAATGAATAAAAGCCATGCTGTTCCTCTCGTGGGTGAAGGGTAGTCGCGAACGCGTGAGAGGTCGCCCGCAAAGCTCAGTCGACGCCCCACGGGATTAAACTGGGTCCCGATGCCAAAATTTTCCCACTTCGAGTCTTCGACATCTTGTCCTCAGATCGCGTCATCGGCCGAGTGGACCACAAACAGAAACTATGACACAGAACTTTCTGCACCAGGCCACTGGGACTCTGGGATGGGAAACCCTTGTGCTTGTCCCTTGACAGTTTGAGAGAAGAAGCTAGGGTCTTGGGGGCCATGTTGGGGGGGTCCAAAGAGGGTCTCGAAGTCTCGAAGAAGCCGTCCAAGAGCTCCAGATGCTCACAGCTCCATGGTCTCACAAGTAAATCTCGCATGCGGATACTCTCGGCGCACCACTGACGGTTAGACTCTCGAGTCTCCAGAGCCTCCTAATCCTTGGAAGGTACGATGACCTGGGGGACTTTTTGGTTTTTTGGCTCGGCATTATACATGGGTTCCTACGCGGCGCAACCTCAACTGCTCACCCCCAAGACAACCACCTATCCCGAGCCGATTCGACCCAGATGAATATCTCGCCATATGGCGCCAACTCGGTGTAAATAAGACGTGATCTGATTGGCGGGGCCAGCTCTGCGACAGACATAAAGTCTTCTGGTGGCCTTCTAATTTCGACGTTCTCTCGGATCGTCTTCCGTTCTTCAGTCTTCCGTCTCCATCTGGTGTCTTTTCCTGATCTCTGATCGTTTAAAACCACGACGACAGGATTGATCCACCATCATCACATCGACAAGATGTCCAAGCTCTTGAACAAGTTTGGCACCTCGTCGTCGGCCACTGCCGCCGACGGTGACCACAGCGAGCATGGTGGTCTGCCTGCCGCGACGACCTACGACAGCGAAGTTGGTTAGTCGTTGTCGCGAAGCCTGGGCGCGGAGCAATCTCCGTGTGCCGCCACACTACGGAGTACCACCGGCATGCTAATTCATGATCCCAGGCCGCATCGAGCACGCCCGCGAAAATAAGCGAAAAATTGGTGTCACCACCGCCATCTTCCTGATCGTCAACCGTGTCGTTGGTACTGGTATCTTTGCGACGCCCGGAACCATCTTTGCACTCTCGGGCAGTGTCGGTCTCTCTCTCTTCATCTGGGTTGCCGGCATGATTATCGCCCTCGCCGGTACCGCCGTCTACCTCGAATGGGGAACCGCAATTCCCAAGAACGGAGGAGAGAAGAACTATCTCGAATACGTCTTCCGCAAGCCCAAGTTCCTGACCACGGGTCTCTACACCGGATACGTCATCCTGCTCGGCTGGGCCAGTGGTAACTCTGTCGTCTTTGGCGAGTACATCCTTCACGCCGCCGAGGTCGAGGTCGACCGCTGGAACCAGCGCGCGATCGGTCTTGCTTGCATCACCACCGCCTTTTTGATCCACGGCCTTGCCCTTAACTGGGGTCTGCGCCTGCAGAATCTCCTCGGAACCATCAAGCTGATTATCATCGTCATCATCATCCTTTGCGGCTTCATTGCCCTCGGTGGCCACGTCAAGCTGCCCGAAGACCAAAAGCCCAAGAACTTCCAAAACGCATTCGAGGGTACCACCGGCAGCCCCTACGGTGTCGTCACTGCTCTCTACAACGTTATCTGGAGTTACATTGGATACAGCAACGCCAACTACGCCCTCAGCGAGACCAAGAACCCTGTCCGTACCCTCAAGATCGCTGCCCCTGTCGGGATTATCACCATCTCCATCCTGTACATGCTAGTCAACGTAGCCTACTTCGCCGCCGTCCCCAGAGAGGAGATCCTCGAGGGTGGTCGCCTTGTTGCGGCATCCCTTTTCCGTAACGTCATGGGCGGTACTGCCGAACGTGCTCTTTCAGTCTTTGTCGCCCTGTCCGCCTTTGGCAACGTTCTCAGCGTAATCTTCTCCCAGGGCCGTCTTGTCCAGGAGCTTGGTCGCGAGGGTATCCTGCCTTGGTCGCGCTTCTTCGCCAGCAACAGACCCCTTAACGCTCCCTTGGCAGGTCTCTTTGAGCACTGGTTGATTTGCGTCATCACCATGCTTGCTCCCCCTCCTGGTAAGAAAACCCGATCGACATCTGTGTCATGATCCTTGTTTACTAACACATCTGCAGGTGATGCATACAACTTCATCCTCAACCTCATCAGTTACCCCCTCGCCATCATCAACGTCTTCGTCGCCGGCGGTCTTGCTTACCTCTACCTCAACCGCAAGGAATGGAACTGGAACCCTCCCATTAGCGCCAGCCTGCCTGCCGTCATCTTCTTTATGCTCAGCAACGTCTATCTCGTCATCGCACCCTTTGTGCCCCCCGAAGAGGGCCAGAACGTCTACGAGAGCCTTCCCTACTACCTCCACTGCGTCGTCGGTATCGCCATCATCGTTGCTGGTGGTCTCTACTGGGTCGTTTGGGCCAAGATCCTGCCCAAGATTGGCAAGTACGAGTTAGTTCGTGAGACTGTTGTCGATGAGATTGATGGGTGGGAGAGAAATGTGTTCTTCCGCAGACCTTTTGGCGAGTCCGTCCCTTCGGAGCGTCATGTTGGGTCGCCGGAGCCCGAGGTGGCCAAGTAAACGCCGCTTGACGCCTGCTATGATAAAGCACCATCACTATACATCGTTTTAATTATACCCTAGAAGCATAATACAATACTTTCATGTTCTCAAGCTCGACATAGGTGTGAAATTGAACTGCTAGATTGCGCAAAGATCAATGCCAACTATCTTGTCAGTCACAATAGTTACAAAACCACGAACATTAAATGTTGGTGTTCGGTTCCTGGACTACCTACTAGGTAAGATAAATATGCATTCCCGTTGTTATAGAAGATTATATACACTCAGAGAGCACGTGTACAGACGCAAAGCAAACTACCAGACCTGGCCCGAATTCCATCCACCCATTTCTTTTAAGCATCAGATGTCGTCTTGTCAAATTACCAGGCCTTGCTGAGTAGGGACATGTTTTGTGCACTTCAGCCTTCCACACTTAGAAACCTGAGCCTCCATCTCGTCCACTACATTCTCAGCGTAGCCCGTGGAATTCAGGCAACTTCTAAGCTCAGGGCATTGTCTTGGAAGTATGATTCCCCACGCTGTTATCATGCAAGGGTATGGGATTGTGCATTTGGTTGGCGCGTCGGACTGAACATTCCGCCGACATTTAGCCAATGAGACGTTACTCCTAAGCGAGAATTTATTGACAGAAGAAAGGCTTCATCCCCAAGTAAGGTCATGCAGCCGAGGTGCAGCTTATGTCAGCTCAGCTAGAAATGTCGACTGGTGAGACAAACGCGATCTGATACATCAAGCATGACTGTGGCATCTAGGAAGTTAATAAGTATGCGGCTGAACGCTTGATCTGCCCATGAACAACAAGACCTATCCCTCGCTTCGTTCCATGTTCCCCTTTCTCACTCAATCGAGTTCAGGTGTATTCGAATGGCGTCAGCGCAGCCTACTCAGATGGAGCAAGTTCTTCAACGGCTCGTTGATAATCTGGCTGAATTGACCAGAATCCTATCGGATCAGCAAAGCCCCGATCACACACAAAATGATCAACTGGTCGCCCCAGACATCGCGGAGTTTCAGAATAGTGCAGAAGTGTCGTTACAGTCCCAACTCGAGATTGCGACGGCCTCGAGAGCGTCGCCAACAATCACTTCGAACGCCTCAGCTGAGGTCCTGACCACTGCCAATGTGTCAACAGGTGCCGCGTCAAGTACGGTAGGAAATGCGGCAGAGCCTGGTCCACTGCTCCCCAATGCCACAACTTCCGAACCCAGGAACGTCGATGAATGGATTACGAGTCACCTTGATCCCAATGACCTGATGAAGTTGTTCGGGGACAATGGCGTAGATTGGCTGCGGGATCATCCAGTATTTGGTTTGATGACGTTGAAATTAGACTTGAAAGCAGTCTGCGCTCCAAGCTCCATCGTTAAGGAGTTCACCGAAGACAACCTCCGCATAGGCTTTTGGCGACAGTATTTTGAGGTCACACAAAACCACTACACGTACTATAATTATCAGGCCCAAGTTTCAGCTCATCGACATTCCATCCCTAGAGGGAGGAGATACGCGGGAGCTCTCAGCGTGCGTGATGTCAAGGGTTAAAAGCCTTTGCCAGCCTGACCTTGAAAGCATACTTCATGGGGGTCGTCGACTTTTGCTTCCATTTCAAGGGCCATTCAGCTCGGGAGGTATATGCTACTCCGTTGACCCGGCCGGCAGACAATTTCCCCTAAGCCAAATTGTTTGTAGAACATGAAACATCCAGACACATTGGGCCTTCTCTAGACTGATTGGATTTCAGCACTACGCCGAAAACTCCCTGGGAAAAGTATGGTATGTTGATGTGTCTTCCCTTATTATGATCTGTTCAGTACAGTGTCATCGTACCTTACTGACACTCGCCAACGGATAGGATGGTGAAGTCACGAGTTCTCAGGAGATCGACATTGAGCTTATCTGTCTTGGCATCTCTGTCGAGTTGGTTTTCGATTGCCAACTCTGAACAAACTGTTCGGCTAATTTCATCTTACATCCTTCCTCGCCACATTTCAACCCATCCACCATCGACTTGTCAATTGTTTCCACAGCCGCCCGATACGGCGGATAATACTGGAAGGTCCATACCTGTAAGACTGGCCTTCGAAATCAGCTACTCGGTTCCGATGATACATTACCCGGATATATGGTTGTTGTTGTTGTTGTTCTATTTAACGCCATGGCGGCAAGGGCGCAGCCGCCCTTGCGGCAGACCTCCCGGAGGGTATGTGGCGTGAAGGGTCGCAGGTTCTAGCTATATACTATATAGTACACGCCGTATCCTGACGTCCTCCAAATCTTGCTCGTGAGCTACTATGTGTTCTATCCATCCCTAGTTCCCACTGGTGCCCTAGTTCCGTTATAACCATCTGGTTTCTTAATAGAGGTAGTTTGTCGTTTGGAGGATAGGTTATGACCTATCTCCTAGTACCGCGGGCAGATCTTCTGGAAGAAGTCTGTCACGCAGGAGGAAGGCCTGGAAGCCTTCAGAGTCAGTGATTAGCCCCTTGAAGTAGCGATCGAGGGACCCTATAGGTCCTACGGGCTCCTGGCGGCTGTAGGGGTAGAGGGTGGGCCACTGTTGCCTCCTCAGTAGGGTCTTTCGGCAGTAGACTAGATGGTCTGCCTCCTTAACCCATCCACAGGAGCAGGTTAGTAGTGCTTCTGTGTGGTTAAAGCGTTGGTGATATTGTTTAAAGTCCCCGTGGCCTGACCGTGCCGCGAGGAAGTGATGAAGGGCAGCCCTAGGAAGGCCAAGTTCAGGAGGGCAAGCAAGGGTGGCCTTGAGCCCTAGTTGGGTATAGCGGGGAGTTGCCTCTTGTTTCCACCATCGTCTATATTGGCGTCTTGGCCGCTCTTTAGCAAGCCACTTAATACCTGATAGAGTAGCTAGTTGGCCCCTAGGGACTGGTAGAGTTGTTCCCTCCTTAGCTAGGCTGTCTGCTTCTTCGTTTCCTTTAATATCTTGGTGCCCCGGGGACCAATGGGTTTCGTATATCGTATATCCTAGCTACCTCCTGGATTTCTAATAGTATCTTTGGGCCTCAACATCTCGTAGATGCGACAAGCACCTTTTCCTCACTAAATCAACCTAGTCAGGCCAGACCAGGTAAGAAGGGTACAACAGTTTTCGGCGTATCAGTCTTTTCGGCAACAGATTTCCTCTTTTCTATCATAGAAAAAATCAACGCTGTTCCACTGGCCAAGTATTCGGATCTGAAAGCTAAGCAGATCACGGTCATGGATAAATGGAGAGGTCTCATATCAGATGCACGAAGATCCAACGTCCTTGAAAGATCAACCCTGGTGGTGACGTTGAACGAGATGTCCCCAGATGCGAAATACACCATGGTTGTTTTGTGTAACGACAAAGTTGAGAGAATTTCCGTCTCTGAAGCACTCGCCAAACTGGGACAACCGCTACAGCTTTCTGGAGTCAATCACTACTTACTTTATGTTGCTACGCTCATGGATACCTGGGAGAAGCGATGGAACGAGATCTTAGATATCATTGAGGTTGAAAATTCCATACAGGTCAGTACAAGATTTGATTTTCCGATTCTCAGGCGTTGCTTCACGCTGCATCAAAAATCCACTATACAAGAAGATGTTGTTAATGCCCTTGGCCCTTGCAGATGCACGAACTGCAGGATGCACGAAGACTCGACGAACTGATGTTCGATCGGTCATTTGAAGTTTCCCGGAGATACTTCTCTATGCTCCAATTTCTTCAGCTAGCGTCCAAGTCGCTGCAAAAGCCAATTGCCAGCTTTGAAGCAGCACATCGCCATTTCACGTCACAGGTCACCTCCAACGCTCAGAACCCGCGCGGCAGAGGGTGGACTGACATTATGAGTAACTGGGAGAAGGTCGCCAGGTCTGTTAGCACAGTAACAGCAAACCTTCGCAGCCGTGTCGATCAGCAGATTGAACAGGTCAAAAGTCACCAAGAAAGTGTGAGTGCACTCTAGCTTCTCGGATATGTTTCCTTTCAGTTCCCAAGGGTCCACACTAAAGATCCTCAGATGTTTAACGCGACATCTTTGCGAGAGACAAATAACGGCATGGCGCTGAACAGGTCTGTGTACGTGCTCACTGCTATAACATTTTTATATACTCCGGTTGCATTCATGGCGATCAGTACCCAGAGATTGAGCTAAGGCGTCCCGACCATCACGGAATACTAACTACTTCTACTTTGAAGATCTTCTGGGCTCTCCCATTTCTTAACAATACTTCTGAAGGAGGCGATAGCAAGGTACCCCGCGGGTTTCGAACAAGCTTCATCTTAGTACCCGTTCTCACTTATGTTGTTTCCCTATTTATGTCCCTCTTCATTGGATCTTCTCGATTTCGTCGAATTATAAACCAGAGCCTCGCAGGATACTGGGCCTATTTGACCGACATATTCGGCCCATTCAAGTATCACTGGGACCTATTTTTGGCAAACAGTGAACTCATACGAGTTGGAATTCGGTGGATTCGTCGAATTAGAGCAACAATTACATTTGCACCAGCTCGAAAACACACTCAGGAGATGCCTGCGATGGATAGAAGCCAGGGCCAGACGCAGCAAGATCCCGAAGCAGCTTAGTTACACGTAGTTGTAGTTCTAATTGGATGATGGCAACCTAAACCACAAACCGAACTTCGTTAGATCTTGTACGGCCAACATGGTTTTGAACTGCTTGCGTGGGATGATATGTTCCAATGCTATATGAATCTCGGAAAGAGTAGTGGCTCGAATGTTGGAATGACCTAAACCTTGTTTTTACGTTTTCTACATTGCAATAGTACAGCACCAACACTGAGTGAGATTTAGTATCCAGTCAGCCGATCTGAGACAAAGCATCACCGGACAGGAATGAAAGAGGATAATTTACCTTCAGGGTCATTTGTACACTGGCGTCGGGACTCGACGTAATCCAGCAGTCGGTATCGTTTTGACCCGACCCAGCTGGGCAGGGAAATCCTCCAAGCTTGGCTTTTGCTTCACAGTCTGCCGTCGAGTCCTAAAGAGAACCAAGATTAGACCATGTTTCTGTTCGAAATATTTCAAGATTTAGACTAACGCAATTGACTGTCTCCGGCTGGCATGTTACCGGTGTGATACCGTTGCTCTGGGCAAGGGATCCAACGGCGAGGAAAGAAAGCAATGTGATGCTTGCGGTGAATGAACGCATGGTATCTTGGTTTCAGTCTCAGTAATTAAAATTGCTTGGAGGAATAACACTGAAAATGATTGATACTTGATAGTCGGAAGTTTGGGAACACTCGTAAGATTAGGTGTGTAGTAGAGGTTGTTGGTGGACTCATGACCTCTTTATCCCCAAGATTCGGACAATTAAAGTTGAGTCTAAATATTGCGTTCTACGTCAACGATACTAGTCCGAGCGATCTGACTCCGGTTTTAAAACATCGATTCGATGATCTCTGACAGCGGGCTTCTAAACGGGCCCGAAAGTCACGGCCAAGGCTTCATAAGGCTACTGGCTATAGACCATTCTTAAGGCGAATTGTATTTCCAGTCGTTCCTAGACTTAAGCAGGCGCCCCCTCATGACCGTTTTTGAAGGTTATTGGGCGGACTACGAATGGACAGAAACTGTAAACTCGGTTTCGGCGGATGGCATGTTTCCTTGACTCAGATCTCCCCAGCATTCTACTATAAATGACTTTTGCCCGCGCCACGGCCAAGATAATGCATCAGCTGATGGCTTACGGATTACGGGGAGCTAGGAAGTCTCTCGAATTGTCAAGTTGCACTCATGGTGAAATGGAGATGAGGACTCAGAGGCTCTGAATCTCAGGCATAGACCTTGAATTATCGAACCATCTTCCCATGTCAACTATACTAAATCTACCGCGCTTTAAGCTCGCTTCTTCAAAGGCCAGGCAAAGGCACCCAGGAAGAGCAAAACATGAAAGAGCCCAAGAACAGAATGAGCGACTCATAACGGCCCATCCCGTACCCCCCACTCACCGGCTTGGTTAATAATCCAGCGGTAATCGGACCCGTAGCCAAGTTTCCGATTCCCTTGCCAAATGCCATCATGCTGTATACGGGCTGTGGGTCGTCGGAAAGCATCGCCCCAAACTTCGGCCAGCTGATGAGGAAGCCTCCAGCAAACATGCCAAAGACCAGTGCAAAAATGACCAATAGTGGCAGGGAGTGGGCGAATCCCCAGAGTATAAACGCCGCAACCGCTGACGTGAAAGAAGAAACGAAAATGAGCATAAAGACATTGTTCGTGTGATCAGAAAGCCATCCGAAACCAATCTGTCCGAAAACGGTTGCCAAGTTGTGGGCTGCAAGGAGAAGCGCTCCCATGGTACCCGATAGCACAATGGCACTGGCGTAAGAAGGCAGATACAGGGACGGGATGTAGTAAGCGAAGCTCTGGAACAGGTTCGAGAGCGCGAAGCAGTAGAAGAGAGGTTGCCTCAGGAAGCTGATATCGAACATCCGCATGGCACCGTGGGGCGACGGTGGCAGTCGGCCCTTGATCATGTGCAAGACGGGTGCAACACCAAGGAACTGAGCGACGGGAACAGCACGTAGTGTAGTCTGGTAGCCGTACTTCGACAGCAATAGTTGCAGCAGAAACGGCATTCCCACACCGCTGAATCCGCCGCCAGCGTAAAGAACGCCGTATGCGAGGCCACGCCGGGCGACGAACCACTCATTGAGCATTCGCAGCACCGGGAAGTAGAGCATCAGGAATCCGAAGCCGTAGAGTACGCCCTGGGTTGCGATGAGCCTCGCGACGGAGGTAGCGAAAGATGCGCCGACCAGAGACGCAATACACATTGCCCAGCCGCTAACAACCATGTGCTTTTGGTAGCGATGGAATATCTTCACTAACGGGGCGGCGAGGGGGGCTCCCAGGAAGTAGATACTGGTGGATACTGTGCCAATGACAGCGATGTTGGAGTCGCCCTTGAATTCTGGTTGAGAGGAATAGTATTCCTGGAAGACACCAAAGGTCAAGGGGAATCCTGGCCAGGTTAGTGACGCCGTCGGAAAATCGAATGCCCAAGAACTTCAATTGCCCCAAAGCAGAGCTTCAATAACGAAGCTGGAAAGCAACAACTTCCATGCGGCTGCGCCCTTGTCGGTTGGCGGCATAGTGTGGATCAAGGTATTCCCGTCCTCCTCATCAGTCTGCGGCGCCGGGGCGGCAGCGCCGGAGTTCGGCATCGGGCGCAGCTCAACCGACATCTTGAATGGAGCACCGAATCACGAACGATGTCTTCTAGAATAGGCCTTACTTTGAAGAATTTCCGTGACGGCTTCTTCTGATGTTCTCCTGATCCCCTTGGGGTAGTCTAGGTTTCTATGACAAAGAGTCTTGAAAAGCCGACACCGGTGCCGGACCGGGACGGCTTCCGATTGTGGGGTAGTAACACTGGGTCAAGAGTCTTTTTCACATGAAAAGGCGCACGCCTTTCCTAGTTGGTGAGGTACTTTTGATCGCTTCGAGTTATGCGGTCTAATAGGTTTTGTAAAAAGTAATTGTATTGTGTGCAACAGGATAGAACACTTGACTTTTCTGTTGTTTGCGTTAATCTCAGGTTGGTAAGTAGTTTTCTACAATGTTGTCAAGTGATTTCGATCTAATTCTCACTATATCTCTAGCCGAGCTCCAGCTTCGAGCCGGAGTATCTCTCTCATTAAACTACACCAATCACCAATTGACTACCTCAAGTTTTGGCGATCTTTGGTGTATTTTATGTCAACCTTAGAGATGTCTTGACACACAAAGTACGATCCAAGTCGCGCCTGTGGGTGGGTTTGCATCAGACTTAGACGTGTTGCCCAAAGACAGGACCTTCTATTAATACCAAATTGACGGCGGTACGACTTCACTTATTTAGGCAGTACTCTCTGAAGCGTCTGTTTAAGCGCTCATCAATACGGCGGTTAACTATGAATCATCCTGAGTAATGGGATCTGCGAGCCCTCAATTGGTTGAAATGCCAATCCTTCAATGTGCCCGATGCAGTCGCGTAAGCTCGCTGGCCGGCATGACTCATTGGTCCCTGAACCGTCAAACGGCGCCCTTTGAAGTTTTCCCCAATGAATGAGGTACACCCACCCACATTTTCCTCTTATCAACTCATATGGTTTTGTCTGACCTTTCTTTACGATAGAGCATAGCGAAAAATAAATAGAGAAAGACTCACCTTTCCTTCGCCGTCTGAGCTACGCAACTTACATTTATCCTGATCAAGGCAGTCTACTGTCAAGTCATTTGCAAGTTTCAGCGCAGCGCCACAGGTCTCAACATAGAGCTCTATCGCCGCAACAACATCCCATCGAGCAATCCGCCGAACTGAGAATGACAAAGACTAGCCTTTTCGAAGACTATGTGGTCACAGACAGAGGCGGTGTTGTCGAAAACAGACACGCAGTTCACGCCGCAGTTGTCGATGCCAGCGGTAAAATCCTCTATGCAGTCGGTAGCCCTTCGAGGATGACGCTGGCTCGCTCCGCATCCAAGCCAGCGCAAGCTCTCGCAGTGCTCGAAACTCCGGACTTTGAAAAATATGGCTTCGACGGCGCCGATGTAGCCCTAATGTGCGCATCTCACAATAGCGAAGACCGGCATGTTTCCAGGGCGAGGTCAATGTTATCCAAGGTCGGGGCGCAAGAGTCGGACCTTCGTTGCGGCGGCCACCCTTCCATCTGCCCGGTGCTCGATAAATTGTGGATTAGAGCCGGGTTCACGCCAACGGAGATCAACAACAACTGTTCCGGGAAACACGCGGGTATGCTGGGGGGCGCAAAGGCTCTCGGTGCGAGCTTTGAGGGCTATCACCTCCCTCACCATCCGATCCAGGTCAAGGTCAAGCAAGTTGTCGAAGACTTGAGCGGGCTCAGCGGAGACGAGATCAAGTGGGCAATTGATGGTTGTAATCTTCCTGCGCCCGGGCAACCTCTCTACTCCATGGGTCGCATGTATGCTGCATTTGCCGCGGCTGCGGATGCTGTCGAGAGGGAAGATGCCGTCCAGTCCACGAGAACGAGATACATGGCCGACATTTACAACGCCATGTCAACGTACCCCGAAATGGTTGGCGGAGAAGGGCGTTTCTGTACAGTGCTCATGGAAGCTTTCGAAGGCGGCCTTTTCGGCAAAGTTGGCGCAGACGGGTGCTACACCATCGGTATCCAAGCATCAGAGTCAACGAAGGAACTTGGCGCGGAGGGTGCTGTCGGCATTGCGGTCAAGATCGAAGACGGGAGTCTCGAAATCCTCTATGCCGCGGTCCCAGAGATATTGGAACAGCTTCAAATTGGGACAACAGAGATGCGACGGAAACTAGCTGGCTTCCAGCATCTGAAGCGTGTCAATAGCATGGGCGTTGAGACGGGCCAGGTCTCACACTCTTTCAACGTTCGCCACGTGGTTTGAGTTGTATTACTTACAGTAGGAGTAACCTGCTGGATATGGCTGACATGGATTGATAAGAGTGATAGATCGTTGCTTTCTCTCACCTCATGATGGAGCAGGATAGATGAGGCATTACGAAGCAATTGCGGAGTGACTCATAGTCACTCATGATCAATTATTCAATCTTCAATGGAGTGAGATAGTATCCCGACAACCCGACATCCCGACATCTTCCCTCAACTGCAGATGAATCAGTTGAGTGAAACCAGCCGCCCGGGTTTAAGCCTGGGATGCATAACGTGGTTGATAAGCGAGTGGATCAGACAAGCGAGTGGATCAGCCGACCGCGACCACAGCACATTTGCGACCGATACGCAGCACTAAGAAAAGTAATTCAATTGAAACTATTTAAGATCCTCTTCTTCAGACATTTCTTCAGCAAATTGACATGTTCGTGCATTATGACCAGTGTTCCCACAGACGCCACATCGCCGTTGGCCCGTCTCGGTCCTCGGTCGGCGACCACTACTCCGGCGTGTTTCCTCCTCGATCTGAGCTGTTGCTTCTCTCTGCGACTGAAGGTCCTCAGCCTCAGCTATAGTAAGACTTCCTCCTTGTCTGAGACGTGTTTTCTTAGCCCTCCGGCGCCGGCTTAGTAGGTTGTTTTCCTCACGAAGGATTTTGTTCTCAGACCTTAATAACGCAATCTGGTGCATAAATCCACGCGCCCCCTTTGATAGATGCTCAACAGCTTCAATAATTGAAGTTGGTGAGCTATTCTGATGGCGGGAGATCCTCCTTTTGATGAGTTCAGACTGAGAAGATGCTTCTGTTGGGTTGTTTGGCGTCTGAGAAGTCCACGCAGGGGGTGTTGTTGGGAGGGATCCTGGAGGTGTTGGAGTGTGTAACCTGATATCAAGCTTTGAAAGCACACTTTCGGCACTCAAAGGGACAAGCCCAGCCCCTCTGAAACCTCCCTGAATGTTCTTTTCCGTAATAGCTTGGGCAAAAGCCTCGCGAAACGCAGGGAAGAAGTCTTCCTTTGTAATATGCGTATTACCCCGGCGCATCTTATCCTCAATTTGTCGACCATAAGCCGTCTTTAGTGGCCCAAAGCACCCAACGTCTAAGGGCTGAAGCAGATGAGACGAATGGGCCGGCATACAGAGTGTGACGATATTGTTTTCCTTGCAATATATCTCGAAGTCGGCAGCGTGGTGACTTTCATGCCCATCGACGACGAGGAGGCGATAACTGCCAGTTGCACGCAGTTTTGTATGCCGATCAAAGTGCTGGAGCCAATCTAGGCCTCTTTCGTTTGTTGTCCATCCGTTGTCAGACGTTGCAATGACCCAGTCGCGTGGGAGATTGGTTTCCGTGTACCAGGTGGAGAGGTGATATTGGCCTGCAACGATGATATACGGCGGGACGCTGTAGCCCGACGAACTAATGGCCTGAATGACTGTAACCCATTCACGGTCACCAGGCTGCATCATTTTCGTGTTTGAACGCCTTTCGGCGCTCGTGACGACCATCCCAGATGCAATATGGCCCATCATAAACCCAGTCTCATCAAAGTTATAGATATCAGAGTCCACAATACCATATTTCGCGATTGTGTTCGCCACAAGGCGAAACCACGCGTTTATGGCGTTTGGATCTTCGCATTGGGCCCTCTTGTAGTCGTACCTGCGAAAAAAGCGCGTCTGGAGCTGTGGTTGTCGCTTGACGAAGTTCGAAGCCCAGCGCTTCCCAACTGGGGGCGCGTTGCGGTCGGCGAGCAGTCGATTAGCCATTTCTTCCACACCTCTAATGCGGGGAGGGAATGATCGGGAATCTAGGTCGAGAATATACTCAACTAGCTTCTCTTCTTCAAGCGTAGTCAAATTCCGCGATCTAGGCATAGTGTCGCGTCGTGATAACTTTCCCCTTAGACGATGGCGTAAGGTTGAGAAGGGTACTGAGTAGATCCGGGATGCCGCTCGGATACTAAGATTTGGTGTCGTTTTGATAGCCTGAACCGCTAAGGTTAGCTGGCCTTCATTACTTTGTGATGACATGCTTGGTTGTGGCGTAACGCCTATGAAGGGTGGAAGATATGTTGGTCGCGGTCGGCTGATCCACTCGCTTGTCTGATCCACTCGCTTATCAACCACGTTATTCTGAGGGACAGAAGTTTGGCCGACTGGTGTAAGCAAGCTTAGCAATCACACATCGAAACCATATGCACTTACTTGCACAGAAATGTCCCTCGTCTTATTCCCGCTCGTCGTCAGTGCACCCCCGCATCCAAGTACATGCAACTGCCAAGCCCAAGTGGCTGGCCTAGGTCGTGATGCTATACGAAACTCGCAGATGATGTATATATACCAAACATTTTCCCCTCTTGTCGCTGACTTCGATTCATCTTTTCCATCCTCACGTCGTTCTCATATCATCTGTCACACACAGCAACTCATTCAGATCGTCTCTGTCAACCCACGCATCATGTCTTCCATCGCCAGAGACGACAAGACGTCACCGTCCTTCATTCCGCTCGCCGGCCTAGCTCAGGACGGCTGGTCCACAGAGGATGAAGCAACAGCAACTTGCCTCTGCGGCGCCGTTCAACTTTCATTCGTAAGTCTTCACATCCATTCCTCCCAAATAACAAAATTCGAGACCAAGACCAAGAACCACCATACTAACAGCCCCAACCAGCCAACCCAAGGTCGCGGCCTTCTCAACCGCTTCATCTGCCACTGCACAGACTGCCGCAAGATCTCCTCTTCCATGTTCTGCTCCAACTTCTCAGTTGCCGACAGCCACCTCCGCCACGTTCGCGGCAAGGACAACCTGAAATCTTTCATTCAGTCCCGCACCATCGCAACAGGCAACGACATGGCGAACCACTTTTGCGGCACCTGCGGCACGCTCATGTACCGCGTCAGCTCCGGCCTGCCTGGTATGAGCATTCTCAGACTCGGCACTGTTGATGACTTCCGTCTCGTGGAGACGAAGCTCAAGCCGCAGGTAGAGCAGTTTATCGACACGCGCGCATCTTGGTTGAAACCGGTTGATGGAGTTGTGCAATTGGACCGTATGCTTACTGAGCAGGATATCAAGAGTCTTTTATAGGCACATAGTCAATACAGCAATTCTTCCCCAATGGTAGAGCGCACAGGCAAGCAGCTAGATTGCATAATGATTTGGTCTCAGCCAGCGTCGCCCAATTGGTATCATCATATTGCTAGATATTCCTTCTTGTCCTCAATCTGGTCCGTCCTTCCATCCTTTAGGTAGAAATGCACCCTTTTCCGTGGGGGAACCGTAGCTTCCGCGGGTCCCCGAATGTTCATCTCGACTATGCGCCTCTCCTGCGGCACAAACCCGTTGCCTCCTTCATCGGAAGAAATCAAAGCGTCCAAGTCAGTAGTCCCGTCAAGGGTGATATCATGCTCAATCTCAATCACTCGTTGCGCTATTGATCACGTCAACTTCCTCTCCCAAATGTTCCTCTCGGGTTGCATGAGCTTCTTCATCAGTCTTGGCGCCTCGAGCCGCAATTTTAGTTGACGGCACCTGGTGATGGCCATGAAAAGGAGAGAGCTGTAGCCCAGTTCCAGAACGCTTTCAGTGTCCCAGCCTGCTGAGGACTTTGACGAGGACGGTGCGGGTTCTGCCTGCGATGCGAGGACGACTACGGCGCGGAACTTGTCCGTGTGCTCGTCGTACACACATTCGCCCGCTTCCCCCTTGTCGGAACTCAAAAGCGCGATCTTGGCCACGAGATATCGAATATCCAATAATCGCACCATATCCTCCTCCCTGTTGGTATATCTCTCCTCCATCTTCAACTCCCTGTATGCCTTGTACTACGCATCGAGGTCAACGAGGATGAACTGCCGAGTCCACTTTGCGTCCGGTTCGGGGCCTTCCTGCCCGGGCTCGAGATGGCAATCATTGGCAGATTCCAAGTACCGAACTAGACGGACGTGTATGGTTAACAGTCGGGCATGTGCTTCTGCAACATTCTGGAGTCGGTTGGTAGATGTGGATATGGGCTTGCGCACAGTCGGAAACGTCGCGGGATTGATGCCGTAGCGGTATGGAACGATGCTCAACTGCCGCATAACCAGTGTCACATGATTCCGCAGAAAGTCAGACTCATTATGTATCTCGTTCAGGATGTTGATCCCGTGCCGGCAGTGGGTAGCCGCGTCTTTCGGGTTCCGGCGGAGCAGCTCTATGCAGATGAAGAGAACGCAGACGAAGAGGATCAGCGCGCGGTCCGTCGTCGTGCGGAGAAGCTTGATTGCCTCGTTGTAGTGCCACACAGCAAAGGGACTTGCTTCCCACGCTCCCTTGCTGAAAGTCTCGTACACGGAGCTGAGCGCCAGCACGGCGTGGCTAGCAACAGGCTCCTGGTCCAACATCTGGATCACGACGTTGGTCCAGAAGTACGATTTGAGGGACCCAGCAAAAACCGGCGCGGTGACCTTGCGATAGAAGTCCATCGTTTGTTCGGCGTAGACGATGCTGGCCCTGCTCGGCTGTGCGGCCCGGATCGAAGATGCGTCATTCACAGGGCATGACCTCAAAAGTTGCGCCCAGTAGTATGTCGTCGTCGGTGGGGAGATGTAGCCGTCACATCTACGGCCGGCGGAGATGCATCTCGCGCAAGAGGGACGCGCCTCATCGCACTTGATACGCCGGATTTTGCAGGTTGTACAACCCGTCTTTACTATTTGTGTGCCAATTCGGGCCATGGCGGGTTGGTCGACTCAAAGGTTGACTAGATGGCCGCGACAGGTCAGGCGTGAAGCAATTCCATTGTATGAGCTCGTTTCAACTTGGTCGTCCAACAATAGGCGCGATATTGGTCCAGCCAAGAAGAACACGGGGAGTGAAAGTGCGGGGGTAACGTATTCGTTGTATCAATCATATAAATCCAATGGAAGGTAACTGCTGGCAACGTGAATCCTGTGTAGAGTAGCTTAAAGTGACAAAGTTTGAAAGCCAATGTTGTTCTTCGAGGTATAAGCAGCTCGCCTGACCTGGCCGCTCGGATGAACATCCGCAACAGTGAAGCGTTGGCGGCAAGTCTCGGCAGATATTGGTTTCGAAACGGAATAGCTGGGGATTTTAACGTGCTTGGGCAAGTTCGGATGCCGTGGGGCATTTAACGAACACACCAATAGTTCTTAGATATTGGAAGCTTTCTTGCCCGTGCCAGACTTGGTTTTTTGGGATGAAACCTTTCGGCTATCGGCGGCGTGCCAAACAGGAACATTGGTTTGCCAATAGTTGGAACTCTGATTGAACAAGGAACTATTCAGGGACGTTGAAGGAGCTGGCATCTTGGAATATGCCAGCGTTGAAGCGGCGGATCAGTGGCCTCCCTAGGCTCGAAGTAAGGTGGTTAAGAAAGCCACGTAAGTATGGAGGACTCAAAGTTACCTACCTTGTTAAGTTACTCTCCAGCTCACAGTCATAGTCTGGGATGCATTGATGAGCTGAATGAATATAGGGCTGAAGAACCAAGCAGCTGGTAAGCATAAATGCCGGCATCGAGGTTTGCAGAATCCACGGGATAATGTGTCTCGGTCTGGTGGAAGTGTTCACCGGTCACCGTTCACCTCGGGTCACCGCTCACCACCTCAAGGTGAGCTACTCACCGATCTGCCCCGGACTCACCGGATCGATGGTCTAGACCGTAATGGACCGCAAAATACTGCATTGAGACTAGCGCGGCAACTCAAGCGAGCCAACAGAGAGCTTCTTTGAGAATGGACCAATTGGAGCTAAGCTTTCTTCGGAAGCCTCCGGCCAGAGCGCTGCCCTCGTTGCGAATCCCCCCCTTCACCGCATTTCTTCGACGACACCCCGCAACTATTCCTGTAATTGCCACCTCCCATCTACCGTCCGCGGGTGCGCCATCGAACAGGTTCCGATATGACCTGATACACGTGGCGAATGCCGTCGAAATGCCACCCAATCGAACCCATCCAACATGACGCAGTTTCGCCCGCTGCGGCCACGGCCATTAGCCGAAGGGTCACCGGCCAACATCCGGCAGAATCCCGATTCTAACTCTGATCCCAACGCCGAATCTGGTACCGGTCTTGGTCCCCGTCCTGGGCCCGGCCGACCTAACATCAGCCTCCGCCGTCCCGCGCGGCCACGCAAGACCAACAGCGCCTGCGATCCGTGTCGCAGGCGAAAGACAAAGGTGGGGCTCGGTTTCCCTTGTCCTGCTTTTGCCACTGCGGCGTTGTTCCTTTGACGTGCCAATCATTGTACATGCCTCGAGCTCTGTTGCATGGGATGCTAATTGCCGTCTCGATAGTGCGATGGACGACTCCCGCGATGCGTCATGTGTGATCACCGTACGGAGAACTGCGAGTACACCTACACCGTCCGACATCGTGTTACTCTCGCCGAAGTGGAGCAGTCCAAACGAGGTGGCCCTGCCGAGATACTCGAATCTCTTCGAACGCTTCCGCCAGAACAAGCCCTCGAGTTGTTTCGCAAGCTACGCAATGAGACGCCCAGCCGTGCTTTGAACCTGGCACGCCCGTCCGACCAGCAACACCTCAGAGGGCTTCTGCCACCAACACAGAACAGCCTTGGGTTCGAACTGACCATCCGACACCCTATCGCATATCCCGCTCTGTTCCCGGTACCGTACACGGACTTGACTCTTGGAGTCTTACTTCAACCTGTGACGAAGTCTTGGCTGCAAGGGCAACAAGATGAGTCTGTCAACCCTTATCAATAGCCTAGTCCGGATTCCTATTGTCAGGGCATGTGAACGTCGCCCCGACAGACATATCCTTGACAAACGGTATCCTGAGCTTGGCCGAGACGCCGCAACACACTAACAAGTTGCAGGTCTTCCAGGCAAGTCTCTCCTTTCGCGAGCCCGTACCTGACTCCCGAGCGAGATGAGGAGCCCAAATCTGGTCCTCCTGATTCTCCGGGGACTGCGACGCCGAAACCACTCTTCGACGAACGATTACGTCTTCTTGATATCACCAAGTGGACAAATATCCCCATCCCGAACGACCTTGCCATCAGTACTATATCGCACTATCTTGACATTGACTACCCTACGATACCCCTTTTCGACGCCGACTTGTTTGTACGAGATCTGGTTAACCTTCAACATTTCTTTTGCTCTCCGTTTCTTGTCACTGCCGTCTTGAGTTGGGCGTGTGTAAGTTACCTATTCCCGCCCCCAATGTTTTGCGATTCCCATGGGCTAACTAAAGTAGCAAGCATATACGACCCTCCACGCCGATGCCGCCGCTTTCAGTGTAGCTCTTTTCGCAGAATCTCAGCAATATTTCTCCGATCAACAGCAGCCAAATAGCGTCACTACCATTGCTGCACTACAAATACTGAGCATGTGCGCCGTGACGTACGGCAAAGACGACATGAGTCTCCGGTTCCTGCAAGAGAGTGTCAAGCTGGGCAAGGCGATGGGTCTCTTCAATGTGCAATCCGAAGCCGAATCAGCTACCGTCTGGCTGGGCGGCCACGCGGAGTGGACGAGGGCGGTATCGTACACTGCTTGGGGCGTTTATAACTGGGTATCGTGAGTACTCCAGCGTTGATCAATGTTCCCATTCCAAGATGGTTGCTAATGCATGCAGGGTGTACTCCCTTCACTATCGCGTCCACGAAATCCACACACCACCCTTACTGCCTATGCCCCGAGACCTGATTGTATTCCTACCAAGCGACGATCCAAAGACATTCAAGATAGCCTTTCATGCCCAGCTCCTCAGTGCCGCGAGTGATATGTGGATCATTTTCAAAGACATCTTGGAAAGATTCTACGGCCCTCATTATCATGGTACCACGCTCGAGTCAACGTTGAGATTCGCAGAAGGAACATACCACCGTCTACTCTGCTGGTCTGGTGCACTCTCTTTGGACATGGCAAGAGGTGAAGAAACTAACCACAGCGTCATGCTGTTACAGTACGTCATCCACCCTTCCCAGTACTCCTGATCTAGCGTTGGGATTCGATGCTGCTTTGTGCGGGGCTGACATATTTCCAACAGCGTCTACTTCCACGCCGTGGTGACTGATCTATTCCGACCATTCCTTGCCACCGAATACAAATCACAGCGCCTCTACTCCTTCAGTACACACTATGCCACTCCCGAAGCAGTCTATGCGTCGTCCGTCACACAGCTAAAGCGACTGCTTCTGCTATACCGCCTGCGCTACAAGAGCGCGAACTACTCGGTCCTATGGCAGACTGCAGTCGTCTACGTCGCCAACGCCATGATCTCCGAAGGAGGAATGACACTCCGGGCAGACGGCCAACCCGGTAACGAGTGGAAATTCTACCTGGATGTCTGCCTCGCAGGCCTAGAGGACTTATACGCCTCGTTCCCAGTTTTCGGGTCAATCGCCCAGGGCATGGTTGGAATGGCGCTGCGGCACTCGGCCATACGAACGAACAAGGCTACCAGCGTCTTGACACAGCTCGATGAGATTGAGAGACGGCACGCATCTATCAAGGGCATGACCGACAAGACTGAGGCGCGGTGGATTATCGACCTGGACCTTGCGACGACTGATTTTGAGGGAGCGCAAGCTCGCAACCTGGTCGAAGAGCTTCAAAAGTTGATGGTTGAGCAGACTGAGTCTGGGCATGCGGGCGAAGATGGCCAACCCTGAGGAAGATGCGTCCTAGTTGCTTAAAATTGCGTACAGGAAAAGCGACAAGATAGAAGTGATTCCTTCTGTATTGGGCCTTTTGCTGTAGAGAGACCTCACCTGACCGTCGGCAATCTTTCGTCATTCTAGAGAAAGCAAGAAAGACTTCCTGAGATACATGACATGGGAGCCTAATGAGTAATACAAAAGGGATTGCAGCTCAAGATTTGAGCAGAGATACCACCATTGACTCTCCACTGAACAACTCTAGAAGCGGAGTTTTGTCTTGTATCTATCCGTTCTCACCGGTTCTTGCATATTGCAGTTATGCGGATAAGCAAGTTTCAGGTGCCTTTTATCCGGGCACAGGCGTCAATCTAACACACTTATCCCCATTCATTATGCCACTGCTGACCATACTGAAGATCTGTCACTGGGGCTCCTGCTTGGCTGCCATGTCAGCCTCATCCTATGATTGCCAGGCATCGACCAAGCAAGAGCGTCTTAAATGTACGTGAGATGTCTCTGTGGCTGTTCATGGGCGCACAGTCTTGGCTCGTTTCTGGTACGACGGGTAAGAACCGAAACAACGCAAATGGGAATGCGGCCGAGATCACCCCAAACTATCTCACAGGTTCTAATCTGAGCTCGTCGAACCAGGGCTTCAGCCTTTAAGCCAGAAGACAATGCTAAACGGCTGGCCTGAGGCCCCGCAAAGCTTCGGGCCCATCCACCACATCTTTCCCAAGACGCCCAAGACGCCCAAGACTCCCCCGCAAACCCCCAGGCCAGGACAGTGTTACAGGATACGCCAGCCATATATGGGTTCAGGAGGCACACCTAGGTTGAACAAACCCGTGCTGCGCTCTTAGTACGCAAAATATATATACCCCTGATCAGAAGCTAGAAGTCTATTCAGTTATCTATAACAAGACTAAGCCCGCCCACACTAACCGGCACTTTCTTAACCATTCATAGATCAACACCACCTAGGCCGGACTGTGATTTCTCCCATCTCTTCCAAGTCATGTGCCCTGCCATACGCATCGAGATAATCGAATAAGTCGACGGGGAATCTCCAAGGAGGGTCTTACTGTGGGCAGTACACACTGCTCATCTGGATCAGCGAGGCAAGCAATGAGGCAATACGACTGGTATTGTAGGTTGGTTGGTGATGTCGTGAAGAAGGTGAAAGGTGGCTGCGGTGGGCTGGATCAACCAGGAGGTGGATCGGGCAGCTGGTGCCTGGGGCACCAGCCACTGCCTCAGGTATCCACAGTCCCACACTTACTGGTGCAGCCAAAACCACCGGCCATGGCCTGCATCAGACATCTCCAAAACACCCTTCACCATCTACGCCCGAGGAACGTTCCCCGAGATCTGCGGCTGGCCGGAGAAGGAAGGCAAGGTCAAAAAGACGGCTGGAAGATGGAAGCACCTGAGTGGAAGGGCCGTTTTCACTGACCGCACCGATTTACTCGAGCTCCTTGGAATAGAGCTTGGTGCGATGATGATTTCGGTGAGCTGGCGGATATCGGGCCTGCTGATAGTGGTTGTAGTATTGCTCGACGTTGTCGGTTGAAGCATCAACTGGAGGCTGAGCGGCTGGAGGGCGCGGAGTCGGCAGGGAAGGTGTGGTGACTGGTGGAATAGAAGATGAAGCTGTGCCGAGAAGGTCGGCCGCGAAGGTCTTGTGTGTTGAGAAAGGCAGGGTAGATGATGAGCGGGCAGAAGTGTGGGCTCTTGCGGCGTGCGCTCGGAGTTATTTTGGAATCGGCTTGAGTTTAAAAACCCCTATGACCGCGGTTCGTGTTGCCTTGCCAAGGTAGATTCCGTTTTCTATAAGAGAAATAACGAGTTCCTTTATAGGTGTCGACGAAGTGGCAGGTACGTGAGCCCCCTGAAGAATAGTGGGCTCCGGCGGAGTGTTAATGTCTGACGAGGAGCTCGCCATGGTGAAACAGAGTATGTTTATGCGTTGCGATGTGAGGCTTGTGTTTGCTCAAAGGTTCTTTACTTCCGTTTGACGAGACGGGTCCAGAAGGTCTCCGAAAGTCGGAGAACCCTTTCTGGCTGTGCTCACGCAGCAAACAAAGGATGGCCGCGGCTCAAATTCCCACCTTCCGAACAGCTTGTTCGTCATCCCCAACTGTTGGTATACACGTCAGCAGGGCAACCGTACGGTTGGAACGAAGGATCAATAATTGGTACATTATTGCTGCGTCTTGAGGTGGAGGGAGGAGGAAATGGGCAGAGCCCATGATTCCTCAGAAGTGGTATGTAAGTGGAAGGGCCGTTTGTATGGTCCATACCTCCTTCCAGATCCACCCTTTCTACCGACTACTCAGAGATCCAACACCAACCATCACCGGCTGCTTCAAACAGCGCAAGCGAAAATGTCCGCCATCACGGATTGCTCTGTCAGCTGGATCAACAGGCAACTAGAGCAAGTCGATACCTTATGGGATGCCGCCATCGCAATCCGAGGCTCTGTCAGTCAATTCGGGAATACTCACGATGCCATGAACTTGATTTCGCACTTGAATCTCTCGGCACGTCTTGAACGTCTTCCGCTCGTGGAGGCGCTCCGAGATTTGGAGACAGAGATGAACAAGAAAATCAACTGGATGGACTTGGACAATTGGATCAAGGGCGCCCAAGACCATATACACACAAAGATCGAAGCCACCGCTAGGATATGCAAGCTTTTCAAGATCGACGTGTCCGATTTGAGTCTGGAGGAAGCTTGCACCAAAATTTCGCAGCATCCGCTTTGGAATAAATGTGCCCGCCACTTCGGACCCAACTGGCAAGCACGGGCGTCTGAAATCGACCGCACCTTCGGCATCGGCACGACCTCTACCAAAAGAGTTCTCATGGACAGAAAACAGTTCTCGCAGGCTGTCTTTCAACGCCAGGAGAAAGTTCTGCTGGATTTCGACAAGCTCAAACTGAAGAAGAATCATCTTCCTGCTTTTCGAAAGACCTGGGCAGAATTGGAGACCGATACTAGGATGAGAATACTGCAGCAGTATGGGCTTCCTCAGATTCAGAACTCTGCCATATATGCTTACTTGCATGGGCTTTGCGGTGATCGGTCGCGGATCGACTTACGTTTTACATGTCCGGCACTTAACTGCGTTGATCTCGCGGAGAGTGATAACCTGCCATCTTTGCTCGAGATGCGCTGTCAACTGTCGCCCCAACATTTCCGTCATTCAGATGGCCGCCACTTGCTCCTCAGCGTTTGGGCAGGGCATACGATCCCCATCATGGTGGAAGGCGTATCATTCTTGGTCTTCCACGACAGATCCTCCGACACGGTAGAGGGACTTCAGTTGTACGGTGATCCTGTCACGGAGGTCGCAGAGGACGAGACTCTGCTGCAAATCAGCTCTAAGACAATGAGTCCCAACGTGTTATTCTGGCAGCTCCAAGGACAAAGAGAGATCTACCAATTCTTGGGCAGCGTTGTAGATACGATGCACGACACGGCGGAAGACGATGTCAGGCCAGTCGTCCAGGATTACGATAGTGGCATGGAAGAAAGCTCCCTCGCACGCCCTTCCCGTTCAAGATACAGCCATGCCACGAGCATAAATCTAGAGTATCTGGAGCATGTCATCAGAACATCACTCGACGAAGCGAAAGATCATCTGTGGCAGGTTCGTCGAGACGTCGCCTCCTGGAGTAGCACCAGAAAGAAAATGGCTCAAGGCAGCGGCTCCAAAGAGCTGTTAATTATGCTTTTCAGCCGCATCGACATCTTGGATACCCTGGACCAGCTCATCAGAACCGCTTGACAAAAGGCAGGGAGATCTCTACTGACTGACGCGAACGATGACACTATGAAGACCGCAGCGTTCCTGGACAGCGCTTTTCATGCCGCCTTTGAAGAGAGATCAATTCACTTTCAATGGATTGTGCCACCGCCACCGGGATCCCTCACCGAAGCTGGCCATCAGCTCTTGGATCTAATCAGAGAGGACGACCCGGTCCTCCGTTGTATGGGCCTCTCGGAGGTAATGAGAACAATCGAGAGAGAAGCGGTGGAAGGCAAGTCCTTCCCCATCGTGGTCTCACAGATTCTTAGCGACCTTCACGTCTTGGCTATCTGTTTTGAAGAGACAGAGAGCCATTACCTGTCGATCTCTGATATGGTGGAGTACTCTCAGATGGTCGAGTCCTTTCGCGTGGAGCAGAACGGTAGGCTACGGCCCTGGACGAAGATCCTCGAGGAGGCGACTAAAGCTATGGAGGAGGCCGGTGAACTTAGCTCTGCGGGAGGACACCGGGGGTTTTGGCAACAGTTGGACCAGCAGATGGCCAAGGTATCGCAGAAAGATGAAGCCCTCGAAGTGGTCTTTCGCGACATAGAACTGAAGATGCCACTCGGGCCTGAACAGCCTGCACCGGAAACCCCAACGGAGCCCTTAGTCTCAACCTTCAGCAAAGCGCCCATGATGGTAGCCACCGCCACCCAACTCAAACAAACGCGTCGGCAACGGAAACAACCCCGGATCAACGTCTCCGATCAACCGAACGAGCAGTCAACCCAACGGTCACCGTGTAGTTCATCTCCGAGTCACTTGCCGCAAATCCACCTTCAGAGATCAGACTTCTTGCTGTCTCTGGCGAACGGCACCCAAGGCACCTTCGCCTGGGCCGAATTTTGCACGGCTTTGTGCAACGTGGGCTTCACGATGGAGCCAATCGGCGGTTCAGCTTTTCGCTTCGTATCCTTTGACCCTGCGAAAAAACGGAAAGCTTCAATTGTTTTTCATAAACCACATAAGAAGTCCGGTGAGACGACTCTGAACTTGGGCCAAGCCCGACAAGTTTGGCTGAAGAGGCTTGAGACTCACTTCGGTTTCAACAAAACCTGAGAACATAACTTAGTTATCACGACTGTACGTTTAAGCTGTTGAATTCCTCCAAACTCGAACATGTCCTTGCTGTCATTGTCGTTGAAATGGGTCACTTGCTAATATCTTGTAAATCATAGCTTGCTTCTTTCTTTCCAATCATTTTTGCCTCAATTGTTGGGCGCTTGATGTCCGAAGCAGCTCGCCTCAGGCTCGAACGTGGGGCTACTATAGGCTCACTGGAGCAATTGATGGGCAGCCGAACAGTGGGAGGAACCGTTCTCACCGTCTTCAGTCTTGCTTCCTTCAACATACTAGCCGCCTCCTTGCTTATCACATGGGCATTGTCCCCGCTTGGGACACAATCCCTCCTGAGAATGATGACCTCGCGACTCGAGCCTCGGCTTACAGCCACAAACATCACCTATTTTGACAATAGCGCTACCAGTGGGCTTATTGGCAAGAACTGGGTGGGGGGGTCTAATAGTTATCCCCGAGACGCTTGGTTTCGCTCCTTAACATCTTTGTACATTGCCCTGGTTACCTCATCGGGAGGGATTAAGTCTGAATCAGTTGATCTTTGGGGAAATGCCAAAGTACCTTTCTTGAGGCACAATGTACCTACTTGGACGAAGGTCTCTTACGACTCAGGTTCTGATACCTACTCTTCCTTGGTCGGTATACCTCAGCGATGTCACCGAAGGCAACACAACGTTTAAAATTGAGTTAAGCTATATTAGGCTGGTATGCGGAGATGTAGTCAAAGTGATTGGGCGCAACTCCATGGTACAGAACAACGGGAAGAAACCCGACCTGGTCAACTCAACATTGCTCTCCAGCGTCGCTCTTGAAACTTCGCAACCAACCTTCTCATTGACGAACGATACTTGGCACGGATACCCGCTTGGAACAACTAAACTGAACGAAATGACGACATGGAGTTTGGCACTCGATAGATTTGTAGATGTAATATGGACCCGGGTCGGTGGCACCGTCATGGAATTTGCGCATCGCCCAGAGCAGCGACCGATGTTGTTGAAGAACGAGACGGGGATCGAAGTCGGCCCCACGACCCTCAGATTCGAAGCCATTTTTACTGAGGACATTTCGGGCCCACTTGCACCGCTGCGGGCGTATTGTAGAGTCACCGAAGAATACGTCGAGTCTTTAGTCAACTGTTTAACACCAGCAGCCGGCACCTCAGCTGCCGCGAAAACCTGCCGCGTCATGGCACAGAGACCCTCACAACAGCAACATGCTTCGGAGCAAATCTCTCATTTATCGTTTCCAGGTGTCTTCAACTTGATATCCCAGAAACTGCCGCTCACAATCGGGGGGCCTGTCAATTAGCAGGCTGATATGTCGCTTTACCACATACACGATCCAGACCTCAGAGGCGTAGAATTCGACGATACGGCGAATTTGACTGATATCAACGCAGAAGCTCTTGGGATACGTCTGAGCCAACTAATCAACACGTATTTGACGCTAACACAGGTATCGTCTAAGATTTCCCGCGGAAGTCGTGGTGGTGCCGTCACAACATCAAACCTTACTGTTCCAGCAGGGGCGAGCACTCTTGTGCTTAGATTCGATATTTCGAGCTCATGGGCTGCGCTAGGCCTGGTTTCCAGCCTTGTTCTTCTATGTGCTGGTATTTTAGGTGTGGTATGCAAGCATATGGCCAAGGGACCGGATGTTCTGGGCTATTTGTCGACCGTTTTCCGAGATTCGAAGTTTATGGACCTCCCTGCAAGCTCTGGACAGATCAATAGCTTGGAGATATCAACACAGATGAAGGACCGAAAGATTCAGTACGGTGTCACGAAGTTGATCAAACATGGGCAGCCGCTGATTGGGGTTGGGTTCCAGGAAGACATTGAGCCTGTGAAATACGCAACCAAGTAGATAGTAAACCGAGACGAAGGATGCATCACGACGGCTGCAAAGGGTCAGCCCCGATTAGTAGTCAGAGCAGAAATTGAACATCCCGTCAAGTCGGAGTCGATAACGTGCCATCATAGCTGGTTCTTGCTGTTCGCTATAGTAGCTTGATGTGAGCATGACATCGTTGAGCATCTTTGTTTCAAGTCCATGATAGGAGCAACCTAGTAACAACCACTCATCCAAGACTACCTAATTAGTACATCCACCTCCAAATAACGAAACTCGCAAGCACAACTCCACTCCCCAAATGCTTCAACGCCTTCCGCCCATCCCCCCTCCCTCCCTTCCCACCCATGGTTCTTACAATCCACCAATCCATGACCCCAACCAGTGAAGTAATAGCCAATAACGCAGTCACCGCGTCCTCATTCCCGCTTCCCTCCTGATACGTCTCGAGCCCGATGAAGAGCAACCCCGTTGCTAGATCGCGCGCGGACTTGGCGTAGCTGAATGCTTCGGCTTCAGCTGACAGTGGTCGGGCAATGCCAAAAAGGTCGTAGATTGCCAGGGGTCGAACGAAGCCTAGGAGGCCGATGAAGGTCAGGCCTGTGCCGACGACGTAGCTTGGAAGGGGAGAGAACGGGGAGGTTATGTTCATGGACATTGTGTTCAAAAGCGGTTGCTGCTGTGTTTTATGAATATCTTGGGTTCAGATTTGAGTGTTTCGCTCCTCTCAAGTTGACTCTTAGCGTACAGAAAAGGAGTATTAATCATGGAGGAGGAGCTTCCCCTCGGACTATGATCTCAGCGGGAGGGGCAGCTTAAGTATCTCAAACAGCGTTCATCTGAACACGACAACCAGGTCATGCGGAGCTCCAGGTCGGAGCTCACGGTAGAGGACTCGAGCTCCAAGCATCATGCGGCAGTCCGATGCGAGCGGGGTGGTATTGAAGCAGATCTCCGAGCAATCGAGGCCCCTCTCTGCCAGCTTTATGGCCCTGACCAGGCGCACCATTCCTTCAGAAACTGACTGACTTGCAAGGAAGTATATCTTAAGGGTTGTAGATGCTCATTGACAATCGCGTCACCAGTGCTAGAGATAATACTTCGACTCCAACTCAGCCAAGGTATCCCATGTTCTGTAGGGCGCTGTCGTCCGATGATTCTACCTTCTCAACGCATAACACGAAGCTTGTGCCAAAAATGACGACTCCAATCAAAGAGCTCTTGATGGTCAGCTACCAATGTCCGAAATGCAACGACCAAGCGCCGCAAGCCTCCTCAATCTCTCTCCGGCAAGACGCCGAAAATAGCCCCACTCCCGGGCCCGTCCTCGGGACTTGTCCACCAAAGTAAGGTACCACGGTACTTACGCTTATTTTTTAGCGCAGACAAAGGAGGAAGGAGCCAAGTAAATCCCATCGTCCCCTGTCCAGCATCCCGATCCTTCGCAGAAAACACAATCTGCCATCCAACAAGTTTGTTCGCGATGGCCTCTCTCTTCCGTCATCCACACTCGCATTCGTTGCTGTCGCTAGACACGAGGGAGCGCTCGCCTCCCGTCCACTCGCTCAATACGCCGTACACGTGAATATCCACGGCCTTCTGCATCCAACCACGATCGCGATCACGATAACCCACTGCCACCACCGCAGCCATGGCACTCCCCAACGCCCTCCTCGCGCTCCTCGCAACGATCATCGCAACAGCGGACACCCTGAACGTCACCGTTCCCTCCGAGATCGAAGCCGGCGTCGAGACAGAAATAGAAATCGGCTTCGACTACTGGAAACAGCCTTTTGTCTACGAGACCCTTCCCGGGCCAGTCTTCGACGATGTCGTCGCGGTATGCCGAAACCCCGTGGACGAAGAGGTCGGCTGCGGACATGATATGCTGTACGAGCACTACCAGCTGTTCCTGTTCACCGAGGAATGGATGTACACCTGTAAGATCCCTTCCTAGACCTCATACAAACGCGCGGTCTCGGTAGTACATCACTGAGATGCTCGAACGGCAGGCTACCTAAGCGACTTCATCCCAATGGGCACAACCAACCCCAAAATCACAATCCCCAAAGACCTAGGACCCCCCGAAGCCTACAAAATCACAGCCATGGCCTTCAACGGCACGCAAATCCAAACAAACTACGACGGCGTCGAGTCTTCCCCCGACTTCACCCTCACAAACACAGACATCAAATTCTGGACGTCATGGGAACACTACGGAGGCTGGTTAAAACCATGGCACTCCCTCCCCTGCTCCTCGTACGGCTGCTACCGCACCTGCGGCCTCAAATTTGCAGACGACAAGAGGAACAAGAAGCAAGGCACGGGCGCGGGGCTCTTCAACTGCCTCAACGAGTGTCCTGGTATTCTTGCGGACTGGAATGACGACGATTCGCCGTGGTCGTGGTATCAAGCGTTCGACGGGTTCGATTGGTCTGGTGAATCGACGGCCGTGACGACGAGCACGCCGAGCGCGGTGCCTAGTACGACGGGTTATGGATATCAGACGATGGATAAGCAGGAGACGACGTTGTACGGCACACCGACGGCGCCGACGGAGTATTCGTGGTACAGTCTTTTGACGGCGAAGCCGACGTCTACGAGGCAGGCTTCGGCCGGGAAGAGGAGGGCTAAGCCTCCGGTGGCGGTGCCGAAAAAGACAAGCTATGCAGGCCTCATGGTGACGACGGTGTTGACGTGCCTAGTTGCGTTTGGCATTGGATCTGTGCTTGGATGGATCTGGCCTGATGGATTGAGGCACGATGGATGAGGGTGGTTGTTGTAGATGTATGATGTGCAATGAATATGAGTTGGCTTAGTCATGGAACGGCATTTGACGATGAAAATGACAATGCTTACTAGCTATTAGACCAATTGAGCTGTCGCCCATTTCGTGCTCTCCTGTATGACTTCGGCTTCGGCTTCTCTGCATCGAAGCTCAAAGGCCGAGCGGATCCTATTAGCTAATAAGAACTACCAGATAACACGGCCTGCGCCCCGCACGAGCTCGATGCATCAGCTGGGTGCTCCAGGGGACGCCCGGACGCGCTTTGTTGCGGGGAACTCCTGTGAGAGTCAGACGGGCACTTGACAATCGGGATTCCTAGCCCACTGTTTACCTCAAAACGTGTTGTTCGGGGCTGGGAAGCGGTAATTCTCGGCCCAGGGCATTCTTTGACACATAGGGAGCAGTTGGGGCTTGTTGACTTTAAAGCTCATTTTGATATTTTGATAACAGAAGGGAAGACATAGGTACCGTATCGTCAAGCTCATCTCATGGACGGCATCACTCAAGGGTGAAGCTTGCCTGCTGCCAACATGTCATCTCAACGGCTGTCTCTCTTATCAACCTCCTCTTTCACAGTGAAGTGACCCCCGGTACATAATACCCCTCCATCGCGCCTTGTGCTCCCTTCCCTCGAAGCTAACGTGACGAGCGGCTATGGAGCTGTGTCGCCTAGTGACAAAGTGGTGTTGGACACCCTGCAGTGAGCCGACAACAAGCGCCCTATGAAACCGGGCCCTGAGCCGATTGCGGGGTTTAGCCCAAGGGGACGCAAGGGCGTGATGCTCCCTTTTCTGGGGAACAAGCTTGGGCCGGCCGTCGGTCTGTGGAATGATCCCAGTTCCGGGCGTATAAACTCGTCTTTGTTCGCCCCGTACACAGAGATCTCAGTCCGACTGATTTCAGTTCAAACTACTCCATCCGGCTTCTGCTCATAGGAACAACAGAGCCCGTTCTCCGAAATTGTGCAACTTCTCCGCCGCGGCGCGTCATCGGTCAAGGTCTCGAGTCGTTCGTTCACTCACAGCTTGCTTGCTTGACGTGTGCCCCCAACACCCAAGCTCGACTCTACTAGACTATTCAGGACCGAAGTACTGACACGGTTGCCAAGCGAGACTCGTCCCCCCCTCAGAGGTGTTTGATAACACTGTGAAGTAGTCAATCACACACACATCCATCTCACTTGTTGATACCCCGCCCCTCCAATACGCACACACTGCTGGCCGGCTAGTTGGCCTGTTATTGCCGTTCTTCACCATGCCTTTCAGACAATTGCCGGTGCCCATGGCACGTTGCTTGCGCAGCTTCGGCCCTGCAGGTGGGCGGCCAGGGAGATTTGTCCGCTTCAACCAGACATTGGCGCCCAGCATAGCCGTTGTCGGCGGCCCTGCTCGTCAACTTGCCGGTTTCTCATCCGCGGCCCCACTGCATCGAAGTGGGGGATCAACATCACCATCACCCTCCCATGCAGGTGCTGGTATAAAGCCCACCACCTCTCGACCCCTTGTTGAGGATGAGTTCAAGGCCACCATCGAACAAGCCCGAAACCTTTCTTCGAAATCAACAGAGATGTATACCGCGTCTTTTGCCTTCTTCGAGGCACTATGGGACGCCGGCGTCACCCACTGCTTCGTGAACCTGGGTTCTGACCACCCCAGTATCATTGAAGCCATGGTCAAGGGTCAAAGGGAGCGGAAGGGAAACTTTCCCAGAATCATCACCTGTCCCAACGAAGTAATTGGAACCCCAAGCTTTCCGCGTGCGTCCAATTGGCATATACTAATGGTTCATCCAGATGGTTGCCATGTCCATGGCTGATGGCTACGCCCGTCTGACTGGAAAGCCGCAATGCGTCATCGTCCACGTCGACGTAGGAACCCAGGGTCTCGGCGCTGCCGTCCATAACGCATCATGCGGCCGCGCACCCATCTTGGTGTTTGCCGGTCTGTCTCCTTTCACTATCGAGGGCGAGATGAGGGGCAGCAGAACAGAATACATCCACTGGATTCAGGATGTCCCCGACCAAAAGCAAATCGTTTCGCAATACTGTCGGTACTCTGGCGAGCTCAAGACAGCAACCAATGTTAAGCAAATGGTGAATCGCGCCCTTCAATTCTCAAAGTCAGACCCGCAAGGCCCCGTATATCTTTGCGGCGCTAGAGAGGTAATGGAGGCAGAGGTCGAACCGTACAGCATTCGTCAAGAGGATTGGGACCCCGTTGAGCTCGGAGGTCTTCCCAAGAACGCCGTCAACAAGATTTCTGAGGCACTGGCTGGTGCAAAGGAGCCCCTCATTGTCACTGGATTCGGTGGCAGGGACCATCAATTCCCCGGCGCTCTCGTCGAGCTCGCAAACACCGTCAAGGGCCTGCGCGTTGTGGACACGGGTGGTAGCGACATGTGCTTTCCCGCAGACCACCCTGGCTGGCTGGGACTTAGGTTCGGTATCGAGGACGCAGTCAACACTGCCGATGTCATTGTTGTTCTCGACTGCGATGTCCCTTGGATCAACACTTTGTGCCACCCCAAGAAGGACGCCAAGATCTTCCACATTGATGTTGACCCTCTCAAGCAGCAAATGCCCGTCTTCTACATCGCCGCTCAGTCGAGATACCGGGCGAGCAGCCTGTTGTCAATTGAGCAGGTTACTGCACACCTAAAGGGCCAGTATGCTACCCAGTTGGAATCTGCGGAAGCCAAGGAGCGCGAGGCAAAGGTCAAGGAGTCTCACAAGCAACTCCTTGCCAAGATCGAGGAAAAGGCACAGCCGAAGGCGGACGGCGAGTTCGGCACTGGCCACCTGACCCGGTCACTAAAGAAGTTGTGTCCCGAGGACACTATCTGGGCCATTGAGGCTGTGACAAACACGATTTTCGTCCACGACAATCTTCAGCCTACATTGCCCGGATCTTGGATCAACTGCGGCGGCGGTGGCCTTGGATGGTCTGGTGGTGGCGCTCTTGGTATCAAGCTGGCAACCGATTTTGAGAATGGCGGTAACAACAAGGGCAAGTTCGTTGTGCAAATCGTTGGCGATGGCACATTCCTCTTCTCTGTGCCGGGTAGCGTATACTGGATCGCCAAGCGGTACAATATCCCTATCCTGACGATCATCTTGAACAACAAGGGTGAGTGGTCGATAAATCTTTCTGGTGACTTTGAAACGAAAGCTGACATGGTGGCAGGATGGAACGCCCCTAGACGGTCACTGCTTCTGGTGCACCCTGATGGTGAGGGCTCCAGGGCGACCAACGAAGAGATCAACATTTCGTTCGACCCGGCACCCGATTATGCCGGCATCGCCAAGGCGGCGGCGGGTGGAGATTTGTTTGCTGCCCGTGTGGACAAGGCGGCGGACCTTGACAGCGTGCTGAAGAAGGCTATCGAGACGGTGCAAGGCGGCCAGCCCGCTGTTTTGGATATAAAGGTGGCCTTGGGTTCCTAGACACAGCATTGAAAGAGAGAGGCGGGAAGGCGATGGGAGAGGACCGGTAAAAGCGGGTAGCGCTGCCTCACCAGCTCGGTAAAGCGTGATCTGGTGGATTTGATGATTCTTTTTCCTTCTCTTTTTTCCCACTGTACTACCCAGAGGAGCGTAGACGCAGATGTAGATGGACTGTCGCGGGGTTTACCCGGCAGAATAGAGAGTCGCCGGACATTTGAAGGTTGATTGGATACGATAGCGCGCAGAATATCGTGTGGAGAGCATGGGTAACCCTGGTGTATAAGTCATACTCTTGACATGCTGCAAGAAATCCATTGAGGGCTGTGGCTGTCAATGTCAACTAGCTTTGGGATAGGCAATGTTCGTTGGGTAACTTCTGACGTCAGTAGCCACACAGCCGGAGGCAAGTCGGTTGTCAAATACAAAAGAGGTTCGTTATCATGCTGAAATTGTCTACGGACAACCTAATGATTGATGAGGCCCAAGGAACCTAAGCAGCAACGAGACCTCCCCTAACCCAGCGGATAGATCTCCCCGAGAAGCCGGCCAGAATCACGGCTAGTTAACATGGTGTATATCTTTCAAGTCTGACTGGCTGTGAAAGAGAATCGTGGATGGATGGGTGGGTTTCCGGCTTGCCTGGGGGGGGGGCTTCGGATGCCATGTACTCTACACTACGAGGCAGAAGATTCAGTTGAGCGAAGTGGTGTGGTGTCTAGGGTAGCGGAGACCGTGGACGTGTTGCCACCGATGGATGGGTCGTTTTGACAAGAACAAGCTGGATGTTCGTATCATTATCGTCAGTTCGCCGTCACATCGAATCTGCAGCGGCGTGGGAAGATGCAGGAAAGTAAATGGCAAGACATTGAAAAGCTCCACCAGTTGGGCTCGGTGTGGACAGAAAATGTGTGGAAGATCTGGAAGTGCGTCGAGACTCCTCTTAGAGCCTGCGTTGCCTGCCTCAATTGCCTGGGGCTCGTGCATCAAATCTGGTCATTTGACAGGCAAAAAGGGACCCCTAAAACTCCACTTTGAGCCACCATCGGCGCCTGCCTCCAAAATAAAACGGGGGAGTGGGGTGCACCGCACCGGCTAGGCCAATGTCTGTGCTGCTCTTAGCTCTGCTGTACTTCGTACCCCTGCTCAAAATCACCACCACATGGAAGGTGCCAGCTGAGGGGATTTGGAGAGGCGCATTCCAGGTTTGCGACAGGACTGAGGAAGAGGAAGGAATCACTGCAAGGCAGGAAAGGGCGAGCGGATGCTACCTGCAAGACAACAATACGTGCTGCTCCTACTACTGAGGCACCTCACTCTAGCTTTCCCATGAGAACTGTATATGGGTGAATGAAATTCCGTTGATATCAGAACAACTCCTATCGGGCCTTTACGGGCACCTAATCATATCTTAGTGATGTCCCGTCGCCAGGGAGCCCCTCACTTATTACACGAGAATTCGAACCGTCACCGCGGGAGCCGAGCTACTGCCGTAGCCGCCTGCCCGATCCGAGGCGATGTAAACCCAAAGTGGAGGGTACGAGTGCCGTGTTGTTTGTGTGTGTAAGAGTGTGCGAGCGAAATGTGTCAAGTCCATGTCAGCAGGTGTTGCTCTCTGGTCCTTCCCGAGATGTGTGGATGGAAGGATGACTGACTACTTTGTACTCCGTACGTACCCTGGAGTAAAGAATGGGAAGGTGTAAGCATCGCTTTAAAACGGGAAGAGAAACAGAATACTCGAGGAAGGATGGCAAGAAGAAGGAGGGAGGCACGGCGGAAGAAGCAACACGGGCAACAAGGAAGGCGCTGCCTCTGCTTCCACAGCAGTTCCATCCTCGGCCTGTCCTGTGGGACCTGCCCCTCCACCTCCACGCCCGCCTTCCCAAAATCCCGGCCTCCTTCCGAACATTTAAATTTCTCCAAAAAATTCAACCGCTCATTAAAACGTCCCGGTCTCCCATCCCGACCCGGCGCACGCAACGACATTACATGCAGATGCAGACGCAGACCACGACCGACGCATAACCGGCGACGTCCACGACGATCCAAGATCAACAACATCATCAATACACATTCGATACCCATCTAGCCCATCCGTTATCATCCCATCCTTCTTCATATTTGGCCATCCTCTTCGCCACCTCGGCTCACCTCCTGTCGTGGTTCCTGCATATCTCCCCTCTCGCCCCGTCAGCAAGCCAGCCAGCCACAACCAGCTTGGAGTTCTTGTCGACTCATCAGATGGTCGCCCACTGATACCACAATTTTTCTTGCCCGCCAATCTGCTAGGGCATTTCTCCCGCCGGTCTAGGGTTCCCGTCTATCCACCGCTATCTGCTCGAATACACGGCTTGTTAAAGCGCGTTCCCGGTCAAGTCGCCTCCGCAGAGAATAATACGACTTTCCATCCCCCTGTGCGGCGCTACACTTCCCTGCTTGTACACTTTGCTCCGGCGACGTCCGCCGCATCGCACCCGCATCGCGCCAGCTGCAAATCCCATCAGGCAAACGCCACCCATCGTCTGCTGTTCTGCGGCCTGCCCAGCCTTTTGCTTTTGTTGCAGGTGGCACCCAATCTCTTCTCAGCGCATCGCTTCGCCTGCAAATCCAAGCCGCCCTCCTCCCGGGCCATAATCGTTGTCTGGTCTGCCACCCACCTGTAGTGTGTTTGGTTATTACAGCACTTTGTAGCGTCCTCGACTTCAGACGATCGCCGATCACTCCATCACAACGGGGATGCCGTGTCTTTTGCGCTCTCTTCGCCTGCCGCATGCCTGCAGTTCCCCGCACTAGCTTTGAGATCAGCAAAAAGATTGTGCTCTGTCACAAGCACCTCTACCAGTAATTCAACCTTGTCGGTCCAGACCACCACCACGAACTACCGCTACCACCACCAACGATATTGCTCCGAGCGAGACATTGCCAGGCGAACCACTTGCTTTGCTCTAAACCCCCAAACGAGAACGTGCAGCCGCACCGCATTAATATTGACCGACCTTTTCGAGCCCCTCTTGACCACCGAGACCTCTGGTGAAATATCACCTTACGCCGTTAATCAGCTGGCCCCTCCGCTCGCCCTTTTATCTTCCGCAACCGAACGACGATAATTCCCATTTCCCCAGTCGAACCACGATCGAGTTTCCCACGCCAAGTCGCTTCTTTTGTTCCAAGGACCATATTTGTTAGCTTGCCCTAGAACGGCTGGAAACTACGCCCTTTCGGCCAGACCATTCGAGAGTCGCCTGCGAAAGAAGTTCCCCGCGACATATTCCGACCCCCGCAAGCCGAACCTGGCCGAGGGAACTACAGCTGTGCAACGATAATACTTTGGGCTATGATAGTTGCGTGAAATAGCTTAACGGTACACACATAACACGGCCTCCGTCGGGGCTTTTGCTTACGATTGTCTGTTTTCTCGAAGCGTTAGATGCTCGCTGTTGCCCACGCCGAACATACCGAGACACTGCTCTCGTACCCCAATCCGACGTCATTGTTGCCCTATAACCATCCCCGGTGTCTCCCCCAGGACCAACACCAAAACACCGCAGGGATGACTCCGAAGCCTGAAGAGGGCCTGCCGCTGCAGCAGACAGATTCGAACGCGAGCGCCGTCCCCGACCTTCCGCCGCCGCCAAACCCTTCTTCCGATCCGCGATTGAGCGTTGCCGATTGCGATAGTCCACCGAACGTCCCCGAAAACAACGATGTCTTCAAGCTGTCGCCTAGGGCGGCGATGAGGCTTTTGAGTGGTGGAATCGAGGCTCTCGTGAAGATAACAGGCGATATCCCTCCGACACCACCACCTACAAGCCCGACACTGCCCAATATGAGAGGCATGGCGGCAGAGAAAGAGCTCATTCGCACCAGCTCACAGAAGAACCTGGCTCGCATGCGCAAGGAGGCCGAAGCAGCAGCCGCATCTTCAGCTCCCTCACCTCGTCGGCCGCCGATGATGTCCCAGATGAGCGGCTCGAGTAGCTCAACACCACAATTAATAGACGGTGTCCATCTGCGGCAGACACAATCACCGACCCCTCCACCACCACCGAAAGCACCCGAACCACACATAATAATTGGGGAGAACTCGCAGCCGATTAACCTTCAGCACAGTGCAATCACGCGCAAGTTCTACTCTAAGAAACCGCCGCCCATTGGTATCGACGAATATCTCGCGAGAATTCACCAATGGTGCCCGATGAGCACTGCCGTGTACCTTGCTACCAGCTTGTATATCCACCGCTTAGCCGTTGACGAACGAGCCATCCCCGTGACCCGGCGAAATGCGCATCGACTAGTTCTGGCGGGGCTGAGAGTGGCAATGAAGGCGTTGGAGGACCTCAGCTATCCACATAGCAAGATTGCCAAAGTTGGAGGCGTTAGCGACGTCGAGTTGGCGCGCCTGGAGATTAGTTTTTGCTTCTTGGCGAACTTTGAGCTGGTGGTGAGAGAAGATACGCTGAAGAAGCACTGGGAGGTTCTGAAGCAGGAGCAGCCATTGAGGCTTATACCTCCCAGCCTACCGAATTTGTCGTTGAACAGGAAGCCTAGGGAGTCGGCGCATTCTGGGCAGGAAAACCAATGGAAATGAGGAGGGCGTAATGAGAAGAGGGTATTGGGATAGGTCACTGTGTGTTTGCAGCGTGGCTGTGGCATTTGAAGGAGCAAGAGCGCATCATCATATTGCATTGCAACGGTGTACTTCTGGGTATGTTACGTCTGATAGCGATTCTCTTCATGGTACAAAGTACACACGTAATTGAGCGGGATAACATCCCCTTATTATTGATTATGACTATGAGAGGCGCCTTTGCTGGAAGTGCCAATGAAACCGGACCTCGGTATTGGAAAGACCCGACCCGATGGTGATAATTTCAACGAATTGACTTTGTTGACAACCCGACTGTCCACTCAATGCCACGCGTCATGAACATTATTTTCGTCTTAACAGCTACGTTCCTTTCCTAGGTAGAGGTATCCGTACATTAGATGCGATGACATGTGCGTCGATGATAAGGGTCGCCAGCGAAAAGTGGCTTATCGATAAATGGGATTGTATGGAAGCTTATCGATCATCGAGTCGCGCTTGGCAGGGTCACTCGACGGGAGTCTGGAGGTCGGAAGGTTGGATGGCATGGATGGGTTGTGCCTGCCCAGAGTCGCATGTTGCGTGGAAACGGAAAGGAACCCCAGGCCCGCTTCTAACGGGTGCAAGGACCATTGGGAGCCGTGCGCATGGAGGGAGGTAGCTGCAACTAGCTTGGTTCCCTACCTCGAAGCTTAGAGCTCTGCCGCTTTGCCCGTGCCCCCCCAACCTGGAACCTGGACAGACTTTCTCCTCCCACCTCCAGCTCCTTGCCGTTGATCGAACTCAAACCAGACATTGACGCTCACCACGTTCTTTTACGTCTTTCTTTACGCGCCCGATCTGTTCCAAATGTCCAAACGTCCAAACGTCCACGCGACCAATTGACCAATTTTCAACGCGACAAATCGCGCTGCCCGACGCAGTCTGGCCGAAACACTCCTTCAAACAACACCAGACACACGAGCCCGACCGCGCAATCGCGACCGAACCCGTCACAATGGCCGAAGAACTCAACAATGACGTTGAGATTGTCGAGGATGCCCCTGCCAACCCCGGCGCAGACGTCGAGATGGCCGAGGAGGGCGATGCCAATGCTGAGGAACTTCCCTTCGCTGAGGGCGGCGAGAGCGATCCCGTCGAGCCGCGCACCACCTTTGTCAGCTACCTATCTAGCCCCGTCGTGACCCTCTTGGTCGGTCAGGGCGAAACGGAAGCCATTGTCACAGCTCATCAGGCCCTTCTGGTGCAAAGCCCCTTCTTCAAGGAGGCATGCGCGCAGTTCAGCGACGATGGCAGCGTGAGTGTTCCTCCCAGGTTGCGCCAATCGCCCGGCGCAACCAGCGGTTTCCCAACGTCACTAACTCAATGCGCGACAGCCGCGTCAAATTGAGCTCGTCGGCGAAGACCTCGACGCGGTTGGATGCTTCCTCGAATTCCTGTACACAGGAGAGTACTTCCCCCGCAAGGTCGCCGGTTCGCGCACCCTCGAGCAGGATCCCTCGACTCCCGAAGTCGATGCGGACGGCAAGCAGCTTCTGAAGCATGCGCGCGTCTACACTCTGGCTGAGAAGTTCGGTGTCCCCAGCCTCCGCTCGCTCGCCAGCTCCAAGATCCACTGCGTCAACTCGACTGCCAAGGGCGAGATCGCCTACGCCCGCTACGTCTACGCCTACACTAGCAAGGACGACACCACGATCCGCGCCCCCGTCGCACAGTTCTGGGCCATGCGCTCGCACACCCTCCGTTCCGAGGCCGAGGACGAGTTCCGCTCTCTGTGCTTGGAGTACCCCCAGTTCGGATACGACGTGCTTAGTATGTGGCAGCACTTGAACACGCTAGAAGGAATCACCGTGCTAACTGCCGATAGCCCGCGTCCTCGACGACAAGCTCAAGAGGGAAAAGAACGACAAGCTGCACCCATCATCATCTCAAGGAAGCGCTCGCAAGCGTGCGCGACACAGCCAAATCTAGAGCGACAAGGAACCGATTTCACAGCGCATGTTTTGCGTGGCGTTTGCTACCATAGTTTAGGGATCTTTTCGCGATGGAGCTTTTGGCATTTTCTGAAACCTTCCGCCATACCCACTGATCCTTGGATTGGCACGGAGTAGATGCGATTGTCCAATGAGACGAACAGAAGGTTTTTTTTTTTTTTTTTTTTTTTTTTTTTTTGCTTTCGTTGTAGACTGCGGCGCCGGTTCTTGCTGTACGCATATTGTCTTACCAGCTTTGAAGCCGTGGGTGCTACGACTGGGATATCTTGAAAAGAGGTTTGCTGCGTATGGTTCGGGGAGCATTGCATATCTGTTTACCATGGAGCTACAAGGTGACTCGTTTCATCCGGAAGAAGAGGTTTTCTCCAATATCGTGCCTGAAGAATTACTAGTTTGGATGCGGCGCGGGGCTGAAAGGGGCTGTTAAGACACCTACCTCGCTCCTGCCTCAGGTGAAGCTATCTACGTGCCTACCTTCCTTGACCTTCATTCCCCTAGGCACTCAACGGGATATATACCCCCCAACACCTTTCCTGTCACCAGCACAGCGGCGTCCGTCTAGGTCGGCGGGTCAGATCAAGCTGTGTGCGTGGTGTAGTGGTTCAATGAATATATACTCCAATGAAGTCGGAGTTTGGGTTGACTGAGGGGCGCGCTGTTCGAATCTAGGCAGGGGCGTGGAATTATAAGGTCAGATATCCCCCTCCATACCTTTCTTTTTTGTTTCAGACTATTCCCTAAAACTATAGATGCGGTGGATAATGCGATGTCACCTTTCTTGTTTGTAGCTCCTTTACTACGAGGAAGTTTAACATCAAGGCAGTCAAATAGTGAGTTGATGCTTTGTAGATGGAAGCACCTTCACCGAGCTCTCAACTAGCTATGCCCCGTATAATCTCGGCGAGGCTCGGTGAGACCCAGCTACCCCAAAAATGCGGGGGACGGGATGCGGTCCGGGAGAGGCAGAGTTTCTCCGCCCAGCCGGAGGACGACGCTCCATTTGATCTATCTGAGGCGCATTCGGAACTTCGGATTGGGGACAGATTTGAAGTAGATGAGCCGGATCGGCGCTCACATGGAGAAAGCCAGCGTGGGACCCTGGAACTGGTCTAAGATGCGCTCTTATATGAAGATGCCACCCCCCAAGCTCCCGTCTCCTGTCTGCTTATGACGTCTCTCCACCGTTGCGATTGTTGATCGTGTAGAAGCGCTTCGAATGGGTGATGCATCATGAGCGCAATCACCAACATCCTGGGCCTATCGGCTTACACAGCCCTCGTAGCAATCTCCCTTCCTTACATCCAACAACACAACATCCCCTCCCGTCTCCAAACCTCCCTCAACAAGATCCTCTCCCCGCCGACAGACGACACCTTTTCTGACCCCGAAGTCTCGACAACCGAGCCCTACATCTGCCAATCCCAGAACTACACGACGCAAATCGTGTCCCTCGATCCATTGGTAATCTACATCCACAACTTTCTCTCTGAAGCAGACATCACATCCCTCCTCGAAGCAGGCGAGCCGGCCTTCAAACCCTCGTATGTCGTCAAGAATGGTAGAACGCAGGGAACACCGGATAGAACTTCCTGGTCTGCTGGCTTACCTGCCGATGACATCGCCGTGCAGTGCGTATTAGCCAGGGCAGAAGGGTTCTTGGGCACGATGATGGCGCCTGGACGAGACGAGATTGGCCCGCCTCAATTGGTGCGATATACAAAAGGCCAGAGATTCAATGTCCACCACGACTGGTACGATGATTTCCAACCCGACGTCAGAACCGGGCGAAGACGAAAATGGAACCGGATCGCGAGCTTCTTTGCGATTTTGGAGGATGAGTGTACGGGCGGTGAGACATGGTTTCCCAAGATCGAGGCCATTACGCCGCAGCATCGGAGGGTAGATGATGAGGGGACGATGTGGAGGAAGCATAACGATGGTGGGATCGCGTTTAAACCTGTGAAGGGCAATGCCGTGTTTTGGGTGAATTTGCATGAAAATGGGACGGGGGATGGGAGGGTTGTGCATGCTGGGTTGCCTGTTGGGGATGGGTTGAAGACCGCGATGAATATTTGGCCGAGGAGGTATCTTGGGCCTGGGGCTTGGAGGGAGGGCGAGGAGCCGGAGGATGAGTTTGAGGGTGAGGGTGAGACTGTTGTGAAGGATGAGAAGGTGATGGAAAAGCTGATGGTCGAAGAGAAGGAGGAAGAGCTTGTCGTTGATGATGCTGAGGCGGATCCTATCTAAAAAATCCCGTTTGAGATGGCTAGAACTTCGCAGCAGCCTAGATTGTGGATCGATAAGTGATTTTCCTCCTGTTTACTTCGAGGTTCCTAGATGCCTGATTTGTTTCAGACTTCTCGACTTTTCTCTCATAATGAACTTCACCTCGAAAGAACCTGCATGACCTCACTCCGAGGCAACAAGGCCCAATCGGTCTTTTCTCTGCAACTTCCTGATCATTCTTTCCCTAGCCAACCACTTCACCTCGAGTAGACTACCCGAGGCAAGCCTTTTTGGCCGAAATACCTCCACAACCTAGGCTAGAGCAGTCATCTTTCCACATTTTGCCTGTTTCCTTCTTTCTCACACTCATCGCGTCAAACTCAACCGACGCAGGAACCTCCAGCCCCCCAAAGTTTCTTCCCACGCAACAAGCTATTATCTTTGATACCTCGTTCTTTCCTCCCAGCATTCAGTTCTTCTTTCTTCTTCTTTTCCCGAAGTTTTCAACATCTTCCTCCACCTCGACCTCTCGACAGAGCATCCTCGAAATACCGAAAAGACATCATGATCGCACGCAAGCGGCGCAGAACAAAGGAGGGCGACGATACCGAAGAAATTGGTCAAGATTATGTCGATGCTGTTACCGCTGCAGGCACAGCCGCTGCCGTCAAGAAAGAACAAGATAGTGGTCTACCAGAGCCCATCCAACTCGTCAGCACTCGGTTCAAAGCAAAGAATCGTCCCTTTTCACCAGACGACTCGACGGACGGCTACACCTTCATTGAAGAAGACTTGAGAAAGGTGGTCGTTTTCAACGATCCCGGCAACTCCATCATCGTCACACTGCTCAAACGGTGTCATCGTCGGTACAAATTCGACAAGCCCCTCACGGACGACTCCTACTATGTCGGAATCGATGCAAATAACTTCACGCCGGTATTCGCTCGCAGCCTCAGCATGAGCGCGCTCAAGAACAATACCTACGACCTAGTTGCGCGTACCGGCGCAAGCTCAGCAGTTGCATCCGTCGTCGTTCCGCCCGTCGACATGCTTCTCCCTTGTCAGCTAATCTTTCTAAAGCACTTGTCCAAGGGAGAAGACTATGGGGAGAAGTTCCGAGACGTGTCAGAGGATGAGAGGGCGGAATACAAGACCCAGCAGCAGGATGCCTTCGTCAAGGGCCACGCATGTCCTGTGCTTGTGGCCTCTGGAGAGGTTCACCCTGATTACGGAGTCATATATGATACGAGGGAAGGAAGGTGGAGACACTTTCGAATGATGATGACGTCTGTCTCGAGCGTGTTTGCCTCGTGTCCCTTCATTGCAATGAGAGAGGGAGAGATTCGTGTGGCTGATGATATGATTGTCGCAGATTCTTGAGCGTTAATGATGCCGTCTGATTGTGAGAATGTAGTCCATTTCGGCGACAGGATCACGGCATCAACTGCGTTATTTTACTCGGGTTGTCTCGTGCCTTCGCATGAACCTTGGCGATAGAGTAGAGTATGTACGGCAACACTTTCACCAAGCGCGATCTCAAGAGCGAGGCCGCCGAGTACCGGTCTCTGCACGGCAGGGCCACGGACTGCGAGGAGGACCGGTTCACGAGGATGGTCTTGTTCGGCGCTCTGCTGCTCACGGCGTCCCAGTCGATGCTGGAGCCCCTGAGTCTGGTGTACGATGAGATCTTTGCCGGGGCGTACGATACGGAGCTACAGTCTGGTAACATCAGGACGTACTACGCGAACCACGAGGGAATGGACCCGAACGCTCTCATGCGATATGTCTTTATGAACCCCATTGATGCCGGGCCCGGGTTGAGGCGGGCGGCGAGGACGGAGACCACGTTCTGTCAGCTCCTTACGGTGACCAAGCGCGAGGAGAGGGATCTGTCAAGGAATTCCAAGAACGTAAGTGAAGCTTCCTTTCTGATTTGTCTCCTCGATTTTCATGCTAACATCCACAGCTCTCGACGCTTGCGTCCCGCCACATAACCTGGCTCCAAAACATCGGTGCCGGCCGGCCAGATATGTCCGCGATCCTCGAGGGCATCCTAAACAACGAGCTCAGCCTGCACTACGCGCGCTGGCAGCACGTCAACGCCCAGGGCGGTCCGATGCTCGAGCTGGCCTACTGGATCGGCGACACGCCCGGCGTCCCGACGGGCTCCGAGCTGAACCGGTTCCGTGATAACTCGGAGGGCAACGAGGAGCGCTTCGTCGTGTTCCACTTCCACGTCAACGAGAGGACCAACTGGATCGCGCACGTCGACGGGCGCACGCGCGTCGGGATCCAGTCGGTGCAGGTGTTCCACGGGTACGACACGGACGCGCAGCCCGGGCAGGCGTGGCGCGTGGAGAACACGGCGTCGACGCGGGACGGGTTTGGGTGTCCCGAAGAGGAGCTCTGGTACGTCGGAGCCGAGACGGACCTGCCGAGCGACCAGTTGCCGGCCGATCAGACTTTCTTCGAGAGGTTCCAGCGTTGGAGCAGGATGTTGTTTGATGATGGGTATCTCGCCACGCGGGGGTTGAACTTGATCCTGACGGTGAGTAATCTGTTCCGAATGCCGGGTTTTGAGGGTGAAAAGCTAACTTGGTGATAGGGTGGTGCCACGGTCAACAACGGGGGGAATCAAGATCTTGATCCTAACAACGCGGGAATGCTACTGCGTGGTGGAATGGCTCACCCGGCATGGGGTGTCATCACGCAAACCGTCAACTTCTTGATTGACGGAACTCAATACGACTTCACCCCTCGAGACCCCTTTGCGTGAGGGCCGAGAGCCATGAGAGCTGGCTTGAAATACATGGCGAGGGGAGAATGAAAAGCTTCAAGAGACTCGGAACTTGTTTAAATCTTCTAATTCACTATAGTACGTATTCAATCTACCTGGCGAGGTAAGCGGCCTGTTGAGGAAAGGAAAGCACTTCTTTCTAGTTTTATAAACAATGTATCGGCAGTCGAGAGAAAATTATGTTATATTTCACAATTCTTCTGTTTAAATCTCAGAGCAGTATCTCGGATACACCAGCCTTGATCCCTTTCCAGGAGGTTGGTTCCCAGGCAGGCGGATGCCTATCAAGTAGCTGAAATCAGGCACTGTCACCGCCAGCCGAGGCTAAGTGCGCCGACAAGACGTTGACAACATCCATCGATTTGCATCTCCTGGCCCATGCCAGCGGTGTAGTGCTGTCTGCTTGGCCCAAATCCTGTGCCGATGGAATAGCCCTCTGAACAAAGCCTCGCATACGAAAACCCCAGACATCGTGCAGAGTGCTTGAAGTGGTATACGGGCTCCGAATGACCCTCGACTTGACGTCAACGGGGGAACCGCTCTCAATGAGTCTTTTCGCGAGGTTCACCACCTCTGCCCTGAGATCTGGATCTTGCGCTGCTGGCCAAGATGCCAAGGCGTGAAGAGTGGTCCATCCATCGTCCGTCACGACACCAGCGCTGGCGCTATTCTGGAGTAGAAAGTTGGCCGTAGTGCACATGTCATGCGCGGTCTTCCCCGCTGTCGGAGATAGGGCGCACAGGAGAGGCGTCCATCCGTTGCTGCTGGCCACGTTGGCGTCCAGACCGGAGTTCAACAAGAATTCCACCGCGGTTCTCTGTCCCCCTGACGCGGCATAGTGTAACAACGATTCACCGTGAGAGTTTCGTAGTTGTATGCTCTCCGACTTCGGCGTGCGGCAGTGCGAAAGACAGAGTTGCAGCTGCGGAAAAGTTCCCGTCTTCGCGGCGGCGTGGAGCGGTGTCTCCCCAGCTTCGTCTGCGAGATCGGGAAGCGCGCCGTGCCGAAGAAGAAACTGAAGAGCAGTAGTGTTGGGGAGCTGACGACTGAGTGGACTGAACACGTAGTGAAGAGCGGTCCTTCCGCGAGCGTCTGCTCGATTGGGGTTCGCTCCCTTCTCCAGGAGGCCGCTGAGGCCGCCGATACACTCATGTGAATGTACTGTGGCGTGAATGAGAGGTTGATGGGAACGGGGGTCCTCGCCGTCGGGATCTCCGCCTGCGTCGATGAGGTGACTGACCAGCTGATGCTGACATTTAGCATCTGCAGTGGTTGGTGCTGGTTTTGTTTCGCTTTCAGGGAGGATCATCCTCTTGCCGACCGCCCTTGCCAGAGCATCTTGGATAACCTCGGGGCTGTATGTGGCGCCGGGATGAGCCAGAAGAAGTGGCACTGTCTCATCACACCAGGCTGATGCCGCGTCAAGCAGCGCCCTGCGCAACTCTTGGTCATTCCAACCGTCCCAGGCGCCGAGAAAGTAGGCAGTCAGATCTGCATGGTTGTTCCTGACAGCGATTTGCAAACAGTCGGGCCCAGGTTGGCCTCTCTTTTTGGGAATGAAGCGTCCGTCAGGGCCGATTCGTTCCCAGAATAGACGAGCCATCTCGAGTCTGCCATGCTGCGAAGCGGCCAGGAGTGGTGTGAAGCCGGGATCCTGTTTGTCTCGCGTATTGGGGTCCACGCCAGCGTCTATCATCATCTGGACAGCGGCATCGTCTGCTTGAAAGATAGCCCAGTGTAGGGCCCAGCCGATACCGTTGTCGGGGTCGATGCTGGGGCTCCAGGATTCCAGGATATGTGCCAAGTATTGTTTGTCTCCTGTCTTGTTCCCGTGTCCCAAGTATGGTTCAACAACTGCATAATAGTTGTCTGGGATAGACATGATGATTGTGAAATTAACCTAAGGAATCCGGAAGGAACAAAATTGGCCGGAGGGTTGCCTTTTAATACTTAGCTAACTTGGGTACCTTAAGGTAACTTAGGAAGAGGGAGTTGCAATGGCAGTTGCATCCCAGTTCGGCTTACTGCCTAAAGTAGAAGCGGGTCCCCACGCTTGGCAATCAAGTACCTTACCTCGAAATATCTTTATATCGAATTATGTCCATCTCGATGGGAAGCAGTCAGCATCTTTCTGTCATGAAAAGCTTGAAAAGGAAAATTAGTTCAAGTGCTAAGTAAGTACTATATTATTCTATCACCGTATATTTATAATTATATCTCGCAATGAATTTACTTTCTTCCATAACAATGTACCCAAAATGATGTCCATCTCGAATTGAAGGAAGTATATCTTGGGGAAAGTCTATAGTATTCTGGATATGAGCACCAGGCTCTTTCCTACCAATAATACAGAGTACCAGTAGCCTCTTCCCAACCGAGGCGTTGATAATTGGCACTAATTACTTTTGCCTCAGCAGGTACTGGTAGCAGCTCACATTTTGTTGCATAATGTACGTTATACCCATTTAATGCTTAGTATTACTCAGTCGACATCTCTCAGTTGGCCGCACATTTGCCCTCGTCCACCACTCTCGCAACAAGCATCTGCCAAGACAGATATCCATGACCAATCATAGAGGACCGGGAGGCGTGCCCCCAGCCGCTTGGATTTACAGCTGCGCTAAAGTTGACAATGATGATGATGTATTCAACGTCCGTAGTAGAGAGGGACGTGCCAGGCAGAGCCGACATGGTCTATGCTAATTTGAGCTATTTTACAGGCTACCGTCTTCGCCTAATGTTCCTGTTCAATGAGTTGGGCATATTTCAGTGAAGAAATCGGTCGCCTCTGTACATTCGCAAAGAAGAGAGGCTCCCTTGAAGATGGCGTGGTGTGTGGCCTTGCGGCCACGCTTGCGGAAATAAAAGTGGACTGGCGTCTTGAGTTTCCCACAGCTGCAAACGAGCAACGCGTCTTGGCGCGAAAGCTGCTCCAATCCGGATTACTCTGCATGGTGCTGAGTAATCATTAAGACCAGCTGACGCGATACAGAGTCGCGCTTCCTGCAACGCCCAGGCCTTCGTCTCTAATTTTTAGTTCCTCTCGGTCGCGTCCATTTACCAGTCCGACTCGAACGAAACAATCACTCTTGATGTCATGGAGGACGCAGTTCGACCAGACAAGGAGGGTTTCAAGACCACCTACGAGAAAGCATACCGTACTTGGTCCAATATACACGATCTAGCGATCACGGATTCCAATCTACCCCGAAACTGTCTCGAGCAACTAGAGACGGCATTCCCAGCCCATCCGCATTTTCCCGAAGACATCGAAATTGATGGCTTTTTCTCAAATACAGCTACTGTCAGAGGAAGAGCCGTATGGAAAACCACTTCTGGGTTCTGTGATACACCAAATTTCCACGACGAAGTTCTCTTTCAAGTCGCGTCAGATCGCCCTACGGTCGTTGAAATATCCGATTCCCACCCACTACCCATCTTTGAGCAGTGGTATGGCGAAGAGAGCAATCATATTACTGTGCTCATACTCGCCTGGGCCTACATTCTCTCCGCGCGTTGGGCCGAGATCATTCCTGGAGCGTCTGGTCCTGTGTACCACAGCTGTACGACGGCCTGGACTGACAATTATCTTCCATGTTCGAATGACACATTACTGCCTCTGGCGATGGTAGATGTTGGCGACGTTGATGAGGATGCTGCCCGCTGGTGGGCAGCGGTCCTCGCCCCGAGCGGTGGCTGGAGCGCTTGGATTCGTAATACCAAAGGCCAGATACTTTTCTCACCATGGTCCACGAAATTATCGACGTCCCGCCGTGTCAATTTGCAACGTGGTACGAGGCCTCGTGTGCGACAACATCAGGCCCAGAGCGACGCGGCGTCGTATATGGCCGCCCTACGCTATCTGCGCGATTACTGCGATCATCACGGGGTTGCGCATCAGAGTTATGAAGCTTTGGCTGCAGCTTTGTTCCTTTCTCTGGCAAAGTTTGACAACAGACGAGTTCAATTACCTCTTCCCCAAGTTTGCCATCAACGAGAATCTATAGAGAAGCTTACCGTTTCGCCTCCCTTATTTAGTAGGAATCTTCCTTAACTCGACAAACTTCTCACTTTGAGCTGCAATGTTATCGGTATCAAGGCACTCCTCAGTAGCGTATTTTTCGAGCCTAGCGTACTATACAATATATCCGGTGCGTAGCTTCAGGGCACGTTCGCATATTTGGACTCGGAAGCTATACGAGAACCGCGAACTCTTGTCCGCATCTTGATAAAACGGGATCCCGACCTCGGATTTCTCTGGTTAGGCGCTTTCCTTACCGGAGGACAAAGTCGGACTTTACAAGAGGCCCGCCAGGGCTGGTAGAAAGTCAATCTGCACGTAGCAGCATGGACAGGAACTCTTTTGTCATTCATTCAAGAACCAGTTCCGATTCTGCCAACCGACGTGGAAGAGATTTCTCGCGCTGATGAGTGTCGGCTTCTATACCTCTCCCATGACCAATCCTACGATATTGCGCCTCTTTTCCCCTTCGCCCCTTTTGGCCTCACCGCAATCGGGGATACTAACCTCGAAGTACGCCAACATACGCGATGTCAGTCCCCTCACGCTCTTGCATACGAAGAACTCAGTTGGCAACGCCTTGAGAGCAAGTGGACGGTGTTTCAAAAGCCCATGGTTCCCTTGTCGTTGCGGCCCAAGTACGGACAGCCGGGCGACAGCCTAGTAACCGTCATATACGATAATCTCGACTTTGATGACGACTGCTCGGAGATGATGACAAGAAGCATCTTTACTTGGCTAAGAGGAGAAGACGGATTTCCTGTGGCTGAGAGGGATATCCGGGAACATGAATGGATTGAAAATTTGGTGGACTCGGATGACGATGATTGCCTGATCACAGGCGAATCCCGATCAGCAGTAGGGAGCCACCTCCATGGATGGATGCTGAATGTAATTCTCAAGCGGGCGGCTGAATCTATTTAACATAGGCTATTTCTCTTTTACAGCCTTGCACGTCAGAATGACATTCGTACGACCGGGTCTGCTGCCGAGGGAGGAAATCATAGCGATATATGTAAGGATTGACAAGGAGTTGGGCTGATATCAAAGAAAGCGAAACCAAAAGAAAAGAAAAGCACAGAACCACAAATTAGTCACTCTGAACCCATGAGTTTCCCCGGCTCATCGCTCTTTCCTTTCTAGTACGCAACACCCATCCCTCCACCTCGGCCAAAGCGTCTAATGGTGAGTCTCTATTGGCGAGGAGGAAAGAGAAAATATCAGCGGGGTTAAACTCTAGCTCCGGTACTTTAGCTATAAATTGAACTGCCAGTCGCCGGGCTTCTTCGTTGCTAGCTTCTCGATCCTTCAAGTTCGGCGTCTCTTCCTCTGAATAATAAAACACCGTATTAAATATTTCCCTAACTACGCCAGCATCTACAAGCTGAAATTCGATCTTCTTATCAACTCGACCAGATCAAATCAAAGCTTCATCGAGATGTTCTATGTAGTTTATCGTCATAATAAGGACGCGTCCCTCTTATGATGCGACGCCGTCAAGAACATTGAGGAGCCCAGACAACGAAACAGTCCCGTGCGGCTTCCGCAACCTCCGTGAATCTTCTGATTGGGACTCGAAGTCATCAACTTCAGACACACGAGACTAGGCTATACCTACGGCGTCAACATCTTCGAATAGGACAACACAGCGTTAAGGCAACTCCTTGAACAAGACACCGAGCTGTTCATCGTTCATAGTAGCAAGGCTAAGGACATAGATATCCAGTCCAAAAAATCCGGCGACGGACATGCTCAGACTGGTTTTTCCGGTTCCAGGACGGCCGAAGAGCAGGTAGCCCCTCCGATACGGCAGTCCACGTCTCGCGTACCAGGACTGAGCTTTGGGGTCTAGGAATGAGCGTAGATCCTTCAGAAGAGTCTACTTGATTTGTTCGTTCATAATAACTGTCTCGATCGGCCTAAGGTCCCGGGTAATGGTTCGTTTCCAGCCGTTGTTGTGGTTTTCGAAAATTGAAGTTTTGTTTTCAGAATGCTTCAGATACTCTATACGACATTCTTCCATAAGGTCCCGCAGAATCCGTAAAGAGCGCCCCACGCAAGAAATTGTCATCGTTTTGCGCAAGAAGAATGCTGCTTTGTCTTACGTGCATCGTAACGTCAGGCGGTGCCCTCGATACCAGAAACACAGCGGTTCCCCCCAAGGCGTAAACCGAAGATACTTCTTAGCCGTATTTTCAGGGCTGAAGTGGGCTAAAGTTCTTCCTTGCCTGCTTTGAACACTAACAAGCGAAGAGCTGGCATCTTTAGCAAAGGCTTGGCTGGAAATCCATGCATCCAGCATGTCGTATGCCTCGTCGGGATCGCGAACATTGGTCTTTGTAGCTAGAGCGGGTCAGACATGTATTATAGGCTTAGGAGGGTTCACTAACTGAAGTAAGTGTCGACGAATCCTCCTACCGTCTTGCCCAAGAACTTGCCACAAATCATCAACATCCCGCAAATACACAACAAACTGGCGTAACCATCCAATCTCCCATTGAGAAGCTATTGGAGTATTGTGGTGAGGCCAGTGAAGCCAGGGAAGAAAATGTCCATGGCAGAGAGATATGGAGGACTCTGATGATACATGGTGCAGAAAGAGCCTCGTGTGTTATATCTGACAATATCGGCAGCACCGCTTGTAGAAGTTCGAGCAGGGAACGTCGACAGATTTCTCACATTCGCACCAGCACTAACACGGACCGGGCATGATTAGACCGAGTATCCTTTGACTAGACGGGAGGGCACGATAGAGCCTCTCAAGTTCTAGAAATGTGCTCATTATATAGATTTTGGCTATCTCCATGGCACAAGAGGGAGCGCATGGAGACCATCTCGGGACGGTCGAAAAGCTGTTGACCACTACAGTTTCCCTTCCCCCATAAGTCACGACGACCCTTGACATTGCCCTAGTATTGCCATGCAAACGCTAGGTTCATGCGTGATGTCGGATGCAAGTCGTGGCCCTTGGAGTTCTTGGTTGGGTGGTTGAAATGGAAAACGCGCATGAACCAATGAAACGTTTCCGTGGCTTGTATCTCGTAAGGCGGCCCATTTCCCCTCTCACTCGGTTAACTGTGGGCGGGCTTTTCTGCTTAAGCCAGTATATGGCTTAATTCAATGAAACCCCTCACCACCCCATCAGGTGGAACAAGATGATATGTTCGGAGCAGAGTGGAGAGCAAGGAACGAGGATCCCTGGAGCGTAACCCCAGTATCATGTTCAGCACAAATTTCCTTGTTCCGAATTCACCTTCATACGGGCAACGCAAAATTGCTTTCAAGATTTGCCTCTGTACAATTTGTCGAAAATTTTTTTTTTAACATCGCTAGAACAAAGTGGTAATACAAAAACAAGAGTCCTCCATTCCGCGCCAGACACGTCGCAAAAATGCAAGCTTCGCCGTGGACTTCTTCCTCAAGGCCATGGGACTGATTCGACTGATGTCCGCCTCAAAAATCGTCCAAGAGAGCGCAAAAAGGCTGGTAGACGTTGGAAGAGACTTGTCGGACCAGCGACATTTCTCTTGGTGATTTATTCTGACGATGCTGGTGGATTTGATGGTCTAGTTTGGTTGTATGTGCAGTTAACCTCCCGCTAACCACCAAGCCAATGTGGGCTTGTGACGGTTTGTCAGGGTGGCCAGCGGAATATGCATATGTGAGTGAGCAGAAAAGAGCGTCTATTCGTACTAAAGAGTGGATGGAATCACCACAGGCTTGTGGGCCTAATGCTATCCTAATAAGTCTTGCAGAGCTAGGACCAGGTGGAAATGACAGTCTGGCCTGTTTCGTGATGGTCAGACCATTCCGAATGGGTTATGTCCATGACTCGCGTAGAAGCATGCATGGATTCTGTCAGCTTGCATGTCCTGGCTTTGTCATTCATCAGCAGGTTCCACCCCACCCCGGAAACTCGTGCCTTCAAGGCTGCTCTTGAGGGTGCTCATCTCGTCCTCGAGTTCCAAAGGCAAACAGTCTCGCTTCGCCGTCTCAAAGTCTACCAGAACCACGTCATGCCCATCCCGCACAAGAAAGTTATGTTTGTTGATATCGGCAAGCTTGATACCGAGCTCATGCAACCGGCCCAAAGCCTTCTTGCAGTCGCCGATGTCCGCTGGCCCAGCGGCTCTCGCGCCTTCCACCCACTCAGCGACGAAGCCAACCACGCGCCCATCTTGGCCCTCGGTGAGATGGCCCAGAAAATTAGGACCGACCCCGCTGTCACTAATCCATTGATAGGCGGCCGTCTCAACCTCAATGGAGGGGATTTCCCAGGGCCAGACCGCGAGTTTGATGAGCACGGGTTTGCCGCCTTTAACTTCGGGATGCGTTGAGACGTGGACTCGTTGCCTCACTCGCTCTTGTCGCGTGAATTCCAGCTCGTTGAGCTTCATGGGATGCCAACAGTTCTTAACCCCGGCAAGTTGTACTGTCTCGGTCCTGACGAAGGTAGCCTTCCCCGTCTCGGAGTCCCTAGCTACGTAGCCGTGGTTCCAATCTCCAGTCGGAAATGGTGGGAGGAGCTCGCTAAGCAGGATTGGCTCGAAAGTACGGTCGTCCTCGGCCCCGCGAAACGTGCCTGGCGCTGTGGATATGTACTTCACATGTTGCCCGTCGACGAGGAAGCGATAATCGCTATCGTTCGTGTCGTCGTCGTCGATGAGACATGCGAGAAGCCGGACGTTGGTGTTCCTTTCTTGAGGGGCAATCATTGCGGAGAAGCGGTGTTGAGGCGATAGGAGATGGCTGCGGATCAATAAGGAGGTGCTCTGGATGCAAATGGCGGCTGCGCAGCATGACTATTTGAGAAGGCGTGATCGGACAGGAGCTGTTGAGAACTGGATGGTGCGCCGAGCTGAAAGATCAGAGCCTGGGAGGGCCTGGAGCACGAGACAATGAAATTGGCTAAGAGGCTCAGCGACGCCGTGCTCCGGCTGGCGGAATAGACTTTAAAAAGGAGAAGTGTGAGTATACGCGCTGTGGAAGTTGGTTTCTGATGGCGGGGCTTGCATCTCCCAGGGGTTGTAGCCAATCTTCCTCGAAGGTCGTGGGCTGTACTGTATGCACCAGGGCGTCCTATGGGCCACCGCATCCGTGCTGGTAGTTAGGACGCCCAGGCATGTTGGCGCCGGTTTAAATGCACTAGCACATGCGTGCTAGTGCATACCCGCTGGAGCGGGGGGGCTGACACCACAGCCCCTGCGCTTTGTTTCAAGACGCACAACAGCATGCGACAACAAGAAGCTAAGAAAAGTTGACCTACATAAGTTGCGCTACCCGATCTCTCCTCGCCTTATGTTCGCCTGCCACCCGAGCTACTGTTTCAACTTTTCTCCCTCAACGCGACAGCGAGTTGTTGGTATTCCTTTCACAGGGAATTTGGTTCGAACCGTAGGGTCCTGGGGGTGACGAAGTATCAATATCTCTGTATTGATTGATTCTGCGTAAGGAGTAGAAGGGAGATTCCAACCGGAGGTTGGGTGGGTAGTCGAGGTCTAATTGTACTCCCTCGAGGTGGCCCATGCCCTGCCCTTACTCGCGGTCGAATTGGACTTCCAATCCGACACGAGTAAATCGCAGGAAAGAAGAGAAGAGACAAAGAAAACATGGGCACCTGGCTACATATGGATTACCAGGTTAACTTGCTTCTGAGCCATGGTGATCAGCTATACTGTACACTATCCGCCTGCCGTCACCCCTGTATCCTGCTGTGCGTCTTGAAGAACCTTCTTCATTGACCAATAGAGCCTAGTCTCCAGCCTTTTCCACCTTTCACCACTTGGAAACACCACCTTGCGTAACCTATTGACCCATGGTATCAAAGGCTGGTAGTGTACAGTGAAGTACTTGCCTGCATTTTGGATGAAATCTTCCTCATCAGTAATCTCACCCTTTTTAGCCCTCACTAAGTTATTGTCGCTTTCATAGTTCCAATTGTCAAACTCAGTTGGCCCAACATCTTTGCCACTTGCATCATAATGAATGCATATCCAAAACAGGACCCAGAAGAACGACTCTAGGTCATGCATGAACGAATGTTGCTCGCCTAGTAACGCCCCAATAGCCATAAAGGCCCTCGTGCCGGTCTTTCCTTTGGCACCCGAAGCACCCTCTCGCTGCTCCCGAATGGCGAGGTCAAGGTCGATCAAGAACGCAGGCCACGATGGGTTGCTACTGTCCTCATTGATCATGAGATTATTGATGGATATATCTCTGTGGAGGATGCCTGCCTTGTACAAAGACTCATGGCCTTCAATGCAGCCTACTAGGGCAGCAAGTAGTGCTGATCGAGAGCTTGCCTTGTAAATAGGCTTGCCATAATCCCTAAGAATGATGCGCCGATGAACCCGATTTGGTGGCATATTTGTAGCCTTTGTTGGAGACACGGAGCAGGATCGCTTGCTTGGGGGCAACGTGGACTCGGTTTGGCTGGATGGACGCTTCTGACTGGTGCTGCTGCGGCCCTTCCTTGTGGTATCTTTTGCTATGTTTCTTGGTTGTATCTGTTGTCGTGGCCTGTAGTTGGTTGCTGCTGTGACATCTAGACCGTGCCGAACATTGTTCCAGATGTCATCGTTTTTCTCGTTAACCTGGACTGTTTCGTGATAATAATACCGAGCCACATTCACGACGCCTTTGTCTGTCACCTCACGCAAGAGGTCACCCTCCTCATCGCGTTCAAGGTATTGCCATGAATCTTTGACAACAAGTAGCGTTTCTGGGTGCCCTTGGGGATGTGCTTTCCAGCAAGTGCTGGCCCGGCCAGCCACACAGCGCGCTCGTAGGATTATCCCATCAATAACGATCCCCTCTTTGGAATCATTCCTCTCAATCTCAATGAAGCGTTCGCCGTTCATTGTCATGACCGTCGGATCAAATCCTAGGGCTTCTTCATCCATCCAGAGAAACCCAAGTATCGTGGATACAAATTGCTGCCCATCTTTATTGATGTCGAACTGATCGGACGCAATAGCTCCAAGCCGGTCAAATGCCCAGACCCTCATGAGGGATCCGCAGAGTGTAAAGCCCAGGACAAAACGTCGGCTGTCCTGTGCAGCGAGCACTTCCCTCGCATATCTCCCGAGGTCGAGCCACGACTTGGAGGCTGTGTCAGCAGACGGGTTGCTCTTGAGTTCTCCAGGTACCAGTATCTGCTTCCAGTAGTATCGAGGCTCTTGGTCAGGCTTCATGTTGTCAACAAACCCAACATCCAATTTGCGATCTGCTGTGGAACCCTGCATCGGCGTGTTAGGCTGTGCTAGGAGGTCTCGTTGACGTGTCGTATTTGGCTTCTGGGTGTTTGTAAACAGCGCTAGCTTCCTCACGAAGTTCGCAAGCCACTCCAGCACGCTTTTCTCGTTTGCATCCTGGGGCCATCCCCGCCAGCCGTTTTGGAAGGCAAGATCGCTCCCTTTGAGGCACTGATCGAAAAACATCTTGGACGCTGCCTCAAGTCCAGCCACACTTCCGAAGTATGCGTCTCGAAAGCCGGGAAGCCCGACATACATAGTGCCGAGCTCCTCCTTTAGTATACCGTCAACATATCTGCGGTGTTCGGACGAGTTTATAAAACTGCTTGTATTGTGCAGCCAGGGAGTTTGTTGAAGTGAAGACGCTGTCGTTCGGGGCGGTGGGGTAGCTTCGATAACGAGGTTGTTGATTTGACGCCAAATCAGCCCATCGTCAGGGTCATCGGCGAGGGCAGCCTTCAGGAGAGGTTTGATGCACTGGAGGTCGAAGTCTTCGCTCGTGATCTTCGTGTTTAGGGTTGACAATTCGACAAAGAATGCTCTTCCGCGTTTGGAATGGAGTAATCGGGCAGCCGGAAGGACTTGAAGTGATGAGAGAAGAACGAGAGCAAGGTTCTGAAGATCTGTAGAACCAGTCAGTGGATGGGGAATAGTCGAGGGTATAAATAATCAGGTGTTCTTATAACCTTCTTCGCTCAGCTGGTTTAGAATGTGCTGGTCATAGACAGGATCTGCATCTTTGCAGATGGAATTAAAGAGATCTTGAAAGGTAGAAAGACCACGTCCGACTGGATTTGCTTTGATGATATCTGATTGCGACTGGTCCTCCATGGTAGGTAAGAAACCCCTTATGCATGATGGATGTGAGCGTTGTGACGTTGTGCGGGAAGTCGCGTTGCTTCGGTACATTCTCATGGAACGCATTGACCACCACAGCTCGCCAGATCTGGAAAAATGTTGCCCCGGTAGTTTCTGCCGAGGCTAAAGTGGGGCTCCTTCATTTTCTATTTCCGTGAAGTTAGCCCATAACCGAAGCTCAGGTTACTACGGATACTGTGTACAAATCCTGGACAATCCCTTCTTCCTAGCATCGTCTTTTTCTTTGGGGATGGAAGTAGTGGCCTCGTTTCGCTTCTCCTGGCTGTGGGGAATGTGTCGTGCTCTTTTCCGCGACTACGGCTCGGTTCTATAGGCTGAAAATTCCTTTCGTAGGTGTTTTGTCCGTCGAATACGTGTGTGTGTGTGTCAGACCACGGCTCTAACGCTGACAAGACAGGGGCAGTCGAGAAAATTGAGAAACCGAAGAATCAAGAGATTGCGAAGATCAGAAATTAAGGTGAGGGAAGGACACTGTTTGTATAAGCGCGCCTTGTCGACCGGTGGGAACAAATGGCTCCACAGACGGTGGTACTGGGTAGGCCTTCTCGGGCCCGGGAGTCCGTCGCCTGGAGCACCAACAGTAAGAAGTAGATTACACATCCCCTGTCATCCATCCACAGGTGGGTGCACCTTGCAGTGCGATTCGTACGGTGGCGGCACCATGCGGACCCGCACGTACCGCGCTTCCTGGCAGAACGCTCCCTTATGTGACCAAGCCCCGTCGTGGACGTCCCTGACGGAGCGAGCCAGGGTGCGCGAGACTCTCGAGACGGGGGACAGGTCACTTTGTTGATCTCGAGATGGGTGGGGACCGGCCGAGTGCTCATCCCTGCAGACCGGTACTCTTCTAGCGGATCGCAAGTTGGCTTTGTGGCTACCATAGCTAAGACCGCCGTGCCGCGGAGCACAGCCGTTCTAGCGTACGAGACGCTTTTGGATACGCAAACTATTACTTGGCGTGCTGCTATTGCGAGAGGCACATCGTTTCCGTCCGGCTCCTTAAACGGCCACGGATGAGGCTGGCAGTGGCAGATTGCTCAGCGTTGACCATGACTCAGGGCAGCCTTTCACTGGCTTCCGCGCTAGTGACATCTCCGTCCAGCCAAGGATCATTTCATTTCATTTCAAATCACTTTGCTGCTTGGCACTTGCTGCTTGGCAGTCGGTTTGCACTCATGACCGTGGAGAGATGGTTTATTGAGTGATGCCGGATTCGGCCTGAGAGTGCCTCTATGCTGCAAGAAACAACACAAGCCTAACGATACAGATCATGTGTCGCAAAAACGACGCCGTTGAGTAGCAATTAACGCCTGATTAACCCTACGACACCATGAACATGATCTAACGCCGAATCATCATATCTCGAGGTAGATACAATTGGCAAAGGTGTCAATGACGAACCAATTTCTTTTGCTTCAGGACCAGACAAAGTCGCGCCTGAAACACAGTTACTGTAGCCTGCCGCATTCATCTTCGAGGGTAATGCCCGCTCACGATCGACCACAATGTCAACGGCCAGCCTCATATGGTTGATTTCCGGGTTGTCTCTGAAGGTTGACGCCGGAGTAGTCCCTGTTCAAGTCACTTGCTCCTGTTGACAAGGCTGACCAAGGCCATGACGACCAACCAGCGCAAAGGCGTTCGGGGAACTTGGTAGACCTGCACTACTACGTCTTTGGTTTCGGTTCTGGCATTTCAACCCTGTTTTCCTTCTTGCGGCTATGCATATGCTAAGCACCGTTCCCACCTTCTCGGAAGAGATGACGGTATCACGAAGCCAGACAATGTCGCAGCGCCACGTGTGGCGCTGGCGATTACTGCCATACCATACCGCTTTCCACAAGACGACTGCCCGTCTCGTACGGTATATAGATACGACCCCATACGGGTCTCCCACGTAGAGGGAACAAGCCACTTACTATATACGTCTTCCACTTGTTACCTCGCTTTGTGGTTGACAAATATTGAAACGATGAAGCTAATACACTACCAGTGTGGCTGGTCTTCTCATGGGCAAGTGGGGGATCGAGACTCATGTGCACGTCTGGAACTGATGCGAAGTCTCAGTTCTTCTCAGCGGCAATGCAGCTTCTGATGATAGGTAGATAAGGCAGCTCTGATCTCGCATGGCACACCGCGCCAGAGAACATCACCTCGTAAGTCACCAGAAGACATTGACGGAAGGCAGATTTCTCGAGGCGAATTTCATCTAATTTCTGCTTATATGCCTGCGGTAGCGAGCGCCGCGCTTTACTATAATCAGCTGGCTTTATTGAAAATAAAATAACTTATTGATTTTAGATCCTGTGGCTTGTCTCCGCCCGATCGCCTGACACACGTTCGCTTGACACAGGGCTACTTTCTAAGCTGTAAATAGAATGCATAATTGTACAGTATTGCTTAGATATGTATAATTGGAAACCTCCTCTAGAGCATTGATTTGCCGGCGCGACAAAGCTTCGAGTCTTACATCTTCCAAACCCTTGAGGTTGACTCGGGAGGAAGCATTGCTTGGTCAGCTCTGAACGTGCCACGAGTTATGGCATGCAGCAATGGGCATATGAAGTGTGGCAAAAGTGGCTTGTATTAACCCAAATAAAATCGAGCAAGGAAAGGTGCTATAGGAACAAATGAGAGAATCACGTGATAACGCACGTGATGTGATGATTACAGAGTGCTGATGCTATTCCTATTTCGTCACAGAACGCCACCCCCTCCCTCTTTGGGGCTTGACTGCGCCACCCCCACTATGAGATCAACTACAGGCCCTTGTATCTTACTAGAACGAACATTCCGACAAGAAATACGTTGGGAAGGCGTCGTTTTGCCAAGACGTCAAAACAGGCGAAAAGGTTGAATTGTGGAAAAGGGGGGCAAGTGGCCAACAAGAGCGAAATCCACAACCCCATCCACAAGAACGCGATAGTGCGAAGGTAAATACGACGACAACTGGCCAAAATTTGGCTCTGACTATTTCTTATATCGATGCTGCAATATATATACACAATAGCGCGCGGTGGTGGGTGCTGACCCATGGTCGTATGTTCCGTTCTACTCCAAGGCGCAGTAGTGCCGGGTGAATTTAGGTAACTTAGCATTTTCCCAGTGGATATATGTGCCCATGTTGGCTTCCCGGCCATCAAGATGCCAGAGTACCATTACGAATACAGCCAGTGCCAGTGGAAGGGTTATTGAGGCGGAGTCGGTGATAATGGTGAAAGCCTCGATACCACGTTTCTTGAACTCGATATGATTTGGACCATCTTCTTCCGTAGCGACTGGCTTGTACTTCTTCGAACAGTGACTGTCTACATCCAAGGTACTAGGTTGATTTGAATTGGTAGACTCATCGGCAGAATCATGGTCGTGTTGTGGAGGAGACTGTAGTTGTGTTCCTTGTTCGGTTAGGGTAGAAAGCGATGCCGTTGATTTCCTGGAATTTTGACAAGAGAGGCGTATCCGGCTGTCGTATTGCGCCTCTATATCTGAGGTCGGAGATGGTAGAGGCATTTCATCCATTGTCCTTGGAGTGCTTTATTTCCGCAGCTTGTAGCCCGTACGTGTTAATTGGGATGTAAGTGGTGCTTTGTTACTTGTGGTCCGAGGAAATGAAGATGGAAGACAAGGGGAGTTAAGTACCCGTGGAAAGTGTTCACTACATCTTCGATAGAGTGGAAGAGACCAGGCAACCAATGGAATGCCGCATTACTCTTCTCAAGTAGAGGTGGAGAGGCTGGGTGGCTGGGTGGCCGAGCCCGAAATGGTTGTGCCACAACATGAAAGCTGCGCCAACATCATCAGACATGTTTTTGCACATTACTCTCCAACTGTCTCATATTTCCCTTTTAGCAGCCAATCACTAGTCTCAAGTTTTCAAAGACCATGGGCACAATTCGTAGTGTGATGCAACGGTGGTTACACCGCGGTCGGCAAACCCGTTCACGCACTCTCAAGTTCCTTGATATCGGTCTTGCGCTGCGCTTGGTACAGAGCCAAGGCTAGAGACTAAGCCTTATTCTTGTCGACAATGATCTTAGGCGAGAGCCTAATTTGCCAGTCGCTCACATTGTGGTAATCCCCATAAGTCCGAAGCGCCCTTGACAGGATTTTGTACTCGCCGCACTCGATCGCACTACCGTGCGAGAAGTTACCACTCGGCCACCATGTGCTCGAAGGCAGGCGCGGGTACTGCTGGACAGGAGCGTCAAAGTAGGCGTCCGAGATGAGGTTGTAGTGCTGGGGAGAACCAACGTAGTTGTTTTGGCCTGAGAAGAACGGATAGGACCAGTCTGTGGGCTCCCAGGAGGGATCGACGAGCTTTGGGAGAGTTAGCTACTTGCAGTTGAAATCCCGGATTGTGGTATGAGAATTCAAGATACATACGTCGAAGCTTAACTCTCGAGTAGGCCACAGAATGTCAAAGTCAATGGTGAAAGTGTCTTCGATGGTCATCTTGAAGGTATCATTCTCTTGGATTAGCACATGGTCCGGGTTTGGATGACGGGGTCAATCCATTCGTCGGCCCAGATGTTACTGCCATAGACGCTGCCCTTGATACCTATGGACTGTTAGTGATTTATGGCGCTGTTATTACACTGGCGTTATGCACTTACCAGCGTAGGTCACGCGTAGAGACTCGTCATTGGAACCAACAATGTTGATGTATCCGCCATAGATGGGGAACAGTTTCGCATCAACACTGGCAGGTTCAATGAAGGTTACCGTCAGAACTCCAGTTGTGCCAGGAGCTATATCGAGCGCGGTCGCTGAAAACTTGACTGTGGCCAGTTCACCCTCGGTCGAGGAGTACGGGACCGGAGGGAACGCGACCACAGGATCAGAATCGGGCTTAGTGATGATGGTGGAGCCGGCTTCGTGAACAATGTTGTAAGTCAAACCCCCCACTTCCTGGCACCCCCCTGTTTCTGGCACCACAAAAACGATCGGATCACAACCCGACCTCCTCATTACTATTAACTATTGATCCTCAGCCACACCCACTACAATACAGCTGCCAGCCTCACTAGGGCATTCAGAGTCGCTGGATTCAGCCGTGATAACCTCCTTTTCACCCGCTTCGATTTGAGCCCGATGGATATCCCTGATGTTCGCGAACTTCGTGTTGGGATCGATTTGAACAGTCTTCCTCTTCCTCACTGCAGCGTTGGTAACTTGAGCCCTCAGGTGAGCTAGTTGCTGCTGGGCAGCTGCCAGTTGCCAGGCCTGCTCTGTGAAGCCTTTTTTCACCTTCCTGAATAGCAGCCGTTGAGTGCTGGTATCATTGTCGAGTTGGGTGTATAAGTGCAGTTGACCGCTGAGCTCTGCCAGCTTCCTGGGTGTCGACCAGACCACTGCAGAGGAGGCAGAATCCCATGGCTCAACAGGGGTAGTTTGTTGACCATTATGGCATCGCTTTCTGCCCTGACTAGTTGGTTTGGGTGTGGTGGGCTTAGCAGGAGGCTCAGGTAGCACCATAGGGTTCATCAGGGGCTTAACCATCGCCACAGGGTGTAGACCAGTCCACTTCCAACCACTTCTGATGTTCGAGACTGATAGACCAGCAAGTCGAGCCTTCTGGTAACAGTCCAGGAAGTTCCTTTTACCTATAATGGTAGAGTCGTTCCATTGAGACAAGTAACCGAGCTCCTTCCGATAGGCTGACTTAACAGGGCTGAAGACAGACTGGTCAAGAGGCTGGAGGACATGAGAGGAGTGTGGTGGTAAGAACAGTAAATGGATATTGTTAATATAGCAATTCCACATGAAGTCTGTCGTCGTATGACTCCCATGCCCATCCACAATCAGCAGTCGAGCCTCCCCCTCAGCCTCAGGCATAGTCTGTGGGATGAACACCTTCTCTAACCATTCAATGGCAGTTAAGTCTGTAGTCCAGCCATTATCTGTTGCTGTGAACTCCCACCCATCGTATGGAACGAGATGTAATGGAAACCACTGCTGTTGGACTGTCTTCCCCTTGAAAATGATAAGAGGACGAAGTGCCCTACCCAAGGCTGAGATACACTCAATGATAGAGAACCATGCCCTCGACCCAGGTTGTTTCTTGCGAACAGACGTCGTCTCAGCCATACCCAGCACTAACCCATTAGCTCCCTGACCCTCGAGGATGCCAGTCTCATCCATATTATATCTGTTGGCTGGTTTGATGTCCTTGATCTCAGGGATAGCGAGGAACTTAAACCAGTTCCTAATGACCTCAGTAGATGCCCCATTAACGCGTCTAGAATCGATAGAACGACTTCTCTGAACCTTAATGATAGGGTTCCTTCTCACAAAGGCATAGATCCAGCCTTTTCCCAGTGGTTTGGTATCCCCAGCAGCAGCCAGAACTCGCTCTGCGAATTCCTTTACCTGTTGGTGCGTTGGTGCGAGGCCCAGCGAAGCCTGAATGCGAACCCATTGTGCCAGCTTACTCTCCTGGTCAGGAGACAGCCTCTGCCAGTCAGCAAAAGCCACTTTCCTAGTCTGACCACCTTGGAGACGTAGTTGGAGGGTTGATCGTGGTATCCCATACTCCAATGAGGCTCTCTTTTGACTCTTGCCGTTTGAGATGTCCTCGAGAGCCTGACGAAGCTGATCTTCGGTATATTGAGGCATTAGATATAGAAGAAGGTATGTGCAAAAGATGAGCCCTTTTGGACGCGAATTGAAAATGTTGTGATAAAAGGAGGTTGGGGGTGGGCATTGGGTTGTGGTGGATTTTCGCGTTTTTGTGGGTGCCAGAAACAGGGGGGTGCCAGGAAGTGGGGGGTTTGACTTACGTCACGGTCTCGTTTCCTCTGTTCTCGAACCTAATCTCGTGCGTGCCTTGGAAATGATCCGTGTCGTTGAGGTTGATGACGGTAAGGACAATGGATGTCTTGTAAGTTATGACCTTGAAAGCGTCGACGATGCCGGCTCCTTGCATGGGGATGGGGCTTGTAGCTCGTTGGCTTGAGTGGATTTAGAGACATCGAGGAAGAAACTTACGCTAAGGAGCCGCTTCCATCATGGTGAGCAATGGGCTTGCCACTGGAGGCGATGAGGTGGTGAGCGGAGTCGCCGGCGTTGTTTGCGATGTTGGAGCGGCCGCCGTTCGATGAGAAGTAGAGGGCAGCGACGCCGGCAATCTAGGCGAATTCTGTCAGAGCAAGTTGAGGGTACTTTGAATTAGCAACTCACGTATGGTGTGGCCATGCTGGTTCCAGACAAAACAGCCCATCCACCCTCGGATGTCAGATACGTAGAGAGAATAGAACCGCCTGATGTGTGGAGTTCGTGGAAGAAAAGAGGCGCGAAAGAGTGCTTTGATGAACTGACCGGGAACTGAGATCTCAGGCTTGAGACGACCGTCGACTGTCAAGCCCCATGAGGAAAAGTAGTCAATGGCACCGGCGATAGACTCGGAGTTGGCGCCGGGAATGCCGACTGCCTTGCCACCATTGGCTACGAACTCAAAATCCACCTTGCGACCCAATTCGTTCTGCTGGACGAGCCACTTCCCATCCTCTTGACTGATGAGACCAACTGATATTCAACGTTAGCACGTCTGAACGCGTTCTAAGGCACAGTGACTTACATCCGAGGGGCTGCTCTTCAGGGTTGTAGACGCTTCTGTTCGGGATCTCCCAGGCAGCATCTTCGAAGTTGTAGTAGAAACCCCACTTGACGCTCGTTCCGAAAAGGTTGGAGTCGAGGACTTGTCAGCACTCGCAGATGTATGTGCTTCGGCTGTGCATGGGGAATTGTCAGCCACGAGAACGGACGTGTTCCCTCATCGGGACGTATCGAGACTCACGGCAAAATGAGGACACAGTCTGACGAAACACCAGAGAACTCCCAGACGTCGCAAGAGTCAAGGCCGGTGTAGTTCTGATTGAGGAAGTGGGCGGGTGCTGTGCCGTTGAGCGTCCACTGCGCAGTGTCGGAGCTAACATAAAGCTGCGATACTGTTAGGTAGGAAAGACTCCCAGGGGGAGCAAGACTCACAATCTCGCGTGTCTCATTGTTGCTTGACCTCGCAACTACCGTAAAGGCTGCGGTTTGGGTGTGCTCAACGCTGCCCACAGCCGTAACACCAAAGCCGTTGGCAGCACTGCTGGTGTAGAAGGGTCCTTCATGCATCATTCGTCAGTCGAGGACTGGACGCATCGAACGGGACACGGACAACTTACCTGTTGGTATACACGTCAGCAGGGCAACCGTACGGTTGGAACGAAGTGTCAATAATGGTCTATTATTGCTGCGTCTTCAGGTGGAAGGAGGAGGTTGTGGGCAGAGCCCACGGACTCTCAGAAGTGGTATGTAAGGGGTCGTTTGTAAGTGCCCATACCGCCTTCCAGATCCACCTTTTCTGCCGACTGCTCAGAGATCCAACACTGGCAGTCTTTTAATTGTGATCAGAAAAGGCAGTGGATTTGGGGCTGAGTTCTGCGGTTGAAGTCGAGACCGCAGAATCCAGGGGTAGCATCCCCTCTCCAGCTTTGTCAAAACCGATTACTGAAAATTTGGCATAGCTTCCGCTGTAATTGCCGCACAAAAATTCCAAAATCCTATTCCCTAGATCCTCCTCCTGAACCTCCATTTCGATAATTCGTCGGAAATTGACGAATCCAGCGTAGTTGAAAAAGAGCTTTCCGTCGGTCTGACTGCGCCCCGAACACGTGCGTTTCTCTTCAAGCCGAAGCCCGAGAGTCGTATACGTTCGCTGGACGACTTGCCGCCTGTAGTGTGCTGCTATTTCAACTGCGCGTTACCCATCCCTCCATTTTGACCGTGATGGTCCTATCGTTGACGAATCGCTCAAGGCTCTTGTTGGCATTGCTTTTGGTGAATCCGTCGGCGGGGTTATCGTCACCACTAATCCAACGCACCTCGCAGAGCTCGCGGCGTTCGTACGACTGCCGAAGAGCCATGATATCAATCATGAGTCTCTTCTCTTTTGTCGTTCCGAGCTTCACCATACACTCGTAGAGCGAGTACGAATCGGTGCAGACAATAGTTGGGATCTTCGGCATGTCCAACCGGTTAGTGATGAGCTCGAGTGTGGTTGACAGAACGTAAGCCATATCGACTCCTGCGACCATGCCGTAGACTTCTGATGCCAGAACGCTGCGAGTGACCCGCTTGCTTTTTATGGAGCTGAAGTGGACGAGATTGCCGTGGATCGTGAAGCTGTCGTCTGTCTGGGTCTCATTGGCGAGGATGATGGCAAAACCAAGCTGAGACGACATGTCGGCGTTGTTGGCGAATGAGCCGTCCACAAAGACGAAGAGTTTGGCGGTGGGTAGATCCAACGGCGCAAATGTGAGCCCGCGTTCCAAGTGATCCATTTGCCACTTTAGACGACGATTTAGCGCTGCGTAGTCGTCTGGCGATGGATTCACTTGATGCTGAGCCGCGTACGATGTGTCGAAAGACGCCTCGGGCTGACAGATCGACGCAATATAGGCGCCTCGCGCCCGCTGCTCGACAAACTGCTTCTGCGCGTCTCGTGCCGCGGGATCGACCAACTTGAGCTTCTTGCCTTGGTGCTTCTGGCGCAAGGTGACGTTGCCGTTGCCCAGCAGAGAGACGATGCCACCGTTGAAGATCAGCGGCTCGTCAATTGTGAGCATCTGCTTGGGCTTGGCCAGAAGTCCGGCGCGCTTGAGCTCATCGTCTTCCTTCTTGACGAATTCCTTGTCAGACAAACCCATGGTGTCGTCAGTCTGCATGCCAATGATGCCGAATGAGCCACTTTCAGCCGTTGAGATCAGCAAGCATGGATCATACGTCGAAGTTACCATCTGGAGGTTCTTGATATGGTGCTTGCTGTATGTCGCGTACCAGTATGTGCCCGCTTCTGCTAAGCCGTACAATGGCCAGACGACGTGGATCACAGTGCCAGGGGGATACTTGTCACGGATCCGAGTAGGTGGGTAGGCGAGAATCATTCTTCTGAGTGCCTCCTTGGCCTGGGTGTATGCCTGAGTGACATCACGGCCCCAGATGAAGTAACCAAGGGGGAGAAGTGTAGGGCCGAGCACCAGAAGCAGACGCTGGCTTGCACGCTGAATCGTCGGCGACTGCGTGAGGATGACCTTCTTGCCGTCGTCGTTGTAGCCTTGGATGACGAGGCGGCTTTTCTCGTATGGCTTGGACCCAATGCCCTTGATCTCGTTGACGAAGCGGGACTTGAAGATCTTGATGCCCTCGTGTTCAGGGCCTAACTTGACGAACCTGATGACGCCACGCTCAATGAGGCCGGCGAGCTCCAGCTTAGTGGACTCCTGGAAAGGCTTGCCGGGTGCGGTGATGGTGCCATCTTTGCGAAGTTGAGTAGCTAGCTTGAGGTTGGTCGCTTCCTTGGTTGTCAAGTGAACGACGGCAGTGGCATTCCGTCTTCCCAGCGGTCGACGGATCCGCTTGGTACATCGGGCTGACGATTCGTCTGGCTTGGATGCGGCGACGACGATCTCATCCAGGATGACTTCGTCTGCGCGGCCGGCACCTTCAACAGGCTGATTGGCAGACAACCCATCAGGTAGGCGCCCTACGTGCTCCATCGCCGTCGAAGGGTCGATTGCCTCCGTATACCACGGCTTGACCATAGTGGCGCGGAAATCAGTTGGACCACTCGGCAAGTCGAGAGTACAAGTGGTGCCGTTGGTGGAGATCAGCTTGAACGGGCCCTCCCATCCCCTGCCTTCCCGCCAGACCTTGACGTCTGATTGCAATGGTAAAGCGATGGTTGAAGTGATGTCGGGTCCATTGCGAGTGGCGAGTGCGTCTGCGACTTTCCTTTCGGCGTTGAGACGGCGGATCTCCTTCATTGCCTTCTTGACTGCTTCAGCACGTTGGGTGATCTCTGGTGATGGGGGAGAGTTGTCTGTGGTGCGAGGGAAAGCTCCGAAGACGAGTAGTGTAGGGACGAGGCCATTGGGACCGGCGGTATCGTTGATTGCCTTGACCGCGGTCTGAAGTGCAGACTCGGCGTTCAAGGAGGGGCATTCCGCCATGAGGATATCGTATGCCCTCCTGAGGTCCTTGTGGCGCCTCTCGACCATGCCCACGCTATTATGAGCCTCGACAGGCACCTCCTTGACCTCGATCGAAAGTGCTCGAGCTGCCGCCTTGAACTCCGCAGAGTGGAAGTTCCGGCCAGCGTCGGTGACAATCCAGTCCGGGGGCCCCAGGTAGACGTCAGTCCAACAGAGCCTGAAGACTTCCCACGTGTGCTTAGCGGTCATGTTATTGAGGAACTTCGCCGCCTGGAAGCCGGTGGCTACGTCGACGACGTGCAGAACCGGACACTTGACGCCTTCACGGTTCTCGAGATACATCACATCCATGATGACCTCGTAGTTGAAGTCGCACTCGTCGCGCAGGGTGAACTTGAACCTGGTTGGAGCTTGGCTGTTCAACTGGCATTGTTGACATGCCTTCGTGATGTGCTCGAGGGCCACTTTCTCCACCTCGTTACCTGACTGCCGAAGCACCTTCAGCAGACGCGGGACCGATGGATGTCCAAAGCGTCGGTGTAGACGGCGCAATTCGTTCTCCGTGAGGTAATGGACCATTGCCCTCTCGTCGTCGAGAAGCAACAGCCATGGATGACCCCACTTGCGAACGACTGGAGCAGTGATGTCTCCCTTCACCATGAGGTTGGTGACATTGTTAAAGTGGACGTCCATCTTATCCATGTCCGCCAGACAAAGCAAGAAAGGGGTGTTACTTGGCAAGACGTGAAATGTGATGTCGCCGAAGGGGGTGGAGACAGTGGTTGAGCCAATTGATTTGATGCCGACGTTGTCACCGAAGCGGATGGTAACGGTGCCAGCAGTGGTGGTATCAAGTGTGATATCACGGAACTTCTGCAGCGCAAGGAATTGTTGGTAGCCGGCAGTGGAAAACTCAGCGGCGCCGGTGTCGGGCATGATACCCTGGAACCCTCTTGAGTTATACCTTCCTTCCAACGAGAAGGAGGCGGCGGGCTCGGTGGGCTCGGCGAACTCGTCCATTGACGTCGTTCGGGTCAATCCGTGTTCAACTGCCTGGGACGCGAGAATCTCAGTGAGGGCCTTACTGCTCGCAGTGGCTTCGCCGAAGTAGGTGGTTGAGACGTGGAAGGTATCATTATCGTCGTCCTCGTGGTCGAAGTCGAGCTCGTCGAAGTATCGAATCAGCGCCTCAGTGTCGCTCTCGTCGTTGGCTGCGGTGTTGTGAGTGGAAGACTCGACGGAAGGCTCAATGCCCTCGTAGAAATCGAGGAATTGAAAGTAGGTGCGGTTGTTGGTATCTTGACTGTCGCGATTGCTTCTCATTGACTTAAACTTCTCGTACGCCTTGCGGCGGTCTTCCTCGGAATGCTTGGTCGACCAACAGCCGGGCTTGTGACAGACGTAGCACTTCTTATTACGCTGAGGACCACGTCCAGGGCGACCTCGAGATCCAAATCGCGCTTCCTTCCCTTGACCACGGTATGTTCGGTCGGTCCAGAACGACTCGGGGGTGTTGTTGTTGCTGTCGACGGAAGGACCGTGTAGGTACTGCTGAGGCTTTTCGCGTTCGCGTTCGCGCTCGATGGTATAGATTGAGGCGTTCAATTGACGGACCACACCCTGGAAGGTCTCTTCAGGTGCGAGCAAGACGTGGCGGCACTCTGGAATGCCTTCACAACAGTTAAGTAGTTGATCTCGCATGTTGAAGCCAGAACCGAATGGGGCAAGAGCGTCGTGTAGGATTGAGATCCGCTGGACGAGCTCTTGAAGCACTTGTTGGCCCGACTTGCCCGGGTTCTCGCGGGCTATAGAACGGTAGTTAAGATCGCGAAGCTCGGTGAGGTATGTGAGTCGAGTGGAAGGAGGTTCGAAGTAATCCCTGACCTTGTGGCACATGTCGTCGAAGGTCATGGTCGTGCTTGATTGACTGAGGTTGTCGAAGTAGAAAGATGCTGCCCTGCCTTTGAGCATCTCGGAGAAGGCACCTGCGTAGCCAGACTGGTCGATCCCTGCCTTACGGCAGAGGTCTCTGAATATGGCCACCTTCTTCGTGAAGATCTCGTACTTGTCGCCGCCGTACTTGCGCTCATCGGAGTAGAGCTTGGCTAGGGCAACAAGGGAGCGAGTGTCGGGCATGATGTTCTCGGAAGGAAGGTAGGGATGACATTGCTGACGTACGAGGTGTTCGTCGAGTATGGTATTACCGAGGAGCTGTTGGCCCGAAGGAGGAAGGTCGTGGCCCAGCGGGTTCGATGTGACCGGTGGAATCGCGGGTTGGGCAGGAGGTCGAGCTTGAGGTCGAGCGGGTGTTCGAGGAGGGGCAGTGCCTCTGACTTCGCGAAGGAGGTCTGCCGTCGAAGTGCTGTCGGGGAGCAGAGTGGCAAGGAACTTGAGGTCTTTCGTAATCTCGCGAAGACGGGCAGACTTGTTGCGGGCCGCGTGGATTTCCTCGTCGGTCCACGTCGGCATATTATCCAACTCGACTAGCCGGCAGAGCCGGTGGTGGTAGCCTCCTGTAGCGCTGCCAACGTTAACTCCATTGTCAACAAGGTAGTCCCTCAACTTCTTCAAGATCGGGCTACCGATGAGCTTGATGTCATCAGTGGTCCACATCTCAAAGTCCGCCTTGTATTCCCTCCACAGAAGCTCGCCAATGAGGTTGGGCTGACGCTCGTAGCAGGCGAGGATGCAGAGCGCAATGCTCTTGGCTTTCTCAGGTGTCAGTTGGCCCGCGTCGAACTCGTAGTTGCCCCATTGCTCAAGGTCGACCTCGTGGTAGTGCTTGGGTGGAATTGGAAACGGGGACTTGACGAGCGAGGCTGGGTGACCTCTAGGCGAGGGAGGCGACGACGGCGTCGCAGAGTCTGACGCTCCGGCCATGGTAAGCAAAGTGCTGGAAGATGGAAAGTATGTAATCGGAGGAGTATAGTGTATGAGGTTGACTTCAGAAGAGACAGAAGTAACCGCGAGGCAGCTCGACGGCCACACTTAACTCGGCGGTCAGCGTCGACGTTAAGCCGCGTAATCGAAGCGTCGTTTACTTGATTGGCCACGGATTCCGTTTGTTGAAAAATTCTGCTGCTTCTGTTTGACGGGCTGGAAGGTCGAAAGGTTGGCGAGGAAGCCGGAAGGTCGTGGAATCTAGCTTGGCGGTGATTTCACAGCAAACGGTCGATGCTCTCGTCTGACAAAAACTAAGGGTCTCAGGTTGTTCTCTTGAGACGGAAGGAGGCAAAAACGAGGTCGTAAAAATTGCCGCTCCTCGTAGCCGTAATTGGAGCTCGGCAAGTGGAGTGAGAGCCGTGAGGTCGGACGACTAGAGATGAGGGTATGATGGATTGAAGTTGGTGATCTTGCTGCTTCCGTGGCGGTCGACTGGCGGAAAGGATCGTAATTGACGATATGAGCTCTCGAGGCTTCCGCGATCGAGAAGGTCGAATGTGTGTAGTACAGAACGGACCGGATTCTACCAGTGAGTCCCAGTCACCTAACTTAATAGGTAAAGAGCTGATCACCGAATCGGAACTGACTCTTCTGAAGCCCGTGTGCCTTGCTGATCTGAGGTAGTGGAATTCAACCACTGATCAGTGTTGGTATACACGTCAGCAGGGCAACCGTACGGTTGGAACGAAGTGTCAATAATGGTCTATTATTGCTGCGTCTTGAGGTGGAAGGAGGAGGTTGTGGGCAGAGCCCACGGCCTCTCAGAAGTGGTATGTAAGGGGTCGTTTGTAAGTACCCATACCGCCTTCCAGATCCACCTTTTCTGCCGACTGCTCAGAGATCCAACAAGCGGCCTTCCTTGAGATCCAGGAGGTAGGCAGGATACACGACATACGAACCCATTGGTCTCCTGGGCACCAAGGTATCAAAGGAAACGAAGAAGCAGACAGCCTAGCTAAGGAGGACACAACCCTACTAGTCCCAAGAGGACAGCTAGCAACTCTATCAGGGATCAAACGGCTTGCTAAGGAGCGTATACGTCGCCAATACAGAAAATGGTGGAAACGGGAGGCAACATCCTGCTATACCCAGCTAGGACTCAAGGCCACCCTCGCTTGCGCTCCCGAACTAGCCCTGCCGCGGGCTATCCTTCATCATCTCCTAGCAGCCCTATCAGGCCATGGAGACTTCGAACAATACCACCAACGCTTTAACCATACAGAAGCACTGCTTACCTGCTCCTGCGGGGAGGCAAAGGCGGTAGACCATCTAGTCTACTGCCAAAAGACCCTAGTGAGGAGGTATCAGTGGCCTACCCTCCACCCTTCTAGCCCACTCTATCCTATAGGACCTATAGGATCTCTTGAGCGGTACTATAAGGGGTTAATCACTGATCCTATTGGCTTCCAGGCCTTTCTCCGCGTGACAGACTTCTTTCAGAAGATCTGCCCGCGGTACTAAGGACTAGGTCTTGACCTAGGCCCGACTTACGAATTTCTCCTCCTAGAGGGACAGACGGTAACAACGGAACTAGGGAACCAGCGGGAACTAGGGACGGATAGAACAGACAGTAGCCCACGGGCAAGATTTGGAGGACGTTAGGAAAAGGCGTGTACTATAGAGTATATAGCTCGAGCCTACGGCCCTCCACGCCATATACCCTTCGGGAGGTCTGCCGCAAGGGCGGCTGCGCCTTTGCCGCTACGGCGTTAAATAGAACAAAAAAAACAAAAAAAAACAACAGATATTACTCGAGCTTAAAGAATTTTGTAGGTAAAGTAGTTGGAGAGGACGATCATTCGCCAAACTGTGTTGAATAACTATAATAACACCGCAAGAGGCTTGCTAGCTTTGGCCAAACGCAAAGTATGTCCATTCAATGACTAGATGGCTCGTGGGCTAATGAAGGGATGTTCAGGGAAGTGGGTAGTGTGAGTCTGTGATGAAGCCTACATGTAGCAAGTGAAACTGGGGTAGGTATGTGGCAATCAAATCACTGCATTGGGCACTGGGCATTGAGATAAGCTAGATGATTGCTTGCTTCTTTTAATATACAACGCTGGAAGTAGAATGCCATCCAATGATATCCAAATGCCTCAACGATTTGGCCGACTCAACCAGTGCAGCACTGGGTGTCGCAGCGCTCTCCCTAAACACAGCTCATTAGAAAAGCCAAGGTTAGATAGAATCGAGAACTTACTGCCTCAGTCGTGGTTTTCGAAGGCCCCAAAGAACGCTCGAACCCCTTGCCTTTGCACATTTCGTTTAGAGATTCGGTGATGCCATCGGCAAAGCACAAGCAGGCGCCTCCAGTGCAGTATGTGATAGTCGACGAACAAGACTGGGCGGCAATGCCGGCAGCCATGAATAGGGCTGTGTAGAAGATAGAAAATTGCATGTTGTTCGAAAGGTTGATGATTGTGAGTGAGGATGCAGCGAGATATCTTGAACACGGTCGGGAGACGGGGATTCCAAGGTTCTTATAGCTTCAGCTCACCATGAACGTTTGACTCCTTGAGGGATCATGTTGAGGTCGGGTTCCCACAATACCGAAATTGAGCCACTTGGCGAACCCGAGAAATGTTGAAGGAGGACTTGAAATAGCAGGACGACCCTTGTTAGGCATGATCATCTGAAGCAACTGCGGCCGGTCAACGTGGGGTCGTCTGGAGATGCCCTCCACTTGGATGATCTGAGACAGACAGCTGGGCTCGCGTACCCCCCACATCCGATGATCGTGTTCATCCGACAACCCTTCGACCTCGATATTATTGAAGTTTGAGGCTGGGATCCAACTCTGGAGTGATGGAGCAACTTGAGACCACATAGGTGTATTCTAGTTATAAAGCAACAATGGGTGAAGTGCTAGAAAACATGTCCGTCCTGATGAAGTCGTTGATGTAGCCTTGTGTTGGTCTACACGTCAGCAGGACAACCGTACGGTTGGAACGAAGTGTCAATAATGGTCTATAATTGCTGCGTCTAGAGGTGGAAGGAGGAGATTGTGGGCAGAGCCCACGATCTCCCAGAAGTGGTATATAAGTGAAAGGGCCGTTTGTAAAGTGCCCATACCGCCTTCCGGATCCATCTTTTCTGCCGACTGCTCAGAGATCCAACACCTTGGCTTCAGTACTCAGCCTGACTCCTGTCAGAGCAGTCTTCGGCTATGTGTTCCCCCTCTCCTGGCTTACTTAATTACATCAAATGTTTATTGGCAACGGCGAGCTAGACAGCAAGAAACGGGCCGGGTTACCTAAACTTTGGGTAGACTGAATGACCTGTCCAAATTGAGGGAGTAGAATAGCCTTTCAGACGATCACTACCTAATCGAAGTGCATCAGACAAAGTGCCGTCTTGCGTGGCAACATGACTCTTGTCATACTTGAAGATACATTTGGCAGTGATATATGCGACGAGATGGCTTATTAACTCTCGGACAGGATGCCCGAGATTCAGATCTTCAGATAGGAAAACATCCGTACGATGCAGTTGATTATTATTCCATCTTTACCTAAATACCAAGCTCGCGTGCTCCACTGACTGCCTCAGATTCCTTGTTGTTTCGGATCGGAAGGTACCATGATTTGTAGTTGCGCCTCATCAAGCAAATGATTCCGCCATAACTGAGTCAAGAACCACTCAACGTGAGAAGTAAATACAGCCCTCGAAAGCTTAAAGAATGGGATGCCTATGAAGGATCCCACGAGTAGAAAACCACTCAATACGGTGTATGCAATACGGCGTACCCAATACAGTAATTGGAAACTCCTTGGCAGGGCCATGATACTCGCATAAGTACGGAGTAATGCGCGACTCGTACTGTTTGGAGCGATCTTTGCGATTAAGGCATTCCCAACCAGAAAACTCGTAATAACTTGAAGTCCGGCTCGGTGCACCGCGAATCTTCAACGACAGGAGCTTCCTGGAGCTCGACACGACTAGCATGTAAGCTGATGAGGGCTATATTCTTTACACCATGTAGTATTGTTCTCAAGCGTTGGCCTTGGTGAAAGTTACCTTTCCAAGCTGCGCAAGTCTATGTCTCACAAACACCACCGTGCACCAGTACACTGAGGTTCTTCTCTTGCGTCGAAATCTGTACGTCAAGAGCAGGATTACCCTGGAAGAAGTTGACCGGTGTCAGCCCTACCATCATCTTCTCGCACGGCATCACCGGCCAGTCTTCAATACGAGGATTATGCGTGGACCCAAATGTGTGCCAGATTACAATGTCCTCATTGCGCACCGAAGAAGAGTCGTCATCTTGCCGCTGATCTATCCAGGATCCGATGCCATCCTCTCCGGTTGACTGCATGGTAAATCTCCCCGCTGGGAAAAGCTCCTCATCGTGATGCCGCGTCACCCAGACAGCGTGTGATGTATATCTCGCACGCTTGCCATGCCATGAATTTGGGTGGGCGAGAAGAAGCTGACTATAATGAGGGAGCAGCTTGAAGCCGACAGCGGTTCCAGTAGTGGAGTTGGTGACGTTCTCGTTGACGACTTTGAAAGTTCGGTTGGTGTTGAAATCTAGATCTAAGCCTGCCTCTTTCTCAATGACTTTAGATGTCGTGGTGTACCCGACGCCAAAAGGGTTGTACGTATCCGTGTCTCCACTGAAGGCAATTGGATGGGACTCTTCGACAACCAATGAGTTTCGAGGCCCATCGATGGCAGCGTCGATTCTCAAGCAGAAGATGTGTTGATGATATGGCGCCAATACGCCAGGAGCGACGATGGTTCCCCAAGGGACCTTGGTGTCAAGATCAATGGGTGCTGTCGACATGATGCCCGTAGCGCGGACTTCATAGAATACGGACCCGTCCTGCTGAAAGTAGAAAAGGAAGATGTACTCGTAGTTGCTGACCGTGATGATGGTCTGCAGCACAAGAACTCTAGATCTTGTTACTACAGCGTTTCCCGTCCGGAAGTTCGTGTGTTTCCAGAGAATACCATCGTCGATCTCATGGCAGCAAATGACGTTTGGCATCTTCAAAGGTTCTCCTGAAGAGGTACTGAGCCACCCGTCAAAGTACTTGATGTGTCCAAGACAGTCGCAGCCCAACTTGAGGTTATTGGCGTTGATGCCAGCGCCGTCGTTTCCCAAATCGAAGGCAGCTTTTCGGGGATAGGGGCATCGAGGGTCACCGTAAGGCACGAACATCTCTACAAGAGACAGACGATGAAACAGGCTTCGACCCTCGAAACGGATATCGTGAAGTGTCATACCCTCTCTGTAGTTGAAACCGACTCGCATTGTCCACTTTTCCCAAGAAATATGGTTTTCGTCGATACTGAACGAAGGACCCTCGGGCTGGGAGACTTGATACGGCTTCGTTGTCGTCCTGCGCTCTTGAAAAAAATCGGGGTGGTATTCGCTATTGGAATGAATTTTGCGGCGGTCAAATTCCTTCCCCTTGTTGCTGAGCTGATCGTGCTCTCCAGAAGGCAGTCGGTAAATCTTGACGACCTCTAGGGTGTTGGATACCTCGGCACAGATGTCCAGTGGGTAGGCGTAGTAATTCGCGTCGGGGTTATCAGAGAGTCGCATATAAAACCAGGCCTGGATTCATTAGTGCTCTGGGAACCAAAGGCAGAGTAGTAATCTCACCATTGTCCAGCGGTCTTTCATATCCTTCATGCCATCCGTGGCATATGCCCAAGGCTCAACGACGACGGTTGCGCCCTCTGGCAGCTTAAGGGCACTAATCTCGCGTTGAACACTTTCATCTGCCAAACAGGCTGCAGCAACTTGAGCCATGAAGTCGGTGTCTATAAAGGAATGGCGACCTGGCAGGGGAGTGATAGATGCAACGGTCGCCGAGTCCAAGTCGACAATCATCTCATGCAGAGTTTTTGCGATGTAAGCCTGAACCCTGGCCTGTCTTGCTGGGTAGATCGCATCATTGTTGCCAGCATGCTCGCCGTCGAGGAACTTAATCAGCTCTGTTTTGGGCGGCTCGGCGAGAGAGATGGCTCGGAAAAATATTTCTTTGCTTTGGTTCGACTCTCGAACAGCTGAGGCAGCCTGCATCGTATTAGACTCGTGATACAAATCATGTGTGAGAATACACCCTCATGCTAGGTAGCCAACTCACATGGCTAATTTCTTCTGGGCGCAAAGGATCAAGCGGATGTGGTTTCCGCTCGATGTTAGCGTCCCCCATCTGTACTTGGTACTGTTGATCGATGTGAATGCCAAAGTAGTAAGCTGGCATGACAATAGATCTTGTTTGAATCAAAAGTTGACTACCGGTAGACAGAGACGAAAGTAAAGAGACTTGGGATGGGCTGTCAGGGCAGTAGCCGGGGTTTTAAACTTCGCAATGGCGCCGAGAGCGGCACATGTGACTATCTCGGGGTTAATAAGCCGATGATTCGGAGTGATAGCGCATCCCCGCACCGGGCGGCGTGCGTCGCTGTCCCCGAAGGGTAGTTGGAGCCTCGAAAGTGGGGAACTTCTTCCGATGCCGTTCCGCAAAGGTAAGGAATTGTCGAGATAGTAGCCGGTTCTCCGGTCGTCAACCCGGTTTTTCGCCCATGATACCGGCCCGGCCCGTCTATCCTCCAGCAAGCCGAGATGTCTTTCGCGCCCTTCGTGTGGACCCTCTTCCGCAACTGTCTAGCTGTTCATGGCGAACTTGTTTGGTCTCTAAGCGATGTCGTTTTAAGAGGAATGTTAATATTGAGGTTCACCCTGCGTAGAAGATATAGCAGCCGTTATTAAATTACCAATTACAGGAAGTCTACTATTCATCACCTATCCCCTACTCTTTATTCCTTGCCCGCCAGTCCCACTGCGGTACAAGTAAGCGGCTTAAGTCCTCGGGCCTTTCGAATCCTTGACAACATAGGCATCCAGCTGCTCTTTGAAATTAGATCCTAGCCCTCAGGGTAAGCCATCCTCCCAGAAGAAGGGAACGAGCAGCAAAATAGCAAACACCACCCAGGAAGAGGATAGCAAGATAAAACCCCGAAAGTGCCGTCCCACCCATACTCTCAAGCATCTGCCCTCCGATGGGCACAGTAACCAGCAAAGAGAAACTGACCACGAAGTTCATTGTGCCTTGGAGTTCAACTGTTAGTTGATAAAGCAGATAACAGCGATGGAAGGACTGCACTTACCAAGGTACCTTCCATAATCCTTTGGCTCGCAAGTCTTTCCTAAACAGACTAGGCCGAGTTAGCAATGCAATTCGTCTGCAAGAACCTGATGATGGCAAACCCTTACCTGGCGTGCTCGAGAGGAAGGACCCAGATCCATAGCCCCATAGAGCGGCAAAAGAATACAAGGCACCAATATATTTGGTCCCAAAAGGCACGAAAACGACACCCGTAAACACGATGGTAATACCTATCATGATCATGAGGATGTTGAGGTGGCCAATTTTATCACCGATCACGCCGGTCATGATGCGGCCGAAACATGAAGTGCCGTTCAAAATGGCTACAAGAGAGAAGCCGATATTAGAGGGGAAGCCTGCAGCGATGGCAAAGGTGGGCAGTAGACCAGTGATTCCAAAGAGAACAAACTCTAGCATGAAGAGACCTCCAGCCATAAATCCAAAAGGCGGAGAGCGAAAGGCTGAGAAGTTGAGCATGGCTCCTACTCTCCCAACTGGTGCTCCGGCAACGGGAGTCGACAAGCGAGGATATGGAAGAAAGCATAAGACGCCCACGACCATGATACCGAGAACTAGGAAGCCCATGATTCTCATGGACCACTGCCAGCCCAGTCTAGGTAGGATTGACCGAAGCATCATCGAGATTGTCACACCTCCAAACGAGGATCCGGACAGGGCGACGCCCATGGCAAGTCCCTTGCGACGGTTGAAGAGCTTTCCGATCACTGCCACCGCGATTGTTGATGTGAGAGCGCCGCCGATGCCACCTAGTACTCCTAGGCAGAGAATGAAGTGCCAGTATTGCGTGCATTCGCCCATGATGAAAAACACGGGCACATATAGTGCTACAGAGATGGGAGCTAGCCACTTCGTGCCGTAGGCGTCCATCAACGGCCCGGCCTGGATCCCAAGGAACAGCGCAAGCGAGGTGAAGATGCCGCTGATCCAACCAAGATCGCGAGTGGAGTACTCACTCAGCTGGTTCAGCTGGAGGTATGACTGAACAGTTCCAACAGACTGCATGAACCCTGTCATAGAATTTGAGCAAAGTCCCAAAGATGAGAAGCTGCTATCGAGACACTCACCGTATGATGGATAAAGAAACATGAAAGATCCTAGAACACAGAGCCAGGCTAACGGGCTAGATTCGGGGTCGCGATGATGGGAACTCGTCGGACTTCGCATTGCTCCCAACTCGATAGCGGCCAGCGCATCGAGTGAGTCACTTACGGCTACTCGATCTCGTTCTTCTGAAGCGCCCATTGTTGCTCTCAAACACACTGCTGAACTTTGCTGATGAGTGCTCGATGTATGCCAGAGAAAACATGCAGTCCAATTTACGGAATTTTCTCCTCTTCAATCTTATCTCGGGATCTGTCGCAAAAACGACGCCGTTAATTACGGGCAGCAATTAACGCCATATATACCCTACGACAGGATCCTATGCCGTCTGCCCGGGACGCCTGCCGAAGACGGCGCATGCACGTAGTAAGAGTCATTCAGACCTGCCGACTACGCCTTGCAACCCTTGCGTCTCATAAATCACCGTAAGTGGCAGAAAGTGGGGTACCGCGCCCTAAGCTTATCATGTGTTCGCCCTAGGTCGGTTCAATGTGAAGTCGATCTAGAAGCGCTTTCAGAAAGTTTGCATGTCTCCACGTCCGATGGACGGAGATGGATTGGGGTAGTTCTTTAGTTGGGGTTCCTCGGGAAACTCTTCCCACTAAGGCAGTTTTGCGCGGACACTATAGTAGAGCTCACAAAGCAGACACAAGTTTTAGCCTTTCACTAATTTCAAAGCCAGTGGCTTGTTTGAAATCTTGAATGTAATGTATTGACACACAAGCTGAGATGTATATACAGGAAGATCACCTCGCTTGCTAGAATATCTACACAGATCACAAGTAAGAAGCCTCAACCAAGAAACCGACGGTGAACTTGGAGTGGCGGAGGACGGCAGACCACTGGATAGTGTCGTAGCTCTGTTCCATGTCAAGTCAGCAATTAATTTATTGCCAAAGTGGAAGTAGCGGTCACTTACGTCGTTAGGGCTGTGGATGTAAGGCGTGGAGGTGTCGATGGGCTCATCGCAGACGTACGCAGCAGCTGTAAGATCGGGTTAGCTATCTAGTATCACATGGCCCGAGAGACAGGGGTCAACTTACGGAAGCCGTTGGAGCGAGCGCTGGCGTGGTCGGAGCACCCGTATCCGCAGACGTCGCTGGTGGGCGTGCTGCCGGTGTACTGAGTTCCGATGAGACGGACGTAGGTGGTGAGAGCAGAGTCGACTGTCAGGAGTTAGTCATGCTACTACATGTATGCTTGCGATGGTCCATGAGCTTACCATAGTCGTTGTAGACCGAGATCTTACCAGAGGGAGAGTATCCAGCCATATCCTGGTTGACAAAGCCAAGAACGGTCTTTCCGGCGGACTTGTAGTTGGCAAAGACGGCCTGGGAGCCGAGAAGGCCACCCTCCTCGCCGGCGTAGAAGTGGAACTCGAGGGTGTTCTTGGGCTTGAAGCCAGCTTTGGCAAGGACACGGAGGGCCTCGAGAATGACAACGACACCGGAGCCGTTGTCGTCTGCACCGGGTCCACGGGCAGTGGAAGATCCTCCAGTGGAGTCAAAGTGGGCACCGACAATGACTGATGGTCGCAATTAGCATATGAAGAATGGATTTAAGATGGATGGCTCAACATACCCAGGTCGGAGCTGGTTCCGGGAATCTTGACGATGATGGAGGGCTGGCTGAAGGAGTGAGTGAACTGGGTGACGGTGATGGCCGAGTTGGCAGCCGCAACAGTCTTGACCTGGTTGAACAGCCAGGTGGCGGCCTGAGTACCGTAGGTGGAACGGTAGTAGCGGTTGTAGAAGCTGACACTGTTAGTGCAGGCTCGCAGATCGCATATTAGGAGTTTAGAACTCACTCGGTCAAAGTCTTGAGCCAAGTCTGGGGGTTGGTGTTCGACACAGACGCGATGAGGGTGTTTGCCTCGGTGACGTGGGACAGGGTGGTGGGGTATGTCACTCTGGCCTCAAGGACCTCCTCCGGCGGGGTGGACAGGACCGCCAAGACCTCATCGTCCTTTGATGGGTTAGCTTCATCCAAGAATCAACGTGAAAAAGTTGAGACCTACGGCGATGTCGGTGATGTCAATGAAGCCAATGTGCTTGTTGACATACTCCTCAATCTTTTGGTCCTCCGTGACCCAGGTGCCGGCGTCAGCCTCGGACGTCTTGATCAGACGGAGCGCAGGGCCAACTTGAGTCTCCTCCGTAGCAGGCGCAGCCAGGGCAACCCTGGAGGCCGCGAGGATCGCGAGAGCAGCGTGGAGATGCATCGTTCAAATTGTCCTGTTGATAGCGGCGTCCGTTGATGAATTGTGCAGGTGCAACGAGTGGAGCAAGGGGACCTCTCTGGCCAAGAGCTTGGTGAGAAGCCCTCTTTAAATACACTCATCGCACCCTAAGGAGAAGCGAAGCATCTACGGCATCCCGCCCATCGCTTGCGGGATGTGGAGGATCAGCCAGGACGACGGCAGGACCCGTTGCCCCAAACAGGCATCTCATTATGGCAACGGCTTTCGCCGTCGTGGCACGCAATACAATGAATAAACAGAAAGAGGAAGCCCGTTATTCAGAAGCCCGCAAACACCATTCAGTCTCTCGGGGGATGGAGAGCATACGGCAGGAGCATTTAAGCTTATCATGATCGCCAAGCCCGCGCGAACTTTAGGAGCTGCCCAACGGAGCTAGTGTCGGCTGTTGGCTGGGTCATTGATGCTACCCCGGCCGGCAGTCCCGCACACTCTGACTGGGTGTTTGGGGGACGTTATTGGATGCTGCTTGGGTTGTAATGTCGCTGAAGACGACTTCGGTTCTTGGCAAATCCACATCACGGAGCTTGTGAGCTGCTTTCTGCGCTGGAAAGGAATTCGTCTCTATGACGCGCTACTGAGTTACGTCCTGCTTTGTTGGTGCTCGTAACTTGAAGGGTGAGGGCTCAAATCTTGGGGGCATTTTTGATACGTCTCAATACCCGTACTCGTACTCCGAAAAGATGAAACAAACTCCTTTCTGTCATCCTGCTATTTTGGGCTTGTAGTCGTCGACCCTTAAGATACCCAAGTTGTTACCGTACACGATGAAAAACGCCAGAAATCGAGGCCTACAGGGAGCTTGACTCGTCTAAACCCGAGCCCTCACGACAATGCAACTTGAATGCTCCGAACGTTCTTTCAGACAACCTCAAGCTCACCTTCCCATTTCTCTCTCAAAATACAGTGTGGCTACGCGTCATCAATGAAAAGACAGACGCAAACGGCATAAGAAAACCATACATTTGCATGTGTCGGCAACGATGCAACAGTCCCTCTTGCCGCTGGCTCAATCAACCTCATGAGTTGCTATCGGCTTCCCCAACTGGTCGGAACTTGCATGAGTTGCGACGGAATAACACATCCCGTGACCCGTTGGCCGCCGTGTATCCAAATACTTATGACCGCCACCACTGGCGAAGTGTCTTCAGCCATGTCTTTGAAGGCATTGCCTTTGTGTCGGGAACCTTTAGGTCGGACCTCTTCCCAGTCTCTTGATGAGTGACGCTAGCTCTAAAGTCTTCCTGGAATTGTGTCATTGCATCGGCCCCCTTCCAGATATCTTCAGAAGTCATTTCCCGCTGGCCGGTTTTGGCCAACCCTTGAGCCAGAAGCGATATGTTCTTGATGTCCCGTCCACTGACATCCAAGCGTGATAATTGGGTGAGAAACTCTTCTCTAACCCAAATGGGACGCTGTCCACGACATGCTCGTGTGATCCAGGTATCCCAGAGTTGTCTCCTCGCTGCTTCGGATAGAGGCTCGTATGAGAGCGCTAGATGAATTCGAGACATGAATGCGCTGTCGATTGTTCCAACACGATTGGTTGTTAAGAAGAGTGTTCCTTCGAAGTACTCAAGGGTGCGCAGCAGCACTTATCACATCAGTATATGCTATCCGCAATATAGAGACGAGTGCTTTTTGTACTCACTGGAAACTATTCCATTACGCTCCAGATCTTGTAAATTACGAGCTTGCATGAATACATCTGCTTCGTCTAACAGCACAAGCGCTTGCCACCGGGTAGCACAATGTAACAGTCGTGCTAAGGACAGTTCGACTGCGGCCGGCGGACCAATGAACTGGCCTGAATTAGACGTGATGAGTGGCCGACGAGCGCGGTCTGCCATCACCTCTATGTCAAGGCGTTAGAGTTACTCGGGTAGATTTCAGAGTGATTATCAGAACTTGCCTGCAGTGAATGTTTTCCCAACGCCCGGAGGACCGTGCAGCAGAATGATTACACCTTTTCCTTTACCTTCGACGAAGTCATCGGTACTGAAACCCTCCAAGTTTCGAGACATAATAATAGATGATATGAGCTGTTTCTTGTTACTAGGAAGAACGAGATTCTCGAAACCCTCGTCGTTGAAGGTGACTGGCTGGATATCCTCAACGTTGAACCACCCCCACTGCTTGTTGATCAAGGTGAACGCCGGGACCTCATGACTACAAATTAATAAGACGGCATCATCAACTTTGAGATCCGGCGATGCAGGGCCGATGATATCCTCTTCATCCTCTGAGAAGTCCAAGGCACGACCCTCGAGATTTTGGTAACATTCCTCGAAGTCAACGATGATTCTCTGTCGAACCTAAGGTACCCAAAGCTTAGTATTTGTATCTCTCGCCATCAATTGTAGAGCCTTACCGCAGCTGTGGTGAGATGGTAGTCGATTGTGGTTGGCGCTCCTCGTCTACTAAGCCTAGCTTTCCCATCGTACTGGCAGTGGTGAATGCCTATCAAAGAGATATACTTTGTCCCTCTCTTGAGCATACGACGCTTGATAGCTTCTTCTTCCCGGTGGAATCGTAATGGGAAGATACTGAGTGTCGTGAACGGTGCAAACCCCTCGTATTTGAAGACAGCGGTACCTTTGTAAACGTATCCAACCATGCTTCCGTCGGTCTCTATCGTCTTAGTCACTAGCCACCAGTGCTCGTAATCTTCGCCCGCGCACATTATCTCCATGGACTGGAGTGTAACAAGGTTCTCGATCCCGCGGACCTTCTGGTAAAGTAGCTCGCCTGGCTTGTAGGCCATCCAAAGATTCTTGAAGTCTATACCGGGATTAGGGGACTTGTCTCCGACGGTTGCGTTGTATCTTGAGATCTCATTCCGGAATGAGCGGTTGACATATTGCAAGCACAGGGTCATATGACTCTGTAAAGTTTTGTCGTTGGATGAGCTGGCATACTTTTCAAGCTCTGCGTGATGGTGGAAGAGACACCGACTGGAGTCAGGCGTCAGGACGACCTTGCTTGTGGCACTAAAGCTTACTCCAGGGTACACTTTGACGACTTCTCGCAAAGCTTTAATCAAATATGGTGATCGTACTTCCAACGAAGTGCGCCACGGCTGAAGGACTTTCGAAGTGGAGTAGAAGCGGGTCAAGACAAGAGCTGCGTTGTGGCTGCGCTCCTTCGGATTCTCGAACTCCTGCTTGATTCCAACTCTTAGCAGAATTTCTTCGCCCCGGGTGTCGTACCGACTATCGTAAACGTGCAACTCAGAATCAACACCGCTACCGTCGTCTATGTCCACGGCGTCCACAAAATCAAGGCCGTCGGGCTGCTCGCTAGGCTCGGAACTCTCGCGGTAGTCATCGTAGTTGCCGCGGGTTTCGTCGTCTTCTGCATTCTCCAAATGTTGATCATCGCAAAAGTGAGTGGACCCTGCCGAGACGTGTTTGAATTCTTTGATGTCGGTCTGTTGCGTTGTGTAGATCCGCAGATCACTATCCTCATAACTGCTTGTGGGTTCTTGCTGTTCAGAAGTGGCTGGGACTCTGTCTCTCAAACCCGGAGTTTCGTTTCCCTGAGCTTCCGAGGATTCAACAGTCATTGTGTCTGTTGGAAAGCCACGTATACCTGTAATAAGTCTTTATCAGTGCGGGTTCAACTGAGGAATACAATAAGCTAAAGGGAAGAAATGAGAAAAAAGCCTCTTCGTACAGATTGAGGGTGCTTCCCTTTCTATGTCAAATTCAGGCTGAGAACGTCTGCACATCGAGAAACTGTGTGGCGTCGTAAAATGGTCCGCCAAGGCAGAATAACGCAACGTTAAGTACATCCAGGTAGGTGCGATTAGGTACGGACCCTCAGAAGTAATCCAACATGTGTACTGTTGCTGCCTGCATGCGATAGCTTCGCTTGGCAACACCAGGCTGCATTACCGGTCAGTGCCATTACACATCGGGATACAAACTCCGGGACACACGCTGGAGGTCGACCAACCCCTCATATTTGGCCGTGGCATTCGCAGCAGTAGGGTTTCATTCAATGATGCAGGCTGGCAACTAGTGCTAGAGAGACAACTTCCACCGCACTTCGAGCCATCCAGCCCTGAAGACACCGGTACAGCGGCAACGATAAATATAGCTGAGTCCAATTCAGAATAGTACTTCTGCAAGACAAGTAACATAAAGGCTTGTTCCTAGCCTGTGATTCCACCAGCCTTACTTTCGCCAAAACATGGTCGTACAGACCGTCAACATGGCCGCGTTCTCAGGACCAAGCCCGGCGTCGTCGATGCTTGCGTGTCAGCTCTGAGAGCCACCTGTTTGCATGCCTATTGTCAGCTGGCAACTCCAGTTTCTTCCGGTTGCAAAAAGCAACGTGAAATCACTTGCGTGCGCTGTGCCGTCAGAGCTTTTGACAATATGATTCGCTGCCTTGGTCGGCGTGTCACTTGTCCTGTGTACCATAATCTCGTTGATCGCATGATAAGGTTGATGCAATGGGCTTTCTAACAACCATAGGTCCATCATTGAACCAGAGGCTGCATGACTGCTCGAGGCGCGCTGGGTCGTGATTTGAGTCTGAGACCACGTACGCGGAATCCGTGCAAACGATCGTTTATGCGCAGTCTGACACTTGCATGAGTAAAAGCACATGAAGCCCTTCTGAAATTTCGAGAGAAGAGTGTTGTACGGGGAACCTCGTTGAAAACACGCTATGTTTTCTCCTAGTTGTGTAATGTGCACAGGTACGTCGACTACCTTAGGTAGGCGGCTAGGAAGAATAAAGAATCTCACCTCCTTCGCGTTCGATTTCGTCATATTGAGTCAATGGATTCAGCCGTGGATGAGATTTCCGGGTATTGCAGCTTAAAGGTTCCGTGGGTTCCAATGAAAACAAAGATATGAGCCCAACTGGAAAAGCGATGTGAATACGATGCTTCAGTTCAATATGTGTTAGACTTGGTCATTTCAATACGTTTCGATTCTGGCTCCGGGCCCCAGGTTTTTATATTCACTCATGATTTCGAGGGTATCCATCCCAATATTCACCCTGCCTCTTCGAATAGCTTGGAGTTCCCACTCGAAACTATTCGGTGGTTTTCAGCCCTCTTCGCGATCTTTTGGGATCTTCTCAGCCCCGCAAAGTATGTGCCTCCTGACAAGGGACACTGCAGAAGTTGCATTCAGGCTTGGAATACTGGAACCAATCAAAGACATTTCGGGCTTTGGGGGACCGTTTGGGACTTTTTGCTACCCTTTTCCCCCCAGGCTTGAAGCGCCCTGCTTTAGCCAGTTCAAGGGGCTTGCCGACACTCCTAAGGTAGTGAGACTGCCCATTGAATCGTCTCGAGTGTGACTTAGGCCATGCACAGACGCGGAATGCGCCTTGCGAAGCACATCTTGTCTTCAGCCCCGAATCGCGAATCGAGTCCATACTTGATCACTGTCCGCCAGTGGCCGTAAAGCAAGCAAATTGCTCGTAGTCTGCAGTGGGCACTTGTACACGAGTCCCTCCCTACTGCTTTGCACGTTGGCGCAACAGTGTAAGTACATGTACCTTCTGACCTAAATCTGTCTCAGTACCTTACTCAAGGTAAGTAGTAGTTACACGTTATTGTCCGAGTGTCCCATCTCAGGCGACCAAAATGGCTGCCAGCAAGCAGGCTCCCAGGCTGACTAGTGCAAGGCAGGAGAGCCCCCTGACTGCTTCATTTGCCTGCTCTCGTCCGTACCAGATAAGATCAGCCCTGCGATTCTATTGGGCATGCTGTGTATGCGATCCCTTTCCAAGTTGCCGCTTACGCTGCCATCCAAGGTTCAGTTGGGCTTTTCCCGATCACTTTTGGGAACTTTGGGGAACTTTTTGGGAACTTCCTTGCCCCTCACGTCTTTCTGTCGGTTGGTCTTTTGCAGTGCCCCGGCCACATAACGTCGCCCATCCCCCGATTTCGTCTATCCCCCAACGTGCACCCGTTACGGCCATAAAACTATCCCTTCCGCATCTTGATCCCGGTGAATCACAAAGACTTTTTTAGCTGCTCAGACTTGCATCAGATTTATTATCTTCTATCAAAACCTATTCGCAGAATCATGGAGCCCTATCATGAGCTTGTACCTAATGCCAATGTTTGGAGCAGCGAGTCTTCGAACCAGAACGTGCCAGCGCCGCAATTCCTCCCCTTCTGGTATCACGAACAGCCAGCGCAAACGAGATCAGAACTTGTCCCGGCGATGTTGCAGTCCCAAAATGGAGAGTCTTCCAACACCTCGAGCTCGGAGAACCGTGGCCCGCAGGAGAAAAGACGAAAGCACAACAATCCTAATTGGGACGCACACCAGTCGGAGCTAAGACAGCTTTACCTCGATGAGAACAAGACACTGGTGGAGACAATGCAACTGATGAAGGAAAGACATAATTTTATTGCGTCGTAAGTCCGCTAACTAGGGAGCTCGTCTGATCAATATCTTTGACTCACAACTTCTCGAACATCCAGGAACAAGCTTTACAAGCTCCAGTTCAAAAAGTGGGAATGGCAGAAGAATCTTCCCGCAACTCACTCTCGATTCATGGTCGAAAAGGCACGGAAGAGAAAGCACGAAGAGAACAAGGAGACGGTATTCAGGTATGGAAACCAGAACTGGGATCGAAGCAAATACGCGACCCTGGCTCGTAACAAAAAGAACCAGACGTCTCCGCAGGCACAAGGTGAGTGCCTCCTGATAGGATACTCTCAGTGGCTAGACTTTTGATCAGAAGCTGATAATTGCCATGCAGATTATCCCACGCCTGTGGGAGTCAGCTACAAGACCCCCAAGCCAGTCGATCTTACGCAAATCGAGGAATACCACCACAGTGACGAGTCTCCGGCTGGATCAGATGGCGACGTATCTGATGCGGACGCCGGTGTCACAATGTATCCGCAAGGCACAACCGACGAATCCAGTGACGCGGAGATCTTCTCTGATGACGAAGAGGAGCAGACCGACGACTCGGATGATGTCGGAATTCCTCTACTCCGCTCCCAAGGCTATACGCGGGAGGAGCTTCTGAACCTTCTCAATCTAGCACGAAGCTACAATCAAGAGGGGAGAGTGAAAGAAGCGGAAGACAGTTATCTCCAGGCGAGCCATGCACTCTCACATGTCATAGGTCGGACCCATCAGGAAACAGCCAGCGTAAACTACGAGCTCGCCAACTTCTATGCGCAACATAAACGCACAGAAGATGCTGATGCCATCATCGACATCATGACGGGTGACTTTGTCAAAGACTGGGGACATGAACATGACAGAACACAGAAGCACATTCTGCACACGACCGAGCTCCTAGAGACATGGGGCAGGTCTGCCGATGCCCTTGGGATCTTGTCTCACTCGTGGGAAATCATCGAGAAGCTCGACCGCAGGGGACATCGTAGCACCCGAAGAACACAGACACCCGGTCGAGTCACGAAGTCTTGGGCTCTTGGCCCAATTCCTGATCTCCAGCAAACTATCGACAAGGTCAGGAAACAGGGCTCTGTCGCCACAATTGACCACGGGATCTCTGTTGCCAAAGCCCACGTCAACGCCAGAAACCAGGCATCTGAGGGCTTGCTTCTGGCCATCATCCAACACTGCAAAAGGCATCCCCAAGGCCTTGTACTGCGTCGTGTTCAAGCAACGGCCGAACTCTTAGGCCTTTATAGCAAGCTCGGTACGGCCGATGAACATAGATTTCACTTTGTCGGCGCCGAAGATGCTCTGACGGTCATATTCAACGAATATGGGTGGACAAAAGAGAGATTCCAGAGCATCGAGCTGATGGAGGCTTCTATGCAACTAGCACTCAACGTCTTCAGAGGTGGCTTCGAGATACATGCTGCAAGAATGTTCGGGAGTGTGGACGAAAAGGCGGAGTGGCTTTTTGGTTACGACGATGAGCGAACAATCTGGATACTTATAACGATAGGCTTGGCTTATCAGAGTAATGCAGGGTGGGACCAGGCTTCGAAGTGGTTCGAAAAGGCTTTCTCTGCGGCTCTAGGCAGTGACCAATGGGACGACGAAGACGGAATCGTCAGGGCGCTGCAAAATGCGATAGACAAACGCCACTTTTCGTATCTATCGGATGAAGGGCGGCCATACAAGACAATCTTCGGAATTTCAGGAATCTCGATCCGCCCAGGAAGATTGCATTTGAGTTGATTCGACCCCGCAGTCTTACACAACAAAGAGGTGGCTACTTATCGAGGCAAGGTTTTGAGTTGCTACGCGGCCTTTTCTTTTCACATAAAGTGCGACGAGAAGTTCCTATCAGAAATATGAATACATTATTGGTTGTTAGTCCTGCGCTAAATGAAGCATAGCCGACTTTGTAAGGTAGCCAGACACTAGATAGACGGGAGGAGACCTTTCAGGACTGAACTTCCGATCCTCACGTCCGCTGTACAGTGGCTCGTGGACTCATGTTCAATTTCCTTGTGCAGCTAGAGTTGCCGAACCAAAACTCGTAATCGTGTTTTCAAATCACCAAAATGGGATGCAAACCCTCGAGGAGCTTTCGTAGCAGTTAAGATATAACCGGGCACAGGAATATGTAGAGTGGCTAACATATCTAATCTGCAGGGGGTAAGCATTTCCACTGCCCTGAGTAGAACAATGCCCGTCTCTGAAATCCAGTCGATCCGAGTCGTATGAGAATCTTATTGTAAGGATGGCAACTTCAGTGACTCCTGGAATGATGATGTGCCACTGCTGTTCACTCCAGCACTTCCGACCGTGGCATGGAAGTTAAGGGTTCATCAAGCAGAAGAAATGGTTATGAGTGGGTATCGTGGTTTGTATTAATTTTCGTGTCGTGCCTTTCTCGTGTGTGTGAAGTTTGTAACACAGGCCATGACTTTCAGTAATGTACGTCTCCAGTCTGAGTATGAGTACCAGTAGTGTAGCGGTAGTGTAGTATGTACTCAACAAGCAGACTTAACCCGACGCATCCAATAACCAAGCATCTTTCAGTCGTGATACGTCGTAAGGGAGACCTGATAATCCCCTCGAAGCCTCATTTCGCTGAGCTCTTTGCCGAACACTTCACCTTGCGCTTCACCTCGCGCCCTTCCTCCGCCCAATAAGGGTACCCCTCACACCCCCCACTCTGATCCCACTCCTTCTTCAACAAGCGATCAATCTTGACAACCTGCTTATCATACCACAAATCCAACCAAATCGCATTCTTCCTCTTCTCCTCCTTGAGAGCCTTCATCCGCCTCCGATAGCACTTCTCAATCCTCTTCGCCATCAAGATATCATTACTCGACATCTTCCTCGGATACCTCTTCTCATTCTCAGTCGGCTCTCTGGAACCGAGACCACCGGGGAAGAACTGCATGTTCGCAGCCAGCATCCTCATACTGTAATCCTCATCCATGCGCGCGTGGTCGTGTAGCTGGCATTCTTTGAGGTCGGCTAGCTGTTCGCGGAGTTTGTCCTGTTGTGTGATGGCTAGGCAGTTGACGTATCCTGTGCTCTGGGCAAAGTCTGAGGTCGCGATGCCGTGTTGTTGGATTGCGTCGAGGCCTTTGTAGACTTCCGGCTTGGGGATGAGGAAGCCCATTGGGCGGGGGTAGGGGACCATGCGGTTGAAGATGCGGAACATTGCGGCGGTTGGTTGTTTATTTGGTGAGGATGAAGGATAGGTAGAGGTGGACGGGAATGGGTAAGAAGCCTTTGGACTTCTGACCAGGTGTAGTTTGTTTTTGTGTAGAGTTGCAGCCTGTAAGTTGTATTTGTAGTGTGGCTGGACCGACTATGTCTGATGATGTATCAAGTTCTGGAGCCTAATGGTTCGGTGATGTGGAATTGAGTATGTGGATGGAGGGTTTCTGACGTGGAGAGTGAACCGTAGGCTTGTGAGTTGTATCAGACAGGAGTGGTGATTTCTCTAGGAATAATCGAACAAGTTGGGAGGAATGGTGCGAACTATATAGCGTCTGATATGCCGTCAAGGTGCGACTTGCCATCGTCAACATGGTCCTAGGTTCAGTCAGACCATGGGATATCGTGGTTAAACCTCTCTTTTCTTTTGTTTTTGTGGAAAGCTTGAGCGCCATCTTGCTCATCTGGGACCTTGCTGGGGCATTGTCACGATCGAGTGTTGGTTGTACCATGGTATCTGAAAACGATAAATGTATCTCCTTCTGCTCCATGACCAAAGAGGCAGCTCTTTCAGGCCTGCGTTCAAACGGGCTACTTCCCGAGGACCTTCCGCAAAGCAGAGGTTATTATGATCCAGAAGCCGGGGAAAACAGATTTCTCAAAGACTGGATCCTGGCGTCCAATCTCCCTCTTATCCTGCTTAGGTAAAGGCCTAGAGCGGCTGATAGTAAAGAGGATGGTATACCTTACCATCTTAGAAGGAGTTGCTAGCCCATAGCAGATTGGGGTACTGCTAGGAAGGGCTGTAATCGACCTGATAACCTGTCTAACCCATGAGATAGAAAGGGCTCTAGACTTAGGGCTTACTGCAACTTTAGCAACAATGGACGTTAAGGGGGCGTTTGATTCCGTTCTACGAAATCGACTTATTATTAGGCTACGGTAGCAGGGCTAGCCTAGTAGCCTGATTAGGCTGATCTTTACCTTTACCTCTAGCCGAATTGCTCCGGTCAGGCTAGAGGATATTACTATAGAGGACTTCCCCCTATCCTGTGGGCTGCCACAAGGCTCCCTACTATCCCCGATACTCTTCTTACTATATATAGCCGATATCCTAGCTGATGATTAAAAGCTTCGGTTTGGCTATGTAGATGATATAGGTCTATTAGTGTTGGTTCACGGGGTCGTATACGACAAATAGTGGTAGCAATTATCACTCGTCTGTTGGTGATCCTATTGCTTGTTCTTCTTGTTGTTGTTCTATCTTACATTGTAGGCAGGAGTCGGTCGAAGTAGGTAGTGACGGCCTGGGTGGTTGTCCCACCTTTATCCGGCCGTGATGACTAAGCCAGTTGTCCCACTTCGCCCAGGGCAGGTGCCAGCCAGCCCATGGTACCTTCCCATTACTCCTTATCAGCCTTTGCTGTTCCAACAATTAGCTATTAGCCCAATGCTAAGAGATAATGCCATAGCCTTAGGCCAGGACATTACTTATATCCTCAACTGGGGCACTGATAACAAGGTTGCCTTTGACCTAGCTAAGTGCGAGGCAATCCACTTTAGCAGGAAGCATAACCAGATAAGGGACATACCAGATATACAGGCAAGAGGCCTAACTATTAAGGCCTCGACCAAGCCCATACGATGGCTAGGGGTCTGGTTCGACAAGAGACTCACCTTCCGACACCATGTGGAAATAAATGTCGCAGCAGCAAAAAAGGTAGCCCATTTCCTACGGCACCTAACAAACACAAAAGGGGGGCTACCAGCAGCTGCTGTGCGTAAAGCGGCCGTCGCCTGTATCTTACCGACAGTCCTCTACGGAGCTGAAACCTGGTATGCAGGCTTATACAGACCAGCCTTAAGTAACAACACCAATACCAGTAGTGGTACTACTATATAGCTACTATAGGTACAGGACAGAAGGGCCTGGTCCGCAAAGTCGGGAAAGTTATTTCAGCAGCGGCAAGGGCTATCCTACCTGTCTGGAGGACCACACCAACTAGCAGCCTCCTTCGTGAGGCTGGCCTGCCCACAGCAGAGGTTGCCCTCGAAGCAGCACGACTACGCTTTGCTACGCGGCTACAGAAGGTTGACCAACAACATCCCTTGGTCCCAAGGCTCTGGCAGCAAGGGCGGCGACGGACAAGACTTCAAAGAACAGCTGGCCTCTTACCTAAATGCCCAAGGCCTTTACTCATACAGCCGCAATACCCCCCAGGCTCACAAGACCTCATAGCCCTAGAGCGCAAGGAGGATATAGCTAAAGCCTTCTAAGCCTGGCTTAAGACCGTACCAGATAATCATATAATCGTCTACTCAGACGGCTCTAAAGCCGCTGATGGGGCCACGGGGTTCGGCTTTGTTATCTATCGTAAGAATAGACGTATAGCCCAGGGCTGCGGCCGCCTCGGCTTAGTAGAGGTGTTTGACGGTGAGGCGGAAGGGGCGAGGGCGGGGCTCCGACGGCCCCTCTATACCTCTCAGGGCCAGCCGATACATATCTGCATCGATAATACTAGTGTTATCTAGGGAATCCGTGGCAAGGTCCTAGACTCCTCACAAGCTGCCTTCTTAGAGATCTAGGAGGTAGCTAGGATATACGATATACGAACCTATTAGTCCCCGGGGCACCAAGATATTAAAGGAAATGAAGAAGTAGATAGCCTAGCTAAGGAGGGAATAACTCTGCTAGTCCCTAGGGGCCAACTAGCTACTCTATCAGGTATTAAGTAGCTTACTAAACAGCGGCCAAGACGCCAATATAGACGATGGTGGAAACAAGAGGTAACTCCCCGCTATACCTAACTAGGGCTTAAGGCCACCCTTACTTACCCTCCTGAACTTAGCCTCCCTAGGGCTGCCCTTCATCACCTCCTCGCGGCACGGTTAGGCCACGGGGACTTTAAATAGTATCACGAACGATTTAACTATACAGAAGCACTACTCACCTGCTCCTGTGGAGGGGTTAAGGAGGCAGACCATCTAGTCTACTGCCGAAAGACCCTACTGAGGAGGCAACAGTGGCCCACCCTCTACCCCTACAGCCGCCAGGAGCCCGTAGGACCTATAGGGTCCCTCGATCGCTACTTCAAGGGGCTAATTACTGACTCTGAAGGCTTCCAGGCCTTCCTCTGCGTGACAGACTTCTTCCAGAAGATCTGCCCGCGGTACTAGGAGATAGGTCATAACCTATCCTCCAAACGCCAAACTACCTCTATTAAGAAACCAGATGGTTATAACGGAACTAGGGCACCAGTGGGAACTAGGGATGGATAGAACACATAGTAGCTCACGAGCAAGACTTGGAGGACGTCAGGATACGGCGTGTACTATATAGTATATAGCTAGAGCCTGCGACCCTCCACGCCACATACCCTCCGGGAGGTCTGCCGCAAGGGCGGCTGCGCCCTTGCCGCCATGGCGTTAAATATAAAACAAACAAACAAACATGACAAAAGAGGTGAAGCATGACCTTGATGTGATGTTCGGTCTAACATATCGGAGTTAGATCAAAAACAGCTTCTTCATGAAGAAGTCTACTTTGCCCCATATACCGTGGGAGCAAAGCCCACTCCAGCGGAATCGAAAAGGAGCTACCTAGATAAGTAGTCTCTTATACCCTGTAGAAAGGCTTCACTTTGGAAGGCAAGATGACGTAGGCATTTCACAACAAGAAACTTCTTAAAGAGACAAAAGTAGTGTGACCCAAAGTATGAAGTATAAGGTATGGAGAGCAGAGCTCGAATCCATTTGTTCTATCTCTACATCTATGTCTTTCATGTTATCTAGTGCTGTATTTGTCGCCACCAAAACCCGACGTCTTGTACTGTTACTCCGTGACCAATGCTTGAAAGAACAAAGTGAATCCAACCCAATCCAAACGAACGCTACCAACAAACGCCAAAGTGCCATTTCATATGCTTGCCCTTCTGTACTCCTTCTGAAACGCCGATGAATCCTCCTCTTGTATCCTGCTCTCTGCCGCGAACCCCAACTCCACGTCCGGCTCGTAATTCCACCTCCGACTGTTGAAAAGTTTGCCGAATATTGGCGAGAGCGAAAACCATAAAGATATAACCGTGTAGACTCGCATCAACTAGAAGCTGAGCAGACCACTTCTTCTCTTGCCCAGAGGATAGACCATAAGGGCGCTCATAAACAGTCCGACGGTGATACCAATGGCGACCTGGATAACACTGAGAAGAACCGCAAAGGCCGAGTTGTTGAGGTCCGAACTGTCGGTTGATGTCGAAGTACCGTTATTGTTCGTTATCTGATCAGCCGACGTAACACCCGCCAACAACGATCCGCCTGCCGCAAGACCACTGGGAACCTGCACAAATATAGCAGGAAGCATAGCGGCGGCGGCGAGCCCATAGCCAACGGTGCGCTTCCGCTCTGGGACAACGCCTTGAGCCTTATCCTTCTCGGAGAAGGCAGCGGTCGTTGGTGTTGCTGGCGCCGATCCTTCGGGGGTGTTCTCTCCAGGGGTGTTCTCTCCAGGGGTGTGGACACCCGAGGGACCAGAAGCTCCGGCTGTTTGGCCAGACATCTGGTACATTTCTGGACGAGGACGCTCATTGCGACGACGGCTAGCGCTAACGAAGCGCGGGGCCATGCGAAGATCCCACCAGTCGAGAAAATCGAGGAAATAGTTGTGAGCATGGCGACCGAGGCGGGAGTAGAGATTAGCTAGCAATCCCACGGTAAGAGCGCCAAGCATGTTCGAGATTTGGGCATTACCGACAAAAAAGTCGGACGAGTAGCTGTTAACTAGGAAGCCGGCGAGGGAGATGGTGACCATGACAGGTGTCTGCTTCCACTTGGCCTGATTGATAATGCAAAGGCAGAGAGTGAAACCCGGCACAAACAACAAGTACCAATTCCTATTAAGCGGGTCGGTGCAGGTAGTTCTCGACTCTGCGTGGCGGTCGATCATGCCGTAGAGGGCAGTGCCAATAGTGGTTCCGTATCCGAGGAAGAGCGTGTAGATCATGGCATAAACCATGCGAACACTTCCGGCGACCAAGTTGTGGCTTTGCAACTCCAAGCTACTGCAGAGGACCATGTAACCAGGAAGAATGAGGGCGATGGAGCTCTGCGCCAGAGCAGAGAAACAAAACAGTTCGCCGTTGTTGATGGAGCCAAAGGCGCGGGCCAAGAAGGATGTGACGATGGAGGCGGTGATTTCGAAGACGTTCGCGTACAGCTCATTGCTCGGAGCAAGGATCAATTGCATCCAGCCCAGAATGCAACCGAGAATGAAAGCGATGGGCAAGTCGATGAAGCGTCCCTGGAAAGCAAAGGGGGCGACGCAGACGCTGGCGAGACCATAGACAGGCACCCGCATCCAGTTGCCAAACTTGAGCTTGCGAGCTGTAATGCTCTCCAACATGATGGTAGCCTCGTCGGCGCTGATCAAATCATGGACAACCTGCTTATAGATGTCATGCACGTCGCGCAGCTTGCCCAGATCGACACCATGTGCCGAGCGAACGATCTTGACCTCGGTGGTGTGGGTGGCGCTGTCGTCGAAGCTGATAATCATACAGCCGGGAATGTAGAGAAACTGACCCTCTATCTCGAGGACTCGTGCCGACATCTTCATGTACTCCTCCAGTCTGTGGGTGGGGGCCCCGTACATCATCAGCGCCCTGCACAGCTTGACGAGATACTTATGCCTCGACAAGATCTGAGCAATATGCTTAGTAATGCGGTGCTTGTCTTCAGACTTTGATGACTTTGGTGAAGATCCACCCCAGACTCCGGACTTCTTCTTCTTCGGCCGCGATGGGGGCTCGGTCTTGAGCTTCTCGGTGAAGCCCTGGCTGAACACACTCGAGGCCGGCCCAGCCATGGCGGACGACGACTTCATAAGCTCAGCCAGAGCCATGGATGAGCGAGAACCTTGCTTCTTGTGGTAGTTGAACAAACCACTGTTGGGGCGGGAAGGCCGGGGAGATCCAGGGGTCGAGGGCGCAGCGGAGGCTAGCATAGAGCCCGGAGGCGACTGGTTGGGCGTTGCTGTAGCTGGTGTGTTGGATCCCGGCGTGTTCCGGCCACTGCTACCGCCACTGCCATTCTCATTGTATAGCTTGAGGAGCGACGACAGAATACCACCGTGATACTGCTTCGGGGGTGGGACATAATCGTGAGCGTAAGACTGCTCCAAGGTTGGTGTGGCGGTGCCAGATCGAGCACCTGAAGGCGCCTCATACTTGAAGTAATCATTCGGTCCTCGGCCACCCTTCTTGGCACGTCTCGTATGGGATCGGACAAGATTTTCGGCATCCAAGTGCGAGTTCTTTCTGGGACGGGACCGAACCTTTCGTCGTTCATCAGACCCATCTACCGCAGAGCTCAAGCCGATGACTTGGTCGGTCTCCTCATCGTCACTGAATGGGTTGAACCCATCGATGGAGTTGCGACGAGAAGGGGGTGAAGAGTAGTTCTCGACACTCACGGCCAGTCGGTTGGCACGCTGGCGAGCTTCGAGACCCGAACGCTGCTGCCGCTCGCCGGCGGTTTGCTCGGCGAGGTCAGCCTTCTGCCTTTCCTCCGGTGCGTCGTAGCTGGTGTTACGGCGGAGCACGGGCCGGGGCCGGGCAGGTGTCTCGGATGGACTGTTATCTTGATTCTCCGAAATCAAGACCTGGGTCAGAGCACGGCGCAGCTCACCGGCGTCTGGAGCTCCCACTGGGGTTGCGTCGGTGTCTCGTCTTGGAGTAGCAATGCGTCCAGGTGTATCAAAGGGGTTAACTTCGGGAGACATTGACTGCGCGAAGTAGTCATCGTCAATCACGATGCTCGGTGGCCGATTGTCTACCAGAGGTGTCTGGCTAGGCTGAGGGCTGTCGGCATGAAAGCCAACCTTCTTCTTCTTCTCCTTCTTCTCTTTTCGGGCCTGCAGGGTTGCGGACGAAGGGTGAAGCAATGGCGGAGTCTGAAGCTTAGGTTGTTCCTGTGATGGGTTCTCGAAAGGATTCGGTGGTGTGTTGCTGGAGCCGGAGCTCGTCTGGCCGGACTCTACAGGCGAGCCCGACATGTTGTCTAAAGTGGAAACGATCGCCGTTTCCAAGCTGTTGGGTGTGCCTGCTCGATTCTCCTCAACTGACTCTGAGGATATCGCAAGTGGTGGTACAAAAGCCTCTATACAAGATAGTCGTGACTGGGGAGGTTAGAGCTGTTGGTGAAGATGCAGGTTTTCTGGGTATATCGAGTCAAGTATCCAGATATCGATGGATGAATAGTGTCGTCGTTATCGTGGGGTAGTGTCATCAGTGGACCTCGCGGCGGTAGCACTCGTGGAAAGTAGGCGCCATTGTGTGAAGGAAGTTGGAAGCTAGTTGAAGGGGGTTTGAAGGGTGGGAGGAGGTCGAGGAAGAGGAGGAGGGCGAGGAGGGGATGATCAATGGAGTCGGGAAGCTTGGAAAGCAGGCGGAAAGAGCGGAGAGACGGGACGTAATGAATGGCGAAAAACACAAGACGGAGAAGGGAGAAAGAGCTGGAGTAGCTACAGCTGAGAATCGGGCGGAGGAAAGCAGATCCCAGGAACACACACACACACAGAGAGAGAGAGAGAGAGAGCAACAGAAACGGCAACGAGCAGACCGGGAGGCTCCACAGGCCCGTCGTCGACTCGTCGCCGGTTCCTTGCTTGGAGCTTGGTGACCGTGGTGGTGTTTCTCGGCCCCGGTGCTAAGGGATTGGCGTGTTTGGTGCGCCTCTGCGTTATCACGCAAGATTGACGGCTCTGCTCCGTAGTATCCATACACTTGTACGCCACGGCGTATCCGTACACCTGTACGTAGAAAACAGAGTATTTGCAGCTGTGTGTCTGTGACTCCGTGGTGGTGGAGAGGATGGACCTTGAACCATGTTTGACGTCGATATCCAGGTCCACGCCCATGGACCCACGTCCGTCACCACACCCATCAAGGCCATGGATGATTGACAATCCCACGCCTCGCCATGCCGGGCCCTACGAAGAGTGGGCTGTGTGACCCTGCTGCTTGTTCATGGCACCTTGGCCAAGCCAGACGGACTCTCTCGGCTGGCGGGGCGCGAGAGCGAGCGAGTGTGAGGGTGCTGGGACGGCAACGCTGTGTGAGGAAGGGAAGGGCGAGAAAGAAAGAGAGAAAGAGAGAAAAACACGAAGGATCCACAACAGCCGTCAGAGAGAAGTGGAGAGAAGTTCGAGTCGACGATGGTTGTGGTGGGTGGATTCGGCGATAAGGATGCGCAAGCTCCAGCCTCGAGCCGCGTCGAGTGTGTGGCTAATAAAAGGAAGTGTGTCGAGTAAGACTTAGTCGCTATATCAGAATCTTCGAACTGTTGGTGCAAACTTCCAAGAGCTTGCAGTTTGCTATGCAGTTTCAAGGACGGAGTATGCTGTAGGTATCTGCAGAGGCAACAAGATGGAGGGAAGAGGCAACCTGAGGCAAATTTGGAAGGGGAAGGAACGCGCCGAGAGGTACCTGTGTATTTTCAATACGTACCTGCTTAGTGTGCAGCTCTTGCCGCCGTCGAGGATTTTCCCTTGCGCTAGAAATAGCATTGTGCTAGAAAGAGTGGATCCTGCCGCGGAAACCCCTATCGAAGACCGCCACACCTTCCCTTCAACCTTCAGTGATACAGTGAGTGAAAAGTGTGATGTGTGAGTGAGTATGAGCTGGTGTAGTGAGTGAGTAAGTGAGTGAGTGGGCGCAACACCACAGAGTGAGAGTGCGAGTGAGAGTCATACACAAACTGAGAGACTCAGTCACCAGCGTCAAAGTCAAATCCCTTGGAGGACAACTTGAGTGAGAGTCCTGACTTTCAAGATGCCACCCCTCCCTCCCCTCCAGCCCTCCAAGATTCCCGCCATCCCTGCCAGGAACCCTTAGCCGTCCATTCTGTGCATTCTCTCTTGAAAAGAGAGTGTGTGCAGCACAGCTAAACCCCCGTGCCTGCGTCGGTGACCCCCATGCCGTCATTTCAACTCACCCCCTCCTTTTCTCCCCCTCCAACACCCTCACCTCTGCCCTTCGCGGCTTGCCGAAGCTCTGCGCTTCCGACTTGCCCTAAAGCGAAGCTCTGCTGAGCTGTTCGTACCACCAGGTGCCTATCATTGCCTCTTCTCACGACAGTCGCAGACCGTCTGGAGCTATTTAGCGCACTCGTCTCGCGTCACACGTGCCTGCACCAAGACGAAGCAGTGGACTCACTGTCGTCGTTATCAGTCGAGTCTCTTGCGTCTTTTTGCGCGCCATACCCGCACCTCTCTTGGCCTTGGTGTCTTCTTAGCCCTCTCTTTTTCTCACCTGAGGATGGGCCGGCCGACGGTGAGGAGAGCCCGTGTGCCCGTGTTCCCGTATCTGTAGGTGTGAAATGATAGGACGTGAGCGCTGTGAGGACACCTTCGTCGTGGAGGTGAGGTGCACACATCAATCGCATTACTCATTTCCGTAGAGCGCACATGAACTGCTTCTAGGCTTCTGGGCTGCGGGCATTGGCATTAGTTCGCCTTCAAACTATCAAAAGAGATCCGATTGAACGCCACGAACGCTTCTCTATGTGAACATCGCAAACGCGGTCTGAAAACTCAGATGCTGTCAAACTCATAGAGAGTCTCATTAACAACGAACACCGAGTCCGGCCGGCAATGTTCCGGCGGTAGCCCTGTCAGAGACACCGAAAAGCACGGGCTGAGCGAAGAAAACCTTTCAAGCTAATGGGCATTGGCATCCCAACTTCTTGCATGCGTTCCCAACAGAACGTCTCTGGCGCGACCTGACTTACCTTAGCCGTTCCGCTATAATCTGTTAGGTCCGTCGACCCGTCGCCGGTGCCCGTTCTGGGCCTTGAGGACAACTGAAAACGACCCAAAGGGAAGGGTGTATGCTCAAGCCATGTTCCCTGTGAGAGGTTAGAGAGGGTGTGGACGGGAAGCACTTCGGAGGTGTGGTAGGTTCAAGCACGGGCGGCGGCTAGAGTCAGACAGATTAGAGAGAGAGAGAGAGAGAGAGAGAGAAAACTACGAATAGCTTGCCAGCGAGCACATGAAGAAGAAGCAACCATCTGCCGTAGTGCTGTCGCAGATGTGATCGATGAACCAATCTTGCATCCCCAATCGGTTGCTTCGTAGGGCCGATTGAGATAACAGAATGAGCCCGGCCGAGACTTCTGCGTTCGCCATTTGCCATAACCTTTCGGTATTCGTCATTCGCCGCCTTGGTCTGAGTTTTCTCTGGAATGCTCCTTTTCATTGTTCAGTTGTCACTCTCAAGCCTCTCGTATAGCTGTCACTCTTCAAGTCAGACAACCATCATTTACTAGCGAATTGCTCTACCCTCAGATCACCGCTCATCCAAATCTTAGCTTCTTCGCCGCAATGCCGCAAAACGCCAATCTGTCCCTAAACCTGCCATGTGTCACAGTATCATCCCGTTTCGAGATCATCCCGTCAACGGCGTACCTGAGCGGATAATGGATTATCAGATACCGTCACATTCAAACACACTCAGACACAATTCTCATCAGAATGGTATAGAACGAAAGCAAAACTCTTCTCCAAAAACTGTCATCTTCGCATGACTCCCAAGCCTGCCATCGGAACCCCTCCGTCCCCTGCTAGCTCCAGGGCTCCAAAAGCCAAACAGACGAAACAATCAGGGCAGCTCCCTGGTCGAACATCATGGCACCCCTGACGCCGCCGCCGGGCATGCCAATGGGCTGAGTGGCGTATGCTAGAAGGAATCCCCCGATCTGGCAGAGCATCTCTGCGCTGGCTAGCCCCTGTGTGAACTGCAGTGTTCACATCCGTCCATGTCTCCCGGTCTAAACATCCGAAGCGCGGAACCTAGCCAATGGCAAAAATGCAAAGAAAAATTGTGCATTACTGCAAGCACTGCAGCACCGCAGCCCTCTCTCTCGCCTGTCGTCGCTCGCGCGGCCGCCTGCGTCCATCTCGAGCCACCGGTGCAGCGGTCGCCGCAAAAACCGGTCGGCGTGCCATGGCGAGACGATATGACGTAGAGGAGAACGGTGTACGGTGTAGCATCAACAAAATCATGGCCATCCCACACGCCTCCCCTTTTTTCCCACCCTCCCGGATGGCAGACTAGGTAACTCCGCCTAGCGAGAGACGAACGAAAGGGCCATTTCCAATAGCTTGGTTTCTTCCCTACCGTCACATTCTCTGGCTGTTGCTATTCTTTGATATGCGTCCTTGACAGGACACCACCTAGAATAACACGTTGGAGAGGCTCTGCTGTCCGTTTCCAACTGGCTCGTCGATCTTCCGGGTCCCCTTCGAACGAGAGACGGAACGGACGACGACCCTTACTCGATGATGTAAAACAGACCCCACTATCACATGAACATCTGTCCAGCGTTCCTTGTAATTGTGATCTGACATTGAGTTGGCGATCCTGATTCGTCCCAAGGTTCACCGTCGTCGGTTCCTGTTGTTCTTCATCATTCGAACAATCCAATATATCATACCTTTTCCTTCTCGGTCAGCAAAATTCCCCCCTACGAGCCTACGCGCGTAATCCTCGTATCTGCTAGAACTACCACACTACACTACCCAATACCACAGCAACGGTCTTTCAGTCCACCGATGACCCGATCTACTGTTTCTATCCTGAGTGAGGCTGTGACGCCCGTTCACCATCTTGGCCACCCCTCCTACTAACTCCCCCTATCACAACATCCATGCGGTGCGACGTCTATCACTCATGCGACGCACCGACGCTGCCATCATAGATTGCCAATCTCATTCGAACTTAAGTCGTGATTGACACCAGAGATGTGTGTGTATGTGCGTGCGTGCGTGTGTGCCGTGCGTTGCGTGTATGCGTTTGCCCGCCTTCCCGTGCCGCCCGGGACACCGGAACCGGGAGGATCAACGATCGTGAATCAAACCGTCCACAGTCCACACACCCATCCCACCGCGAGGAAGAGTTTCGGCCACTGTTCTAGACCGCCCTGCCGCGACGGGAGGAAGATGGGGTGACCCCTCCAGCTCCTACCTCTCCTCTCTCTCGAGCTCTAGACTCCGCTGACAGTTGCCTGTAAGCAAGCTGCAAATGCAAAGCTCCTCCTTCTCCTCCTCTCCCAGGTTCCTTTGTGCAAGGCACCCGAGATCCATCATCTTCAGCCCGCATACCCGTGGGTTCCAACCACGGACTCTCTCCATCTTGCCTACGAATTGTGAGACACCCTTCTCACCTCTCCACTGGGCAACCGGGAGTGGATATATCGGCCGTTCCAGCTTATGTCTCGCTCGTCCGTGTGATGACAAAAAGGGGCACCCTGTCGCTCATCGTCGACTCACTCAGCTTTCACAAGCTCACATCCCCTTCACGTCCCTCCTCTCGGTTTCCTTAATGCGGAAATCCCGAGCCTTGGATCCATATTTCGAGATATCCTCTTTTTTTTCTCCCTCTCAGCTTCCGTCTCCTCTCCTTCTCCAAAACACTTTCACGATCCGACCGAGTTTCCCACCATCCTGCGCCATCGCCTTTCGCATTTCTCCTCCTCGGCGGAACCCCCAAAAAATGCTCTAATCCACAATAACATCGCCCCCGGGGCCCCGACTGTGACTGTCCTGCAGCTATCCCGTCTTCCCCTCTCTTCCCATTAAGCTGGATTCGGTACAGGATCCGACGGAAGGAATGGGTTTTGTTGCTTCAAGCTGGGATCTAGGGGCCGGGATCCAGTCTGTCACGCTCCCTCCTGCGGCATGGAACATCTCACGACTCCAAATTCTTTTTTGTCCAACTGATTGTTTGTCAAATTGTGGTTAAATCTCTGCTTTGCCTCATGATCGTGATATCCATCACGCCCTGGAAGCCCTGCTCGAGGTTCCAGCCCAATGCTCCCGATCCACACACATGGCAATTTTGACTATCCGTGCCCCCTCGCACTTTCACAGCGGCAAAAACCCTGTCGACAACTCCTATCGGGGGCCCCTGGTGTGATGTGCGCAAGGGAACGAAGAGGCATGTTTGTCCAGACCCTGGGAGGGCAGAGCTCATTCCCAACGGTGGAGTTTCTTTCTTTCCTGTGCCTTTTTCCCAAACCCTAATTTCTTGTCTTCCACGATAAGATTTCCTACTATAAAAACTCCACCATGATTCCAGAACGCTGCTTGGAAAAATAAAAAGACCACCTCAGTCCAAAAATAAGATGAGACCTTCTTCGTCCGGTTGGTAATGGTCCACTTATGTCGCGTCCCGTCCGAAACAGAGGCGGTATCGGGGCCATTTCGCGGTTCGTGTGTCCACAACTTCTTTTTGCATCGCTGATGGCCCGGAAGTTGCAGCCGGACTAAACAGAAACTCTGTTTTACGGGCTGATCATTGATGATGTGGCCAAGCTACCTTAGCTTAGCATCAGCTTGACTAGGCAGGTAAGTTAAGTATCCGTAAGTGAGAAGCGTTGCAGTCTAGTCAACGGCGGATAAGTCCGCGCCGAACCTCTGCCACACGTTTTCAAGTGCCATCCGGCATTGGACGATCTAGAACTCAGAGTTCAGCATGAAACGAGCGCTGTGCTGGGCAAATGGTCCAACATCATTTGGGGGCTGTTTGATTCTGCTTTCCACCCCTTTTTGGCCATCGGCATGCTGCATGACGACGGGTGAGATGCTGGCTTGCTGCGATGCAAAACTCTGATAACATGTCATCGGTAATTCGTGATGCTGCAGCAGTGTTGACTCGACAAAGCCAACTCAACGTGCCGTGATTCAGGACAAGCTTTGCAATCCTGACACTGCAGTTAATATTGCATTCGACATGTGATGCTGCCATCTCAACAACTATCCGTTGACGCGTGTACCTTTCTTTGTCAAACAGTCACGTCTGCAACCCGGACGGGCTTCAGTGCCTATGCCGCATCGTCAAGTCTTGGTTTCAAAAATAGCCGTAGGGCCGATATCAATACTACCCACCGACAACCCGTGAAAACATGAGAGCATCAAGGTGCGAATAGGAAGGCGGCCGCAACAAACGGCCAGGGAGGTAGCCAAAACACGTCGCCGTGAAAAGCTTGACCGAGCTGTCCTGACTCCTTCGTCGGTGACAAATGTCACCTACCGTGATGGCTCGTCTAAGCCGGATGCAACACACCGTCATAGACGACCACCACGCCGCTACGCCACGGGTCCGCGGCAACTTACCACACTCCCGGGCCCACCTGATATCAGGAACAATTATGCTTTTTTCCCATTCTTGTCATACTTTCGTACCTGGTAGTCGAGGACTGTGCAAGGGAGGAAAAGTTCGATGCACCCCTTGAAGCATGATATTGGCAGCCGCCCTCATTTCGTTGCCAAGTTGGAAAAGTTGGTGTGCAGGGCATCGGCTACACCGTTCCAGTAATCCAGTGGTATCAGTCGCCCTGGAAATGAAGCCATCGTGAAGTCCGCAACCAGTCACCCAACAGAGGTGGAAAAAAGAAAACCGACATGTCACATTCGAGTCCTGCGGCAAATAACCCCCTTGCTGTCAGAGCTTAGAAACCCCCTCCCCCAGTAAAGTCGGGTTGTAAGACTGCGTAATCTCCCATCGCAGCCCAACCATACATGGTCCCCTGGGCCCTGTCCCTTTCCATGAGGCTTGTTCACAATGGGCCGTCGACGGTCCGTGTGCTGATCAGAAAATTTGGGCGGATCCAGTTCGCAGGCAGGCCGCACGTGTGGATCGGATCGGGGAATTTCCTTCATTTCAGGGGGATCCATCGAACATTCTCCCGTGTTGATCGCCAACGACGGGAAGATGGTCATCGTCGGGAGACTAATGCTATGGCAACGGGGAGGTTGTAGTTGTTTTGATCTGTTGATCTCTCTGAGATTTGACTCCCGACTATCTATCTGGCAGCTCTATTCTCAGTTCATGGCTCATAGTCTGGTTCTGAGTGTTGGCTGGGGTTGAATAAATATCAAAAGCCTATTTTATGATTCTTCACGACATTAATGTACAATGAGTTACACAAACGGAAGATTTCAGATGCAGCTCGGTGCAAAATATTCATGATCAAGATTAAGATTGCACAAGTCTCTTCATGTTTGCACGAAGTGCGTCGAAGATCCCTACAGAGATCCATGAGCCTTTACAACAGCACCTACCTAGGTAAGATAGGTTCTGATCCATACTTTACTCAAGGTTGAAGACTAGGCACAGACTCAATCCTTTGACATGCGAGGCCGAATGAAGCATGAAAGATTCAGGAGACCCGCATGACCTCTGGGACGTCATGCCCCTCAAGTAGTGTTAACGGAACACGAAGTTTTCAGACAATTGATCACTGCATGTGCCTATGGGGGAAACACGTCTTGTTTTACTGTTTTCTGTCTTTCTATTTCACATTCTGCGCTCTTATTAAGCTTGAGATGCATCTTACGTCAAAAATTTCCTTCGGAAACCAGGCTGCATAGAGTCATCGAGACAACATCTCTTGTCATGTAAAGTTGTTAGATTAACGACTCAAACATTCTATGATAACACCTATCGACACTGGCAAGGGTATGAATCTTATTCCGTTCTGGTTTCGTGTGATCGTCGTTGCACATGTTTTTACTCTCAGAATATCTACTGATGTCAATGTGAAGGTAATTGATTCAGTCAACGGCTCACCACGTGTCGTTGCGAGAATCTTCCAGCCACGCCTGATCGTTGGCTCCGAATCATTCACAATAGCCAACTCATCGAGTTATCAAGCCATGCAGCACATACCCCAGCTTTCAATGCGTGTACAATTGAACGTGGGAGGTTGAAGGGACATCTCCAGCGACACTAGGAGCAGTTGAAGCTCTCTGCTTGTCTACTGGTCCGGTAAGGATAATCTCTCGATATTAATGTTCGTCAATTTAGAGCCACAATTACTACTTTCTGCAAGCTTATCAGACACAATTACGACTTTGCAAGTCTTACAAGATATGGTCTCTCTGATCTCCGACTGGCCGAATCCAACCGGTGCCCAATCGCTTCGTGCCTTCCTCCTTCGTTGTTTCGCTTTACTCCCTTCTCCAGTGAACCAACAGATTATTCAGTTTGCCGAAACAGTGGCAGCAGGCAACAGAGAAACACTAAGAAGAAAGCCGGAGACAGGGGCTTGGGAAGTCGAAGATGTGCTTGTCGTCTCAGTGGCCGATGATGCTGTGAGCGTTGTGGAAAGAACGCCGGAGGACGAACTTTGTGCCGTTTGAGATGTGCCTGATTCGGTGCCCGTCGGACTTGTGCTCAATGGGTTTCCAGATGTCAGAGCACTTGAACTCGAGCTTGATGTCGGAGAGGAGCCAGAAGTCGTCGAAGAAGAGCTTACAGGCGACGCTGAGACAAGGCTTGAACTTGGGGTTGAAGTAGATGTCCCTGTGCTCGTAGATGTCAAGGGGGTTCCACTAGTGTTTATCGTGCTTATGCTGTTCGAAGAAGTGGAAGTAGATGCCCCTGTGCTCGTGGATGGCAAAGTGAGAGATACGGAGGTTGAAGAGGAAGAGCCCGTCGTGCTTGTGGCGTTCACATATGTTGGGTACGGAGTCGAGGTGGTGGAAGCCCCGGTGCTAGTTCTGGAGCTATCTGTGTTGGTAGTGACGGTAGATGGACTGGTTGATGAGCTCGTCGAAGGGGTTGACGATGGCTGTGTTGAACTTGACTGGGTGTTACTGCTGCTGGAACTCGTAGAAGATGTTGGAGTGGAAGTGAATGAAGAAGACGAGACGGTGCTAGAGCTTGTGGAGGTTGTGGACTGGCTGTTTGAAGAGCTCGAAAGACTAGTAGATGAAGAAGTTGAAGTTGTTGAAGTTTCAGTACTGCTTGTCCCGGAAACAGTCGAGCTACTCGTGTCGGTAGAGGTTGAGGAGGTAGACGAGGTGGACGTGCTGCTCGTGTCGGTAGAGGTTGAAGAGGTCGACGAACTGGACGAGGTGGACGAGGTGGACGAGGTGGACGAGGTGGACGAGGTGGATGAACTCGAAGATGTTGACGAGCTTGAGGAGCTTGAAGAGGTGGTCGCAACTATCGTACCAAAGCTGTATACGTCGTACACCACGCCGCCGTTGGCCACGCCGCCGCAAAAAGCAGTGGGAAGTCCAGGACACGGGACCGTGCAATCACTATCGTTCGGTGGTGTCGCATAGGTAATACTGTTGAGACCTACAGGGCTACAGTAACACTGGCCCTGATAGAGTGCGCCGAATGCCCGACTGTTGAACACGAAGCAGTTTTGTCGGCAGTAGACTGGACTGTTAACAGCTTGGACCGAGACTAGGACGAAGGTATTAAAGTTTACAGGCGTGCCGCATCCGTTGTAGGTCGCGCCAGGGTAGGAGGCCTGGCTGGCTACACTGGCTGCTAGCCCGATTAATGCTGCGAATGAGGCCCTCATGGTGGAGATATATATGTGCGAACGGTGAAGTCGGTAGTCGAAGGCTCGCCTGCTTGAGCATATGATATGGCCTTGGTTTCGTATGACAGAGGGAAACGTCGCTAGATGTGATGGGCGCTATGGCAGTCAAGTAGCGGAGGGGGAGGAACAGCAAGAATCAAGTATAGTAATTTAGTAACTAAGAGGGGAGGGAGGGGGCTTTTCAGCTGGAAGCTCACACTTGAACCAAGCGAATTGGGCTGACACAAAATGCCTGGATATTCTGCCCTACATATCGAGGATCATCAAAAAGAATGTAGTGACTCTTGCTTAAATGTCAAAATTCCTGCAACTTAACACTGGGCAGGGCTGAGGCACACCATGCTACGCTTTCAAAGCATGTGATCAGCTGAATGACTTCGCATTCTTGGACGCCAAACAAGCTCTGTTGTCTTGGACCAATATCGCATCGTGTAACGGCACTGGCCTCGGGCCAGCCACCATATTTGGGCGTGTCTTGGAGAAAGCCTGACTTAGATACTTGGTAAGCAGTGACCATGGCCGTACAAATAACATGATTGATTTTTAGCTGAGTTCAATTACGATCAAGATGTTCTTCCTTGCCGCTGACGAGGTAAGATTCGTGCGGACTTGCACCGGGAGGTGGTTGGTCGAATTTCCTTTGTGCAAGGAAAAGTGGAAGCATGCACAGAGACTGAATCCAGGCTGCCCTTCGCCTTGACGCTGTGAAGCCTCGATCTGCTGTGCGGGGTAGCGTCCCCGTAGCGGGGCCGAGCCAGGCGCCGAACCGGACGGCGCAAGTGGGTCATCTCGGGGCGGCGCCGTTCATGAAATGATCCAACGACCTGTTACACCTTCTGCCTTCTTCTGCCTCCTTATGCAGCTTGTTCTCTGGCGGAGGGCAGCTTCCTAACAGACAAACTTGAACCAACATTGTGTGAGGAAAGCACCGATCGAAGTTGTATCCGAGGAAACTGCCGCCCTAGTAACACTGTTTCCATCAGGAATGCTTTCCAGCGCCCGTGTTTCATTTCGATCCTCGTACACATCACCCCAAACTGCCGAGATTGAAGCACACCCACCAACATCATGTAGTCTCCAACCAATCTTTCGATATGAAAAATCACTCCATCGATCAAATAGACAAGGAGAAAAGGGAATAACGACAAAAAAAAAAATGTCCTCTCCGCCCTTTCGCCTCCTCCCACCCATCTTTTCAATCTTTGACTCAGGCCTCGCCGAAACCGCAAACCTCCCCCTCTTCTACCTCTCTCACGACGCCGAACCCTCCGAGATAGACAATGCAATCGGCATCAACATCCACGCCGGCCCCTTCTCCACCGCGCCCATCATCGCGCGCCTCACCCACCGCCTCGTCAGCCTGCCGGGCTAGAAGACCCGTCGCACGATGCAAGTTCACCTCGAACAACCCCAATGCCCCCTCCCACGCCCCCGCCGCCGAGAAAGTAACTCGAGCGACACTCCCAAGATCCTCCTCCACGAAGACCGCGGCCTACAGGGGAATGCCCAAGGCTTCCGCTCACTGCTAAGCCGCATCATCCGCGGGAAGAGGTATCAAGGCCTATGGCGCTTCACAATGCGTCTTCGCGACCCTTGTTGGAGGGAATTGACGACCGATATCGACTTCGAATGGCGGCATAGTCGAGGGTTGTCGATTCGGACACTTCGCCTTTCAGACGGGTGGCTACTTTGGCGGAAACGCACGCCCGACGAAACCCGCATCCTGAAAGCTCCACGACAGACGCATATCGGACAGAAGTACATCGGAAGGGGAGGCCACGCCAAATTAGACGAGGAGTTGGTCGCCATGATATCAATCGACCCCTCGCGACCGTACCTCGGTACAGGATTCCGATTCCTCAACTCCGCCGCCGTTCCCCCTGATGTAGAAGATACACCCTTCTTGAACGACGACTTTGCGTTGGTGGCGATCATGTCCGGCATTGGCATCGTCATGGGCGAAACCGAAACCTTAGGCGGCGTCTTGACGTCAGAGGAAATACAGGCTTCACAGAGGCCTCACCTCAAGCGTGCCGCGTTGGTGGAGAAGCACGCCCGTGAGGCAAAGGAGTGGCTCGCTACGCTGAATCTGATGGATGACAATGACCACGACGATGAGCCGTCCCATTTACGAAGGTCTGAAAGAGTGGTTCCATGGAGAGGCCTCCACGGGTCTGGAGCAGCCGCGCGGGGAAGGGAGGGAGGCGTTGGCAAGACGAAAGGGTTCAAAGAAACAACATCTGCAGAACGCAGACAGCGCAGTCTGTCGGCGCCCGAAACCTCTTCGCAACGGAGGTCTCCACAGAAGAGCCTGCATCCTGAGCCGAATCGAAGACACGAGTGGGAGAAGAGACCGACTGTGTACGTGCCGATGAAAAGGGAGAGGACTGCCAGCGCGTCTGCGGCAACGAGACGGACTACACCATTACGGTCTTCACAGAGGAGCTCATATGGGGATCGAGATCCGACGAGTCCAGGTGTTGTCTTGGCTCAAGGAATGATAAGGATTGATTGAGTTGGAAAGATCGAGTGATAGAGCGTGTTGCGTTTTCAGAGGTAAGGGGGAAGAATCATTCGGAGAGAGGGTGTTTGCAAACATGCCTGGTTCAGTGACACTACGAGTGACTTCTGAGCTGATCGAGATGATCGTAGCAGCACAGAGATAAGTTCCGGCGCAAAGTGCGTTAGAACGACATTACCAGCAGTAGTTTTTCGAGGCATGGTTACAAGGTATAATGTTACCCCGTGAAATAAGAACTGGAGTATCTTCAAGTTTCTTGCAAAGTCAGTGATGACGAGCGTAGGCCTGCTGATTCCTTTCCCGGTCCTTCTTAGACATTCCATAGTGTTAACACTACAAGAGATAGGACAATGGATAGAGACGAAAATATTGAGGCTACTAGACCCAGGGCCACGCGGTGGCAACAATTTGATGTCCAGTCTCTCACACCTACGACCACTGAGAGATGAACGCCGAGAGCATACCTAGACTCATCAAGACTCGAAGAGTCTCAAAAAGGGCAATACCTTCTTCGGGAATGATCCGCTGCTTAGTGTCGCAGCCATCGACTAGCTGGCTTAAAAAACACGAGAACGCAATTTCCAAAGCTAGATCGCAAGACTTCTTTTCGAACACCTAATCAAGAATCATCTCCGTAGCCATTTCGAACACTAGGGCGTGAGAACCAAGATATGAATATGTCAAGGCCATAGAAAATAGTCCCCTTAGAAGCAACGACATACATGAATGCGTTATTTTCTACTCTAGAACCTCGGAGCGAGTACAGGAAGGTGGCGAAGTCATTCAGGTGAACTACATCCGCAAGACTCGACGACCCCATTCCCAAACGAAAACATACCGGAGGCGCTTCATGCCAGCTAAGAAAAAAACTCAAATCATGACCCCCTTTGTGGTCCTCGCTTACTGTCACGATCGCTTGCTAAGAGGAAGAGAGGGAGGCGGACCATCATTAGCCGGGTTAAAGACGATGGTGGCCCTCCGGAAGAATCCGAAGACCTTGATACTCGACCCTTCGCAACATGCAAAGCAAAAGAAACGAGATACTCACTGGGTAAACAACGTTGTCTGTTTTGGGAATGCCAAGTGGTTGAGCAAAGTTGTGACATATCAGAACCCAACACAAAGAATGGCGGTGCCCAGCATCACGTCGAATGTGCTGCATAAGATACCTACACAGCCCCAAGACTTGTTCGTCGACATCGTAAGATGGCAAGGCAAAATTCATCAAGCCAAGCTTCAGCATGGAAATTTTCAACTTCGTTTCTTGCTTTCCGCGCTTGCCAGTGTGGATTCTGGCCTTTGTCGAATTCAGCTGAGTTGGACGTGATCTCGAACCCCGCATTGACGGGTGAAAGACGTGCAGCAGAAGGGGGGGCAATCTCCGTATATCCCCGGATCTGCAAGAACTTACAAGATCCCCAGAATCTTAGAGTGAGCGAAGGAATCCATCGACCGTCATACTTCGGAATAGAGAGGATGCCTCAGCTTGCAGCCGACGGTCGTCAATGATGGTGCTTGGCCTCAAGCCGCCACCACCGAAGGCATGGCAGCCTTGCCCTAGCTGGGGGCCACGAAGAAGTTCCGGAACGAATAGCTGACCCAGGAAGAAAACCGATCGACAGGCGGGCGTTCGGTAGGCTAGCGGCTCGAGGAGAAGGTGGCATGTATGGTTGTATCCGTCGTCGGGGACGGTTCAACCAAAGCCAAGCAAACAAGCTCCATGGTCGTGCCAATGGTGCGTAAGCCAAGTCGGTTGCCCTCGAGGTTATCCCTCCATTAGCGGAGTCGCGATTCATGGCACAGCGCCTAGTAGTGTGCGAGGAATTCTCGTGGACGTCTTATCACGTCTGCCGCCAAGCGGGAGGTAGCCGCCACGTTGTCGATGTTGAGCAAGGCCCAGCCAAGGAAAGGGGGAAAACGGGCTCGGGGCCTTGGCGTTTCTTGTATCTGGGAGCTTGGGTTGCTTGTAAGATAGCTCAACCGGGGACCGCCACTTCGGACACGTCGGACCCCAACACACATTGTCCTGAAGCAAAACAGATGTGCATACCAAAATCGTTTTGTTTCTTGCTGCTGTCATCTAATCTTAGCAATCGCATGTCTTGCGAAGTACATGCGACGGACCCTGAATTTGTCAGAAACAAGCAGAGTGGGAGCCTCTTGTCGCAAGCTATTCCCAGCGTTGCAAGCAGCACGGACAGGGTGTCATAGGCCAGGCGTTCTCAAACGTGCGCTGCGGTTCGAAACATGCTGATAAGACCAACCCACCGGGCGATATCCAGCGACTAATGTTGCAGTACCGATAGATACTATAGGACATAGGTGAAGAGGTTGGGACTTGGGAGGCTAGTTGCGATATAATTCCAAAAAATATGAGCATGTGCGGTCTTTCCAGGTTCTAGGCTTCTAGAAGTATTCTTAGTCTCGCCGGGGAAGGCTTTAGCTGTGAGACAGTGGCCGGAGCAGCGGGAGGCTCGTGGGCGGCCGGTCGGTTGGTGTCGACCAAGGTGCCTTGGCTTGGCCTCTCGATATCGCCCGATTGGCCCGTAGCTACGGATACAGTGTTCTCTGCGCGACTTGCAGGTTTGAGAGGATCGGGGACTTTCAATTGCTACTGATAGGCGGGTGGACAGCGTCGCAATAGGGCCTTGCGGCTCACCGCCGTTTGGGAGCAACGATTCGAATGATTCGGACAAAGTTCACGGCGGGATCTTGAGTTTCTCGGTGCGCATCTCCCATGGTATGATAGCAGCCGGCGGGCACGGTAGTATTCCAAGGACTCAGGGTAACACGCCGCGGCAGCACGCCGGAGCAGAGGCCAGAAGGCTGGAAAAGGATCTCGAAACACTCGGGAGATGCGCTTGCAGATGTTTTGCCTCGTTGCGGCAAGGATTAGAATGCGCGCCGGAGCATAGTCAAGCGGTGGGTGGTGACGAATGTGGAGTGACGAGAGGATACACTGGTGCACACAGGCGCATGCGTGGCCAGCCAGTGTTGTTGAGGTTGCGAAAAGGGCCCGGTTTGGCGAGGATGATGGATCCGTTCTTCTCCGCAGAGGAATACTCGGGGTTTGGGGTTGAGGGGGGAAGCTGTCGTTGGAGAGGCGGGGAAGATGGGGGGGACGGGGAAGCAAAATTCGGTCGAGAGACACTTTTGTGATTACGGACGGTCGAGGGATGGTCGACTCTCGAGAAGCCCTCCTACGTTACGGCGAGGGACGGGCGTCTTTCCAGGTTGAGTTTAGACGAGGGGCGGGCAAGTCGAGGCGAGAGGAGGGTCGGCGGCCGGTGAGGTGAGGTGAGGTGAGTGGTCAGCGGTGGTCGGAGAGGTCGAGTGCCGGGACAAGTCGCATCAGGCTATCAGCCTCTTGCGCTCCTGGAGCTGTCCCATTAGCTTGGATGTAGCGACTGGGATGTGGGAGGAGTTCTGGCTGACTGGCGCTCCGTTGGCGGCAAGCAAGTCAGAGACAATGGCGTGGTTTCTGAGGGTACAATGTCTTGGCAAACATTGCGATGTCGTGTACTTCGTGATAAGCCGTGGCCCGTGGATGGTTCAGTGGTGGTGATGCCCAGCAGAGAGGACCCCTAGGTACGACGATGGAGTCTCCGTACCTTGGCCCTGGGCCATTTGACCCAGCATGACTCGGCATGAGGTGGATTGACGAAAGGGCCCGGGCGGATGACTCCAGTCTTTGCTAGACGTGCTAGATGATAGATCAGAGATTTGACATCTGGAGACCGGGGAAACAGAGATTGGGGAAATCTGCCCGTGGGGAACGGTGGTGCAGAGGATGAGAGGGGGCGAATACGGAGGATGCCATTGGCAGAAGTGGTGAAGTTGTGAGAAAAAGACTCGGAAGATGGCCGAATATTCGAGTGCCAGAGGGCGGGAGGGGAAGAGTGGAGACATTGGCGCTATCGGTGTTGCGTCCGAGGGAGGGAGCCCCCGGTTGTCCCCGGTCGTGCCTTCCCAAGAACCGTCTTTTTGGTCATTTCCTCACGAGCACACGGGAAAGTGCGAAAGAGGTACGAAGTTAAGGTAGGTACAAAGTAGCGAGAAACGGTGGAGAGAAGGAAGGAGCAAGTGTCAGCTAGTGGCAGTGGGGGTGGGACTGGTTCCGACGGACTGTCCAACTAGACGTCCACGAGCATCGTGGTCTTGCCAGGAATGCGCAGGTAATACGGATGCCAGCAGACCATTTGACAGTTTCGATGGACCATCTTGGGGCCCCGACTTGAGAACCTCTGGGGAATTGAATGGGTCGCGGGGATGAAGAAGTATGGATAGCCGGGGCTGGTGGACACTCTCATCAACTTATTCGTAGCTTGCCATCTGCTACCTACTGACGCTTGTGTTGCAAGTTGCAACGCTTACATGGCCATTGGAGGATACCAGTGCGCGAATTCCCTCGAAAGTTGTCACTTTGTATTTTCCCCTCCACCATCATCCATGATACGATTCTCATTGGCCAAGAGATACAGAGATGAGAGCCATTTTTTCTTTCCATTAGTCGGGAGTAATACGGATGGTGCTAAATTGTTAGCATCAGGCCACAACGCCCGTTAAGCTTATTTCCCCGTTCCCCCATCATTCTCATCTTGTACGGTGGGACGGACGCTGGCTCGCTGCTAGTGCATTGGGCATTACCCATCAGTGCGGGATCGGCTATCTGCTACTCCAAAGGGGGATTATCTGGGGGAAATCTGTTCGCGAGCTGTCAAACGTGTCAGACGTGGTTCATTTGATCTTGCGAACCGCTCTGCTGGAATCAGCGAAGCGACCTCACGATTTTTCAACCTCATCTCTTTGATGTTGATAATTGTCGTCGACGTCGTCGAGTGCGGCGACATTTTACTCAACTCCCTCGCAGCGCCGAGCAACTTGGCGTGGCGGGATGGCTTGCCGAGGACACAAGCACTTTCTTGGCAGAGTCATCGCCCGTTGGGTCTTGGCCTACGTCTGGTGAGCGTGGCCCATCCTTGCCTGCCTGCCTGCCTGCGCTCTTTTTCTACGCTTGCGATTTGTGGTGTTGGTGTTGGTGTTGGCATTGGCGTTGGCGATTTTGATGTTGCTTGTTCCCCCGCTCTCGCAAGTTGCAACCAGGTGGCGGCAGTAGTGCGAGGCATGGAAGAAGCATAATACGCGAGAGGTGCTTTCTGGCGCGAAGAAGGTCCAATCGAGAAACCCGGCGTGTGTGTGACTTTCTCGACTGCTTATTATGTACGTATTTAGGTACCTTGCTGGACGGAATGTCTTCTGGCGCTCCTTCTGGAAGGCAGCGACCGATCGAAGAAGGAAAGAAGAGGAGTCACGGGACACCAGTGATGGCGAGCTTTCCTCGTCTCGCGCTCCCTTAGGTTCAGGTCCCAGCTGGACCGGGAAGGAACTCTAATCATCGTGAGAACGGAAGAACAAGAATGAAGGCAGGCGTGATCGTGACTTGGTGGATCACCTCACTGAGTGCCTGCCTTTCGTCTTTTTCTTCGTTCTTTCCCACATATCTCATCCAACATCAGACATTGGGAAAGTACGTACCTCTGGTCTCCCATCATGAATGTCTGACTCTGACTTTCTTGCTCCCCTCTTCTCCCACACACACCTCTTCCCTCCCGCTCCATTGAAGGATTCGGCCGTGATGCAACATGGCTCAATCGCCCCCATCCAACACTCCACAGACCAAACCCCAACACAGACAGCCAAGACCTCCTGGACGTGTGAGGCGCAAACTTTTTTTGTACTCGCTCCAACCTAACCCTTTTTCGCGGCCCTGACTAAGGTAACTTTTGATTCGTTTCTTCCTGGCTCCGTTCGGCGTTGGTTCTCACTTCTCACAGTGCACACTATCGCCGCAATCGAACCCCCGTTCCTATTCCTAGCGTTCCAATCTGCTTATTCTTGGCCTCAACTCCATCCGTTTCTCACACTGCTCCGACAGCGCAACATCACAGCTATCGCTACCACTGCGACGGAGCCATTCAACATTGTATCGCGACAAAGGCCGCCCATGATAGAGTCATCGAGGGTCGTTTTCCGACGGGTTTATCTCGTGCCATTCGTTTCACCGTTTCCTGTTCTGGTCTGCCAAAGCGCAACCTGTACCACGCTCGAAACCACAGTATACAGACACCAAGACAAGAGAGATGGAGCCGTGTGACACGTTTTGTGCAACCAGAATGAGCCCGTCGTCTTTTTCCCAACGCATACCAACCCGAAATGAAGTTCATTCATGGCGACAAGAGGGTGTTCGGCCGGCGACTCCCAGTGGATTCGATATGCTGTGCGTTAACTTGGATCCCGCCTCATATCGCATCTCACTTTGCCGCACTTGGACATGCCGGGAGACGGACGCTTGACCCGTGGACCATGGTTCACCATTACAAACGCCAACCAACCTCTTCCCCATCCAGATCCCTTCACCCTGCTGCTCGCCAGTAGCTAGCTGAGGAACCGCCGTGCGGCGTGCCTCATGCTGCATGGGGTGATCCATCATGTGCCGGAGTGAAGGCCGTCTCCCGCACGCGTGGAATTCCGTAGTGGGCATAGGCCATAGGCAGGCTACGCTTCTCTCCCTTGCCAACGAACGCCATCGTATGCAATATCCCAACATGGTCCGCGCCCTCGTAATCCTCGTGGTTCCTAGCTTTCCCTAGCACGCCTAGCTCACTCTCGGGACCGTAGTTCGCCAACCACCATGGGCATGGGCATGGAACATACACCCTGGTCTCCTCGACCCCTTGTCTGCCGCCGTCTTTCTCGTGCTACTTGCAAGTTGCATGGTATCCGTATCGAGGCACGCTCTTCTACTCTCCCCGCTAGAAAGCTCTAGCTGCCATCTAGCAAATCCAGCTCCCATGCAGGATCCCTCTGGCCTGGTCTCCTCACCACGCTGGGCTCTTCCTGTCCTCCTCCCCCGACGTCGACCCCGCATCATCGACTCCGACCTCCCCACGCATCCATCAGAAACAGTTCTGGCCTCCCTCCATTGGCCAGCCTGCCCGCACTAATCATCACGCTTCACTGCAGCGTTCCATCATGGGAGATGATCGCTTTCGAAACCGTGAGCATGTCGGTGCCATCCCGGCCACCCTGGACCTCGACACCGGTGCTCTTTGTTTTTGTCTCTCTCTTCCTTCGAAACCACCTTATCCACCTGCTCCATGTTGGTGAACTCTTGGCACCGAGACGATGGACGGTCTGATGATTCGCCAACCTGCATGGCAATCAATGGCTTGCCCAACTATATGAAGAACCTTTGTGTCCCCCTCTTCATCCCATTCTGTTGAACTCAATCAGTCGTGCCTCATCCGCTCATCTCTTCTTCCTCCTTTACCTATCGCTTGGTCACCGACATCATCTTCTACCACCTAAGTCACTCATATATACTTGAACGTGTCTTAGAGAGTTAGCAAAGGCAGACAGACATCCACCATGTCGACGTCGACTGCGCAGCCCGCCGACCCCGTCGCCAAGGGCGTGCTGGCCACGGCGAAGCAAGCCTGGAAGGACCTCTTCATCTGGAGACAGCGCACCGTCGTTGTTAGCCCAACTGGCGAGACACACACAGAATGGCAAGATCCCGACCCAATCAAGAACCCCATCAGCTTGATGGCCCAGCTTAGCCCTCGCGACTGGCTCTTCTTCCTCTGCGGTTTCTGCGCCTGGACGGCCGATGCCTTTGACTTCCACGCCTTGTCTATCCAGACCACCAAGCTGGCCAAGTACTACGACCGGTCAAAGACAGATATCACCACTGCCATCACCTTGACTCTGCTTCTCCGTTCCGTCGGCGCCGCCTGCTTCGGTCTGGCTGGTGACAAGTATGGTCGCAAGTGGCCCATGGTTGCCAACATGATCATCCTCGGTCTTTTGCAGATCGCCACCATCTACAGCAAGACTTTCCAGCAATTCTTGGCTGTGCGCAGCTTGTTCGGTCTCTTCATGGGAGGTGTCTACGGCAATGCCATTGCCATGGCCCTTGAGCACTGCCCGTTAGTTATTCAATCCTCCAGAGTCTGTCAATTGCTCGCTAACATATTACTCTCAGCTCCAACGCTCGTGGTTTGATGTCCGGAATCCTTCAACAGGGATACTCATTCGGTTACGTCCTCGCCGCTTGCGCCAACCTCGGTGTCGGCGGTGGCGTTGAGACCTGGAAGACGGTCTTCTGGATCGCCGCCGGTATCTCCATTGCTGTCGGTCTTGTCCGTATTGCTTTCCCCGAATCCCAGCAGTTCCTCGAGTCCAAGGGCCACGGAAAGAAGTCGGCTTCGCCCGGCGCCTTCTGGAGGGAGACCAAGAAGATGCTGGCTCAGGAGTGGAAGATGTGCGTCTACTGCATCATCCTCATGACATGGTTCAACTACTACTCCCACACGTCGCAAGATTCGTACACCACCTTCATGATTGCCCAGAAGGAGATGGACAACGCTGGTGCTTCCCGCGCCTCCATTCTCATGAAGGCCGGCGCCTGCGTTGGTGGCACCATCATCGGCTACCTGTCTCAGTTCGTTGGTCGTCGCCGCGCCATCATCGTCTCGGCTCTCATCTCTGCCTGCCTTATCCCCGCCTGGATTCTCCCCCAGGGCGAGCGCAGCCTGAGTGCTAGCGGTTTCTTCATGCAGTTCTTCGTCCAGGGTGCCTGGGGTGTCATTCCCATCCACCTTAACGAGCTGTCGCCCCCGGCCTTCCGCTCCTCTTTCCCCGGTATCACCTACCAGCTGGGTAACATGATCTCGTCTCCCTCGGCACAGATCGTCAACGCCATCTCCGAGAAGACGTTTGTCACCGCCTCCTCTGGCCACAGCGTCGAGGCCTACGGACCCGTCATGGGTATTGCCACGGCCATCATCGCCATGGGTATCGTCGTCACCACCATGTTTGGACCCGAGCGTCGCGGCCGCAGCTTCGAGCACGCCGTCGCCGGTGTACAGGGCGAGGCCGTCGAGACCAAGGAGATTGACGATCATGACGAGGAGAAGGGTAGCATCAGGGCCTCCAACGTCGAGGACACACGCAAGGAGTAAGATCGGTCGCTGCCGGGCTCAGCGATAGACATACAATACTAGGAATATTTTGGAATTTTGGTACACAGGTACAGGGAGGAGGCCGGGCATAGGCCTCCAGTGGCTGTAATGCCATACACAATACCCCATGGGAAGCGCCACGACGCGAATGAATGAAAACTAAGATTGATACCATTTTCAAAAAGTTCCTCTGTCTTACTGCACTCGGCCGTGACAATCAACACATGTGTGCGACATAATGTTTCACATCAGGACATTCCTGCTCGTGTGGACAAGCTTTCCGCCAAGCCGCTGGGTAAGTATCGGCGTCGCTGGGCATCGAAGCTTGCGAGTGCTTGTCACGAGCAGTGGGGTGTGATGTCTCTGGCTTTTTTTTTTTTGCTTTTCCATTTCAGGGAAATTAGTCATCGGAAGTGCTAGGCCCGATGGAGGCTGAACCGGTCCAGACCAATGCCCGCCTGACGGGACCCACCGTCCCGCTCCATCAGTAACCGGCGGTCGGCAAACGGGCAAACGGGCAAACGGGCAGACGGACAGACGGGCAGACGGGTAGACGGGCAAACGGAGAGAGATGAACTATTCTGAGGTCGAATGTATTTGGATCCAACATGAGGAGACGGAAGGTCGATGATAAAAGATCCAGTCTTTCTAGCGTTTGGCTGATGAGGAATCATACCACGCCGCTGCTACAATCGAAACCCCGGATCTATTCTCACAACGTTCCCTTTCCCCGACATCTCCAGACTCCTCCACTTTCTCTTGCTGCAGGGCCTTCAGGCTTCTCCATCTGGGTTCAGTCTGTGCGGTGAGACATTTGCGATCAGCCGTGCCCCGATGTTGGAAGCACCTCGTACGATGTGATGTGGGCAAACGTCGCGATGGGGCCGCTTCACCGTTCCACTCAGGTCATTGAGGAAAACCGTTTAATTGGCGTCCCATTGTGGAGGTTGGTCCGCTTTACAGGTTCATACGGTGTATCCACCCTGCTCCAGATTTCTCCAAGAGTTTTTTTGATGGGGGTTAACTCCACTGGTCCATTTTCCCCTCATTACCCTGGACAAGCAGAGAGATGTTTTGTTCGGACTCGATCCAGTAGTCTTTGGGCGTTGGAAATTTCACATGGTTCCAGACCCGAACCTGTATCAACTTTTGTCAAGGTCAAGGTTGAGATGGCGACTAGTGGATCTTGGGGAGAGGACGCGTGCACACGGCGCGGAGAGAACACCGGCCCTTTCTTCCAGCCCAAGGGTGTGGACGTGGGGTAATCAGTCAGTCAGGGCATTGATGGATACTACGGATACGTGAAGTTGAAAAACTTTTTGAAAAGATTTTGATTTGAACTCCATCGCGAACCCGAGAACTTGGCAACCTCCCCAATTTTTCCATCTATTCCCTCTTCTGGGATCTAAATTTACCTTCTTGTGAGGTTCCTTCTCGGATGTTGTCCGTCCCGCCCAGGCACTAATGTCGCATCCCGGTTTGCCTTTGTATATACATTTGCGGCGCAGGAATTTGTGTCTTCCGGGTTGAGTAAGCTAACGGATATTTATGACGGGTTGGGCACGCCGCACTCCTTCCCGCTGCCCGGGGTCCTCGGGTGTGCTGCGCCGTTGGGTTGATGTCCGGACTTGCACTGCGTTTCTGGTTTGAGCCTTTGAGGTAGCCGGTGGTGGTCTGATTCCGGGCTCCGAACTAGCGGGACGGGGAGGAATGACTTCATAGCCAGATTCGGGAACGTCCTTGGTATTGAGCTGGGTCTATGTCTCTCTCTCTCTCTCTCTTTGGGTGTATCTCTTGGCTGAGACGCGTTTCGACTATACAGATGTTAATCTGCTGGTCGAAACGTGAGTGAGATGTCGCGATGCAATTTCGAGTTGTGGAGGATGAGATATTGTATTCACTCAATCTGCAATAGTAACAGTAACGCAAGGCCCCTCAAGCAAGAGGAATAGTAATGTCCGTCATTGTCAACCTATTTGGAGGAATTATCATACACATGAGTCCCCCAAGTAAGCAGCAATCAATGCTTGCTCTTCTGGAAAATAGCCTGATCAATACCTATCGCAGCCTGCGCCGCCTCGAACCCGGTTTGAGCAATGTTCCCGTACTCTATGACTTCCAGCGCCTGCGCTGCAAATGGGATGCCTGGCAATTTGACTGCCACAGAGTAGTTCATTCGCACGACATAAGATGCCAAGTTGGAAAACTCGCCCAAGAAAGCCGCCACCTGGTCCGCACTCGGTTGAGCGGATGCGAGCTCCCTAATGTGCTGAACGGTGACCACAGCCGCTGGAAAGACGAGTATGTTATCAATATAGGCCGCTGTAGCGCGAGAGTCGCCGACTCTCAGGGCATGGCCGGCCGGAATGAGGTGTCCCTGACCAATATCGCTGAAGACGATGATATTGGCCAAACCGAGATCCGTGATCACATTCGAAAAGGAAGCGAATAGGGGGTCTTGAATGGGGTCTTTGGGGGCGTAGGAATCAGCCTTGGACAAGGCGGCGGCGCTGACGAGTGCCATTTCCGTCGAAAGGTTGCTCCACCGGTTGCGTGCACCTGCTGGAATAACGACTTCCATGGGCATGACCTCTATCGCCGTGAGATCACACGGCCCCGGCGACGGTATGGCACAAAGAGTACATCAACTGATCATTTTTTGAGGTTACTGGCTTGGTGGATCCAGGGGTCGTGGGTACCGTGCTGGCTGCGCTCACTGAGTCGGAGGAGGAGATGGAGGTCACAGAGGCCTTGCTCTTGTGCCCTTTGACTTGTTGCTGGTGGCCTGTGAGGGTCTCAGACGAGGTGAAAGCGAATGTTGTCATGATATCGGCACTCTCCTCCATGGACTCCGTGGCCAGCGGTGTGGATTGTTTCGAGGCCAAGCGGGCCTGCATAGTCTCCGAGTTACCAGCGGCAAAACCTGCTTGAAGCGCGACATCATCGGCGGTGAAGGGGGCCTCCTGGGTGGCAAGCTTGTAGATTACCGTGAAAGACATGGCGGGGATCCAGCACACCAGATCAAGATAAGATATGTCTGGTATGCCAATTTCGTTGAGAAGATCGGAAATGACTGGGATATGAACCTTAACATCCAAGAGGCCGACGGCGTCACCGAGAAGATCGATCAGGACATTGAGTAGCGCGTCTACCACCACTTTAACGCTGGAAAGCACACCAACTGCGATGATTCCAAGCAGATCCTTCAGGGTCTCTTCAACGGTCATGGAGGAGAAGCGCTTGGCCAGGTCCTTGAGCTGAGAGACCACTGCCGAAAGAGCTTCTTCCTCCTGATCCAGCGCGGCTAGGAGGTCGTCAATGATCCCAGCTTGTAGCTTCTTCGTTGTTGGCGGCATGCCTACGACTGTCATGTTGGCGCTGTGGTGCTTGAAATGGCTCATCATCATCTGAGACCCCGAAGTATGTCCCTTTGTAGGATTCGTGGCGCTTGCGGCTGCGGGCTTTGAAGCCTTGTCCCCGAGCGACGGTCCCAAATCCGGGTAGCCAGCCCATGTCTTGATGCTACTCTCCGCGTGCGCAATCTGTGCATCAAACTCCGTCTTTGCAGTCGGGAGATAGTCAATCTGGTCGCGCAACCACTGCTTCGTCATGTTGCAGAGGACGTCTTTTGTCCGCTCGATGTCGTCCCAGCTGTAGAGGAACTCCACAAAGGATGTGAGCTTCTCGATGCCCGTCTTGACGGCATTAAAGATCCACTCCGCAGCCCCAACGATGGCTTCGACCGAGGTCAGTGCCGCACGGTAGACTTTGCCGGAGATGGTGGCCGCAAAGTGCCATGCTTCACTTGCGTCGTCTTTGATGATGTCGACAACGTTTTCGATATCTGACTTGAGCCAGCGGAAGAGGTCGCCGGCCGCGATGGCCGTGTCGTGTGCCAGGTTATCGACCGATGACGAGGATGCGTAGAGGGTGTGTGGAATCACGCTCATACAAGAAGCAGGGAAGACGGTGGGTTTGACGAGTCCATACGTCGTGCCGAGTTTGCCGAGGCTGTTCGCGACGTTGGGCATGTCACACTGCGATACACTTCCTTCTACAAGAGCAGCCCATGTCGTGTTGTCCCTGATGCCGCCAGCGACCGTTTTCGTAGGAACTTTGGCGTCTCTGAGGGCTCCCTCGCTATTTAGTGCGGCTATCGTCTGGAATGACTTCTCCATAGGATTGATGGTGGCCTCCGCATCTCCGTTGTTGCAAATCACCGTCATGAGAGTGCCGTTGATGCTCTCTTGCCAAACCTCGACAACGGTCAAGCTCCCAGCCGCATCTGTAGCTACCGTAACAGGTGCCTGCCCGAGGACGCAGTAGATTCCGTTCATGTACACGGGCGTGCGAGAGCTGGTCGAAATCGACAAGTTGACGCCAGGAGCTGGAAGATCATATTTGTCGAGGACCTGGATCATCGTCGTGTATGTCTTGGACCGGAGCGGTTCTACGGTCGGATCCATATCCTGGAGCACTATCCCATCTGCAACCCACATCTTTGCATCGGTGCCCGTGGCCTGTGTCAATCTTTCAAGCTTGCCGGACCCGGACGTGAAGATAGCGTTACCGCCGTCGCTGCGGTTGAGGTACGGTGTCATCTGCTCTACGCCGAACAAGATTGGCACAGGGACATTCCAGGCCTCCTGTTTTTTGAGCTGGCTGGACGAGCAGGAGAGATAATACACCTCGTTGCTGGCATTCTTGCCCCAGATCGTCGTCACACCCCCGTGCGTCATGGCTGCGAGCTCTGTAGTGCCCGAAAACACATTGCTGTCGAGCAATTGCGTGGCCACCGAGGCGTCGGTCTGGCGTTCAGCTGGGAAATAGTAGAGAATCGAGTTCCCGACGGCGAACAAATCCGTCGTCCCGTCTGGAGACGCAAGGGAACCGTGTCTGCGAGCAGCGGCGATCGAAGATGCCTGCACGTTCTGTGGCAGGCTGAGACGGCATGGCAACGGAGGGCCGTTTCCGAAGGCGTTCTCGATGGGCACGTAGACAAGCTGGGCTGAGCCACCGACGGTTCCTAGGGTGTACACCCCGTCAACAAACCCAGCGGCGACCCTACCCACGCAGCTCTGGTATCTGCCCTCCTGGATGTCTACCGGGAGACTATGCGAGGTCCAGTATCTACCGGACGCCTTCCGGGGATCGACGTAGAAGCGGGCAATTTCCTTGATTGCCTTGTCTGATGAGCGATCAATGTCGACAATGATGTGCTGCCGGCTTCCCTGCGGCTCAGCGAACATGACACGGACAATGTTGACGGTAGACCCGGAGCCCGTTCCGCCTTCTGCATCAAAGTCAATGGGAGACCACTGAGGATTCGCTGTCCAGGATGTGTCGGAGCTGGAGTTGAAGAGGGACAAGAGGAATTTGTCTGAACCCCCCTCAGACACCGCGAGAGCCATCCCGATGGTCCCGTCTGTGACGCTTTGTCCCACGTCAAAAGTGCGTACCGAAGGGTAAGCAGACGAGAGGGGCACGCGAACCCAGCCAGTCGGTCTTGGTCGTGCCGCTTTGCTCCATAACCACGTTAAACACGTTATCCGTGCTCAGCGCGAAGAGCAAAGAGTGGCCGTCGTCTGTTTGAAGGGTTTCAAACTTCGCTGTAGGAGCTACTATCTCTCCCTGAATATAGTTCTGAATCAGATCGGTCGTGTGGGGGTCATTGAGTATGACGGCGGGCCGGCTGATCCAGGAACCTTCGGTGCTGGTCTTTCGATAGGCTTCTTCAGTGCAGAGTCTGTGATCGGGGTCTCTGTCCTAGGCGGCGGCTGGAAGGGCTGAGCTGGCGCCGCGTAGGTGATGTCACAGATCAAGTCCTGGTGGTTGGAGAACTTGGCTGATGTATACGTAAACACCTTGCCGCCAGGGGACACAAAGTTGTGAGGCGTAGCGAAGTTGATACCTTCCAGATCCATGTTCGTGAGAGCTGCGGTCGTCTTCTTGATCTGGTTGACGGCGTCGTTGACGCCTGAAAACTTATTCTCCAACCAGGTGCCATGAGGCTCCTCGGAGCGGTCATCTTTATGTTGTTTCCCATGATGTACAATGTTCAAACGGCCGTTCTGGTCCACTGATAAGTCATACACATCGATGATTTTGACATCGTGCCCAACCAGACTCAGGGGGATACCCTCGGACGTGACCGACATATTGATCCGCAGTCGTTGTGTGATGGTGATGGTGCTGTCCTTGACGCTCACCTCACAGTAGTAATGAGGTATCACTTCGAGACTGTCCTGGAACGCGCCCAGCATCTCCGAATTCTGTGTTCTCACACCAGCCTGGTCCTCGGCAGACCAAGTAATGTCGATGATACATTCCCCACTTTCAGAGGTCCGTACATCTCTGGTTTGTGGCCATTGATTAGGAACGAACTCCAAGACCGCTTCCCAGTTCCCGAAGCTGTCGGACAAGTTAATACCGACATTGGAGGTCAGGCAAGACTTCCGGGCGGATGGCAGAATGGTGTTCATCAACTGCTCGGCGAATACACTTCGCTTGATGGCAATCACACCACTTTCGTTCTTCACATCCCAGGGCTGGACCCAATTCCAGTAAGGATCAGAGACTGCGGCGGCTCCATGATTGTTCGTCATGCAGAGATGGTTGAGTGTCGCCGCGGCAGACTGTTCAGGGGTCGCATTGTTGATAACCCAAGCATTGGAGTCCTTGTACCGGCTGATGCCCACCTCACACGAAGTTACCTGGAGCTGTGAAGGATCTGGATGATCTGCAGCAACTGCGGCAACTGCAAGAATGGGTTGTCCGTAGCTCTTGACGGCCTGGCTGTAGAGGTCGACAAAGTTCTTCTGCAGGATTTCTTGGACAGGAGAACTGGCTGGGATTCCAACGAAGTTGGGCGCGCTGTGGTGGGCGGCATTTTCAAGATCCATAAACGTTTGTTGAAGACTGTAAGACCTGCTGGAAGGAAGATAATTGAACTGAGACTTGAGTCTGCCCTTGAGCTCGGGACGATGGTTAAAGTAAGGCGTCTCGAGGCCCCAGTCAAGGTCCGAGTTGACGATGCCGACGGCGGTCTCGATATACCACGGCGATCCAGAGGGCTGGTTCCAGACGTTCCAACTTCCGTTGGCAGACGATCCTCCACTCGGGGTGTTCTGAATAACTTGGAACTCCGAGCAGAACATCCGGTAGAGAGACTTGCCGTCACGCTTTCCCAGCTCCAAGACTGGAGGAAGCTCCTTGGGCATCACCCCTGGAGGCACACCAATACGGATCTTCACGCCCACCCTAAAGTTGTTCCGAGTGAGCGCCTCGACTCGAGGGTCGCTCGCCGGTGTGCCATCTAGGATGTCAAATGGGTTAACTCCATCTGTCCTCTTCATCAACTCCTCGAGACTGATCTGGGCTGTGGCGTTCCCGGTATTGGGGTCCTGGGACGGTCATATTAGCAATCACATATACATCTCACTCGCGTCATTTCTCAACAGAACAGCATACTTATTGCCCTGTAGGCTGCTAATTATAAATACTTACCGAGAGATAACAGATATATTTCACTGGTTGGTTGCTTTCCCAAAGGTATTCCAGTAGGCCTAAGTTGATACTGGCCTGCGTTGTCGAGACCACGATATCATACCCGTATCTGGAGTCCGTAAGGTTGGAGTTGCTGGCGTCCATCATGAAAACTGGAGTGAGGTGAAAACAAGGTGGGGAAATAAGGTGTATTACTTGGAGCGAGACAGAGAAATCTCATTGAGTGCCTGTTCACGGAATATTACTTAAAAGAACCGGTCATATTATATGCCTTCAAGCTCACCTTCCTCGTAGCAGACTGCCACAGTTTTCCAGCTCTCATGGCCTGCATATCACCACCTATACAGTTGCCACCACTAGATACCAAATTCTATGTCAATCACTCGGTCGAAAATAGACAGTTGCACCGATTTGGCTTGGATGTTCACTCATCCCGACTAGCGAGTTCAGCTCTGATAGCCACAAACTTAAACAAGTCCATAGCTCGCCACCAACGTCTCCTCCCGAATCTAAGCTCTTCGCCTATGCAATGAAAAATGCTGATCTTTCATCGCACGGAAATACTCCCGTCTCCCGACCGAGCATTTGGTTTATTGTCAGTTTGACTTGAACTGTTGCAAGCAATACCGCTGTGTGTTCTCCAAACAGCAAGGTTCCACTTATTTGTGGCTAAGTTACTGCAATGTATTGATCACCGAATGCAGTTCCAATATCGATGAACCGTTCAATGTATGAGTTTGATCAGTTGAATCCCGCGAAACTTTCAAACTTGGCTACAACATCCGTCCCAACAACAAGTAACGTACCTGCATAGCGAGCGACGCATCATAGCGAGCGACGCACTCTCTCAAACCTTTCTACCTTATGTATAAGTTAACTTAGCCACAACGTACGAAATCAATTAAAACTATATATCACCCTCTTCCTCATTACTATCCCAAACCACTTCACAGGTTCGTGCGTTATGTCCAGGCTTCCCGCAATTACCACATCGTCGCGCGCGTGGTTCAGCACCTTCCGTACGACCCTCCTTCTGAGGGTTATTCTCTCCTCCAGCATTAACACCACCCTTCTCTACTTGTAGTGCCTCTGCTTCAGCACTATTAAGTGACCCTCCAAGACGTAGCCGGGTCTTTTTTGCCCTCCGGCGCTTACTTAGTACCTCTATCCCCGTACGAAGCTTACGGTTCTCAGCCTCAATAATAGCAAGCCTATGGGCTAACTTGCTAATACCTCTGGCCTGGAAGTCAATTACTTCGTACATTGGTGTTGGTGAGCTACCTTGATGTGCTTGGATCTTCCTTTTAAGGGAGGTAGCACTTCGTACGCCCTCTAGTGCTGTAATTGGTGTCCTTGGGTCCCAGGAGCCTTGGCTGCTTGGCCGTGAGTTTGATGGTGTTGGCGTCTTTGGCTTGAAATCCAAGCGAGAAATAACCACTTCAGGGTTAAAAGGTACAAGGCCTGCCTGCCTAAAACCAGCTCGTACGTTATTTTCGCCCATGGAAGTAAAGAATGCTGCTTTAAAGGCAGGAAAGAAGTCATCCTTTGTAATATGGGAAATCTGTATCCGCATCATCTTCTCGATTTCCTTGCCGTACGAGTACTTTAACGGGCTAAAGCACCCAACATCAAGAGGCTGAAGCTCGTGTGATGAATGGGGAGGCATACAAAGAGCAATAATGTTTTGTTCCTTGCAGTATTCGTCAAAGTCAGTCGATTTATGACTATTATGGCCATCAAGGATCAAGAGGCGATAAGAGCCCTTCGTACGAGTCCTTGTACACTGATTAAAGTGCTTTAGCCAATCTAGGCCAATATCATTTGTCGTCCATCCATTTTCGCTTGGATGGATACGCCATGTGGCTGGAAATTGGCCATTAATATACCACGAGAGGAGGTGATATTTGCCCTTTACGATGACGTACGGAGGCAGCGCCCAGCCATCCGCACATACACCCTGAATGACAGAAACCCATTCTCGATTGCCAGGCTGTTTCGTACGAGGCCTTCCCTTACGGTCAGAAGTCGTAACAACCTTTGCGTGCGATAGCATTCCCATCAGGAAACCAGTCTCGTCAAAATTATAGATATCGTTATCCTGTATCCCATACTTTGCAATTGTGTTTCGCACAAGTGCAAACCAGCCTTGTATAATCGTAGGATCCTCAGCTAAGGCCCTCTGATAGTCGATTCGACGTTGAAACCGCATTTTCAATTCAGGGACGCGTCGTACGAAGTTCTCTGCCCATCGCGGTCCAGTACGCGTCCCATCGCGTGCGTTTAGGAGTTGGTCGGCCATTTCTCGTACGTCTTCTTGTCGCGGAGGGAACCCTCGATCGATTAGGTCAATAACTCGTTCAAGAATCACCTCCTCTTCTGTTATAGTCATCTTCATCGAATTTGGTCGTGTTTCACCTCGTGCGACGCGTCCAGCGCGTCGGTGGCGGAGGGTTGATTCAGGGACCTCATAGATAGAGGCAGCTCTTCGTATAGACATTTTCGGGTCTTTTTCAATAGCTTGGAGGGCAAGGGTAATTCGACTTTCAATTGAGGAGGATTGCATGTTCGTACGTGGAGAAAAGGTGACCTAAAGATGAAGAGGGTAGAATTGGGAGGACGTGCGTCGCTCGCTATGATGCGTCGCTCGCTATGCAGGTACGTTATTACCTTACGGTCCTTATCTTACAAAGTATGAAGGAACCATCTTCCTTTTGTTCCATAATACTTGAAGACACTATGTGTATGGGTGCTCTATATTGAGATGTACTGAACAAAAGACATAGAGCATGTGCTATTCAACCTGGGCTATGTAGTCGGCAAAGCTACTTGTAATCACTTCACTTCCGGTCCCACAACAGACCTCCGTCTGAAGGGGAGCCAGATCCTTGTCAACCGGAAGTCAAAGCGCTTCCAGGTGCCGAAGTTCCACTGTTGACGATAAAGATAAAGCCAGATGAAATTGGGAATCGAAACCTGTGTTGCAAACCTGCTGGAAAGGTCTATGTAGGGACTTCCATGTGGCGCTTGCTCCCTCAGTTTCCACCTTCTGTCGACCTACACGCGACTCTGGTCTCTTAAAGTCATTGACATCAATATCGACAGATTGCGATCCCCTTACGGATACTCACCTTGCTCGAAATCTCTTGTTGCCTCAGGGGCTGCTATTTCGTTAAGGAAAAATGTGAAATCAACGACTCGGCACAACTAGAGGAGGTGTTCTCCGTGGTCTGATCCCTTTGCCGTCGGCCGTCTTGGTTCTCGTGATAAATTGCGGCCGGGGCAGATGAACGGGCTCCCACAGCTGCGTGGGGTCTACCGCCCTGATATTCGCCTTATTCTCTCTGTTCGTCGCTGGTACGAGTCATCGCTACGACGGAGATGCTCAGGCTTTGCCTATCTGTGATCGGTTCCCGAAGCCGAGCTGAACTAGCGGCTTCACTTGATAGCGGGTTTGTTTTGAATCTTAGTCGTTGCCTACAAAGCGCTACAGGTTTAAGGTTCAGGGTGAAACAGCAGAGTCATGCAGCATGTCGTGACCCGGTAGGCAGTGTTCGTCCCGTCGGGAAAGCCTAATTAATCTGACACTAATTTTTACTCGTCTCAAGTCTACCTTATCTAGAGATGTCTAAAAGTTCGCTTAATTGGTATGAAGTGCGTGCATGTTAATCGGCAAGGCCGCCGCGGAAGTATAAGTAAGCTTAATCGCAACTCTTTTGTGATGATGGAAGAGAAAGAAATTAAACTCGATAACGCACACATAGTCATTGCTTCATTCCATTTTCCAATCAGTCATTATGAAGCTCATCCTCCTTCTCGCCTCCGCTGGAGCCGCTATGGCTTTCGTCGAGTGCCGTTCGCCCTCAAATGCTGAGGTTGGTCCAGAGTCAACATATTGTGCTCAGAGCATCATAACTGACTTTCATAGCTGTTCAAAAACTGCCAGAATCAAGCACAGCGAGATGGCTGCAAGGGCCAGCGCATCAAGCAATTAGATTACTCACTGAAAGCTACGACCGAACATATAACTGAACATTTTCTCAGTGCTCTGACACAACAGCCAACCTGGCTGTTTGCATCAAGTAGGTTTACCTCCACCCACTCGTTAATATTATCATTGTTCTAATGAGTGTAACAGCAAGGCAAACAACGACTTTGACTGCGTCTGCGCAACCCAGGCTGGCAGAGGTCCCGGATTCAACTAAGCTAATAAATGAGTGGCTGCATATCCATAGTAGCGTGTATCGAGCATTGCGTGCCCTGCATTTAAGTCGAAATAAAACACTTGCCTCTGAAAAGCCACCTTGCTTCGCCATAACCATTTTTGCATCCAGGTTCATCATCAAAGGACTTCATGAGACAACCGATTCTGAAGGTATGCCTTCTCTTTGTCCCTTGGAAGTTACATATTCCTGAGCCTAACTCAATGACACCAGCGTAACGCCTTGCTCTCCACAGCTCCAAACCCCTTGAATGTCCTCTTTTTCAAGTCTCTAGGCCGCGTCCTTACGTCAAAGTCGCTGAATTCGATCATTGACCACTGCTCTATATGTGAGGTTTTAATACATTTGAGGATGTTATTTGCGTCGGCAGCGGAGGTTATGTCAATTCTCCGCCGGCCTTTCCATTGTGAACGGGTTTAAATACAACAATCACTGATACAACCCTTGCAGCAGGTGGAGGTCTTTCAGTGCCTACAACCGCGTCATGGACGATTGCACTTACCAAGTAATAATCCCTAGAGCGGGAAACCAAACTCCGCACACAAGCAACGGAAGACCATTCTAACTTGATCAAGGCGGCAGATAGGCCTCTGAACACGAGTTACCACATTCGGCAATTGGCCTGAGCTCTTTTCGTGAGTTAAAGCGACACGCTCGCCATTGGAACTTTAATCTACATGCACACATCACGTCTTTTGTTTTTCAGAGGCACCGTACTGATGTAATGCTTGTTTTTGATGCTCAAATACCCACGCTATTGAAAGACTAAACTCCTGTCTCATCGCCAGAACCAACTTGCAAAACTCGCATATCCAAAATTATCTACAGTAGAAGTGAATAAAATCAACCAAGGAACTAGGCCTTGAACTTCTTGAAGTTACGTCCACCATCAGCCAGTGCCGTCATGTTGGTGTTGCCAACCTTAATGTACTCCTTCTCCTTGGGAATGGCAGCAATCACCTCGTCAGAGAGGCCGAGGGTATCCTTGACGACTTGCTTAGGTGTGAGAGCAAGCCATTGAGCAACGCTGATATCTGAGAACTTGGGCGCCTGAAGGACCTCAAGGAAAATGACATCCTCGGTGCCAGTGTTCTCAATGTAGTGGCTGTCACCAACCTTCACGTAGCCAACATCACCAGCGGTGAAGTCAAAGGTACGCGAGGCTTCGGGGGCTTCAAAGATGGTGATGCGGCCGGAACCCTGCAGGAAGTAGTTCCACTCGTCGCTGGTGGTGTGCCAGTGGATCTCGCGCATGGCGCCGGGCTGGACGACGACGAGGGCAGCCGAGAAGTTCTCCGCAATGGGGAACGTTTGCGGGTCGAGGATCTTGACGGATCCGCCAGGGACCTGAAAGGGCTTCTGCTGCGACCAGTGGTAGGTGTATGATTCAGCACCGGTTAGCGATCCGGCCGAAGAGGTCTGGTTTTGCTGCTCGATATCGTTTGGCGCAGGCGTGCCATTGAAGATCTGCAAATGAGTAAGCCAATGCCGCAATTACATCGAGTCACATTTTGACTTACGTAAAGTTGATCTTTGGGGATCTTGTCAAATGCAGAAACATCCGTCTTGAGATTCTTAGAAAGTACAGACAATGGGTTTCTCAAGAACAACTCTGAGGCCAAGAAGGTGTTCTCTTCGCTGAAGCTTCCCTGGTCGAAGACGAGGAGGAACTCCGTGCCCTGGTCGAACGCCTGGATGCTATGGGGAACGCCCTTCGGGAAGAACCATACATCACCTAGGTGTCTAGGTCAGCTATGATGGATAAATCTCACCAGGTCAAAAGAGACTTACCCTCGCACACATCATCGATGAAAGTCTTTCCATCTTCATTCATCGCGGCGATGCGACAGCATCCCTTCAGCATAAGTGCCCACTCAGCCGAGGTATGCCAGTGAAGTTCGCGATACGCGTTAGGCTGCAGCTTCATGTCAACACCTGCCATCGCAGAAGCGACGGGAAGGACTTTAGTGTTCTGCTGCCGCGCCCATCCGGCGCCCTCTTGACTGCCGAGGCGGTTGTGCGAGAGGCCCAAGGGCCACATGGCGTTCTCGACATCGCCCTTGTCGGTGCCGGGCGGGGCAAAGAGATCGGGGTTTAGCTTCTCGTAGTCGTAGGTTCCTGCGGGAATTATGTGTTAGCGTCATGCACTCGATTCTCTTTCAACACTCCCCCCGCAAGGAATGCAACGTACTCGGGCCCGGATCCGGGGATCCTAGTCCGCCGCGGATCGGCTGTGGGACGTCGACACCATCAAAGTTGAGATACAGGCCGAGCTTTCCGTCTGCTTCCTGGCCGGGCACTAGCGTAACGTCGTCGACATTGGCAGAGCCGCCAGTCTCGGGGTCAGGCCGAGCCGCGTTGCCTCCGAGAAGGCTAGAATCTCCTCTGAGGTTTCCCGTAGGAGTAGTCACGGAGGGTATGGGCGGGTCGACACCTCCAACGGGGCCTTTGTTTTCTCCATAGTCTCCCATTCTGCTGATTGTCAGCGCAGTCTCATTATTGGTATCCTCGTGGGAAGACTTACTGCGGCGCCGGGATAGCATAGCTTTGCGGCAGAGCCGCAAGGAAGCTGGCGAGGAGGAAAGCACCGTGGGTAAGCATTGCAGATGATAGGCTAGAAGAAAACGACTTTGAGAAGACTGCGTTGTAACGAAAGACTGGTGATATGGTGTCTGTTTCCAAGATGATCTGGAGGCTGATGAGGAACAGGTTCTTTGCAGACTGGACTGAAGGGCCTTCTTATACCTCACATTTGCCATAAGACGAACTTAGAACTTGCCTCCAAAGCCTCCAAAGCCTCCAAAAGCATACAAACGACATATGATGGTTCCCAAGCTAGCTATGCCGTACCTTGACCATCTGCCGGTCTACTGCCCCTCACCTATTCCATGCCATCTACTATCACAAGGCGAAGTGGAATTCGGCGGGACCGATTAAGCTCCCAGCCTTGGCGTCCGGACCGCGATATGTGGATGACATGGGGCTAGCCGCGTGGAGCACGAGCAGTGTAGTAGAAGCTGGGGGCAACAGTAGTCTAGATGACGCGTTTTCGCTCTTTTAGGTCTATCACGAACAGTGAGACGGTTAGCACGGAAAAGACAAAGACCCACGCACGGTTGTGCGGCACCGGTGTGGACGAACATATCGATCTGGTCAACGACTAGCCACATGCCACCCTGCAATTACTCACAACCTCCGAAAAAGCACCTAACGCTCATCACGTTGTCTCATCTAAACGATTACAGCCCACGGAGGCTTCGGGAGGTCCATCGCGCCTCGATCGACTCAGCTGGCCTTACTAGGATGAAAGTTGTTTGGCAAAGTACAAATGCTGAGCAAAAGGTTAAAAATAAGGCTCGGTGGTGTCGACGCCCCCCAGCGCCTCCAACGTGGATCATTAAATCTGATAGCGGAAATTCGGGAGCGCCCCACGTTGCATTTCCCCCCTATTGCCGAAGACGGCAGTTGATAGTCTGGCTACATGGTGAAGTCACCGCTCTCAGAAATGGTCCGTTCGCGATTCGTCTGAACCGCGGAACCCTCTTGACGTGTGTCTTTTGTGGGTAGATTATTCATGCAGAAGGAACGTAACCTGGGATGATCAAGGGTGTGACGAACACCTCGGTGTAAGAAAAGGCCCCGGTAGTCTCGCAGAAAGCTCGGGATTGCCCGCTTACACCAGACTTATTCAAGATTCAAAAGTTCTGGCTCCTTGATCACTCGGCTGCTAGCGTCCTGCCACCGGCCTCTAAGCTCGACCGGGCAGAAGAAAGAAGCTTGTAAGAGTGTAGTGACGCGCCAGCCATTCGACTGGTCAAATGTGAGAAGTCGGAATTACAAATGCCGCAAACTCCTTGCTTGGACACAAGCACGTGTCTTCGTCGCAGAATCAATGTTCTTCTCGCTCCGGTCTTGGCTCGCTTTCATGCCTCCTAAATCTCGGGTACAAAATTGGGCCTAACAGAGTTGGAACCTCGACTAAGTATTCTATCATCAAGAAAATAGCATTGCATCATTTTAAGAAGAGGGGAAACTCTGGCTTGTCATCTATCAGGTTTGCTATATGGCCCAAGTCCAAAGTTCGAAGGATGAGACGAATGCAACGTTGTCTGCAAGATGAGCGAGAGCAGATACTAAATAAAGCCTTCCAACATGACAGAGCGGCAGCTGAATGCAATCGAAGCTTATTTCCCTCCCACGCGGGACGTCATTGCTTCTGGAGTCGTCGGATGTCACTGTGGTTGGATCGCTGTGCGATTTTGAGTTGCCGCTTGGTGCTGCGGAAATGCCGCCACAATGCCATCGTGCATGCGTGCCCGCCGTTGGCGCGTGCGGCTTCATCCGATACAGGCGGCCTTCTTTTTCTCCCTCTCTGCCCGCTACAGATCTGTCTTGGCTCAGGGAGGAGAGCTTGGGTCGCAAGGCTAACGATCGACCGGGCAGTTGGGCTGATGAGCCCCCTTGACGGTAGCCAAGTCCTGTTAAGCATAGCCATAGCCGTCCATCAGCCAGTGCGACGCAACAGGTCATGGTATTTAAGAGTGTTTCATCTACAGAAATCATCCTGAGAAGAAGAGGAAACCCCCTTCGAGGAACTATCAGATCCCACCGGCATTGATCTGCTCCTCCACCCTAGAGGCTAGAGGGGGGGCATTCCCGCGGAATTGCAACATACGCGTACGACGTCGACGCTTCAACAGGCCAGCACTTCGATTTAGTGACATCTTAATGACATCTTCTAAGCGAAAGAGCATGGTCCCATTGGTATCTGTTATGGATCAGACCGAATGAATCGCGCACTCTTGGATGAACATCACACAAAATCGAAGCACGCGATATGACGTCGAACTTTTCACAACAGCCCTCCCATTGAACAAGGCCACCAACAAGCTCTACGTTGGGCAACACAGCCAGACAGGGTATGTCACAGCCCTGATGCCTGTCAAGTCTGTCACTATAGAGACTTTGCCATTGATTTGTCGTGGTGAGCTTCAATTACGCCGTGTCGCAGCCTCTTGACTGCCTGGACCCTATGAACAGAAGTCAAACTTTTCACAACATGGAGATACAAGTAGGCATCAGGTGAGAAAAGAGTAATCTTATTGGGTATAAATATGACTGAGAACATGGTTTGCTGTGCTAATGGCCCAGGTGTTCCTTGACCTCATAATTTTTCTTTGCGTAAAAGAACCACAGTGATGTCGTAATAATCGCAATGCCTGCAAGGACAGCCGAAGCATAATTCATTTCATCTGCAACAGCAGGTAGGTAGTAAGGGAAACAGTAAAAGATCAGTGCAACTGCCGACCATGCCAGCATGACGATGTTCGCCGCAAAGCCAAGTTTGGGATACCAAAAAGGGCCGTGTTTGACTTTTGAGCGGCCTTGGGATAGAGCCAAGACAACGGGGATACTGTAGCTGATGTATTGAAGTAGCAATCCTGTAGATATGAGCGAGTTGAAAGCGAGATCGGATGCGAGGTAGAGGCACCCAAAGATTGCAGTCCCTGATGCTGAGAAAACTAGGGACCAGATAGGCGTGTGTAGCGGGGCCGGCGCGATTTTGCTTAAATGGCGGTGCATGGGAAAGCCAGCCTCACGACTGATAGTCCATGCGAGCCGAGACTGCCAGGTCTGAATAGACCAGACTGCGCCGATAGTCGTGATCATTACGGGCACCCAGAGACCAACTGCGGCAGCCTTGCTATCTGTAATACGGTAGAATAGGGCCAGGGCAGAGTTGTCGTCGGCACCATCAATGACGGGGACATTGATAAGAACTGATGTCACGACTAGGAGCCCGGAGACGAGGCCGACCACAATGGTCCATATCAGAGCTTTTGGGATATCTGTGCTGGGCCGGGGCATCTCCTCTGCCAGGTGAGTGGCAACGTCGAGACATGAGAAGCTCCAGTTGGCGCCGTTCATCCCGATGATGAAGGCAATGCCGTTTTGCCAGCCCGAGATGTTCACTGTCGTAACAAAGAAATCCTTTGCTGAGGCGTGCTCTTCTGACATGGCGAAGAGAGTTATGAAAATGACGACGATGGTAGTGCAGCTGAAGAGCAACATGATCTTGGAAATCTTTGGCAACAAATTCTCGAAACTCGCACCGAATACGGTGACAATGTTGAGGAGTTGAAAACCTAAGAAGCCCATCCAGCGCTTATAGTCAAAATTTGGGTCGAGAAGCGTGATAATGGAGCAGATCCCTACAGGGACAGAGACATGCCGACGAGCCCGTGGCGACGGCGGCAAGCCAGCTGATGACGGCCGTGATGTACGACAAGAACCGGCGAGAATTCGGCGGCGCCAGCCGGTGGACCCAGATATACTGCCCACCCGGGTGCGGCATAGCGGAGGCCAGCTCCGCCAGGGTGACGGCGGTCGCAAGGCCGACAAAGGCCATGACGAGAAACCCCCAGAAGAAGAGCGGCGAGCCACCCATGGGCAGGGTACTGCCGAACACCAGCAGCAGGCCGATAGCTGTGTTGGTGGTTCCGTAGCCAATTCCGAGGGCGGAAAGAGTTGTAAACGGCTTCATGGTTTGCACGGTGATATCCCCATGGGTGATGGAACCGTGCTCAGTGTCTTCGTTGTCCACCTTCTCGGGCATGGCGGCGATTGCGTTTCGGGTTGTGGCCGCCGATGCCTTGTCGAGTGAAGAGGATCGCTGATCCATTGTGAAGTTGATGGCTTGGGGTTTCGCCAAGAGCGAGATCTCATCCAAATTTGCTGACTCTGTGGATATATGTGTGGGTTGTGGAGGAGGGAGGGGCTTGAAGGGAGATGGCCTCCCTCAAGTCTTGGGGGTGGAGTATCGGGGGATCAAGTTAAGTAGACGCGCCTTTCATGTGCATGCTTGTGTGACCGACTTCATGTACCTGGTAGCACGAGCTTCTCATCAACCGACCTAGGAGCATTTCGATAAGACGAGATATCATCTCGTCCGCACAAGACAAGATAACATGTCCCGTACGTGTTTCTTGGGGTTCCCGCGCTATCGGCTCGCATTTCGCACGCAGTTGCCCGATCCGGCAAGCCAGAGCGGGCCCCTATCCGTTCCCGGTGCCCCGCATCCCGACCCTCACCCTCGCCGACACCGGCAGAGATCGCGGGTGAGCTGCAACTGAATGATGGGCGTGGCTATGGATACGATGAAATGCTTTGGTTGGGACTTGATGCCGAGGCCAAGGTGGACGAAGTTCAGACCCTTAGATCTCATGATCCGTGTTCACTCATGCAAAAAAAGCTCTGGATTAGTGCCCAGTATCCCTCCTTGCCAAATCACCATCACCTTACGTCGAATCTCACCAAACATTCAAGATGGGAACTGATGATGAACTGTCCTCCTACCTCAGTGAGTCACTCTTGTTTCAAAGTCACAAGACATACAATGCTGACCAAAAACCCCAAGATCCCGACATAGCCAGGTTTCTCCTAAACGTCTCCCAAGCCATCTCCCAAGACCCAGGCCTACCCCGACCAAACCCAACAACATCATCATGGCAGGTCCCAGAGCACCTCCTCGGATCAATCCAGTCCCCTACCCTCCCCAAACAAACCGACTTCGCCGTCATCGGGTCCGGTATCACTGGCTGCAGCGTCACCAAGACGCTCCTCGAACACGATGCATCACGCAACTCCCACGTTACGATCCTCGAAGCCCGGACACTCGTCAGTGGTGCCACGGGCCGGAATGGCGGGCATCTAGTGACTGCTTCGGGGCATACGTACGGGCCATTAGCGGTACAGCATGGTGTCGAGGCTGCAAAGCAGATTACCCGCTTCTCCATTCTCAATGTTGAGTGAATCATGAGGATGGTCAGAAACATGGACACAGAGGCGCAGGAACGGTGTCAGATTCGTGCTGTTCTCAAGGTTATGGCCGTCGGGGACGAGGAGACGTGGGCTGCTGCCAAGAGCTCGGTTCTTGAGTTCCAAGGGGCGGTGCCGGAGCATAGTGCATATCACCGTGTAATTGAGCGTGGCGATGTCCCAGAAGTACGTGAACAAGTCTTCTTACTAGAAACGCATATAAGCTTGGCTGGATGACCCTTTGATCGAAGAGGTGGAACATCGAAGATGCTTACGGCGCCGTAGAGCACGACGCCGGCGCCATCTGGCCATACCGACTCCTCATGGGAATCTACGAAGCTCTCCTAAAACAACACCGGAACCGACTCGCGATCGAAGCAAACACGCCAGTTCTGCAGGTCCAATTCTCGCCGTCCAGCAACCTAGATTACCCCTATCTCATCACGACTCCAAGAGGTACCATCCGCGCCAGAAAAGTCTTACACTGCACCAACGGCCACGCATCACATCTCCTACCACAACTAGCAGGCCGCATCTATCCCTTCCGCGGCACAATGTCCGTCCAGAAGCCCGGCCCAACGCTAAGGAACTTGGGCGCTTCGCGCTCGTGGAGCCTGTCCCACAAGCCGACGCTGGATTTCCGGAGCGGTCTCTATGTGACGGGCCTCTACTACCTACAGCAGAATCCCTTAACAGGAGGGATCTGGATCGGGAATGAGACAGCATACATGAAGGATATATTGACGCCAGACGATACCCACGTCCCGAAAAAGGCGAGAGACGCTCTGTCTACGGTGCTGCCGAAGCTATTTCTCGAGGGGTGGGCACCTGAGGCGAAGACGTCCGAGGTGGAGGCAATTTGGTCTGGGATCCAAGGACACACGGCTGACGGTCTCCCGATCGTGGGTCGGATCCCCGACTCGATAACGGGAGACGCTGGTGGCGGACAGTGGATCGCTGTCGGGTTCAATGGGTACGGGATGGACAAGTGCTGGCTGACGGGCGAGGCCTTGGTCAGGATGATGTTTGGTGAAGACGTCAGTGACTGGTTCCCGCTAGCTTATGTCGTCACGGAGAAGCGGTTGCGGGGGAAGCTCACGGCGGATGAGACGTTGCTCAAGTTTGCAAAGCTCGCGAACCCTCAAGGGGTGAAGCTGTCCAAACTTTGAACCTGTTCCGACGTGTTGATCTGAAGGTTAGATAGAAGATGATTCCAATAGAGTGTAGTTAGAAAAGAGACACGCATCATACAAGCCACGTTACTCAAACTAGCCCATCATTGTCCCAAGATTCTTCTCGCGAGCGATATCCAGCCAATACACATCCTCCTCACCAGCATCCAGCGCCGCCCACGTATGATCAATCAACTCAGAAATAACCCGACTCTTGCGGAGCGGCAAAATGTGCGTATAAGCCGCCAGCCGCGATCGCACAAACTTGCGCGCCCTCGCCACTTCGATAGACGCGGGATCAATATCCAGCACATCCGCCCCCATGTCGCTACATGCAGCATCCGGCTGTCGTAGATGCTGCGGCTCCCTCCTTAACTCGTTCGAGATAGCCACCATGATAAAAGGCTGCGCACTTCGCGTCCGCGACTCAAAGGGTATATCCCGTAAGATACCGAGGATATACATCGCCAGCTTCGTCAACCACGTCCTCCTCTCTCTTGCCGAGGGAACCTTGTGACCATCTAGTCCTCCAGTCGCGGCCTCGGGCATCGGCACCGGACGAAGCAGCCGCTCCCTGTCCCACGGTGCATATCGCTCATTCAACAAATCCGGAAACACGCGGTACAGCTGTAGGAGACCCGTACACCGGTATGCCTCATCAATAAGCTCCAGGTGCCGTAGCGGTGTCTTGGGATCACCCGGATCCGTGACGCGAGATAGGTCAGGCGGGCGGTGCGCCAGTAGCGCGCGCTCGAATTTCCTTGCAGAGCGGAGTGCGGCGCGGAAGACGTCTAGATCTGTCTCGGTGAGAAACTTGACGGTGGCCATGTGTTTCCGGTACTGAAAGATGAGGATGCCCGTGTCGGTCAGGAGTCGGACGGTGGCGTGGGATATACCAGAGTAAGGGTGCGGCTCGATGGACTTTGATGGGTCCGTGGGGCCGATGGAGTTGGTGTGGTGGTAGTCGCCTAGTTGGTTGCTGTCTGTTAGATAGGCGAGGAGCATGGCCCAGTAGTCCATGGTATCGCTGAAGAAGGATAAGCTGGCGTCTGCATCACTGCTCGTCTCGGCGGAGACGTCCTTGAGCATGCTGCAGCTCGCTCTGAACATGTCTGTTGCGAGGTTCTGGGGGCTGAACCAGCTCGAGGTGTGGCCGAGGAGCGTTGATGAGAGCAACATGGCCCGCTTGTGTGTTGTGGTCATTGGGGTAGATTTAGGTAGCGCTGGAGGGCGATCACGGATGAGTCTGAGGGCGTTGCCGTGTTCCCTTCGGGCGACGGGCAGCAGGTGCGGGAAGTCTTCTGATAGACAGGCTGCGGCCATGCTCTGGATGGTGTGGTACAAAGCGCCGGAGGACTGCCACATTGTCTCGACGATGTTGCGCATTACGTTTGTCTTGCTATCCCATGCGCAGTACAGCGTGATGACCTCGCGGAAGAAGTATTCAGATAGGGAGGTTGGGAGATGGGAGAGCTCGCAAAGGTTGCTCTCTAGGACTTGTTGACTTGGCCTGGGTTGAGCTATCTCAACTTGGGGCCTGGTGCTGTTGTCCTGGACGATGATAGTCGGGGTTCCATTCATTGGGAATGACTGTTCCACTTGGCGATCCTCACCTTGGGACGATGAAGTCGTCGGGCTCTGCCCATCAACAGTCCAAGCCGAACTCACAAAGGGTATGTCCCAACTTGGAGTTGTAGGAACTGCTTCTTGACTTCCAAGCAACAGTGCGCAAGATGAAGCATCAAAAGACGGTATTTCTTGATGCAGAGCAGGAAGATCCCACTGAAAAGGGCTCGTGAGCCAGGGATCAACGAGTTGCAGGACGTCGGCACCGATCTGATTCGATGCTGGCGAAGTGGCCTCAGTTTGCTGCAGACGTCTTTGAGACACGGATGCGTCGAGGCTGGATTGTCTGGGTGAGCCTCGAGTCGCACCCTTCTGGTCGACGCGGACTTGGTGCTTTCGCGACCAGCGCACGTTGAGGGCGTAGCCTGGGCACTGGATCCCCCTATCCTCGCATCGGGCGCATCCAGGTTTCCGCTCATCGCATTTGGTCTGAGATGGACTTGTCAGCTTGAAGTAACTTGGTATCAGTAAGGTTGGGAAGTTGTACCTTTTTCGATTTGCATCTGAGGCACCCACCTCTAGATTTCGTATGCATGGCTCTGGAGGACTGCATTGAGTGGGGTGAAATAAAGATGCTTGACATTCTCCGAGCCTTGGCAATGATACGGACGTGGTTCCGAAGAGCTCAATCTGGATGAGTTATCTTTGCAGTGGAAAGTGCCCGATGACTACCCAGCGTCATGTATGAAAGACCAAAGTTGGAACTTGGAGGTTGGAGTAGATAAGTTGTCACTCAGTATTCCGTAGACCAACCGAGCTAGCCCTCTTATCTCATCCGCTTCTACGAATACTAGCGCTTCCCGACAACCCCGGTCCGGCGTTGTGACGGTCCCCCGCAATGAACCCGGTCATGCGGGGGGAGGGGTCACTCCGGGAGGACAGCAAATTCGCATTCAGACTCAAGGTTTGGATAGCATCGGAACTCGATCCTTGGCAGCCAAACCTCCCTCTCTGTCTCTCAAGGCGCCGGCGGAAGAGAAGGCGGTTTTAGTCAAGAATTTCACCCTTCACCAGTTCTTCACCAATACAACTCATGCCCAGATCATATTCACATTAAAATCACATACTACCGAACACCAACTCTCACTCACCCACCACCCCTCCCATCCCCAGCCATAGCCCCAGGCTTCCTAACCATGGTAAACAACCGAATCGCATCCCCCTCATCGTCACAAACCATCTCCCTCTCGAACACGAACCCCCACCGCCCATAAATCTTTACATTCGGCACATCCCTACTCGACTCCAAATAACACTTGACACCTTCCTCATCAGCCCGGTCCGTAATAACCTTCATCATCTTCGCACCCACGCCTTTCCCCTGGGCGGAAGGCAGCACAACCATGATGTTGAGAAAATAGTAGCCCCTTGGGTCAGTCCAGAGCTCGCGCTGGGCTTTGGCTTGGGCTTCTTTCCAGATGTAGTATCGCTAATTTTCCTCGTCAGTATCGGGATGAGTGAGATGGATAAGATGGATAAAGGAGATAAGTGAGATGAAATGAGATGAAATGAGATGAAATGAGATGAGATCAGACGGGGCAGTACCTTGACGTTCAAACCCCCACGCCCGTACCACAGATTATAATTCACCTGCCCAAACCATAGCCGCCATCCCTCGAGCCAGTCATTCCACGTTGGCGGTGCATCGGCGGGCTGCGGAGGAAGCCACATCGCCACACCGAGAACCTCGTCGCTGCCCTGTTCTTTTGCGACGTGGAAGATGCCGTTGCGGATGCCCCATCTCATGCGGAGGGCTAGGGATTCATAATTTCGTTGCGGGTTGAACTGGGGCACGACGTCAGCATCAGTTTCTTCCTTTTCTCACTCTCACACTTGGTAGATGGAGTATGTAGAGTTAGTAGGCTTCAAGAAATGAACAGTAATAAGTTTGAGAGGGGTGGTACCTTTGATTGATCGTACACCCAGACATTGTAAGGGTCGCCGCTGAATGCTTGTCTGTGAAGTGTAAATCATTAGCATCAGGTTCGAATTTGACGCGTGGGCCACCTTGATGAATGCCGGACTCACTGTACTGCTTTTACGGCCCCTGGAATATCCGCTTCAGTGAGATCTGTAACTTGAATCGTCATCTTAGATGAATTGATGTGGCCTGTTGGTGGCGTAGTGAGATGAGGCACCTCATCAATAAGATTGAAGCGGGGGGAAAGGATGAATCTTCCGCAAGTGTGTCGTGGTCTTGAGACGGTAATCTCATTTAAATTTTCAGAGTTTCAATTGATAGGAAGATGAAAGTGACATGAGAATAACATAAAGACCAGATCAATTCCCTGGCTGGTGGATAGCTGCAAAGCAATTCCCAGGTCGCGTGTGGTCTGCGGGGTACAGATAGTGTTAGTTCAGGTTTGATTATCGCGAGGGAGATAAGATCGCATAGACTTTCCGCGAAAGGCAAAGCGGGAAAACGGGCCCAAGCAAGACAGACCTCCTCCCCCGCGCCAGCTCGGCTCATCCGCACATCGAATGAAGACTGACAGTGGAGAGAGACTTCCCTTTGCCAAGGACCCCCGACCTCCGACCACATTCCACCGACCCAGACCGACCGACAGCGGAATGAAGGGTCCTTTTCACCCTCCTCCCCGCCCGACATCTAAACGGTCCGGTCTTGTCCGTCCGCAACGGCCGCTGGCTTGATTCGCGAACGGACCTTGCGCGACAATCCGAACATATGTGAACCTACATATAGGGTAACCTTCCCTCCCACCGGAGTGACGTCGGATGAGTGGCGAGAAGACAAACACTTGGCCACTGCTGGGTTTTCACTTTTTTACAATTTCTCCAATGTCCATGTTTCAATCTTCAGCCAGACACGGGACGCGTCAGTGAGGCCAGCTTCGTCCGACTCAAGTGAGCGACAGCAAGTCAGTGAGAGTAAGGAGTCAATCGCGGTCAATGTTAGGAGGAAAAAGTGTTAAAGATGTGAAATATGCCATTGGTATTCGCTTAATTATGATTATTTTAGTTATGCAATGCTCATTCGCCATGAGGAATGTGTCGAAAAGTCCACCAGGAACCTGTAGTGGACGTGGAAAGTCGTTGGAGGCTCACTCACCCTTTGGAGGAGCCTCCCGATACTTTCGAGTGAAATGAAGAAAATCTCATCTCAACATCAACGTGTCGCCATGCTTCCTTCCATGCATCCTTTTCTTCAAAAGGGGCTTCGGTCTTTCAAAACGCGACCGAATGCAACTCCAAAACCCATAAATCCAAACATTCTCTTTCCTGAGACTCTACCCCTTACAGATCCTTCTTCTGCTCCTGAGGAATCGGGTTTCCCTTTTCGTCGACAAGGCCCTTTGCGCGCATGACCTTGAGGGCGTCGTGGAGGGGATCGAGCTCGGGCTGGGGCGCGCGGTGAGAGTCAAAGTAGTTATCGGCCCAGGTGAAGTACTGGCCGTAGTTGACGGTGAAGTACATGTGGTGGAGGGTGTGGTGGGCGGGGCTGTTGATGTACTTTTCGAGCCAGTGGCCCGAGATCATGTCGCCGTCGTGGATGAGGATGGTCCAGATCTGGACAAGAACGAAGAGACCCATGTAGAGGTATTTCTGGATGGGGCAGACGAAGACGAAGACGCTGGGGGATGTTAGCTTCATTGCACATGGTCACAGAGTTGAGGCTCAAGTGGCTCTAGGTTGATGATGGCGATTCATGGGGGGCTGACTAACTGGTAGGGCAGAGATTGGACGTAGCCGTCGAGGGGGTGGAAGGCAAGGGCGGCCCAAGGCGTAGGCACTAGATAGAGTCAGTCGAGGCCATAGAATTGGTCGTCGTTCCGTCGACTGGAAAAAAGAAGGAGTAAATATGTGGTGACATACCAATCCACTTGTGGTGTGGCTTGTGAATGTACTTGTAGACGGAGGGGTGGTGCTCGAGGCGGTGAATCCAGTAAATGGCAATATCGTTCCAGACCATGAAAATAGCTACAGAGAAGGCCATCCACCAGAGACCATACTCCTCAACGTGGGTGTACAGTAGACTCTTTCCGCGAACCTCGGCGAGGAAGAATGGCAAAGTCAAGATGTTGATGACGGGGACGGCCTTCATGGAGGAGATGATCTCCTGGCGGATTTGGTTCTTGAGGAAGCGCGGGTGGTACTCGAGGCGGCGATCAAAGATGTAGTAGTAGGAGAGCGGGCTGAAGATCCAGTAGAGGGCGCAGGCGCCTATCTGGGTGATTGCGAGGAGAGAGATGGTTTGGCGCAGGATGCTGTCGCGGGGCCATGCTGAGCCGTACGAGTTTGAGAGGTCTGTTGGTGATGATGAGGCAAAAGCGTCGCCGGTCGCGTTGTATGCGCCGCCGCTGGATGTGGTAGGCGCGGGGACGAAGTAGGCGTAGGCCTTGTCCAGGACCAAGGGGTCAAGGAAATCGAGCGCGACGTCCATGATGGGCCGGCTTTGTGTGTGGTACGGTTGTTCGTTTCTTGGTGTCTCTGTTCGGCAATGGGATGCGCAGGAGAGCAGACGGAGGCACGGAGGGACGCAGGTGGGATGCGGGAGGTTGATGGGATGGCAGCTATCGGTGTGCTAGGTGAGAGAGAGAGAGGGGAGTGAATATGAGAGGAAGCGAGGTGTAGATGGGGAAGAAAGGAATGACAAAAGAGTCACGTCGCCGATAAAGGTGTTCCGATGAAGTTGCGCTCGCTCGCAGCTCGGTCGGTCGGTCTGGCGGTCCTCTTGTTGCTGTTGCTGGCAATGCTGTTGCTGCTCTTTCGGCGTCTGCTTCTGTTCAGGGGCAAACGAAATGGCAGAAACATTTTTGGGATCCGTTTATTTTCACCCACATTGGCACATTGGAGCAAATTAGTCAACCACCACCCACCCTCCCACCAAAGAGCTCCTTCCGTGGGTGCGGGCTTGCGACCAGTAACATTGGGCGACAAGGGACGGGATGGGAAAGAGGGATGGCGAAAGAGTGCGACCACCACCTGCCTGCTGTACCTAGCGACACCAGCACATTAGGAAAGAGGGAGGAAGTAAAAAAAAAAAAAAAAAAAGAAGGGACCCGCCAGATGAAATGATGGCGCTAAGCTTCATCTGTTCATTTAAACGAGGTCGGGCTGATCATTCTGGCCACTCACAGCAGCGTGTGCCCTGCGTCCTCCCCTCTAGCGGGGTCCCCTCATCGTTACGTACTGTCTCGACGAGGTACGTATCCACTCCCGGCGCATTCGGGTGGTGGTGTCACTTTGGTAGTGGCCGCACTACGCAGTGATGGGCATTAGACAGACACAATCATGTAGCGTGGCAGAGTGCGCCAACGCCTTGCTTGTGCCATCTGATTTGCCAATCCCTCTCTAGAATGCACCGGACTCGTTCCTTCCCCTCCCCTCCATCCACTACTGTGGTGTAAGGTAAGCTCTACTCAATTGAATGCGCTGATTTGGCGCAATCAACGAGATTGTTGAGCTGCACACAACGTCGACCGCCGCGACATTTTGGGAACTTCGGGCCACTCGGTGTCCGTGCGGTGCCCCGAAGACGGAGTTACGAAATACCATGGTGGGGCTGATCTCACCGGTTTCCCAATGGGAATTCGAGGAAGAGATGGAAAGCGGAGCGGATCTCTCGGGAATTCGTGCTGCCAGTCGAACCATTCTTGCCATTCTCCATCTTCGCCACGGGTGAGCACGGGATAGGGACGACTTGGGGAGTCGGGACGGCATATGCCAGCAATTGGGATGCGTTATCCTTTTCTGCCATCTGGATTTTCTAGGATGATATTTCATCTTTGTGGCATGTTGATGAGTAACAAGTCCTTGGCGCAATTGATCTTGAATCCCGAGGGACAGGCTTCGTGAGGAAGCGAGAAGTATCGCATTTCAAGACAGAGATGGAGAATCATCGACACAATTGCATTTCAGACGACTCAGCCAAGGGTCCAAAGCAAACACCAGTTTCGGCCAAGCTGCAACGACTCGTTCGTTTGAAAGTGAAACGAACATTGATCAGAACAACAGTGGCGCAATGGCAAGTGAGCTCTCACCAACGACTCAATTTCTTACAGCTTCTTGATGGCTTGGTGATGATGGTCCTTAGCGCATCTTTCGTATTCGGATCGCCCAGGAGCTCGGACGCTCCACATGATCGACACTTTAACTCTAGCGCCTCATGAAGTGTGGCAGCAGAACAGGCTGAACAGCTACCCAATCACGTTAGACAATGAGCCAAAGCTGTGGTAGAACGTCTGTTCCGAGTCTAGAACTTTGGATGGGAGTTGTCAAAGACTCTGGCAGAAACTCTATTCTCAATCTCAAACCTCTTTCAAAGACTCAGTCAGGCATAAGTTGATGAGATAAGGTAGCACGCAGCTTTCTCCCCTCAATCCATGATGCTATCACTGAGCTGCGGTATCATGGCGATAACGTTGCTTATGTAATTCACATGATGAACATGGGAGACGGGAAGGTGCCGTCTTGCAGTGGACTTGCACTGCAACCCCCGTCGCCGCTGTTGCCTAAGCCCTTATGGAAAGCTCATTCGAGATGAACAACTTCCCCTTCTCCGCAAATCTCGTCCCAATTCTCCCTCTCACAGACCTCTCCCCATCAACCTCCGTCTTTGGCCGTCTCCAACAACGGCGCGGAATTCGGCCTCGCAGCGCCAAGATCGAACGTGGGGACCGTCTTCGGACGTTCGTTCCCAAGCCAATTGCATTACACAAACCCTCGATATCCGTACTTGTTCCTTGTATCGATAAGGGGATGTCTACCTAGACGAACGACCTCTCCCAAGTCCCAAACCAACAGAGCGGTTCGCCACCTCCCCCCGGTTGGTTCGCACCCATACGCATATCCGGAGGCCCAGCCGAGCCGCGCGATGCCGAATACGGGCAGGCCGAGCCCAAACTGCCACTTGTGCCGGAGTCGAAGGGTCAAGGTGAGAGACTGAAACAATCAGAGACACCGTACTCGATGGAAATCCGAATCAAAACGGATCCCTCCCGCCCTCCCGCTCTCCCGCTCCCGCTCGCAAGTGCGTAGCGTCGCGTGTTATACCTACTTCATGCCGCTGGCTTACGGATACCTGTACCTACCTACCTACCATACTTTACTTTATACGTGTGAATGATCATCCCAAGTCTCCATTGTCGTGCAGCTGACAACTGGGGGGGGGGGCCGGCTGCGTGCCGGGCCCCGTGGCATGCAAAAAGTGCGATTTAGGCCGGCCTCAGTGCCAAAGATGCATCAAGTACGGGGTCCAGTGCCCCGGCTACCGCGACGATGACGGGATGCGCTTTCAGAACGCCGATCCCACCTCGTTTGAGCGACGGAGGAAGAAGAAGAGGAACCACCAACAGCATCCTCACCAGCACCAAGACCAGGACGATGAGGCGGCGTCGACGACCAGCTCGGGGACCCTGCAGATCATAGAATTCACCCCGGAATCATCAACGACGGCATCGACCTCGTCGTCGTCCCCTGCATCGAGCCGGCAGCCGAGTCGGCAGTCCACGCCTGCCACAAGCATCGCTACCAACACCAGCACTTCGACGCAGGTATCCGTAGCACTTCCGGTGCTCAAGTCCCTCCGCCAACACTGGACCGCCGAGTCCATTCCGCTGGTGCTGGGATTCTATCAGAGCCTGGACTTTCTCCCAGGCTTGTTCCGGGGCGCCGGGCAAGACCACTGCCTCGTTCTTACCGGCCAGGTCTTTACCAGGGCGTACATGATCAACCGATTTCGTCCAAGGGCCGATTACCGCGAGCTGTCTATCGTTCTCGGCCATGCCCTAGCCGCGGTGCAGGAGGCGATCAGGAGCCCCAAGACGTATACCTCAGACTCGACGATTGTTGCAGTGTGGCTTCTGGGGAACTATGAGGTGAGTGATGCGGCGTATGACATTGTCTAATACTCGGGATATCGAGCCCAAACCCCGGGTGCAATGTGCTGGTTTTGTATCCGTAGCGTATTATCTTGAGGAGCAGGGAACTAACCAAATGGAACATGTTGACAGCTGATGATTGGCGGGTTGGAACGGAGGTCCTTCATAACCGAAAAAGAAAGGGGTTCGTCGCCCGAAGTTCCTTGGCACATCCACGGCCAGGGCCTCCTCAGCCTCATGCGCGCAAGGGGGGACCGGCAGCTCTACACCCGGCATGGTCGTCAAATCTTTTGGGTCATGCACAACATGATAGTAAGTATTCATCACTAACAGCAAAACGCTCACCTATAGTCCTCATTTACTAACCTCCACGTTAGCAAGTCCAACTCACAATCGCAAACACGCCTTGCCCCCCAGACTTTGAACGCTGGCTCGACATCATCGAAGCAACGCTCCAACCGAACGAGGGCCTCCTCCTCCAAACGGGCCGCTACCTCTCCGCAGCATGCTCCCTTCTATCGACACTGATCCCGATAACCATCAGTGGCGATGCGTCCCGCGCCCGGGCGGCGTACCCGGCCCTAATCGCCGAGAGTGACCGGGCGGACCTCGCCATGGCGGAGTGGATGCGGGTGGCGCCCGAGTTCCAAATCGAACCGGGGCCGGTGTGGGGCTACTTCTGGAACTCGTGGCGCAGCGCGAGGATCAAAGTGCACCACATGATCATTCTCATTTCGAATCTCGTGGAATATGGTGAGCCACCGCTGGTCCCGGAAGACTGCGATGCAGAGTGTGGTGGGTGCCCGCTGCTTCACCCGGAGGTCCTCCGCGCCCGCCGGGAATTCTGCATGGGTATCATCGCGACGGCCGGGCGGGATGTCGCAGAGGGGATACCGCGGTCGCTAGGTGGGAAAATGCCGGACCTAGACCCGGATTTGCCCTCGGCATATTTCGATGCTGTGAGGTTGATCTGGCCGCTGAGCCACCTGTATGTCATCCCCACGACGCCGCGGCACCTGCGAATTATGGCGAGGGAGGCATTATTGAGGATTGCCAAGGAGAAGGGGATCTTGACCGCCTTGAAGCCGAGGGCGGGCGGGATGATGTTTCCAGAGGCGGCGTTGCGGGGGATTCCGGTGGATAATCTGGAGGAGGATGTCGAGAACGGCGGAGGGTTGGTCAAGTTCGCGCCTAAGGTTGAGGCGCAGGACTAATGTGAGATCTTCAAACTGCAATGTCGGGGTTTATTAACTTCCGTCATCCGGGTACCAGCTTGACATTTGGCTGTTTTGTTGTTGGGGTCTACGGACATATCTACCAAGTTGTATTACCCGGGGTTTCGCCTCCTACACGCCGTCGGCTTATTCTCTCGGCGAATTCGCCCGTCGGTGCTGAAGTCTATTCACCGAGGAACATGACATCAATGCCAGCTCTGCCAGCCAAAGTGGAAAAGGTGATTTTTCGTGCGCCTGTGCTAGTTCTTTCAGCTTAGCTCTGGGGGCTCTGGGGGCTCTGGGGGCTGCTTACGCTCGCATAGCTTGCTGCTCCCCCCCCCATGGCCGATCACTGACGATCGCACCTTGTCTTTTACCCATTTTTCGCAGTCTGACTGTCTGCATGGAGGTTTCCCATGCGCTGTTCGTAGGGTCGCGGGTAGATCCGATCACACTCCACGAGGATATTCACATGCAAGGTCAGGCTTCGGGTGAAGGCCTCATGGACTCAGTATGAGCTGCTGGCGATTCCATTGAGAGCAGCGGCCATGAGTGAGTCCGTTCAAGGGTCCCTCAAAAGGTTCAAGGGATATGGGACTAGGCACCCGCCCACAAAACCGCCTGCCCACCGTAAATCTGCGTCAATGATCATGGATCCAATCTTTTCTACCCCGGCTCACTGCCTTGGTGAACGAGAAGCTTGTTTCGACGTGTTAGCGCCGAGTTCGCGTCTTGGGGGTTGCTCCGGCTTGCGCCGTTAAAAGCGGGAGGTTTGTTCTTGGTATTTGCTGGTGCGAAAGAGGGCTTGTTGGTTTTGGGAGTTTTGGTCGCTGTGATGCAGGATGTTAGCATAGCCGGCACTTTCTGAGCCGAGTAAGCCTGGCCCTATACCGGAAGAGGAAAACCATTCAACCCAGTTTTCTTTTCCTCTAACAGCGCCTTTGAACTTAGACGTATCTGCGCGGTGGTGAGTGGTTACTGGTGAGAGTTGGTGGCAGGATTCAGGCCGTGTGCCGATTATCCGAGTCGCGAGATGGGGTACTTATGTGAAAGACTCAAGGACTCTGGTAGCTCAGCCACGGGGATTGGCGCGCCCTGTGGGGTGTACAACAATCTCACTTACATGCCTACCACCAGGCCAAAGTACTAGCATCCATACGCAGTAAGGTGTAAAATGGGAAAGATCTTTGCCAAAGGAGGACCAGTGAGACGTGAATCGTCAATCGAAGAGAGAGGCCTACCCGCTCCCGCGGGCTTAGATTGCGTCTAGATAAGGTACGGCGCTACACCCCTCACTGCCCTACAGGCCCTACACGTCAACACCCCGGGCGCCGCTGATGCGCTCTGTTCATTTCAATTGGGTACCGCAGCGACCGTTGGCTTAGAGGAGGCGGAGTCTTGGTGACTAGCGGAGGATTTCTGCGAATGTAAGTAAGCGAATGCGATGGATGGGGAACGCCGATGCAACGGATGCGCAGATGGGGTCCCAAAGGCTTGTTTTTTTTTGTTGTTTTTTTATTTTTTTGCTCTTACAGCTAAGCTGCCTGCTGGGTATGGGGCTGGTGATGGTCTGGGGAGGACTCCGCGCTTGCGGGCGTCAGAAGTGTAGTCGCGAGAGAGATATAACTACCGGGCTTGGGAGCTCTAGATGTCTTACGTCTTTCGAATCATTGTCAACCCTACTTCACTTTAGAATACGACTAGTCTGACTCTACCATTGTCCTGTCATGCTTATTTACGAAACTCTCGTCCAGGCCAGGGGCCTCCTCCGCGACAACGACGGCAGCTCTAATAGCACCAAGGATGTCTGCCCAGACATCTCTCTCGCAGAAGGTCAGTCTCTTCACTCGTACCTAGTTTGTCATTACCATAGTCTCTTTGCTGACACCGACCCAAGATGCATCCCAACCTCTCTTCGGCACCATGTCCTTCTACGCATTCAACAGAATCCTCTCCGGCAGCTTCACCGCCGCATCATGTCTCATCATCTTCACCCTCATGATCCTCCACGCAACGCACCTCAGCAAGAGCAACGAACAAATCAAGTGCGCCACTTCCTTCGGCATGCACCGTATCACACACTCGGACGCCGTAGCGCTAACCTCGAGCGTAGAATCCTGCGAATCTCACTCATCATCCCCTTCTGGTCCATCATCTCCTTTCTATCCATCTGCTTCCCCACGGCCGAAGTTTACCTCCACCCCTGGCTCGAGTTCGTCCAGTCCATCTGCCTAGCCACCTTCTTCCTCCTCCTCTGCGAGTTCGTCTCGCCTAGCGAGCAGCATAGGGACGTCTTCTTCGCCGGCATGACTGTGAAAAACAAGAAGGCTGCCAATGGGGAGGAAAATGGCCTCCAGTGGTATAGAGTCAGTCAACTGCACAAGCATCGTGCCGGTAGTACACGCATCTAACACCCGTCGCAGAAAATGTGGTTCGCCGTCTTCCAGTACCCGGTCATCGCCCTGCTCGTCGCCATCTTGACCGCCATCACCCAAGCAGCCGGCGTCTACTGCGAGTTCGAGAGCAAGGTGCATTTTGCTAGGTTATGGGTAAGTCCACGCAGTCCCCCTCCACCTGGTCACCAAACACCAAAGTCTGGATCTAACAATTCCCAAAGCTGCAAATCATCGGCACCGTCTCACTCACCCTCGCCCTCATGACCGTAATCCGCTTCTTCATGCAACTCCGCACCAAACTCTCCCACCACCAACCCCTCGCCAAATTCTTCGCCTTCAAGCTCGTCGTCACCCTCACCTTTCTCGAAAACATCATCTTCTGGATCCTCAAAGACACAGGCGTCCTAAACCCGACATCAACACTCACCGACGCCGATCTCCGCATCGGCATCCCCTCCATGCTCATCTGCATCGAGATGCTGCCCCTCGCCGCCTTCTTCCACTACGCCTACTCGCACCGGCCCTACGTCATCGGCAGCGGTAACACGCGCCGTCCGTTGGCTGGGGATTTGGAGGCGTATGAGCCGCAGACGTACTCTGGTGGGCCGGGTGGGCTGTGGGCGCTGGTGGAGATGTGGAATCCGATGGAGATTGTGGAGGCGATTGTGTTTGGGTTGAAGATGAAGGCCGAGGAGAGGAAGCAGTCGAGGGCGAGGGGTGGGTGGCAGTCGACTAAGTATCAGTCGGTTGAGTCGCCGTATGAGATGGGCAGGAGGTAAAGCCCAAGGAAGATGATGGAGGCGGTTTGACGAGCGTCGATTCCGTGTATAGATTGTACATTTTATGACATATAGACCTTTCCCAGCGATTGTGGATACTCTTTAGAAGTTTCTCTATATACTCTTTCATCACTCATTCACGGTAAAGAGTCTCGTGTGAGCCCGGTAGCGTGATTGCATCTACGTTCTGGCGATATTCCGTTTCTCCATACCCACCCAGCATTATAATAGAAAGTCGATGGCCCAGGCAGAGAACAGAAGGAACATTTACGCCAAGTTAAACCAAAGTCTGAAATGAACGGCTAATACGTAAGGTAATTGATGTGCAGTAGCTCCTATTCCTATGTAGGTGAATATATACACTCCGAACCTTACTTTTAGAGCGCGTTGACCTTGGCAGCATGCTCGTAAACAAGCGGCTGGGCCTCGGCATCATCCAGGTAGATGGTGAACCCATCATTATGGTTCCGACCATACGAATAGTTGGAGAAGCCGTACTGCCAGTACATATCCGGCATCTCCTCCTCAAGCGAAATCGCCTGCCACTTGCCCAGCACCCTTGTCCTCGGCGTATCATCCACCTTACCAAGATACTCAAGCCTCTTGTCGGCAGTTAACCACCCATACTCCTCATGCACAACCGGCTTGCCAACCTTCTTCCCGGACGCAGCATGGTCCCGGATCCACTGCTCCGTCCACTCGACCGTCTTGCTCCACCAATCCGGGTACGAGTGGAAGGTGCCAAAGTCAATGTTCGGCAGCGCCAGCTCGTGGTCAAAGTCGCTTCCGTCGGCGCCGTTGTACGCCCAGTCGTCCGACTCGATGTTGAAGCCGCCTTCGCCGCCCCATGTTACGAGGTGCTTGTTGTCGAGGGACTTGACATAGGCGCTCATCTCGGTGATCCAGGCGCCGAGGCGCTCGGGCGTGCAGTCGTCGCTCCGGGGGAGGTTGCGGGTGCCGTCGGCGCCGCAGCGGGGTTCGTTGGCGAGCTCCCAGGCCATGATGGCTGGTGAGTCCTTGTAGCGGGTGACCATTTCCTTTACGTAGCGCTTGAAGGCGTCTTTGATCGCGGGGACGTGATAGAACTATCGGTCCGAGCTTGTTAGTAAACGTACTCGTTCAAGTGTTGCATAGTCCATTGCTTGGATGGAGAACGTAGTAATTGCTTACGTCGTCGTGGTACTTCCCGCCCAGGTTGACCGTGTAGACGTCCATACCACCGTAATCGGCCCAGTTGTTGGTGAGTGCGACAATCAGCTTGATGCCGACCTTGTCCGCGGCGTTGACGACCTTGTCAAAGGCCTCGATGTTAATGACGGAAGTGCCATTGTCCCATCTCTGGAAGACAATGTCGGTGTCACCGGCGCCCTCGCCGCCGTACTGGGGCAAGCCGTCGGCGTTGTACGTGGCGTTCTTGTCGTTGAAGCCCCATGTGCGGAAGACCTTCAACCCGGCGTCCTTGGCAGCGGTCAGACCGGCCTCGACATCGGCTTGGTTCTATGAAGCACAGTCAGTCACGATCGCATCTCGCCAGAGCCAATCACCTGGAGTGTTATTTGCAGAGTCGCATACGTTGTCAAAGGGGAAGTAGTAAGCATTGCTTCCCGCAAAGTTGAAGTCCTCGCCATCGAGCTGGAACTTGGTGCCCTTGACCGTGACGAAGCCCTTCCTGATGCAAGCCGCGGACGCGGCTCCGCTGGCCAGGAGGCCAATTGAAAGCAGACCGGAGAGTTGAGGTAGCATTGTTGATTTTCAATTGACGGGAATGCCGTGCTGCAACCCTAATCCAGATGACTTTCTCTCTCGCAAAGACGCCTCAAAAAGCCCAACCAGACGGAGACGTATGCTGTGGCTGCGTGCCATATATATTGAACCCTCACCTTCGGAAAAAAGTTTACATCATGGAAGGAAATGCGATCCGAACTATCTGGGCCGGGGTATTTCCCGATTCGAACCACGGAGGCCGTTGGGCCGCGTGCCACGGGTGCGTCGACCGGGGCACGCGGGGAGAAGTTGGAGATGCCAAGGTGAGGGACCGGAGCGCTATGCCTACTTGAACGCGGAGGATGGGCGTCCGAAAGTTGGGGTCGAGGCAAATCATCAAATGAGACCAGGTGGTGGTGATATGATGGATCGACGAGGGAAATTGACAAACCGTAGACAGCTTGGATGCGATGGTACCTGGTTGAATTTCCAGCTTAAAATGCTCAAGTGGGACGCGTCCGTGGCGCCATGTCCTCATCAATGATATCCCGGGCGACCGTTCACCGACTGGGAAATTCTCAGGTCAAGGCGAGTCATAGAAGAGGACCAGTCTGTCCGTAGGCCGGTTCAACTTCGTCGAAAAGGTCCAAGCATTCAAGTCAACACCGCAAGGTTTGACAGCTCCTCAAGCCAACAGCCAGATGCAGTGATCTCCAATTGCATGTTCATGCCAAGAGAGAACTAGCGTCAGGGCCATCTATCCGACGGGATGAACTTCCTGCTCGTCCGAACAACTGCCATGGGGAATTGGCGAAGCCGATCTACATAGTAAGTCCCCCCTCCCCAACCCACAATCATGCCATGTCCCCGCATGCTATGTCCCCGCGGCGGTTGGCCGGCTAGTCTTCCTGAATAATTCCAGCCGAGTTCATGACCCAGTCAGACGCGAAACCATCTCTGATTGCTGCGCCGCTGCATCTTCGGGCACCTGGCTTCTCCAACATCAGGAAGGCGAAGGTGGTGCGACTCCGTCGCATCTTTAAACACCTTGCTGGAACAAGAGTAGAAAAGCTGGATATATATGCCTTGGCTCGCTTCTGCCAAACAAGTCTAGCCACACTTCATCTGTCACGAGTTATGGCACGCAGCAATGGGCATATGAAGTGGGTTAAAGTGGCTTGAAGTAACCCATCTAGAATGAGCACATGAGAGCAGTCTATATACTAAGAGAGTGTGATATCCACGTGAGAAAGCACGTGGCAAGATGCTTGACAAGTGCTGATACCATTCCTGTTTCGTGACATCATCTCACAATGGTGCAGCTTCCGCTCCTCCCAGGACAATTCGGGGTCGTTCATTTTCGATGCGGGGTAGCTTTGAGTTTGGTTGTGATGCTGAGAAATTGTTGGCAACTTTTGCGATGGAGAGAAAATGAGAAACCACAACCAACAATTTATTTGTTGGGTTCCTGCTGGAGACTTTGCAAATCCTGTCTGGCAAAGCATAAGAGCAAACAAAATCGACGATGAACTAGGATTTCATGGTACTGGCGATGAGACAAGCAGGACACAGTATAGGAACATAGCATCCCGGCCTTATAAAATGGTCGCTACAGCAAAAGTCAAAAATGAAGTTCTTGACGAGTGATCTGGGAATTGCCTCGTGGCGGAATCGAACCGCCGATCTTCTCATGTCACTAATACTAGTGAGACGCTATACCACTTAGCCAACAAGGCGTGCTTCCTGGGGCTCAGATTACAGAATATCATGGACGACAACGAGTGGGACGATGGGTGGAACTGGGCTGAGAGAACTGGGGCAATTTGGCCCAAGACAACTCCTTATGGATGCACATGCGTCTAGACCATGCACAGAAGCATTTCAATTGCAGCGTAGTGGAATCTTATCGTGAGAGATTCCCCGCTAGAAGTGATCGATATACAATATGCGTGACACTCAAGAACGTTGACACTTACTCAAGTCAAAAACTAAGAGTACATGTCTCCACTCTGTTCTACCAAGCATACGTATGGTGAACATGGTCATGTAAGCACGACTTTCATCATGAGTAATCGGATCGAGATATACTGTTTCATGTGTCCGACTGGAACATCTATGTTGTTCACTTGGCTCAATGTTTGTCGGCTGATTTGAGACGAGGACTTTACCACTATACGCATCACTGCTGATACCCGTAACCCCGGAATTGTCGACAGGAAACTCCGACTGAGAACGTGATACACGCATGGCAAACAGAGAGACACACACACATTGAAGTTCAGCTTCTCTCTATGATAATTGACAGAAAGGAAGGAACTTTGAAAAACGCCGTAAGGGCAACGAGAAACGGACGTTGGGCATCTCCAGCCAGCCTGTGGCATGATTCTCGAGGATGATCTAGAGGTGCGAAACTTCCCCTATTGGTATCGCTTGGATTCGGCAAGGCATGGCAATCAAGATGAGAATGTCACGTGAAAATCCGCCGAGGTGCGACGGGATGGAGCGAAGTATGTATGCCACGAATGCCTGGAAGTGTTATTGACGTGTGCGCAGCTCATTAGCTGCGCGAAGATCGCTTCTTAAATCCCTCGCCTTTCACTTTTTGTTTAATCTCTCAGAGCGTTGGTGAGAAAGTGATCAAGTTTGTCCCCATTATCTGTTGTATCAAGTTGTCGACTTTCCAAGACACAAATATTTGTTGTTTGCGTTACCCAAGAGCCTTAAGTTGCCGCTGGCACAAGTTTGAATCTAATGAGTTGAAATTTCTTGCCACGCGATTATTACTGACACATTTTGAGACTTGAGCCTCCCTTAGATCCAACGAGATAAGTGCTTTGACCTTGGGATCCAGCCCGTTTAAACAAAACGGAACGAAAGCCACAATTCCCGCATTTGGCGTACCAACGACGGGGCTCGTCCTCCGTGATCCCATCCCACTGCCGAAATCCACCAATTACCGACACTAGTAGACTGCCGCTGACAGTCTAGTCATTAAAATTTGGGGAAGTCCTAGAGTATGGCACGTAGCATGCGTCAAGGATCTCTTGATTGCGGTGTGCCGGCCGCGTCCACGAGGTCCTACCTTCGTTAACAACACGCTCTCTCACTCGTCAAGTCGCCCGTCAAAGGCACCGAGGGATCCTAGCCAAGGGTCACAGCCACGAACTTCATACGTTGGATCAGACGATTCATTTACTTTCATTACAAGTTGCTGGGACAAAAGTCGGTTGAGATGTCGAGTATATATTAGCGAACCCGGGTTGAGCATGTTGTAACTCTTTCTTCCAAAGACATCCTCCTGGACATCAATCAACTTTTCCCGTATACCAAGCTTTGATCGCCATGAAGTCTGCTATTCTATCCTTGTTGGCGATCGCGGTCAACCAGGTCTCAGCACATGCAACCTTCCAGGCTCTGTGGGTTGATGGAGTAGATGTAGGTCGAAGCCTTCGACGTAACACGTCCAAAGTTTGTGCTGACTGATCGCAGTTCGGCGGGCAATGCGCTCGACTCCCGCTGTCAAACTCGCCCGTTCAAGACGTCACTTCCAATGATGTTCGATGCAACGCGAATGGCGGTCCAGTTGCTCGCAAGTGTGTGGTCAAGGCCGGGTCCTCGGTTGTAGTTGAGATGCATCAGGTACGTCAGTCCGTATTATTCGACATAGATGTCCCACGTCAGATCTAACATCCGCACTTACAGCAAACCAACGACCGAACATGCACCCAAGAAGCCATCGGAGGCGCACACTACGGACCCGTTCTCGCCTACATGACCAAGGTCTCCGACGCTACGACCGCCGACGGCTCAACCGGCTGGTTCAAGATCTACCAAGACGGATGGTCCGCCGCGGCCGGCAGCGTAAACGGTGATGGCGATAATTGGGGCTCAAAGGACATGAACACCTGCTGCGGTAAAGTCCAGGTCAAGATTCCGTCGGACATCCCTGCCGGAGACTACCTCCTTCGCGCGGAGTCTATCGCCCTGCACGCTGCCGGCTCAAGCGGCGGCGCCCAGCTGTACATGACTTGCTTCCAAATCACCGTCACCGGCGGAGGAAGCGCGTCACCCGGAACCGTCTTGTTCCCTGGAGCATACAAGGCCTCTGATGCCGGTATACTCGTCGACATCCACAGGACCTTGACCACCTATGTCGTGCCAGGCCCGACTGTGTACGCCGGAGGCTCAACTAAGAGTGCCGGTGCCGCTTGCGTTGGCTGCGAGTCGACTTGCACTGCGGGCTCTCGACCTACGGGAACCGCATCGAGCGTGCCGCTGCCGACGGCCTCTGGCGGGCTCCCTGGTTGCACTGTTGCCAAGTATGCTCAATGTGGAGGCGAAGGGTACACCGGCTGCACCACTTGTGTTGTAAGTTGTCATCATCCAAGGTTGTACGAGACTGCGTGATACTAACGGTACGTAAAGTCGGGCTCAACCTGCCAAGCTGTTTCGGCACCCTACTACTACCAATGCGGTTAACCTTGTGAAGTGTAAGTGAAACTACGGGTCGTATCTTTGAACACGATGTGAGATGTTCTAGGGATTAACCCAAGCCCGAGGGGTGATATTATTATCCAGGCGTGTGAGTAATAATACAATAGAGGTCTCCTGTTCTTACATTTGAGGATCAGGAGAGGTCTGGTCGGACTGCCAATCAATATCTGAGCCAATAGCAAACCATCGCCACGTCTCTTGTAGTGGCTCTATCATGTATTCTCACATACACATTATGACGTTTGATTTGCTATGGGTTGACCGTTGTGATGTATTACCGAACCATGGGCCAAGAACACGGGGTAGTGACCGTAATGAGCGGCATAATATCTGCACATGATGATCGTGATCTCGGCGTGACAATATCTTTTACATGCCTACTTTATCAGACTGGGTAAGATGCTCTCGCCTTAGAAAGTAAAACAGAAGAAGCAGGCTTGCTATGGAAGGATATGATACAACTAGAAGAACACTTTTACGCCCCGACCGTTTTACTCAACCTTTACATGTATGTCAAACAGTCATAAGTCTCTTCCTCTTAGGTGTAACCAAACTCTGGCGGTGGTGGCGCTGGCGGCGGCTTCACTTGAATTATGTAATCCGGATGCCCAGGCACCACGGTCCTGTACGTTCGCGCTCGTCTTGGGGGATGTTCCGGCGCCTCAAACTCATCCTCTGGCCAGCCATCCTCTTCTCCACCTCCTAGATCCTCGCATCTTGGGCGAGCTATTCCGTTGCCTTCTCGGAAAGAAACCTTTCGTGCACTAGATCGATTGCATGGTCTTTCCGCTCTCAGAGGCTCCGGCGAAGCATAGCCGCTGTCGCCGGGAGACAAGCCACCACGAAGCGGCACGTTCATGTCCCCTTGTACTTGCGGTTCAATATAGCTTTCCCTCCTCGTGCGAGATTTTCTGACTCTTCCTGTCCAATAGGCTTCAGGTTTCCCGGCATGTCTTTGTTGCGGATCGGGCCCCTGGTAGGGAGGTTGGCCAAAGGGTGACTGGTTTGGAATGAACGGGTTACTGGATGTAGTAGCAGCAGTATCACAGTCCCTTGGTGGTGGATAACCGCCGGCCGACAAAGGAACTTCCGACGCAGCTCGTCGATGTGTTGGTCTATGAGGAGCTTGGAAGCCTCCGAGATCTGACCGCGACTGTCCATGTACCACCTTCAAGGTTTCCATGATAGCAGCTTGAATAATGGCGCCAGTATCCCGCTCATCATAGACCGATGGAACCGGCGTGGAAAACCCCCTAGAGCCAACATCGGAGCGGAGCATTCGCCTGCTGAGTTCTGAGCGCATGTCAATGTCTCTCAACTGAGCACTGACCCCGTTTTCGAGCTCTTTTCGTACAGTCTTCCTCACTTGTCTGACCACGGAGGCTTGCAGTGCTGCTTCGGACGCCTTTTTCTTCTCTCTCTTCTGCTGAGCTTTCAATTCGTTATGCACTTGCTGTTGTCTGACCTCCAAATCTTCCAGTCCTCTCTTCATCTCTTCTAGTTCATTATCTGTCGTTATTCGTTTGTGTGTTTTCTCCTGCTTTGGCTTAGGCTGTTTCTTGGGCTTGGGGACGCTTCTTTCTGCGTGATGACCTTCGAACAACTCTTGCGGTGCGGGGTACTGGGTGTAATAATCTTTACGGCGGCTTGGAAAAGCAGGCTGCGGGCGGGGGCCGGTGAAAGCATGACTGCGAGGTGTAGCATCGTACGGATGAGGATGGATTGGTCCTGGATGCGGTACATAGTAAGGGCCGTAAGGATCAATCGGTGGAGGAGGTAGTCCCATAGGACGGGGCCCTCCCATCGAATTTCTGCGACCGCCAGGGTAATGTGCTGGAGGATGAGGCCGCATTGGGGGAGCATACATTGGATATGCGCCGGGATGAGGAGGAACTCCGTGGTAATTCATTGTTGGAATTTGAGGCTGTTGATCGAAGCCTTGAGGGTCGTTGGGACCGAAATACTGAGGCGGGGGATTTCTTTTCGGGTGACCTCTCTGCTGCAAAGGATCCGCGAAATCTTCTAGATAACCTCGCCGATAAGGGACTGCCTGGCCGGTGGTGAATCTCGCTTCTTGATAACTGCTATAGCTGTCTGGATCGGGGTGAGTTCCGTCCCATCCAAGTTGTGATTCAGTATCTTCGAAGTTGAGAGGTTTTGTGTTACGCTGGTGATGTCTGTATGATGTCCGTGGTTCGTTGAGCTCCGATTCGCTCCAGTCCACTTCCTCCGGAGTACTTTGTTGTTGAGTTGGATCGCTTTGTGTAGAATAGAGGAGCGCTGGAGTCATGATATAGATGACAAGAGAAGGACTATTGGACGGAGGGGGTAACAGTTGACTTTCAAAGCATACTTTCAATCGCTAGATGTGGATAATGCGACAGAGTCCCAATTTGCTGGAATGGGGGCTTGTGGTGTGGCTTCTGCTTTATATTCGTCATCGTATTCCGATCCACGCCGTCCCGAATGAGAACGCGCGGGATAGGTTCGGCTATTTTCGAAACATTTTCTTGCTGGTCGGCTTCTGGAGACCGCCGCCGAGCGTTCATACATGTACTATTGGTTCCAATGTGGTTGTTGGTTCGTGTTGGCAGTCATGTGTCGTGCGGCGATGAAATGGAGGCCACCCGTTCGCCGTTCATCCAGCTGCTCCGACCAGACAGGTCGCCGCTTCGGCCGTCGCTTACCCCGTTTCATTCATGGACATAGGGACCGAGCATGACTTTCAAGCAGGCTATGCTAGAGATGCAGCTGCCTTACGGACGCCTTGGATTCTGCCTTGAAGTCAACTGGCTTTTCGCAGCTTACATATGCGACCATTGGCGCTAGAAGGGCGCTAATGTATTGCCAGATGCAGAAAACCACGTCGATAGGTAAAGTACTCACTTAGACATGGGTCAAGGTAAGGTAATTGGTCTTCGACACCAACCTACGGAAGTAGGCAGGTCAGGCTCTTGTAAACGATGATGTCTTGAGCGTAGCTTCAAAAGGAAATCAAAGCTAAGAAATATTTTGTGTAACTATCATGAAAGTGAAGCAAGACCCTGAATTGAAGCCGCATCTTTTCCAAAAAAAACATTTCCAACACACACCTTACATTTTAGACCAACATAGCGAAACGCAAGTAGAACGTTACACGCTAACGGACGCTTCAAGCAGGCTGGCATGCAATACATATGCGTGTGGTAAGACTTTGCAGCCGGCTGTCCGATAATGGTGGCAGTGTTGACGTGTTTGGGGATAAGCGACGTGGGGATTTTGAGCCAGTAGCATAAGCCAATGCCACCAAGATCATGGTGTGAAGCTCAGCCCGCGTGACATGCCTCTGTTCTTCGAGTCCCCTGCAAGTTGGATTGGCGCAACCAAGTGGGCGCGAAGTGTTCTCTGTGATTCGTTGGCTCATCGGCCAAGGGCATGATTCGAATGTTTAAACAGAGAGAGGCTGCTGAATCCGAAACTGTTCTTGATAGTACATGACTTATTTAGTTGGAACATATCTCAAAGTCTACAACATAACCGTGTTGATAATCCGCGGCTGTACCTTGATGTTGGTTACAGCACAGTATTTGAGCCTGCACATCTATTTCCAGAACTTCTTCAACGGCGGCTATTTCGGATACCTACCTCAAATTAATAGCTTTCCAACATGGATCCTCTAAGCATTATAGCGAGCACTCTAACTGTCATCCAGTCGTTGCTGGCTACCTTCGATACCATCAAAAACATCAGGGGTTTACCCGCCGCCTTCAGAGAAGTGGGAAAAAGCCTCCCACTCGTCGAGAACACATTGCAACTCGCGCATGAAGCGTTGAAAGCCGAGAAGCCAGACGCAGCGGCTGAGAAGGAACTCATGCCCGCACTGTTTGATTGCCAAAAGCGAGCTTCCACAATACGCGACATCTTCAAAGACATCGAGGGCGGCAAGAACCAGGAAAAGGAGGCCAAAGAATGGTCGGCTCTTGCCAAGTTCTATCACAACAAAGTTGTACCACTGGGCAAGGCTCACAAAGTCGAAAGCCTGATGCAGGACATACTCAAAAAGCTCAAGGTGCTTGCTATTCGACAGATCTTCAAGGCAAGTGCGGAGTTGCAGAAGCAGGTCGGCAGCCTTGAGGACGCAATTCGATCTTTGTCGGAAGTGGACCCGTCACTCCCAGACTCTGACTTCGATGCCGCCTCCAACAACATCTCAATGAAGAACTACGACAAAGCGAAGGGATTGGTTTCGACAGGCAGCAATGCGGACATTGCGATGGGTGATAAATACCACTCAGGCCACAACATGTATTTTGGTAGGAGATCAAAAGACAGCGATTCTGACTGAAGGACTTCAAGTTTAGATTGCTGACGACTAGCAAACCTTTTGTAGCGAATCATTATTATCAAACCTCTGGTGCCACCGGTTCGTTTCCATCCGACTGAACTAGTGATGTCTCCTGTTCTCACTAAAGAAAGTGGACCACCCAGAGCTACATATTGCCGACTGGCTAAGGCTAGTATCACGGCCAGTGGATGTTGCAAGGATACAAACCGAAACATTTCAGATCGCATTGAAAACTCCCGGTGCAGGGCACGCGATAATTCAACGATCGGCCTTCGATAGATGGTGTGCTGGAGATTTTCGGAAGTTTTGGTGCTATGGAATCCGTAAGATGTCATCTTCGTTGCAATTAGACTGAGAACGGAGATCTAACGGCAAGGCTCTTTTAGCTGGATCTGGGAAGACCGTTCTTGCGTAAGCGTACAATCTTTGCTCTCACCATAGGCTTCACTCTCTTGAGAGCTCGGACTGATCACGGTTTTGCAGATCTATTATCGTCGATCATATTTCCAAGCGAGTGATAAGACACAGCAGCAAGGAAGTCTGTGTCTACTTTTATTTTGACTACACAAAACATGCGGAACAGGGTATCACCAACATCCTATCCACAATACTGCTGCAACTTTTACAAAACCAGGACGTTCTCTCCCCCGAAACTCAGCGCGTCGTCAATGCCTGGAAAAGGACTCGGCAAGTCCCGAGTGAGGAAGATTACATCAAAATGATCGCATCGCAGGCAGAATTGTTTTCAACTATCTACATGGTGGTAGACGCCCTTGACGAATGTCTCGACAACTCTGTAGAAAATACTCTCGCAACTTTCCTCAAGAAATGTCAGGGCTTGCCGAAGAACTTTAGGATGGTTTACACGTCGAGGCCGGGATCCCATCTCTATCGAATGATAAGCCCAGACCACAAATGTGAAGTCAAGGCAGATGAACTCGATGTCAAGGCTTACTTCGACAAATTCATCGAAAGCCATTACGACTTTCAACAAGTCGTAGAGAACGGCTGTATAGCGGATCCATCATTCAAAACCAAGATTCTGGCAGCGATTATGGAAAAGTCTCAAGGAATGTAAGACACAGAATCCATCCAAAAGTCTAGTGCGCTGGTTGTTAATCATATGCAACAACAGGTTTCTTCTTGCGCATCTTCACATCGAATCCTTGGCCTCGACGCTCAGTCTCGTAGAGCTTATCAACAAACTGTCACACCTCTCAGCAAGTCCGCAGGAGGTCTATCATCAGGCAATGGACCGTATTAAAACGAACTCGGTTTCGAAGCGGATCTTGGCTATTCATGCCTTGTCGTGGGTCGTTTACGCTAAGCGAGCTCTGGCCGTCGATGAGCTTTTACACGCTGTCGCAATCCGCAGTGCCCCGCCAGCCTCATTCACCAACAACGAGTTGACAAAATACCACCTTCCCACATCATACAATATGTGCACGGAAGAAATTCTTTTGTCAGCCTGTATCGGCCTCATCGTCGTCGTTCCTGGTGGTTCCATGTCTTCATCCAAGAGGACTGTTCGATTGGCTCATGCTACTGCGGCAGAGTATCTCCTGGCTCAAGAGATCATAAGGGATGAGCAGGCTATCTTTCTGGAAACGAGTTTGAACTGCCTTTACCACGCCCCAAGCCAGAAAGCTTCCATCTCTGAAGAAGAACTCAATAAACACTGCAAGATGTATCCTCTTTTCCGCTATGCAGCGGCGTACTGGGGTGTTCACTTCTCCGAGCTACCAAAAGTGAAGGGGACTAGTTACAAGTTGGCCTGGGACTTTGCATCAGATCAATACAAGCTGCGCAATGCACTGAGAACGATGACCGATCCAAGTATTTCGCACCAGACAAGTGTATCTGCTGGACATATCTCGGCGTACTTCGGCCTCGAAAATCTGGTCAAGAGGGCGATGTCAAAGATCGGGTACCTTGGCTTTAATGACAGAACAAAGAGCGGAGACACTCCATTGCACTGGGCGGTAGCCCATAACCAGCAAGACTTTGCATTGTTCCTGATCAACGAAGGGGCCGACCTCAACATCCAAAATACCAATGGCAAGACGGTTCTACACATGGCAACGGCGATGGACCACAGGTACTTTACCAAGATTCTGATTGAGGAAAAAGCAGACCTCGAGCTCCAAGACTCTGAGGGATACACTTGCTTACGATGGGCCGCTCGTTATGGACACCAGAAGACTGTTAATATGCTGCTCGAGGCCGGAGCAAAGGTTAGTGCATCTGACAAGGATGGATACACAGCGCTGCGCTGGGCAGCACGAGAGGGATACAAGTCCATCGTCAAGACTCTTATCGATAGAGGCTCATCGATCGAGTCACCGGCTTCCGAGGAGTGGGCATTGCTGAGATGGGCAGCACAAGAGGGCCAAGACTACATCATCTGCCGTTTAGCTAAGAGAGGTGTCAATTTGGATGTTTCAGACTCCGAGGGGCTGACTGCTTTGAGCTGGGCCGTGAAGTACAGCCGGGAGATGACTGTTTGGCAGTTGATCAAGGGTGGTGCAGATGTCAACAAGCCGGAGATGAAGGGAAACCGACCTCTTCATCTTGCTGTAGACAATACTAGCGGTCATCACGACAAAAGTTCTCTGAACATCCTCTGGATTCTCCTGCAGAATAGAGCCGAGGTCGACGCTAGGAACAAACACGGAATGACACCTCTGCATCTTGCAGCGGCCCGAGGAAACACGTCAATCGTTTGGCTGCTGCTTCAAAACGGAGCAAGCCTAAGTCAAGTTGACATAGATGATCACAACGCACTATACAAGGCCGTAACTGGGCAACATCTTGAATGCTGCCAAGTTCTAATTCAGAAAGCGGAGCATCTCGTCAACACCAAGGACTTGTCATGGCGTACGCCTTTGCACGAGGCGGCTTCAACAGGATGCCTCCCGATTGTCGAAATGCTCCTGCGTCACAATGCACAAATAGACGCTCAGACTCGGAAGGGCCAAACACCGCTATATCTTTCAATCCTTCAAGATCATCCCATAGTTGCAGAGTTGCTCGTCAAGAAAGGTGCAAACTTGCAGATTCTCAACACTAATAAGCGATGGACAGCGTTGCACCTCGCAGCGTTGATAGGAAGTCTTGGTATTGTAGAGATGCTTATCAATCATGGGGTAGACGTCGACACACAGGATCGACAAGGGTATACTGCGCTGCATTTTGCGCTCCAGGAGGGGCATTGCGAGATGGCGGATTGCCTGAAGACGAATAGGGCAATTACACAACAACTGAACCCTGAAGCGGTGATGGCAAAGGGCTATAGCGCAGAAAGCGGAAAAGAACCCTTCGAAGCGACTAACAAACCCTTCACGTACGAAGAAGCAAACAGTGTTGGGCTGATAGAAACTGAAGAGACGCCTTGGTGGAAGGGGGATAAGAGGTTCGCGGCTACTGTGGAGGATGAGTGATCCTTGCCCGTCAATACGTAAGGTCGAGGCGTCTGCGCTGGAATTCATAGGCAATAAACTCGCCCATTAGGTAGACGATAAACTCGATAGTGTCTCAACTTTTAACTCATTCAACTGAAATGAATACCAACACAATGATATCAAGGAGACCCAGAGATCAGTTCTTCTCTTCAACTTTGTACAGTAGATCCAAAATCTCTCTTGCAGCCTTCTCTCTTCCCGCGCCCTCCGGGTGTTGCTGCGCCAGAGCCCGAGCTCGTTCTTGCATTGCATACGCTTCCGGGCCAAGCACGACTTCTATCAACTTTTCAGAGAGTTCTTCTCTCTCCCAGTAAGGCTTGGCCTTCCTGTTGGCCCACTTCCCGATGCCCAAGATCTCTGACCGAATGGCGAAGTCGTAGCAGTCGCCCCAGCCTGGCAGAATAACTTGTGGGATGCCAGTACTAGGATTGAAGTCAGTGAGAGAGATCTTGAGTTGAAGTTGACATTTCGGAAAGAAAAGTCAGTCTAGCTGGGCGAGGAGGTCCTTACCATAGAGCTTCATGGAAAGAGTTGGAGCCGCCATGACTGACGCAACACACCAGATGGCCGGACTCTAGGATAGACTTTGGCTCAGCAGTAACCCAGTCCGTGATCTTGACTCTATCCTGGTCGATGAACGGGCTCAGGATTGCCTTGATATCAAGCCACGGCCCAGAGTACTCCGCTGCGCTCTCATTTACTCCCAACTTGCGCGGCATCTTCCATAGGACTTGGAGCCGAGCGTCGTCTTCAGAACCACCATTGTGTTCATCTGCTTGATCAAGAAGATTTCGGATTGCATGAGCAAATTCCGTCGCTTTGGGAATATCGTAAAAATGGTGCGTGCCGAGGCTGATAAAGACCGTCGGCCCTCGACTCAGCCACTTGGCGAGTTCAGGGTCGTCGACTTCAATCTTGGGAGCAGCGCGAGTGATAGGGCCGCATGGAGTGATGGACTCAGGAATTGTCTCAAAGGGGAAATCAATGTCGGGACTGTTGGCGACGAGGATCCGAAGGCCCTTGGGCGGAGCTTTCAGAAGGCCTAGCTCGTTCCAGGTGATGATCTCGATGTTTGGTTCCGCTTGCTTGGCCAGATATGCTGTGACTCGCTTATATCTCGGATCGGCGAACAATCCATACCCGGCGACGAGGTTGAAGAACACGTTGAGGGGGATGAGATGCAGTGGGATCGGAAACGGCAGGCTTGACTGTATGCTTGGCAGTCGTTAGCTTTTGGATTCAGACTTCGAATTTACTTGCGAACTCACATGGGATACTTCCACAGCATTGCCAACTTGGGTTGCATTGGCAACGCGAATTCTTTGATGGTGTTTGGGGCAAGACAAATCCAGTTGATTTTCGCATGGTTGGCGAAGGTTGTAGCCGGAGAGAAGAATGACTCCACCACAGTCACGTCAGGCTTCACTTCTTCGAAAACTTCCTCGATGGCTTTGTAAGTCTCGAAGAACTCCTCCGGGCTCCATGGCAGTGCGAGGCCGGCAAGTGTGAGCATGTTGCGGGAGGTATTGACGAGTCCGGGCTTTGTAAGCCAAGTAGCCAGGGCAGGATTGTCCGGTCTGTCCACGGCCTCGAAGTGAGAGAGGCCGACGAGTGGATGTAGCTTGACAGCGTTCCCAGCGGGGGCTCCCTCTATCTTGCTGCATTGGTCGACGAAGCGGTGGAGCTGAGTGTCGAAGCCTGCTTGTGAGCCAATGTGTACTTCAACATCGGGGTTGATCTGCATCAACGCGTAAGTAGCTGAAAGAATGACATTGGCTTGGCCATAGTCTTTGTTACAGAGAAACAAGATCTTCTTCTTAGTTGAAGACATCTTGAAGGGTGGCTGAATGGGTGACAGGCTGTCGTAGGGTGGGTGCAGCTTAATCAAGCCATCGAAAAACAGAGCTGGGGTTTTTTTCGAGATAGCCTGGGTCTTTAATGAAGGGAGTCTTCAGGAGTAGACTGGAGGGCCTTTGGCTCTCATCTGTCAACTCAGGTTGCACAATTGCTGTCCTCCATGGAAAATCTCGGAACCACGCCAACACATCGTGAGGTCTGGGCACTGATTGTTGCTGCATCTCTTGCAGAACTCGTATGAATATCGTTCTGATAAGTCATTTCAACGAAATTGAGGATAGATACTTTACGCTGTTCTCTGCCGTATTGTGTTAAACAGCCAAGCAATTCGACATACTAGCTGACGTGAGATAGACCGGCATCGCGCACTTCGACGTTGCAAATTAAGCCAAAAGGGCAAGGGGATGTGGATAGTATTCAGCGATAGCTCCACTACGGAAGGATTCCCGTTGGATACCTTATCTCAATGTTTCATTCGATTTACGAGAGGTGCGTTCGGATTACGTTCCTAAGTGGAGTTTGTGTGACATGACAGTCCGACTATTGTGGTGATCATCTGCCGCTTGAATGGGCGAAGGAGACCGGTGGGCGACAGCCGGGCCGAGTCATCACTTCCTCCAAGGTCACGAACATACCATTTCTGCTCAGATATGCTGGCTAGCGGAGACTGATTGGGCATTATTACCGAATTCTGCAGTTGAAAAGCATGGTTACTGTATTTGATTGGGTCATAACTGAGTTTGAGGCAACATCGATACTACGCCGAGATTACTTGCGTTGTTCTGGCATTCAGACTGCAGCAAATATTTGACAACTCGTGTTTATTGAAGTGCGCGTTTATTGCAGATCACGTCTGAATTTGGAGTGATCTCTATCTCCGTGTCCCAACAGAGTGTTGTGGAAGTCGAGTTCAGTAACAGTGTAATGATGAACTCCCGAGGCACCCATCTCATGCTTCGGTACTTCTGCCCACATCTCGTGCTCGGGTATCGACCCACCGTACAACTCATTTTGTGGCACATCCGAATGCAGCTCCCCTGGAGCCACAGGGTGGTAGTAAGCCTGATATGCTCCGTCACCCTTTGAATGGTCAGGATATGGAGCAAGTGTAGTTGCTGCTTCCGCTGTTGTCTTCTGCTTCCGACGTCTGACGAAGCAGAAGAGAGCAAACCCGATGATTGCGCCGACAATTGCAGCTATTGGGGCAGATCCCTTGGCGTCTTTTTCGCCGGACGGATCTTGATTGGTTTCACCTGTAGTGTTGGAGTTTGACTTTCTGAATAGTGCCTGGACTTCGTTGGATGACCACTGAACAGAGTTGATACCACTAGATTCATGTTAGCACCTTGGCTCATGCCGTCAGCTTGCCAATATTTGGCTGGTGTTACATACGTTTGCTGATACCAGTCACCAACTGTCTTTGCGCTTTCGTAGTCTTTGGCATCTGCATCGTAGTCCGTCTTCCACGTCCAGTCCGTCATGTCGAAGAGACCAAGTCCTTGCGAGTGGCTTGCTAAAGAGCGGCCAAGACGCCAATATAGACGATGGTGGAAACAAGAGGCAACTCCCCGCTATACCCAACTAGGGCTCAAGGCTACCCTTGCTTGCCCTCCTGAACTTGGCCTCCCTAGGGATACCCTTCATCACCTCCTCGCGGCACGGTCAGGCCACGGGGACTTTAAACAATATCACCAACGCTTTAACCACACAGAAGCACTACTCACCTGCTCCTGTGGATGGGTTAAGGAGGCAGACCATCTAGTCTACTGCCGAAAGACCCTACTGAGGAGGCAACAGTGGCCCACCCTCTACCCCTACAGCCGCCAGGAGCCCGTAGGACCTATAGGGTCCCTCGATCGCTACTTCAAGGGGCTAATCACTGACTCTGAAGGCTTCCAGGCCTTCCTTTGCGTGACAGACTTCTTCTAGAAGATCTGCCCGCGGTACTAGGAGATAGGTCATAACCTATCCTCCAAACGACAAACTACCTCTATTAAGAGACCAGATGGTTATAACGGAACTAGGGCACCAGTGGGAACTAGGGATGGATAGAACACATAGTAGCTCACGAGCAAGATTTGGAGGACGTCAGGATACGGCGTGTACTATATAGTATATAGCTAGAGCCTGCGACCCTTCACGCCACATACCCCCCGGGAGGTCTGCCGCAAGGGCGGCTGCGCCCTTGCCGCCATGGCGTTAAATAGAACAACAACAACAAAAAAAAAGTCCTTGCGGCCAGGGGTCGGCACTTGTATATCCCGTCTTCCCATCCGCTCCCCCAACAGATAGCATTTGACGGCGGCCAACTACTGCGCAGCGATGATTTCTCCTTGGGTTTTTCGATTCGTAAGGGACTTGATTCCAGAAGAATCCCGGGATGCTCAGAACAACGACGTCGTAATAAGTTGAACCTGTTTCACTATTGGTGCCGCCAAATACAAAACTAAATGTTCGTTAGAATCGACGGTGGGGTCATCTAAGGTCGATGGGGATGCTCACATCTCGTAGGTTCCGTTGTTGCCTTCGACTCCAACACTGCAAAAGTTGCTACGGGGAGTAGGCGCGTTCCCAGTCGTCTTCTGCCAGTACCAGTCTCTGGTTACTGGGTCCATGAATGTCAAGTTACTGAAGTCCTGCCACCCGAGGGGCTTCGCCTGATCTGGTTCAAGGCTCCATGTCGCGCCGCCCATTATGGTGATGAGACCGTTCGGACCGAAAGTCGGGATGTAGGTCGCAGAGCCCCCCGTTAATGTGCCGTATTTGGAGAATGCATCATTTGTCTCATTCGCCCTAGACCTCGTGGTCATATTATAGGAGAGAATACCGGGGAGTGGCTGCGAGTATGGGTTCGAGGTCGTCCAGCCCGATGATTGTCCTCCAAACCAGAACCCAGCGTCGGGGGTGCTAGCGAATGCGCCTCCTTCATTCCGTCGCAGTTCCTGGAAAAGTGTTGGATTTGCCGGCGTCTCCTTTGACCATGTGCCACCTCCTTTGCCGTCCGCTTCGAACTTCCAAGACGTGGGCTCGTCTAATGGTGCTCCAAATGGGCTATGCCCGCCCCAGATCCAGAATGTATTCTTCGCGTCGTTCTTCCACATCGCTTGTTGATCCATCGTTTTCGGCGTCTTCGTGATCTCCCTGATCCTGACGCTGGTTGCGGACCATGACGTCGTCAAATCGATCGATAATGTGGAGTTCACTAGTATTCGCAGCGCATGAGAAGGTGTCGTCGGGGTTGATTGCTTCGTCGATGAATACATGTAACTGACCTGCGTTGGAGCCTCGCGACGTTATCAGGTTACCTCGCGCATCGAGCTGAGAGACCTCGCCGCCATCGATGTAGGCATAATCGCCGAGAACCGCGACTACATGGCGAAAATGTCAGTTGTAGTTCATTCAGAAATGGTCGATATGCACTACCTCTTGCATCTGCTCGACGTAGGAAGATCTCCGATGATGGTACGTCTAATAGTTCCCAAGCGCGCTTCGATTGCGCATTCGAGAAGCTAGGCAGCTGCAGCACACATCCCAGCAAAGCGCCCTTCACTCACGACTTGAAGAACATCGTTCCGCGAAATGGAAGAGCGCAAGAGAAGAGATGAAACAACTGACGCGACGAAAACGCCGAAAGTAACGGAAAGCGAGGAACGAGGAGGAGAAAGTTAAGTCTCGGCCATCAAACTCCCCGCCATGTCCGAAGGAAAGGCTTCAAAAACCCGGGAAAAAGGAGCGGCCGGAATGCTGGCTTCTCGGTTGAGGCTGATGCTGCCGAAATTAACCTCAAACCCAAATCATGCTGAAAGCCTGCACACCCATGACGCTAATTCAGAGGCGATGAGCCAAAATGCGCTGGCATTGGGCGAAATGGTTCGCGAAGGATCGTTAGCGCCCTTGGCATGCTGACGGGCTTCCAAGCCCTCGTCCCTCCCCTTCATAGCCTGGCGTTGACACGTTGTTTGTCAAGACCTAACAATGTTGTCTCACTGTACTTCAACAGCCTGTCAGAAGTAACGGCCTGGTCAAAACGAAGGTCCTAGTGTGTTGGACTGAATGACACCCAATAGGTCGGCTCTCGCTCCAACCGAGCCTTCGATTTGAAACGACCAGAGAAGCTGAAGATGAAGTCCTTGTGTTCCGTAGAAGAGCGATGGCGGCAGATGGGCACCGATGGCCCTGGGCTGTTCTGTGGACCGAACAAACAGGCAACAGCTTAATCGAATTAAGGTGCAACAAGCCTTGTTCCGTCGGAGATCGTGGCCAATGGTGGGCCAAAAGCGCCCGCGGAAATACGAATAGTAATGTGAGATTATCATCCTTGTAACACAAACCCCTGACGATTTGGGGGCAGCTCCAGGGGCTATGCAGTGCCCTACCAATACCTCCGCGATTCTTTGTTGGTTCGGCTCAGACAAGGGGAAAATAATCCAGTCATAATTGTTTGAAGCTGGTGTTTCTGACCTTATTCTAGACAATTTGCTCACATTCTCGCAGACCACAAAATGCCGGAGTAATTTCGAGTGATTGATACCTGAACAGTCTCCATAATTGCATTCAAGTCTAAGGTAGTGGCAACAGTAATGCTGCAATACCCGTACAAGCGCTATTTTAAATCTTCGTCAAAGAGTGAAAGAACAATATTAGACGCCAAGTTCCTCTTTTGAGTTAACGAAAGACACTGTTGTATCTAGAGTCTTCGATCTTGATAGGAAAAGACTAGCAGCAGTCGTTATAAAGAGATGTAATTATCAGAACTCCATGATATCAGGGTAAGAAACCTATCTGTGTTTTCACTTTCTACCCATCATCATGAGCCGCATTTGCTGTCGATAGAAACTTTATCACAGGTAAACCTAGAAGATGGCTGACCCTAAGATTGAGAAAGGCCTAGCTGAACCAGAAGCGCCAAAGACTATCGAGAGTGCGCTTCGACTACCAGCCCAGGGCAGGGCGCCCGGGAAGAAGCTGAAGAAAGACACCAAAAATGATCCAGGTGACAGTTTTTCGCATGAGTACGTTTCGTTCCCCCCATTTCCTGGCAGAGCGGATGATGAGACTTGGGAGGAAAGTCGAAAGGAGCAAGCGTCGGCGGATGCAGAGCCTGTAGAGGAGATTCAAAGGGAACAACCACCAATGGAGGTAAATTCAAACGAGCAGGAGTCGGCCAGCGAGTGGAAGCAGCGGCCACGCAGAGCTTCATCGTTGTGGTTCTGGAACGGGAGATGAGGTAGTTCAATCACAAGCCCTCCGACACGGAATAGGAATGTTCTCGATAACTCAGATACGTTCATATGCTGTAGGTTAAAAATTCACTGGAGTCCCTTTCTGTTGTGCTCGCCTTCGCTACTTCAGGTAGCCAACCCCAGGAGACAGGAGTAAACTCATCCGCACCACCTAATACAACACAACTCAACTGGCTACTTGCCAGGCAGACTTCCAAGCCTCACCTGCACTTTGGGTCTTGTTCTCTTTGGTCTCATCAGAATCCGGCCGTCTTCCCGACAATAAATCGTGGGGAACTCGGTGATTCCGTGGGATAACAGCAGAGGTTATAACGACTCCAAAACCAGCTCAAAGAAAACTTCATTTCGTCTCAAAGATGTTAACTTAGGCAATCGTTTGAAGAATTGACGGGGTCATTCTTTTTGCCGTATAGTCTTCATACGCAGTTGGGCGTCAATAAACGCTGGCTGAGCTCAACGCTTGAGCCACCGAGAGGGACGCGGGTTGTGCCGTAACTGAATCTGCATCTCTGAAGCCGCGGAAAATTCTCGCCCATACAAAACAGACCAGTGTGTCACGACGATTCATGATTTTGCCCCTGGGCAGGTAAGCCCAAAACTCGGCCGGGAAAAGAACCAGGAGGCGAGTAACTGATGGGACCAAGATGTGAAAGCTGAGCTTGGTTGTAATCTCGTACAAAGTTATAACATGGTCTGGCTTCCCACCGATAAAGCTGATTGATATCAACCCAATCTAATCAGTTGCCATGCAACTTCATCATAACTTCTACCTCTTAATTCACGGGTACTCCATGCTCTAGTCGGGAGTATTGACAAGGATGCGTTCGACTTTGACAGCTGCAATGCGGCTAGTGGTCACGACGATGTGCCTTATTGGCTTAACTCAATGTCTAAAGACGGTAGAGATTCCTTTTACCCGCATGGCAGACCCTGACAGCAACTTTGTTGCATCGATGCAAATTTCGGTTGGATCACCACCTCAGCAAGTCATGGCAATCTTCGACACGGGAAGCAGTGATCTCTGGGTTCCGCAGCTCAACAGCCGCCTATGCAAAGATCGCCTAGCAACATGTACTGCCAGCAATGGCAATAATTCCAGCGTCGCCTGTGCCTTCGATAACGTAAAATCGACTTCGTTCAACGTCAACCGCTCTCCATTCGAGGCTACCTACGCGAATGGTGTTGAGATCCAGGGGACCTTCATGTCAGAATCAGCGACTGTTGGGAACACATCGGTCTCCAATAACACGATGGGATTGGGTCAGACTGACAAGTTAACCTCGCCTCTAATTGCCATCCTTGGTGTCGGTCCCTCGAGTTCAGAAGCGTCTGTTCTCACCAATAATGCCAAGCCATACACGAACTTTCCGGAGAATCTCAAAGCACAGGGGCTCACCAAGTCGTTGACTTATAGTGTGTACTTGAATGACTTCAGTTCGTTCCCAATTTTGGATTCTGCGCATAAACCTTTGCTAATATTGTTTAGGGTCGCCTAGTGGAAGCGTCGTGTTTGGCGGGATGGACACTGCCAAGTTCACAGGCCAAATGCAGATGGTTCCTCTCATCGGACACAAGTTATTCAAAACAAACGACTTTATCGTACCTTGGACCTCCTTCTCATTCTCGGCCGACAAGAACGCCAAACCAACCGCAATTGGCGGGAACAACTTCCCCCCTGTCCTCGTTGACACAGCCAATCCATCCCTATCTTTTCCGCCAAAGATCTTGGATCAAATCGGACCTGCCATCAACGTTCAAACATTGCAAGATGGGACAAAAGCATTGAGATGCAACAGCGGCGATTCAGGCGCCAAGTTCAACTTTGAGTTTCAGACGGCCAAGGTCGAGGTTCCTCTATCGATGATCTTCATTCCCCTGATGAAGAACGGCGCTCCCGTCACCGACAAGAGTGGCAGCTCCCTATGTACTCTTCCGTTAGAGCCCATTGACAGCAACGTGGCATCTTTTGGTGCCCCTATGCTATCGGCTGTGTATACAGTATTTGACCTTGAGAACAAACAACTGGGAATGGCACAAGCAAAACTTAATGAGTCTGCAACAAGTATTCAGGAGTTTGGGCCAGCTAGCCCAGCCAAGGGAACATCGAAACGGCCACGAGCGCAAAGCGGGCGCTTCCGACAGAAGTGATCACAGGATAATTGCATGTTAATCGATCGACTTGCTTGTCGACTGGTTTCGCAAGCTCTCTCCTTTTTTCTCATTTTTCGGTTCTTACTAGCATTTTGTAGAACCATCTTAGCGTGCGGTTGCGGCGCTTGTAAGATAGAACGATTTGCAACATCCAAGCCACGAGCGAGTCTCGAGAGAATTTTGAGACTGTGAAGAATCTTTTAACATTGTCCCGACTGCATCTTTCAAATCACGAATTTCCTTCGATGTTGTTAACATCAGAGATGTCAGTGAGCCACGTAGTCCCAATAACCTTGGGGGAAAAACAGGAAAGTTCAAATTCGTCGGTTTCTCGACCCAGAAAAATCACGCATTGACTGGCCTTGCTTGCGCGATAACTTATCAGCCTTCTCCATAATAGTGTTTAAAATCCACAGATAAATACGGAGTCGTTGTCTTGCAGCTCCTTGCACGACCAAATCGGAGCTTGGCCTCGGGAACCACACGGACTAGTGAGCGGGTACGCAATGCAACATGTAGATCATTGATACGGGATGCCAGAAAGTCACCGTGCTTTTGTCCGGGTTTTGGTGGATCGATGAGAGGCAAACAAAAACAACAGCCACCTCGTACGAAGGCATCGTCATCTTAGCATAGAAATTTTGTCTCTTCACTTCCTCTTCCTCGCCAACAATCTGTCTTTCTACCTCAACCATCTTACACCAGCCGTTGTTCAGAGGTTCGAAGGCAAGACTATCTTGGCATCACATCACACAGCTTATCATACGGCCCATCGACGACGCGCCAGGATATGTCTCCCGCGTCATCAATTCACGACCCAGGCGAAAGCGAGCCGCTCCTCTCAAGGCATCGACGACGCACCGGCACATTTCAACTTCCATCGTTCAGTGGCCAGCGGCTCGTGTCGCCTCTATCCATGCGACGTGCCTCGCTGCAGGAAGTTCACCCACACCACGAAGACGTCGAACCGGTGCTGCCGGCCGCACCAGTCGCCGCTCATCAAGAGACACGCCTACACAAGCCTCAATGGGCGCTTAGTGACAGGCCACCAAACACCTGGGCCCAAATCCGTCATTACTGGCGTGAGGAGTTTGCGTGAGTACTAGAATTCCCCATCTATGTATCACCTCACTTGTGAACATGGTTCCCCACCGGAGGTTCCCCCGCCGGGATCACTCACGGCAATGAAGCTCCCAGAACTAATCCGATGCTGACCGCATACATATATAGCGAATTCTGGGGCACCTTCATGATCTTGCTCTTCGGAGCAGGTGTCGAGTGTGAGACCCGTCTAAACTACCAGTCAGCCGACATCCGCGAAAACGCCGGTGACTTCTTGCAGTGCCGTCTCGCCTGGGCAGCCGGCGTCGCCATGGCCGTATGGATGTCCGGCGGCGTATCAGGTGGACACTGCAACCCAACCGTGACAGTAGTCCTGGCTCTCTTCCGCGGCTTTCCCTGGCGCAAGGTGCCCAGCTTCTTGGCCGCGCAGGTTCTGGGTGCCACTCTCGCCAGTCTTGCCGTCTACTTGAACTACTCCACCAGCATCGCGGCATACGAGGGTGGCACTGCCCGCACTTTGGTTGGCGAGCACGCTACTGCCGGCCTTTTTTTTACCTTCCCTAAGTCTGGACTTCCTTATGCCGGCGCCTTTTACACCGAGTTCCTTGCCTCGGCCGCGCTGGTGGCCATCGTGTTTGCTCTGGCTGACAAAAACAACCTTTCGCCTCCCAAGGGTACGCAACCCTTCGCCATGTTCTTGGCTCTGTTGGCCATCGGCTCCGCGTTGGGCATCAACACTGGATATGCGATGAACGGTGCTAGAGATACCGGCCCGCGTATCGCCTTGGCGATCGTTGGCTACGGCTCAGATGTGTTCACTCATGATTCTTATTATTGGCTGTGGGCTCCATGGGCTGCTGCTATTGTCGGTGGTATCGCTGGCGCCTGCGTGTATGATGGCTTCATCTACACTGGGCGTGACTCTCCGTTCAACATCCCGAGGAAGGAAGATGACTGAACCGCGCAATTGGGGGTTTACATTTATCCTGCTAAACCGCGTAGTCCAAGGTTGTGTGGGAAATCTCGACAGGTCATGAATTATTAAAGAGATGTACAGAGATAAAATGGTAGTTGATTGAGATACTTGAGATAGGCGTCAATGGAGGCCGACTAGAAGCGTAAATAATGACGAATTCCATTTCCATATTGCATCGGGAGACTAGGTACTCAGTGGGTAGTGTAGATATCTTACCTTACATACCAACATAAGGTAGAGATATATGTCTGAAACTAGGCACACAAATCAAAGATCTTCTCGAACTTCACCCAAGTGGTACGGAACATTCGGCTTCTTGCGAGCAGTAGCCCAAACTAATTCGTGGGGATTTCATCTAATATGAAATGAAAAGTTTTCGTCGACTATGATTCATGGACTTTCTCTAACTCTCCTGCAGTTCATTTCGGAATATTGATGTGTGCGATATGACTTTGTTGATGTGGGCTGGGTCAGCTCCGACTTGCTCAAATGCATTTCACCCGGTGGAGAGTCTTTCACATTAGCAACCAACTTCAACCGATGAAGTTCGGACGAAGTTCATGCAGTGCCTTCTGCTGAGATCTATCTTACTTGTCTTAGGAGGATTTTGCTTTGCACTCATGTGCGCATCTCAAATCACCCTTTCCAACCATTCGTTCATCAAACTTATCTCATGCAGCTATTATGGCTCGCAGTCTCAACACGAGGCCAATCGGTCTTTGGCGGTTACACAAATGCCAAGTCGGGGAAAACTTTGGCGCTGCGGCGATCAGTCCGAAAGGAGAAGTCTGGGGAAACCAAGATCAACCTGCACTTCGATGGAACCCTGCGCGAGTGTTAAGAGAGCTGCGGCCGAAACCGAGGGGCCCCAATTGGTGCGCATCACATGCGATCCGCCGGCTGAATGCAAAGCTTTCGAAAACGTTCGCGAACAATCTTAACTCGGCCCCGGAGCCGCAAAACCCGTTTATGTCTAGGTCGGCAAGGGGGTTGTAGCACAGGATCATACTCTTCAATTACTTTAGGCAATATGAGAAGTAGTATTGGAGTCGGTAAACCACGCGGCACAAACGGCAGTCTGCATGGAGCATGGTCCAGTTTCAGTTTTGTTAACCCACGAATGCCAGATTGATTAGAGTCGTATTCTAATGCGACTCTCTCGGACTGTCTCGCATTGGCGAGCCACTGCCGGCGTGCAACTAATAGAACAACTCGTACTGAACTATTAGGACGGCCAATCACTACCAAGGAAGCGTACAGTTAGTTCATTGAGATATAAAGATCGGACGACCACCGACAGCTTCTAGTCAAGGAGTTCTTGCTGTAGAGACTCAACCTTCTTTCATCATTTGTACATATTCCCGAACAACGCCAAGATGATGCTCGAAGCCAATGCGGGCGTGGTTTCGACCACTCTTTTGCTCCTCGCGTCTGTGACGGATGTCATCGCCCAGACATGCGCCCTCCCGTCAACCTACCGCTGGACATCGACCGGCGCGCTGGCCACCCCCAAATCCGGGTGGGCCTCGCTCAAGGACTTCACCACTGTCACTTACAACGGCAAGCACCTCGTATACGCCTCTACTCACGACCAAGGCTCGACATGGGGCTCAATGAACTTTGGCCTCTTTTCCGACTGGTCTCAGATGGGCTCTTCATCTCAAAATGCAATGACTCAGTCCGCTGTCGCGCCTACCATCTTCTACTTCCGTCCCAAGAACGTCTGGGTCCTTGCCTACCAATGGGGCCCGACCCAGTTCTCCTACAAGACGTCGAGTGACCCCTCTATTGCGAATGGGTGGTCCGCGGCACAGCCCATGTTCTCCGGAACCATTTCCGGCTCTAGCACCGACCCCATTGACCAGACGCTCATCGGCGACAGCACCAACATGTACCTCTTCTTCGCCGGCGACAATGGCAAGATCTACCGCTCTAGCATGCCCATCGGCAACTTCCCAGGCAACTTCGGCACTGCCTCGACGTTAGTCATGAGCGACACGACCAACAACCTCTTCGAGGCCGTCCAGGTCTACACCGTCAAGGGCAAGCAGCAGTACCTCATGATCGTCGAGGCTATCGGTGCCAACGGCCGCTACTTCCGTTCGTTCACGGCCACCAGCCTTGGCGGAGCGTGGACGGCACAGGCCGCGACCGAGAGCAACCCCTTTGCAGGCAAGGCCAACAGTGGTGCTACCTGGACCAACGATATCAGCCACGGTGACTTGGTTCGCAGCGATCCCGACCAGACCATGACTATCGACCCATGCAACCTTCAGCTACTTTACCAGGGACGCGCGCCTGGCTCTAGCGGTGACTACGGACTGCTGCCCTACCGTCCCGCAGTTCTCACGTTGCAGCGCTAAAACTCCTCTTCTTCTTGGCTTCAAACCACCCCTCAGTTAGCATCAAATTTCTTGCTTAGATGCACCCGTCTTGGCCAATCATGGAAACAGCAAAGCGAGGAAACAGTGAACCGCATCAGCTCAGAGGCAATTTCGCGCAACGGGGGACTTTCCTTTCACGATGTAGATATTGAAAAGACATACATACAAAACTAGGCTAGGAGGTCTCTTCAGATGGCCTGCCGTTGAACATAGATCTATCATAGCCATGCTCTCTTGTCTCGAATTTGCTAGTGATCACGATTATACCTCCTTGCATGCGATTCCTTACTCCCTGGAGTTCTGACAGGGCTTATGATGGTCGTGCTTCCTGTACCATCACTTCCTTCCCCTATCGAGCTTTCGTGGCTACAGGCCACCTTTCCCCTACCTCATTTTTTTTTAAACTGCAGTGCCATCTGGTTGTGATATAATACCATTCCCGAGGATGTTAAAGCCTCAATGTTGTGTAAAACACGTAACCGGTTTGAATAGCTACGAGTACACGTACACAGAGTATCTATGACGCCGATGTAGGGACTCCATGGCACAGGACCAATGACTGGCGGAAGCCGGTGGAACAGCTACGCAACGTCAGCTAAGACAAAGCCGCGTCGTATTGCCTTGGCAAATCAGCAGGCTATGCTTACTTGCAGCCACCTACCTTATGTCTGACCAGCCGCTACTGCTGACTAGGTATCGGATATTCACATACACCTACCCCTCACTTCAATTGCGATAAAAAAGAGTCTTTTGCCTTCCATTATTGTTTGCTGAAGCGTCGTCTACCTACTTCAACTCAGCTCCAATACACGTTCTCTTCCAGAAGCTCTGGTCTCTTTCGTCTTGTGATACCTAAATCGGTAGAACAGACAACACGAAAGATCACCAACATGCGGCTGCTTCACACATCTACGTTCCAATTGAGCGAGTTCTTTGACGCAGATATACCTCCGTACGGGATTTTGTCCCACACTTGGGTGCCCAACGAGTTCACATTCAAAGACCTCTAGAGGAACGGATACAGCGGGGGAATCATAAAGCTTGACGGCATGTGTCACGTGGCTCGCCAACAGGAACTAGAGTGGATCTGGATCGACACTTGTTGCATTGACAAGAGCAGCAGCGCTGAACTATCCGAGGCCATCAACTCTATGTTTGAATGGTACAAGCGGGCAGCAGCGTGCTACGTGTACCTCTACGACGTTTCCTCCAATGGCAAGCTTGCGTACAAAGCCTTATCCTTTGCCAGCAGTCGATGGTTCATCCGCGGTTGGACGTTGCAGGAGTTGCTAGCAGCGTCCAAGGTGTATTTCTACGACCAGTGTTGGAATTGCGTCCATCAAATCTGGAAGGCTGATGAGGAAGATGTCTATCCATTGCAGACACACCCGGAGGAGATACAACAGGGAACCTCGAAGTCCGATGAAGAGAGACCCCGTCACTTAAGTTTCGGGGCAATGGGTCCAACCCAGCAGAGGCCCGAGTTCAACCGCGAGGGGACCTTCGACATGAGTTCAAACGATTTCATCCGGGTTCTAAGCGATATAACGACCATAGATATCGCTGCACTCTCCACACAATTCGACGTTGTACATCAAAACTTCTCCGTGGCAAAGAAGATGAGTTGGGCTGCGAAGAGGGAGACCACACGCTTGGAAGATAAAGCCTACTCCCTCATGGGCCTCTTCAATGTCAATATGCCGTTGCTTTACGGGGAAGAAGAGAAGGCTTTCTTTAGGCTCCAGGAAGAAATCATCAAAAAGTCTGACGACGAATCAAATTTTTTCTTGGGGTTTCGGGGAGCCCACTCGGTTTGTGGGCGGATTGTTCGCCAGGTCTCCCGCCGGTTTCTTAGGGTGTCGAAACATCACAAAGGGTGAGACGGACAATAGCCCTCACTACTACTTAACAAATAAAGGTCTTCATATCCAGACCCGAATCACGAATACATGCGCAAGTATAGGACCTTTCTTCCACGAAATGATCAACTGCAAACAAGAGTCTTTGGCTTTAAAAGATGCTTCCGTACTAGCCATCCCTCTTCACTATGAGGGCAACATCATCATCCGCCCCGCTGGTGCAGCGCCTCTCTTACTTGACGCGACGGGGTTCAGCAAGAATGCCAAGACTCTTTATATCCACGTTGGTCGGACTTTGGACAATTTCAAACCGTATTTACGGATGCGCGGGTGTACGTTGAGACAGTTGGAAAAGTCTTCAACTATCCAATTGAATATCGACCCAAGCAGGATCAAGCTTGCTGAAGTCCAGCGCAGCATCCCATCCAAGCCGAATCAATCAATCAATCAATCAACCAATCAATCCAAGGCCATTTTCCCATTCAATCAGACAAGCCTACAGCGCCGAAAGCTTGGCTGACTTGATCAAGCTAACGTTGCCCGGAAAAAGGAAAATCCGGGCTCCAGACTAATCATGGTTTTTGAAATAATTTTCAAAAAATGAAAAAAAGTCCATCCGCGTATGTTACGGACGTCGAGTTGGTGATGCCCTCACGTTAACAGGTGGCCAAGTGGGGCCGGCACATCCTGGCAGTACTAGCCTGACTGCTAGGTCCTGCCAGGAAGTGCCAGTAAAACGCGTCGACAGCCGACCTAGCCACGCGCAATACTCTCGACGCCTTACCTTACGCCATATGGAAGGGCCGGCGGTTCGTCAACGTTGACGCCATCTCGAGGAAGGGTAACCGAGGCCGTACCTCTTGGATCACAAACGAGGGCATCTTCGTCTACGAGATCCTTGCCAACGGCGTGAGGGGTAATGCCTACTGGGTTTGCCGACGCTGCGACGAGGCAGGGTTTCTAGACCAGCCCTTCAACGCTAACGCCACATCTGCTGCTGCCAGGCATCTCGAGAACGAGCACTCCATCTTCCGAGGTGGCAAGAAGGCTGGCTATACGTCTTCTGATGAGGCTGACGACCCTGGGCCTCCATCCAAGCGCCACCAATCTCTTCCTATCGCCATACCTAAGCGGACAACTACCCAGATCGAAGAGCTAGCTGTGGGATTCCTCGTTGATACCAGCAACCCTCTCACAACGTTCAGCAACCAGTACTTGCAGCACATGCTCAGCCTATTTAATCACGACGTCAACGCCCAGATCCGGTGGTCGAGATCTAGCCAGAGGGAACAACTTCGACGACTCTACATATCCAAGAAGGAACAGATCGAGACCGAGATACAGAGGGCAATCTCGAAGATCTATATATCGTTTGACTTGTGGACCTCACCTAATCGATACGTTATCGTCGCTATCTATAGCCACTTCATTAACTAGTCGGGTAAATAGACGCAGTACCTCTTAGGTCTCCGCCGCTAACCTGGTGCTTACTCTGGTGAGAATGTTGCTACCACGATATATACTGTTATGAAGGACTGGGACCTACTTAATAGGATTGGTGTGACAGTCTCTGACAACGCCAGTGCTAACGACACTTATATCAAGGCTCTTTACCCATCTCTATCACATTTATATACAGAAACTGACGCTCAACAACGTCGAATTCGATGCTATGGCCACATCCTCAACCTCGTTGGCCGTGCCATCATTCATGGCGTTGATGAGGAGGCATTTGAGGAAGAGTCTGACCGTCTTATTAACGCTGGAAGAGTGAAAGAGGACCTAGCCTACTGGAGGACTAGGGGTCCAGTCGGCAAGCTCTGGAACATCGTCAAGTATATCAGATCATCGCCATAACGTTCTGAGAGCTTCTTAGCTATTAGTAACGAGGCTGCTGATGATGATGATGCCTTTACTCTGTGGGAGGAATCGTCACAAGAGCTGAATCTGATGTTGAGTAACACTATTCGATGGAACTCGATATATAACATGATCAACCGGGCCCTACTCAAACGTACCTAGATCAATGGTTACGTATGCTATACTCTGGGCCTCGAAAATGACGAAGATTATGTCCCAAGTGAGGATATCCTCACTAACGAGGATTGGCAAGTCCTCGTCGAGTTGAATGAGGTTCTCGAGCCCCTCTATAAGCAGACTAAGAGATGTGAGGGCTGGGGCAAGGGTGACGGGCATGGTCGACTCTGGGAGGTTCCGGCAGGCATCGAGTATCTCTTGGATCGACTTGAGGACTGGCGCAAGCTCTACGATACCCTTACTACCGAAGAGATTAACCTCACGGCTACCCAAGTATCCCAAAGTCTTTCATCACAGCTATCTCGACCAGCAAGGGCATCGCATCGATCTGCCAGAACGCCAGTCTCGCAGACCCAATCAATCAACAGTATCCCAACTCATACCCAGTCTGACTATATCGCTACTTCGCAGCAGAGTCAACCGCGCCACCCCCAGGGTATTAACTTCGACTCTCACGGATACTTACGCCTATCGATTATTAATGGTTGGCAAGTACTTAACAAATATTACCTCAAGCTTGGAGAGTCTCCTCTCTACGCCGCAGCAGTGATCTTACACCCTGGCCGGGGCCTACGACGGCTCAAGAAGCGTTGGAACACCCCAGAGACGCGAGGATGGCTTCATGACGCCCAGGAAGGACTTCGAGACTATTGGGAGCAATGGTATGCCGAGATGACTACCCGTCCTAAAGAATCAACCTATCCAGAGCCTCCTCCAAAGCCTCCGCGAGGCTCTTTTGTATCGATCGCAGTTCCTCCGAGGGTTGAAGACTCTGACTATCGTCAATGGTTAAACAGCAGCCTCCATGACGCTACTATCGACGAGGTTGACGAGCTGGATCGATACTTCACCCTCTCAGTTGCCCAGCCCGTCGACGATCCTATTCAGTGGTGGATTTCACATCAACAGACCTTCCCAACGCTCAGTAAACTTGCCCTCGACGTCTTTGCTATCCCAGCGATGGCGACCGACTGCGAGAGGGCATTCAGCCTTGCCAAACTTACGCTGACGTCACAGAGGCTATCCATGAAACCATCACTGCTTGAGGAGACACAATGCCTCCAGAACTGGGTTCGAGGGGGCAGCGTTGCTGTTGGTGGGCATTACTTCAAGCGGAAGGGTTGACGGAGGGCAGGATGACATCAGAACATCAGATAATGTAAGTTTCTGACGCATAGAGACATCGTGAGAGCTTCACTGACTTCCTAAATAGGTAATATTAATCAATTCAATCCAAGCCAGTCAAATCAAGCAAGCTTCTTGTGAAAAATCAGTCAATCAGACAAGCCCGTCACCCAAGCTTGGCTTGATTGATTGGTATGCAGCGCTGCTGAAGTCTACCCACCGAGCTGGTATCCGCTATGCACCTCACAGCCACTGACACTCCTGCAAAACTTGGTATCACCGGAAACTACCGCAACTATTTGGATGAGATTCTGGGACCTAGATTGTGGTTGTGATTTCGCCTTACGACTAGATCTGGTCTGGACATTGGCACCTTGGCAGAGATCTGACCGGCTTGGACTGGTGTCGGAGTCTGTAAATCCACTTGTCAAGCTCATACCAGAGAACACATCGCTATTCCAAGAGATCCTAAACAAAGAGCCATGGGAGTGGGAAGAAAGGATAGATTGGGGCGGAGGTCAACTCAGTGCTTCATGGAATAAGGGTGGGTTCGAGCCTAGCATTCGATTGAATAGCCCATGGTCTTCCAACTGTGGCTCCATCAATGCTTGAAGGCATAGGAACATTCAGAGCATTAGTAAGGCGGCGTTTAGTGCAGGCAGCGAGCCAGATAAAGAGATAGATGCGATTAGCATGATGTAAAGGTCATGTCTACAGACGGTTGGCTTGCCTATTGAACATTAAAGACTGTTGCTTCATGTCGCTACATGACTGGAACTGCAAAATTTTCAGCAACTCATCAATGTTACAATCACAAGTTCTAGGCTATCTGACACCTACCTTAGTCAACAGACTTGTAAGACTTTCTGCCACATCGCCGAAGCGACGCGAGATCGGCCAAATGGAATTTTACATTCGGTGAATACCAGAAGTATGATTCAAGAATGGTTTGTAGATGGAGGACCATTACTTATTTTGGACGAAAATTGGCTCGGAAGCTGTATTGCAGAATCCAATGCCATCTTAACAGTGACAGAAAGAAGCACTGTTCTGTGATTTTGATGAACGCATTCCCCGCACATAAGCACGCAGCGGCTGTTTCATTTCCTGCCCGTTCGCAGTGGTCAGACCAACATAATCAACAGTGAAAAGCTTAGGCTATTCCCGATTACATGACAACCGTTCCATGGCTGACGTATGGCGGCAGATCGCCTCGCGCCTTCGTCGCAGCCGCGAAGGGTAATGTGGTCGCACGCCGGCATCTCCCCACCTGAGTCCGGTGAAATGGCGCCAAAAATAGGGGTCTCGGACACGCCCAAAGGCGTGCGGGGGCCGCTAGTTCGACGACCGGGCCTCCGTTCCTGGGGCCCGGGCGTCTGGCGGCAGTCCGGTTGCTGGGAACTAACATGAGATGGGCTTCGATCCCTCAACATCGGACTGTTCATTGCGTCCTGTCTGCTTTTCTTTTGGTAAACTATAAACTTCTTCAGTATCCTTTCCTTGGAATGCATCTGAGTTCCCTTTTCCCTTCGACTGATATACCAGCTAATTCCCTGTATTTACTTCTGCATAATAACTATCAGACACAATGGCGAGCCCTGCTGGAAACATCTCCTTCGAGGGTAGGTCATAGATACTATGCACACTTGCGAATGATAACTGACGAGCTTTTCCAGACTACCTCGGCCTCTCTGGCTGCATCTTCGAGTGGGCCGACAGCTACGACTCCAAGGACTGGGATCGTCTCAGGAAATGCATTGCCCCTGAGCTTCGCGTAAGTCGCCACGCGATTGACATTTCACACTGAATATCTCGCTAATCGGCTGCAGATTGACTACCGCTCCTTCCTCGACAAGATCTGGGAGGCCATGCCCGCGGAGGAGTTCATCGCCATGATCTCGGACAAGTCCGTCCTCGGCAACCCCCTCCTCAAGACCCAGCACTTCATCGGCGGCACCCGCTGGGAGAAGGTCTCCGAGACCGAGGTCATCGGACACCACCAGCTCCGTGTGCCCCACCAGAAGTACACCGACGCCTCCCGCAAGGAGGTCGCCGTCAAAGGCCACGCCCACAGCTACAACAAGCACTGGTACAAGAAGGTTGACGGCGTCTGGAAGTTCGCTGGCCTCGCTCCCGATATCCGCTGGTCAGAGTACGACTTCGAGGCTGTCTTCGCTGACGGACGTGACTCTTTCGGTACTGAGGAGACGACCGACAAGAAGAACGATGTGTCTGTTGTCGAGAATGAGCTGAAGGTTGCCGCTGCTGTTTAAATAATGTCAATGTAATGAGAGAATACCTCCGGTCATGGGAACGGCGAATCAGGACATGTTAATTACTTTGTGTAATTGGGTGCGTGAGACTTTGTATTGGTTATGGATACAGCGGATACACTGAATGAACGAACTTCGTGCCACAGAGATTCTTGGCTCCAATATTCGCACAATAAAGCGTCACCGGAATCCCTAGTCCAAAACTGTTTGCAATGGAAAGGCCACATCGAGTGACACTCTTGTTCTAAACGAGCAACTCGCTTATGCATCCCTCCCCTTCGCGTTCGTACTCAACAACGCGTCCGGCGCCAGAACTAAATATACAAGCCACATGGAGCGTGCAAAAGAACGAGTGCGTGCTATCTAGGTATATGGATTAATAGGCTTCTTAAATGGACTGGCTTAGTAGTTCCAGCCTGTCAGAGAATCACATCGGAACTAGCCTCAAAGATGTGGTTAGCCGTCAACTAGTACCCAACATCTTGGGAAAGTTCACTGCAAGAGCCTCGCCATCCGGACGATCCGCCACTTTGAGACAGAGCAGCCTTGGATCCCAGGCAAGGGGGGCTCAATATTAAAATCACGGACGTCAGAGTGCTGTTGGAGACACCAAATATGCGATCCTCAGAGATGCTATGCTTGTTCGAGGCTGGAGGCTGGGTAGGAAGGCACCACCACAGTCCGTCAAGAATTTGTTGTCTTCTAGAGTTTGTCAACATGCTTTACCTCAGGTACTTACTTAATGAATCAGCGACATGAAGCTAAAGATCGTACAGACTTCTTTAGTTGGCACTTGAGTGCCACGTAGCTTTCATTCTGTCTAGAGTCGTGCCAACAAAAGTCTGCTGATCAGGAGCGCAAGACATCACTGTGCCGTCAAAAAGAGGCTTTGACCGAAGAGAAGTCCTTGAAGCAACGACCAGGCAAACATTGAGTATGTGCGATCATTGGCAGCCAGGCTTTCATCATCAAGTCATGACGAAAGACCATGGTTGTGGAGGTAAAAGCATTGCCCCAGTCTACATGTAGATGTGATGTGGTCAGGGGGAAAGACTTTTCAGTCAATCTATGCTGAACGTGGCGTTGCGACTCCGTCTTTGATCCTCACACTGGTCATGCAGGGTCCTACGGCGTTCTGGATAAGCGCTGAGGTTCCCGCTTCCCAGAATTCCGAGTTGATCGGAAACCCACCAACATGATCTGAAAGGCAAAGCGCCAAGGCCCGTTCCGGTCCAGGACTTACCTGTGCTACCATGTTATTTCCATTTGATTGGAGCTAGTTGCATTTATTCGTAACGGTCTTTACAGACAATAGGGGATGCGAGCTCCTGGTGGAAGCAAATAGATTACGCATGGGCGGCAGTGAGGTCTTCGGATTTGCAACCCCAACATGGATTTACACGATGTCCGGATAAGGAAGCTGTGAAAATTCGTCTACTTTTTCGAAGGGTACTTGTATTTTCCTCGTTTCAAGGAGCGACTGATCTGGATTGCAGCTCCAGAAAAGACTGTACCTCCAGGGGAGGGTTTCCACGAGAGGCGCTTCTACTTTGGCACATAAATCCAGGAACTCAAGTTTATAAAGATGGCATCAGACTAGCCTTAATTTTCTGCCTTCGTCTATCACGCCTCAGTTCCTCAACTTTGACTTCACTCACTCCCTTGTTGACATTCGTTCCTCGCCAGCCGAGCCATTCGTTCTTTTGACCAACAGTCGCTTACACTCTCCTCAACCCCAAGCCCTTCATCACAACTATTCTTGTCCTTCAAAAAACTCACTCTCATCGTCAAAATGAAGTTCTCCCTTGCCGCCGTCGTCGCAACCGCCGCCCTCATGGTAGACTCCGTGTCCGCTCACTACTTCTTCGAGAAGATGGTCGTCAACGGCATCGCCTCGGCAGACTACATGCGCGCCAGCACCCAAGGCTACCAGCCCCAGGCCAACACAATCATGACAAGCAACACCTTCCGCTGCAACACGGGCGCCCAGGCCGCGAAGAAGAGCGCCACCGTCGCCGCAGGCTCCTCGGTCGGGTTCCAGATGAACGCCGGCGCAAAGATCCAGCACCCCGGCCCCCTCCAGGTCTGGATGAGCAAGGCCACGGGCGACCTCTCCAGCTACGATGGCTCCGGCGCCTGGTTCAAGGTGTACGAGTCTGGCCCGACCAAGTTCCCTCTTACCGGCGCTGCTTCTGAGTGGGGTGTGTACAACAAGAATGTCATCACCTTCACTATCCCTAAGGATCTTGCTGCTGGTGACTATTTGGTCCGCCCTGAGCATCTTGCTCTTCACACGCCCTCTGGCACCGAGTTCTACTTCAACTGCGGCCAAATCAAGGTTACTGGCTCTGGCACCAAGACTCCCACCGCTACCGCCAAGTTTCCTGGTGTCTACGACTCCAACACTGCCGGTCTTTCCCCCAAGTAAGTGCCCGCATCCCGACTAACTGACTATTTTTTTGAAGAAGCACATCTAACAACCATCGACAGGTTCTCGCTTTACAAGAATGCCAAGTCCTACCCCATGCCTGGCACTACTCTGGTCACCCGCGAGCTTTCCCTCCCCATGAGCCGCATCACCCGCGGTATGCGCTCTGCCGAAGTCCAGCAAGAGTAACTTCATTTCATCAAGTTGGACAGACAATAAGCGGTGCTCGTTGCACCAAGCAGACCAGCTTCCCTTGAGAGCGGGTGGACTGGACGTGATTGCCCAACGAACGTATCTTTCTCATCATTTCAATGTACTTACCTTTGAATTTCTCTCATACCATGTAGATACTCAGATTCAGGCTTTCTGGGTCACTCAATACTCATAACACGCGCTTGGTGCCAATTCATTGGTGTCCCGATGTCAAGTTGGGATGTTGACACAGGGTGGAAGCTCTTAGAGGCCAACTGCAGTTAGGGGTAGAATGATGAATTACTGAAGTCTGCTCCTCCCTCGACGTGTACTCCCTGCGCTGTATATATATCTGAGCTGTTCCTTTGTTGCTTGGACTCCTTACTACCTCTTACTAGCCCCTATCCGGGATGGCTCTGACACCCGAGCTCCTTCTGATTCGCTGAAAGCAAGTTTCCCTCTCAGCTCCTCACCTTGTATGGTAACCTGAAAAAGGGGCAAGAGGTGAGTTGCCCCACGGAATCATGCCACCTTGGTAGCAGTAAGGAATCGTTCAAATGACTCGCAGGGTAATTCATATGTTGATACGTATATGTATTCGTCACTTATGTATTCGTGGCAAGGTTTCCATGGTCTTCATCGTAAGGCTTCAGCCTCCAGTTAAGTATTCAGCCCAGTGTTTGACAAAGCTCATTGCTGATGCACGTAATCTTGAGTGCAAATAAGCTGGAAAGTTTTGCGATTCCCGAAGACAAGATGAGTTTTCACTCGCCGTTGATGTTATCAACCGCAAGCTTGGGTGGCTCAGAGAAGTCGTGAGAGCTTCACTTTTCTGAACCGGGCTGCTGACAAAGACCACGTCACGTGGATATTATGGGTGTGATTCCATGATGACATAAGACGGTGGCATTGGCGGGGCACAGCTCGGCAGTGCACGGAGCAGCAGGGGCCCGAGCCGTCGACGGGAACTTGGAGAGCTCCGACGGAGTCTGGCGGATCGCATTCGCAATGCTTCACTTGACAGCAACTTGAGCACCTCACCTCGCGCGGACGACTCGGACTGCCAACCGATTCTCGATCTCTAGAAGAAGTCAGTTCTTCTGTCGAGCTCAAAGACCCTAATTTTGATCGAGTAACCACACCCAGCAAACATCCGCCCGACCCGGCCCTCAAACCACCACCATGGACTACGTCGACAAGCGACTTCAAGAGGAAGCAGTGAAGCTGCACGTGGAGCAAGGGCAAGTCGACGATCCTCCTCTTCTTCCACCACAACCTAGCTAACCTCCTTGATCCAACAGCAACGCTTTCTTCACCCCCCTCAACATCCTCTTCCTCCTCGTAAATCTCTACACAATCTACGTCCTCCTCCGCCCGACCCCGCCCCCGGTCCTCCCGAAAGAGCCGGCCGCTACCGTCTTCCGCGTGTTCAACCCGCGAACACTCCTCCCCTTCACTGGCGAGAACGACATGCCCATCTACCTCGCCGTCCGCGGCCGCGTCTTTGACGTTTCCCACGGTCGCAACTTCTACGGCCCCGGCGGGCCCTACTCCAACTTTGCTGGGCGGGATGCTTCTCGTGGCCTGGCGCTTGGCAGCTTCGATGAGGATATGTTGACGGAGAACCTGGACGGCCCGCTGGATCCGCTTGAGGGGCTGGGGCCGGACGAGATTGAGGCGCTTCAGGGTTGGGAGGAGAACTTTGACAGCAAGTATCTTGTTGTTGGCAGGCTTACTGCGGTCGGCGATGAGGAGAAATAGAGTTACTACTGGTGAACTTGGTAGAATCGATAACGTGTGTTCACTTCGCAGGACTCTAATAGACTCGAATATTAGAAGGGAGCTGTTTCTGACGAGGTATCGTCAAGTTTTGAGATTCTCGGTGTCACTCGACTCGAGGTATACAACCAGCATCCAAGCCACCTACGTTTGTTCGACTCTTTGTGCAGTGGTTGAGAAGCTGTCCCGGACCTCTCCGATCCTCGCATGTCACACGGGGAGTTGAGCATATCAGATATGGCAGTGCGACATCGCGTACTTGATAGCCAGTTAAGCGCCCACGACTCTTCCGAAGGCTTCAAACGAGATTGACAGCCGGTCCGAAGAATCAGATTCCACAGCATGCATTGTCGCTTTGCCTATTGTTAAGACACAATGACATGATGCAAGGGAGCTGTGTGGGGAGGCAGCCGCCAAAAAAGGGCCGCTTTCAGGTTAGTCAGATTATAGCGTCACCAGGAGCCAGCGAGGGAAAACTGTGACTCGTGAGTGAGATGAAATGATGCTGACGGCCTGACAAAAGTGGCTGGACCCCTCCCTCCCCCTGTCCCTTTAGACTCTGTTTCCTTTCTCTTCCCCTCGAGGCTTGTGGTGAAGCTCCGGCGCAGGCAGCATATTCAGGAGATTGGATTCGCGTGGCTTGACGGTTATTTCAGGCCGTTGTTGCAGCCTCCGAATGACCGTGCCACGACTCCATGATTGATCCTTAGCTCTAGACACACTGCTTTTGCCCACGGCCAGTACCTTGCGTGTGGACAATCTACTGCCTCCGGTTCCAGCGGCGTCCGGGTTGCCGGGGAAGCTGAGCCACGGGGGTTGGGCATGAGATGAGATGAAGTACCCGGAGGTGTGCTCATGTCAACTTTCTGCTGTGGTCCCATGCAAGGTGTTCTGTAATGACGATTCACCAGACTGGTGAGACGGTCTGTCTCAACCTGAAAGCAATACGTATTCTTCACCTCTTCAGGATGGCACGACGATGCGCGTTTCTCTCAGGATGGGCAACATGTCATAACAGAGGGCCTTTTCATTCTTGTTCTCGTCTTCTTCCAAATGTGTTACTCTTTTCAACAAAACCAGAGGAACACAGCAGGACTGGGTGTGTGGCTGACAGTCATCCAGACGACCCAGACGACTGGGGCTTGTGAACCTCTAAATTTAGCCCGGTTCGTCAAATCCGGCAAGGGTCGCAGATCCTCCGACGCTATGCTCCAGTCTGCTTCGTTGTCCCGTCCCGATTCCATGTCTTCGATCTCACCTACGTTCCCCATAGAGTAGCATTTTTCACAGTTTGCTCAAGATTTTCCCTGCGGAACGTCCAGAAGCAAACACAGCCCCTACGCAAGATTACTTCGTGCCTCGATCAGTCTCTTGTCACCCCATGCATCTGATTCCCAATTTGTGTCTATGAATGGTTGCATGTACCTGCGCTGATACTCAGCCTTCAGCCCTACATATAGGCAGAAAGAGAAACGAACCAAACATCGTCGAGCAATGGCAAAGAAGAAAGGCAAACAAGCTTCCCTCCTTCTAGTCCCATCGTCTGTACTGCACCGCTGCATTACCACCCTCCGTCCTTCTCTGCGCGCTCTCCCCGTGTCCATTGTCTCCATCTGAGAGGTATCCAAGCCTCAGCCTCCAATCCGTCAATCCGTCCTTCGTCGCGCTAGCGACTCCAGCCATTCCTTTGCTCTAGCTCGGCTCCTGGCTAGATTCATAATCGTTATTCCGTACGGTTCCTTAAAACCCTCCGTCACGCCTCTTTCATCATTCCTTCGCACTAAGTATCTTGCGATTTGTTTCCCCTACTTGCGGCCGAACTCACCTTAACCCGGACCCCTTGACCATCCATCATCACCATCCCTGACGAGCAGACCCGATTCCGTGGAGACAACAGGGACTCTTCAGACGACAGAGCCAACAACACTGAGATATCGCTTGGGTCTGGAAAGGAACCCAATTGAGAGGAATACGAGTTAAACTTTCATCAAGGCTGGTCGAGTGCATGACGCGCATTGCCGATCGACCCCTAGCTCTACGGCAGCCACCACCCAAAAGCGATCCATCTTCGGCCCCCGAAATCCCTGGTTCTCAACCGTCAACACCATAGCTTAGACTTCGAGACATTGGCGGAGAGAGCATCACACTCCCCTCGAACTCTTCACGATGGCGTCAGCGCGGAGGAACACATCAACGAGGAACCTGCTGAGCATCCTACTCCTCGCAGCTCCAGCCCTCGCAAAATACCAGAACAATTTTGATCTATACCCAGCAGCCGCCCAACCATGCCTTTACGCCTCCTCAGACGCGAGCAAATGCGATGGCGACACGGTAGCGACGATGAACAAGTGCCTCTGCAGCAACGACAAGGGCAAATTCGTCACAAACGCCGCAACCTGTCTAGGAAAGGAGGCAAAGGACACCCTGCGCACAGTATATCAATCCATGAGCACCGCCTGCTCAGACTCCAAGACACCGATATCCCTGACCGAAGACCAATTCCTCAACCTTGGCGCGACAGGCGCCACGGCGTCGCTTTCAGTGACATTATCTACGTCAAAGACAGCTACGCCTACTACCATGATGACTACCACCACAGGCGGAGCAACCATCACTTTAACATCCACACCTACACCCACGACATCGACCGCACCACAGGAAGATAAAGGCCTTAGCACAACCGCCAAAATCGGCGTCGGCGTCGGTGCAGGCGCGGGAGCCATCGCCCTCGTCTGCCTCGCCGCTTTCATCTGGCGCATCAAGCGAAGCCGCGACGCCCACGACGAATCCCACCGACCCATGCTCGGCGGCGGCATCGGTGCCACGGGCCACAACAACCCACAACACGGGCCCTTTACGGAATACAGCCCGCCCGCAAGCGTCGCCGGGGCCGGAGCGGGTGGATACGCCGCATACACCGGCGCACAAGAATACAAGAACGAGAATAAGCAGCAGCAATCCGGCTGGAGGCCCGTCTCCGAGATTACGGCTACGAGTCCCGGAGGCCAAACATGGGCGACGAATTCTCCTCAACCACCGTATGCGCAGCTCCAGCCTCAGCAGCAGCAGCAGAACCTAGGTGCTTGGGGCCATCACCCACAAGCCGCTTACGTTCCTCCGCCGCAGGAACCTTCCCAACAGGAGGGCGTGTTTGAGCTTGCTTCGATACCTATGACGTCGCAGCCTCCTTCGCATGTGCCGCAGCCGCCGCCTGGCGCTGTTGAGATGCCGGCTACAGAGGTGCAGCCGCAACCTACGCGATACCAGTATCCTTCGCAGAGGCAGTGAGGGGCGCATGAGAGGAAATGATAAAAATCAGGCATTACGGGGTGTTTGAGGGGACATATTCGCTATCATGATACCTTGGGAAGCATTTACACTAATGGGGGCTCGGTGTTCTGGTTCCTGGTCGGGATGTAGATCGCACAAGGGGAAACGAGAGGGAAAAGCCATGAAACATAAAACTTTCCGTCCACACCTACGTCCCTCATACTCAACGATTAACTGCATCTTCAAGATAATCTCCATAATCGCCCGTGTGATATGCGTAAGGTTCTGATGGGGGAACGATTTCCACGGCTCAATGATACTGATTGTATTGATGTTAACATTAACTTGGCTCACTGGGGGCCACTACCTGCAGACCCTGTCTCGATGCAAGTTACAGAATCTACCTACTCCTTAGATACGTTGAATTCCTAGTATGTGTAGAGCTGTTGCGAGGCTAAATTCGTGATCCCAAAACGATTTCACAAACTGTTTCTTCGAGCCGCCGCCCGAGCTACCACCAGAACCTCCGCTAGATTGTCCGCCAGAGCTGGACGAGCCACCGCCAGAGCCGCTAGATTTGCTATAGGCCGGATCGTTGGGGTAGTTTCTCTTCGCGGCAGCCTCGGCCTTTTTGGCAAAGTTTTTCTAGTGTTTCTGTCAGCCCTGTAAACACTTCAATGTTGTCTTTCACAAGACGGGTGGATCGCTCGTACATCGTTGCCTGACTTCTTGATGCGAGCCGCAGCCTTCGCGTCCATCTTTTCCTTGACCATTGTGGGTATTTTGAATGTTGTGTTTGTCTTTTATTGAAAATTGTGTGATGTTGATATTCATTAGATGTTGCTTGCGTTTGTAGTGATGATTGAGTATTAGGCGAATTCTCTGGACTTTATAGTACCTGAGATCTCCAGCAAGACGAAGTTGAACATAGACTTGTCAGTGTATTAATCACCGTGTCACCGCTCCTGTTGAGGACGTTCTCTATCGTGATTCACCGTCTACTCACGCAACACTCTCCGACTCATTCACATGCTATACATGGCGCAGACATGAGTTTGACGGAAAAGTCGAATGCGGTGCTGATTTCATGTTTCGTATTGATATTGACTGGGTAAACGAGCCTGACAGTAGGTGAAATACACAAGATGGTTCGGTTTTGAGTACCATACGTGTACGTCGTGCTGAGACTAGAGCCCGTTCGTAGAGTCCTTCCTAGAATGAGCACATATATTCGTAGATGACCCCCCCTCCCCCGGTGTCGGTCTCTGGCAGTCCTTACTACCCTTTGCTTTCATATGTCTTCAACTCTCATACATCTGTCTCTGCAGGGCGAAAATACCAATGCGGGGAGTCTGCTCAGCATCGTTGCCTAAGTACTTGAGTCGTTCCTGACCCCCTGGGCTGGCGCCCATATTCGTATGACGATTCTTGTGTCTACTTCTTCGTGCCTTGACTAGAGTTGTTTCCGACATTTCCACCGGCCTGTCCGCCTGAGTTAGACGAGCCTCCTCCAGACCCTTGGCCACCTTTTCCAGAGCCAGGTTTCTTTTTCCCATCCCAACCCGTCTCCGACTTCGTTGGCACTGTTAGTCTCGCTGGAAACAGCCTTGCAGTTTTGTGCTTTGGGGTCATCTTTCAGCTTACTACAACAGGCATTGTGAAAATATATCCTACTCGATGTCTCCTTAGAAGTGACGATTATGTTTGATCGACGCAGGTTGACTGTTTCGCTGGCCCCTGATAGTCGTGATGGTAATGTGAGATCAGAGGTACCGACAAGTTCCAGACTACACGTCATAAGCTCAACTATCTATACCTTCCATCCTGGCATAGGCAGCGTGTTCGAACTCAATATCTAGCAAAGCCGTGTTTTGCAAGATTGAGGAGTTCGAACACAGCCCGAAGTGGATTACTTGCAGGCATTTCACGTGGCAGATAATATGACGCGTCGAATTGAGACCTGTTCAGCACAAACAAAGGAACATCAAACACGTCTAGGGATCCAGAGGTAACACGAGCTACCTTACCTTGATACATGCGCGGTGATGAATGCTTACCTGACCCGCTCAACCGACCTCATAAAGTTGAACAGCTCATTGTCCGACATCCTTCATTGCTCTGTTTAAACATGAGCTTGCTGAAAACGTTTGAACAATTGACATCGATCTCCATGTGGCCAGGCGGAGGTAATCTTCGACTTCCAAGAAGTCCTGTTCGTGATGGCCGAACCGCGCAGAAATCCACGTTGTGGCCAAGCATTTGTCGATCTTGCCCTCCACAAGAGGCTCTTCTCTAGGGCTGTTCTCTCATTTCAGCGTACTTTGGAATATCTGACAAAAGCGTCAACGCAGGCATGATCCGTATGAAGTCGTAAAGACTCTCAAAAACGTCTGACGGGTCTGAAAATCCATCTACCGTCTCAGCCACTTAGGGTTAATCAGGGCTTATCAGCTAATGGATCAATATCTCACATCGGAAAGTCATTGGATGCAGAGTGCGACTTGAGACCAAGCATTCATTGTCAATACTAGCATTTTTCACGTTCATCTTTCAGAAAAGCGTCGATAAGGATATGATTGAGTAACTGAGTACTGGAATGTTCACGTTGTGTACGTTTGACTGGTGACTAGAGTCGTTGCCTTTATACATGTATGTTGAATGCATGTTCATAGAATTACCGCCTTGACCCTTCACCTACGTAAGTAGCTACTACTAGTCGTTGCCATAGATTCAATCAGTCATTGACTAGACTCCTCCTCCTTGGTTGCGCTCGAGTGTATCGAGGCTTTCGGAGGGCCTTCCCCTGAAGGCCCTTCCTCTCCGCCAAACTTCACAGGGCCGGCGCCATCACTACCGCCAGTGGTACCGCTGGACACAGTGCCATCGGCAGAAGATTTTATTTTCTCTTGGTCTTGGCTTCCTTCGCGAAACGTTGACATGTAGTCTATAGGTATTTGCAGTTTTGTCAATTCCAAATATTGAAGCACGTGTCTGTCAGTGGTTCAAAGTGAGGGCAGTGGGGTAAGGACAGCTCGAATTATTACTCCGACCACGGTTGCAAGTCCGACTTTCCCCGTGTTTTCGCTCCTGGTTCCAAGTGTTTTCTGTTCACATTCTTCAGTTTTATCTTGCTGATCATGGTGGTTCTAGTGATCCTATTAATCGCGCTGAATTCAATGAACTAATGTAACTGTTGGGCAGCGATTATCAGGTAGGGGGTCAATGGGATGTATTGATGAGTATGAAGAACGAGTGGCTATGGGAATATCCCGACTATCTATATAGTGAGTGGAAGACCCTTTATACTGGCATATCCTTGGCAAACTTAGTCATGCTTGTGTAAGACCATATTGTCTCATAGGCATAGTGTGACAATCGTTGTAACGAGTGTACTGGGATGGGCCTGACAGTAACTAACTACCTCAGTAGTCTTCTCTGCTTACCATGATGTATATTTCGACGTGAGATGTGTCTCCTTTGTTCTTAGAATGGCATGAGCTTTCGGTTTTACTCAGCTTGGATGCATGTGTTGCGTCCTTGGTCGTGATGTATAGGTAAGTAGGGTAGGATAAGAAGATCAATGTAGGAATTGACAAGGTGAGTCCCATAGGCCATTTATACTCTCGTTCTCCCAGACCCGGATGAGAACTCATGCCTGGCAAAATCCATGTGCTAGAAGTGGAGAGTTTCTAAGACTGCGATGCACTGTTTGGCGAGGTTTCATGTGGCGGTGAACAGGATTTGGTCAATCAACCTGTTCACGACGAACAAAGGAGCACGTTTACCTGGCCCAATACAGCACCAAGGTTCAATTTATTTTTGGCTTGTGACTGTGGGATATGACTTCAGATAAGAATCGATGTTCAAGTCGAGCTAAAAATTAGTTGATTCGGCTACATCAACGAAGTCGAACATTCAACCACTCCCATGAGATTCCCTAATAAATGCCTGTCCTGTCTTTGGTGCAGAGATCTTTGCCTACTAAAATATAACTCGTCGTGCGCGAGGAAAGCAAAATACGCAGAACGTCGCGACATGTCGTCCACCACCACCTTATTGATCAAATCTTATGGACCGCTGACTGTTAGGTAGGCAGGCCTAGGCAGGGCAGTCATGATATGATTGCAAGCGAGCAGTCACTAAGGTACCTTGACATGGATAACTGCTAAAGTTGATCATTCCTGAGTCGAATGCATGTTCGAGAGATGATATTCGTGACTGGGTACTACTTCATCCGCGAGCTGCAGCTAGAATTTGCACCAGCTGAGTTCATGGCCAGAAGCTCCTATCTAGTCTTCGTGAGTCAAAATGTAGCCTAGGGTTTCCGCCATAGGCCTCCCTGCTTCCGCCACCGCCCCTTCAGAAACCGCCACGAGGTTTGCCACTGCCGTCCATATGTGGTGTCGCTAGGAACATCTTGCTGGCTGGAGACAACGTCTCCTACAGCAGAACTCTTTTCGATATCTTTCTTCTATCAATATTCTCAAGGTCTTGCCCGATTCTTGGTCGACGATGATATTGTTACTCCTGATAGCGAATCCTTTAGTTTGCAACATTGGTCGGCTTCATCCACCCAGCTGCCATTTCACTTCAATTATTCGAAGTGAAGACAGCCTATACGTCCTGAATGACATCTTTAGATTTGGTGTTACTGGCGCCTATCCTTACGCGCTCCATGGCGTTTCAGTTCATGTAATGCGGGGGGTGCGCGTTCCCCTCGTTGATTTCAGCATTCTGTCTGCACTCCAATCTTTCTGGTTCTGTTTACGATGGTAGTCTAGTAGCTAATACCTCTAATTTGAGAATTTCTTCTAATTATTCTCTCTGCTAACCATGATAACATTGGTTCACAACGCTCTATGTGTTCTTGAAAGTGGTATTTGTATGTGCTCTATTTAGCTTGAACGTGATGTATATTATTCTCATGGGCTTAGGGGATAGGAAGACTACATAATAGATAGAAATAGTATGGTCTATGTACGTAAAATGTTTTAGCAGAACGGGTAGATCAAGACCCAACCACCCAGTCTTTTAAGTAATTCAGTCACGACACGTGATCCTTTGCTTGGAGAGTTCGGAGGTGGCCGCGAGCGCGATATGACGAATTTAAGACTGTTCTTGAGGAACGAAAACAACATCGGAGTGTTTGCTGGATGCAGGTAACCTACGGCCACCGAGACCGGTGCAGCTGGCAAGAACGACAAAATCTACAATCTGTTCAGTTACCTGACACTGTGGAAATGAACAACAAATTCAGTAGGATCTGCCGAAGGTAGAACCCCGGAACTGGGCGTTGATTTTTCCTCCCTCGTTTTCAAAGATGTAGCAAATAGGTTCACCTGGGCTGTCACCTCGCAGGGTGATAGAAGTTCAAATTTGTTTAACAAGCTATCAGCATAAGTTATGAAGCTTCTGTGACTAGCCTAGCTGCAATTCGTGCATGTAGATTTGTTCTCAGACACTCCTGTCATCATTATCTGCACCACTGGTCACCGGACAGCAACTTGGTTCGCGAATAATTCAGTCAAGGCGTCAATGACCTACCAAAGAGAAGTGATCAAGTTAAGTGGCGGAGCAAAATGACGTGGCCAAACAGCGAAAATCTTCGGAGAGATTTTGCAACGGACGCGTACCATGTCAGCAAGAACGCCAACGGGCTTTTTGATATGTTGACCTGTTATCAACCCACATTCCCTCTGTGTAACCGTATCTTTGGGTGCCTACCCAGACAGTCGCTAGACGAATTTTGGTTAGCAGGATACGAGAGTCCGACCCCGTCCCCAATCGGAAGCTCTCGCTTAGAGAGGCTCAGCTGCACTTGGCTAGGTGCCAAGAAGATGGCGCAAGGGGTCAACGCTGACTTGATTTCGCAGTCTTTCGGTGTCAGATGCGAGCTGGCGAATCATGCCATGTGGCTTTCGGGATTGAGGCTATGTTGGCATGAGGATTGTAGGCTGTAGCGGCCATTTCGTAACTGTCTAGCCCCTTTCCGAATAGGGCTGTCGACTGCGAGACTGCGGGAGGAATGGAATTTTGGACATTTTGTTTTCGACGATGCGAAGGGCGCAGAGGGCGCGTAGATATATATGTATGTAGACAAGATCGCATCATCTGATCAGCTCACCAACCTTGCAACACTGTCCACCGAAAGTTCTTCCCGTCTCAGTTCCTCTACACTGTTGTTCATCTGCCCAGCTTTTATAAATCCACGACAAGATGTCGGAAGTTTGCCCTCTTCCAACAAATGCCAACTGCACTGTGGAAACATGCCCCCTCAGTTGCGCCCAGGTTGAATACCTTCCAACTCTTGCCGGCAATGCAGTCTACGCCGCAGGTTTTGGCCTGCTCCTGATCGCGCAGATCGGTCTCGGCATCCGGTATAAGACATGGGGATTCATGATTGGCATGGTCTGTGGTCTCGTCCTCGAGGTCGTCGGATACGCCGGCAGAATCATGCTACACAACAACCCGTTCGACTTTAACAACTTCATCATGTAAGTCTTCTACCCAGCTAATCCTCAGCCCCCCATGACATCTGAAGGTGTCTGACGAAATGACCACAGCTACCTCGTTCCTATGACAATTGCACCCGCCTTCCTCGCCGGCGCCCTTTACCTCTGCCTCTCCCGCATCATCATCGTTCACGGTCAGCACATCTCCCGCTTCAGCCCTCGAACCTACGCAATCACCTTCATGACGAGCGACTTCATCTCCCTCGTCCTTCAAGGCGCCGGTGGTGGTATCGCAGCCACCGCAGACACACACTCTGGCAGCGAGACAGGAAGGGCCATGATGGTCGCGGGTGTCGTGTTTCAAGTCGTATCCCTGCTCGTCTTCATGCTCTTGTGGCTGGAGTTCGTCTTCCGTCTGCGCAAGACCACCGAAGGAAACAAGGGCGGATCACGGTTCGCCGATCTCAGGTCGACAAAGAAGTTTCACTGGTTCCAGTGGGCGCTCGGCGCGGCTGTTCTGCTTGTCTTCATCCGTTCGGTGTACCGTGTTGCCGAGCTGCAGCAGGGCTTCAACGGGCCTATTGCTAATGACGAGGTATCCTTTATGATCTTGGAGGGGCCGATGATATTCCTTGCGATTCTTGCGGTGACGGTTCTGCATCCTGGAATCGGGTTCGGTGGGCAATGGAGCAGCGCGGCCTGGTCTGTCAAGCACTCCAGGAAGGCGGCTTTCGAGATGAGCAGCTCATCCATGGAAGAGATTCAGGGTAACCATGCCTGAACTGGATTAGACAAGGGCACAAATATGAGAATGGGTTGATTTTCTGGGCGGTAAATGAAGTCTCGGAGACGGACTCTGGAGTTGAGTAATGGACTGTATTGATGGCGAAGATAGTACTGGCTGTAAACTAAGGAAGGCTCTAGAACATAGAAGGCGCAATTGATAGATATTCACCCCATCATAACTTGATGTACTCAGTAAAATTCTGGAACTCTCCAAACAAACCCATCGGCCTCGTCTGAAACTTGGCCTCAAGCGTGCCCGGGCATGTCGGGCTGGCCACCACGCTATGATCGAACACCCGAAAGTCAAAGGGCAGCTCGCACAAATTGTAGACTCGCGACTGGTCATCGGGCAGAGGGAGACCGAACAGTCTCGACGCCTCGTCGGGCAACGCTCCATCCTCACTAAGAGACTGTTCTTCCAGCTCGATGATTCGCTTAGCGGTAAGGTATGCGTGATGCGCGTTCCATAAGCCTTCCCGCCGAGGTGCCAGACGGAGCAATTCCAAGGCACGTCTTCGTATTGATGAGTGGCGGCATTTCAGAGCGGCGTAGAACAGCGGTGCCAGAAGTTGGACGTCGAATGACAGGAGCTGCGGTGCTGCCTTCTCCTTGCCAGGCTTGATGACTTGTTCCGCATAGGTTACCAACTCGTCAAAGTCTGATCGGTAAACATCGGTGTCCGTTTCCTGAGATGTAGTGCAGACTTGTGTCCAGATGTAGACGACCTTGTAGTTTACCAAAAGGATGTTGACTGCATCTGGGTTGGCCGGGTTGCCGGCAGCCTGCAGCCGCTTCAACAGATCGTCGAATTGCGTGCGCCATGCTTCTAGTCTGGTTTGCAGCTTAGCTTGCTCAACAAGGTCATCGATACCCACAAGAAGGGTATCTGCCTTGGGGGTGACGGAGCTGATGAACCGAATGCAGGTGTCAGCGGTAGCGAATATCCGCCGCCTGGCGTCCTCAAAGTCTTTGTGGGGAGAGTCATCCTCGACCATATGCAAGTACACTGGCGGGGTAAACCTGCCAGCGAGACAGGAGAGGATGCCCAGGCGTGAGAACATCGGAAAGATATGATCTTCAATCACTTTGAGATCGTTGCAGGGGGGCCTGGACCCTGTCTCCGGTGTGGCGCCGCTGTTGGGTCGGAGGGGGGCGAGGATGTTGAACCCATTGTGGATGTGAAGCATTGATAAGTCGGCATCGCCCCTGAGGAACTCGATGCACGTGAATAAGAGACAGCAGACCAAAGGTACCAGGTTGGAGTTTGGGTTCGTCCGAATTCGAGTGGAGAGGCTCTTGAGTGCGAGCTTCCATTCCCGCTGAGCCTCGGGGCTGGCCTTCACGAATCCTGACGGATGCCGCAATGATGACTCAACATCGCGATAGACGGCACTAACTGCCGATACTGCATGTCGGATTGACGGCTCCGAGTGTGATAGTTGCGGTACAAGCTTCCTCCAAAACTCCGAGTCAAACTGTCCGTCAAGTATCGTGCCGATATTGGTGTGAAAGAAATCAAGGCTACTTGTGTTTTCGAAGAATGCCGGTTGACTTTTCGTAGGAGGCACATAAACGGTGATTACATGTTGATGTGGTGGTCGTCCTGGACTTGTCGACTTGTACTCGCACGTCCGGCTTCCGACGGCGCATCGTCGACAAACGGGTTTCGCTTCATCGCATTTTATGCGGCGAGCCTTGCAGGTGCTGCACCCGGTTCGGACTTTGGATGTGCTTTCCCGCGTTTTTTTTGACGGAGAAGCCGTGTCGAGGATCATGATGAGCAACTTGTTGCTGTATCAAGGAGCAACCCCGGGTTTCAGGAGATTACTACGAGATATGAAAGACCTCCGCTGACGGGAGGAATGAGCTTCAGCTAACAAGAACTTGAAAATACGAGGTCAAATTTCGCAGCCCGTTGCGAGCCGCTCAGCCACCACAGTCTACGAAAAGGCCAAAAGCTTGGGACTTTGGTGCTTACACGCATGGGGACAACATGTCTAATAAATACTGCGCCAAAAATGCTTACCTTACTAGCGCCCTTCCTTCAAAGCCGCAGCGTATCCACATGAAAGTGGCTGGCCTCGTAGTTTCGATATTTAACTAATGAACTAAGAGGAATGAGCCTCTGCCGCCCGCAGGCTTTCTTCCAACGGCTGCCTAAGATTTAGGAGGTGTACGTGGATCTTACGTAAGGCCGGCATTTGGGAGGTGATTTGGGCCGGGTCCGATTAGATCTCGGTCCGGAGACCGGGTCCACATTCGCCGAGGGCCCGTGAAGGGCCGAACCGCCGGAGCATACTCGTGATTATTAAAGCTAGAAATGCCCCAGCGTTACAAAATAGAGTAGCAGTACAGAAATGTTAGCCCAGAAGTCGATCGACTGTCAATGCAGGATGCAGCCTAGAATCAACAGACTCTAGCAGCATCATACCTAGGGTCTCGTAGGGGTTTGAATAGGCAGAAGACACGATCATAAATGTCTCAAGACCGTCTTGGATATCATTGAATTTCACTTAGGCTGCCTTAGCTGACTTGATGAAGGCACATAGACTTGTCCCAGTATACCTAGCTTTCTCGCTTTTTTATTGTTACTAATTCCAGCTCTCTCGCTGTTCAAAAATGCCGAGCACTTCGGTCTAACTTACCACGAGATCATGCGAATCACAAATCCATGATTACTGATGTGATGTGAGAATCAGACGATATATCTAGCCGGTCCCTGTATTGCCATGCCATGTCGAAAGCATCTCTGTTGTTCTCGCGACGCGAGTCTCACCAAACTCGCAATGTCTCATCAAAATCCTCCATAGTCGAGGTTTGTCATCTTTGACACGGGAAGTGGGCGATCTACACGTAGCATAAACTAATAGCTTCCGAGACGGGATGTGGGTACTTGTTCGAAACAGAAACGGACAGCTGTGACATTCTCGAGAGGTCGGCGGGGAAGAAGCATTGGCATCCCGGATCAGGTCCATGCTCCTAGGATTCAAAACAACTGCATGTTTTCAGACTTAGTATGTCGCTGAAGATTGAGGAAAGTGTGCGCTTATACCTCATACTATGCTTTGGTACCTTACTGCTACGAGTTGGACCGACACTCGACTCGATAATAACCTGCCGAACAAAGCTAAGCTGGGGCTAATATTCTGTCTTACCATACGCTGTGAGAGTAAAAGTCAAATGGAAACAGGCGCCAGTTCGGCGCGTCCAGGCACGGCCTCTAGCTTTTTGGCTCCCGCCAGCCCTATGTATCCACTAAACAGCCCTATCCCAGCCTCACAATCTCTGAAGACTCGAAAGATTTCGGGCCATTTTGATCAGACTTTGCGGGGGCAACCAATCGAGCGATCCCTTTTGCTAAACACACCAGAATCCAATCTTTTGGCACATTCCTAGAAGAGCCATCCATTGGTCTTGAGACTTTCTAGAAGCTTTCTCAATTTATTCGAGACTTCAGTTTCTAGGGATTCGTACACAATATTGCGAACCATGTTACGAATCTTGCTAAATCGGTACACTCATCGTCTCTTCGTCTTCCAACGCCAGATTGCGCGTTCGTGACGTCTACTCATCAAGGTTAAAAGGCGATGATCTTACAACCAAAGTGACAGTAAAACCAATTGACGACTGGCGCACGTCCAAATGCATAAATGTGGCACCTCACACAACACACTGTTGAGCCTCATCTTTTTTCGTCGGAACAAGCATAGGGCCCGCAGGTTCTGCCATCTCCTCATGCCATTGTACCGCTATACTGTGTAATGGCAACATTGTCTATAGGAACATGGGACGATTGAATTGAAGGCTGCTGTTTCACGACCCATCCCATCTACATGTATCTACGAGCCGCGCGAGAGTTGCAGGGTATTTCACTGCACATGACCATAGCGATATGTGGGGGAGACTCCCTAGGTCTAGAGCATTCTCATGACGTCTGATGCCACCGGAAAATCCGTGAACGCAGAATATACCGAAGAGGTCGCGGTGCTTTGTCATGATCGTTATCCAGGTACCGCCATCTACAAACAGTATTATTTGCTGTCATCCCATCAAATGTCTTGGAACAGATCCTAGTGAGACTCTCGTTTTACCAGGAGGTTGGCTCCAGGTTGTTGGCAATTTCGGGTCTCTTGGTAAGACCTTGTCAACGATTATTTGATATAAGGAGAGATTCATTTATGACAGTTTTGAGATGATCGGAGGAAAATTGAGATGTCTGAATGAGATCGAAAATACTACGCAGCACAAGGTACGTGGGGGCGCCTTACCGATGATCTGCACTAGTTTGCCGCGTGTAAAAATGCCCCTTCTTTGCCTCTGCAATTTCAGTCTCAACGTTCCCATCTACTACCTTCCTCATTCGAAGACAAATGCGTGGCCCAAACAATGAAAAGACCAAATACTGATATCGGGACAATTTAGCTTCTAAACGGCCGGTCCGGATTCTTCCTCCCAACTTTCTCGATGCTTTTTCATACTTTTTTCTCGCTCGTTTAATCCCCTTCTCACTGTTGACTTTCGGACAGGGCGAAAATACCGTCCGTGTCTTTACCATTGACTTCTTCTTTACCCGTTTTCGAGGCGACTGTTTCAAACCCCTTTCTTATCGACGTTAACCTTTATACTTCCCCCCTAATCTAAACTCACTAAATCATGAACGACGACAAAAACGACGGGCTTCTCGTCCCAATCGACTTCAACAATGTCAGCGGCGGTAGACGCGAGTCGAGGATCGACAAGTACGCCAAGCGCAGCTCGCAAATGTTAATCCCATTTAGCGTCGTGGACTTTCGGCATTCACAGGCGTTGACCCCGGCATCACCGCGCTATCCGATGCAGGCTTTGCAAGAAGGCGGACGCGGACTCGCGAGGATCGACTCCATTGATACTATCACGGCTGAGAAGCAGGAGGCTGCTGTTCACGAGGAGGAAGTACTTGGGAGTACTGAGATCTATGATAAGGATGGCAACATTCGGCTTGTACCGGTGAGTAGAGCTCTCCCGGTGGACCCGAAATCATCACCGAGACTGACTATTGCCCTAAAGACTCCTACTCCTGACCCCAAGGATCCGCTGAATCTGCCTGAATGGCGCAAGTGGCAGCTGTCGCTTCCTTATGCTTCTGTAAGCTACTTCCGACCAACCCGGACGGAAGTTCTCTCTCTAACGAAGCGCAGTCGGCTCCGTCTCACTCGCTGCCGAAATCGCTGTTGCCGGCCTCTTGCCCGTGTTCATTCTTGAGTACTCTGGAGTCGATCCAGCTTCAACTCTGAAGCATGCCGACCTCAAGGGCAACCCGGACCCTCTTGGCGTTGTGCCGGCCGGCGTGACTCCTGTCTCTCTGACTTCCGTCTCTCTACTAGCAACGATTCCCATGCTTAGTAATGGCGTTGCCACTTATCTCCTGGTCCCTCTTACGGCTGCTATTGGAAGGCGTCCTGTGCTCATCCTCACATCGGCCTTCTCGTGGGGCGGGGGGTTCTGGGCCGGATACAGTAAGTCACTCACTAGTCATATTGCTGCCCGAGTCTTCCATGGGCTAGGATCTGGTGCTGTCGAGGCCTTGCTTCCCTTGATTGTCCAAGACATGATGTTTTTGCACAAGAGGAACAAAGCTGTGGCGTCAATCATTGCCAGTCAGGTAAGTTTATGCCGAGTGAGGCGTCAAACCACTACTTCCTGTCGCGACCATCAACAGGTGACTAACGTATTAATGTTCACGTAGGGCCCAATGATTATGCTCTTCGGGATTCTGGGTCCATATATCGCCGTCAACTGGGACTGGCGCTGGATCTACTGGATCACCTCTGCCGTTGGTGTTCTCACCTGGATTATGCTCATCTTATTCGTCCCCGAAACCCTCAGACAGAGATCCAAAGCTGAGCTTGCCGGACACCAGCTTTGGCCCATAGCTGCCGGCGAGGACCGTACTCAGCTGGATTACGCCACGTACGGTACACGAACGAGGTGGGATGATCTTGGTTTCTTCCAGAATGGGACTCACTGGAAAGATGCCGGCCTCCAGATCATTGCCACTCTGAAGACGACCATGTTTCCTGCCGTCTTATGGTGTACCCTATTGCAGGTTGCTTTTGGGATGGTTATGGGTGCGACTGGGCAGGCGACCTCGTTCGCTCTACTTGCTGCTGGGTAAGTATTGGGCCATTCGCTTGGTCGACCAATCCCCCCCATTGGGAACAGAATGCTAATCCGTTCCTGTGAATGAACAGTATTCCCTTCGAACTGACTGGGCTTTCCCAGATCCCGCAAGTCTTATCAACTATCGTCGTATTCGTTGTCGGCGGCCCAGTCGCTGACTCCGTATCCCTCTGGATCTCAAAGAAGAAAGGCGGCCGTGAAGCCGAGCATCAGCTCCCCAATCTCATCTTGCCCATCTTCTTCGCCATCACGGGTGCTCTGGTCTTTGGCTATGCCGACCAGAACCATCTTCACTACGCCGTCTTACTTCTCGGAACCTTCTTTCTCATGACATCTACCTTGATCACAGCGCCAATCGTGCAGAACTATGTCATTGAGAGTTACCCCCAGTGGGCTGGTCCCGTGTTGGTTAATGTCTCCACCTTGCGTGTTTTCATATCCTTTCCCTTCAACACACAAGTGACAACTTGGCTTCAAGAATTGGGTGAGTCTCCAAATACCTCAACATTTGGGGTTGGAGAACTTATTCGCTAACATCTCCTTCAAATAGGACCTATGAAGTTCACAATCTATTTGTCCATTATGCTCTTGGTTGTATCTACCGGCATTCCTCTTCTTTTCATTTTTGGCAAGAAGTTGCGCATTAAGACATCGGATAAAGTTGCAAAGAGGCAGTAGAATATTTGATATTGGGCACTCAGCCTAGGACAAGAGTTCTCTGAGAAAGCTAGGGCGAAAGATTTCGGTTGGGAATCATTGGGAGGATGGCATCAACCCTATCTATATGCAAAGGTGCTGAGTAGAGGATGAAAAGCTAATGAGGAACGGTAAGAAAAATGATTTGAATAACTCCAGTTCATAAAACGGCGCGAGAGCGTTTGTCGCTGAAACGTAATGAGTAGAAAGAAAGTAGGAATAATACATCTAGCATACTTTTGGCCACTAGTTTATTCCTTACGAATGGTTGATGTCAATCTTGTTCTCAACGTTTGCCTAAGCTCTCTGCACATCTTCCTTTCCACGAACCACAGACTATGGATCAGAAGCAAAACCCTCCTTCTAAGGTCCAGAAGGCAAAGATGGTTACAAATTACACCGCCTCTAGATGAGGCCAAAATCAATATCACGCTAAAGTTGCAATATCCGGGGTAGCATTGAACCAGGTCGCTAACTACTAAGCACGCACCATTCCATTCGCCAGAGTTCAGCAAATGACGGTAGTCCCAGACTGCAGTGAGATTCAAAAATAGCCTGAGGGTGAAAAACACGAAGCGACTACCCAGATCGGGCTAGGTAACCTGAGCTGAAATCTGCCGAAGCAACGATTCCAACGGCACAGCAATAAGCTTGTTCAAAATTTTGGGACCTTTTTCTTTTGTTAATGCTTCTCGTGAGAGTATGAATAGGCAGCTTCTTCGCGCTGTTTGGGACTCAGCCTCTTCCTCCCAGGATCACGGACTTCATCTCATTACATATTCGCTCGCTAATCTCACTCGCCATTATCACTCGCTACTAAGCACTGTCACTCGTTTATTCACCTACTCTGTCACCATGTCACGATTCTTTACTACCCTGGTATTGGCCGGGATTGGCGCCAACCTGGCCATGGGAATGCCGTATGATCAGGAAGAGCAAAACCGGAACGCTGAATGCGATGTAAGTATAGGGCTCCGCTGCAGTTGTATCTAGGAATTAATCAGGTACTGACGTTGTTGTGACGCAGAACGGTTGCTTCTTTGGCAGCTTTCTAGGGGGCTCCTGCACAAATGATGCTGCATGCATGTGCACCCAGCAAAAGTATCGTGAGAGATACTTCTGCTGCATGGCCCAAAGATGCGCCGCATCTGTCTTGCCCGGTAAAGATTCTCAATTGGTATAAAGCTATATTATGACTAACGAAAATGTTGTCCAGATTCTATACAACGACAGACTCTAGAGTGCGAGGCTAGGAATATGCCCTTCACATTCGACACTGAGGCGGTATGTGGCATCAAATTGACGACCTCCACGTCTGCTGCCACCGCCGTCACAGTGACTGTTACTGCTGGGACCGGAACCCAGTCCTCAATGCCATCAGCATCCAACGGCTCATCCGCCGTGTTGACTAGCACGTTAGCTTCGACGCCTGTAATCGCACCCAAATTGAGTGCAGGCGTGAACACACCCACTGCTACGCCGAGCACCGGATCTGCGGATCGCTTGTTGGTGCGGGACTCTATTGTGCTGGCTGCTGGAGCCGGCTGGATGCTCTGGTAAACGAGCTATCGAGAAAGAAGAACAATCAGGATACGCCTATCCGTCACCACCTCTAGCGACGCCAGATATAGCACGATTACACACATATTTTTTTTACTCAATATTTAATAATAATGATAATGACGCATAACGCGATCAAATATTCGTGACCCCTTTCCCCAAAGCCAGAATTGATTACCCCAGAAACTCTATCCGCAAATCCGGTCAACTCGGCAAGCGATTCAGCGAACGGCCGATGGGATGCCAGGCTGCCCCACGCTCACTGGTGGAGACGAGAAAGTCCGCCCAATCACTTCCCCAATGCCCTGGAACGATGGGATGCTGTCCGCTGCGAGCCGCAACTTTAGGTGGTGTTTGCACTATCCCGCCGGGTTTCACGGGTGGCATTTCATTTCAGTAGCGTCCACTTCACAAAGCTTGCATTTGACCGTGAAGTGGGGAAGATAAAGGGGGGTTGGTTGGGCTTTCAGGGGTGAAGATGGTGCTTTATAAGTCTGCTGGAGTAATCCATTTGATATCGACTTTGCGCTCAGAGAGGTTTTCGGCTTTCTATTTCCTGGCAGCGACTGATCGGTGAGTAGCTGTGACGATGGTTTCAAAGGCTTACCTTCTCGGCTGGGCAGCAGCGGTTGCGATTGCTTCTCCAGTTGCTGTTGAAACTCCCTTCAGCTGGAAGAAAACGGAACACGTGTGAGTTCTGAGGATCGACAAAGATGTCCACATGCCATTCACTGACGTAGCAAATTGAGGAACACAGACTCACCTTTGGTGACTCCTACACATTCGTCCAAGGAACCGAAGGTCGCTGGACATACAGCTTCATCGGATCCCAGCTGAACATCTCCTTCACGCCCGAGCAACTCCTCGGCGACCGCATCGTTCCGGGTCAGAACACATCTTCTGCTGGCGGGCCGAATTGGGTTCAGGAACTCACTGGCTGCAAAGAGGGCCGCCCCCGGGACTGCGAGAAGCAGCTATGGGGATTTGCATACGCTGGAGCTGATATCTCGACTACCTTGTGAGAGAATTGCTAGCTAATTCAATCCAAAGGGCGCGAGAAGAAATTAACAGTACTCCAGCGTCCCTCTGCACAGGAACCACACCATCTCTTATGAGAAACAGGTTGAACAATGGGACACCTACGGCAAGTCGGTCATCAACGCCGATCCCGCAAAGTCGCTCGTTGCCTCCTACATTGGAATTAATGATATCAACGACATGGCCAGCTTCCAACTTCCCGTCAATGGACTGAGCAGCTGGGAAGAGCTGTACACTGCAGTCATCGCCGAGCAGTGTGCAGCTTTGGAGACAGTCTACAAAGCCGACCATCGCAACTTTTTGTTCCTGAATTTACCTCCGCTGGACAAGAACGTACGTTACGGACATCTCAGTCACTTGTACAAACATTTACGACGGACTTACTAACCATGAACGCAGCCTGCATCGCAGCTCAACCCGGCCCGTCTGCCAAACACAGACATGATCAAGACATTCAACGGTGTAGTCAACCAGACAGCAAAGGCGTTCTCGGAAAAGCATCCCGATGCGACTGCGTTGGTCTTTGACACGTACAGCTGGCTCACACAGGTCTTTGATAACGCGGCGTCCTATGGATTCACCAACACGACCTCGTTCTGCCCTAGCTACAAGGCTTGGGACATCGATACTAACTATGCTGCGTACGGATGTCAGCCGATCTATGAGTACTTTTGGTATAACTCGGGGCACATTACGTATCATGTTCATGAGCTCCTGGCGCAAAAGGTCAAGGAGTTCCTGGTTCAGAAGAGCGCGAGTGGATATGGTGGAGGGGAAAATCAGACACTGAGCACGTTGGGAACGAGATGGATTGGGGGGAAGTCAACTTAAGTCAAGCACAGGACTTCGAATCGTTCCGTCGATGATGATGATGGATCAACTTTGTCAATTATCGGCATTCGTCGAGGTTTTCAGAGGCTTTGCTAACATAATATTCGTTGGCGACTTTTGGATCTGAAGCCTATCTCCCCGAGATTTGGGAAGATCTAATCAAACCTTGCCGGTCCCAGTTCAGAAAAGGCTACATGACCGAAGAAAGAGTGTCTGAAGTTCCATGACCTGCTTCGTGCATAGTAGCCATGAATATCAAGAACAACACTCAAGAAAGGTGCAGCTTGTTCTTCGATTCGCATCCTACATGTAATTTTCATTATGCAGATCGTAGTATTATATTGCAACAAAAGTAACACGTGTAAGCTGAGCCGTACTGAGACAAAAATTGAAGTCCTAGATGTTACGGGCTGGACCCGATTAGTGAATCCGGGCTAAGGCCCGGATTCTGCCATGACTTACCGCGCCAATTCCGCGTGGGTCCTACTTGAACGTTTTTCCTCTGCGGAATCCCCGCCCCAAATCTCTCCTCTTCAGCTTAGATTCTATATACTGAAATCACCCCTACGTGGCCTCACGAGGGCTGGGCTCTTAACACTAGATTCTAGTAAGTAAGCGTTGGTTTGACCCAAAAAGATCGCGGACCTACGATTGACATCAACTCTGCAAGGTTCCAAATGTCAGCATTAGCCATTTATAGCTAGATTTCCGTGATGCTCGAAGATAATTGCTCCGTGCCGCTGGGTGCCGCGAAGCCGATCAGGTCTAAAGGCCGGCCGAGATAGGAAGGTCCAAGTTCTTGTCGAATCAGGAGCTCTGGATAGAGCTTTATGTGAATTTTTGACCCCACACTGACTTCGTTCTCCCGATCCTTCAGGACGGATGCAACGCGTCACGTCATGCGAAAGAAGCAGATCAGTGACGCTTTTTTTTTTTAAATAAATACACTCTCATAGTTACCCATCGCATCGAAGGAGAGTCTATGATGATTTGATCTTGTTAGTCGTGTTGATGAAGATGTTTTCCTCCGCCTCATTCGCGCTTGTCGGGCTCGTCGGGCTCGTCGGGCTCGCGGCAGCGCAGTTCCCACCCACCCCCGAGGGGGTCAAGGTGCTGAAGTCCAAATTTCACGAAAATGTCACTATTTCGTACAAGGAGGTGAGCGTGCATTGGTTTCAGTCGTTGTAGATGTCCCTGGCTAATTGATATCTTGCCCGACAGCCTGGTATCTGTGAGACCACGCCGGGAGTCAAGTCATACGCCGGATACGTGCAGCTGCCCTCAGGAACTCTGAATGACGTCGACGGGGAAGCTCAAGACTACCCAATCAACACGTAGGAAACCTCTTCTAACGCATTTTGTCATCAATTGGAACTGTCACTGATCCTTACAGATTCTTCTGGTTCTTCGAGGCGCGCAAGGCTCCCGAAAATGCCCCATTGGCAATCTGGCTCAACGGCGGACCGGGAGGCTCCTCGATCATGGGCCTCCTTGAAGAGAATGGGCCCTGCTTCGTCAACGAGGACTCCAAGACAACCCGTCTGAACCCTTGGAGCTGGAACAACGAAGTCAACCTCCTCTACATCGACCAACCGACTCAGGTGGGCTTCTCCTACGACATTCCGACCAACATCACCATCCACGCCGCCGACGACTACGAGAGCGGGCCATGGGGCATGTTTCCCGCCGACTTTAGTGACGGTGTCCCCGAGGGTAACTACACCTACCGTTACGGCACCGCCTCAAGCCAGAAGCTTTCGCAGACATCAAACACCACCGCGCATGCTGCGCACGCTCTGTGGCACTTTGCGCAGACTTGGTTCTTCGAGTTCCCTGGCTACAAACCCGTCGATGACCGAATTAGCCTGTGGGCCGAGTCCTACGGAGGACACTACGCACCTGGTATCTTCCGCCACTTTCAGACGCAGAACGAGTTGATTCAGAATGGCTCTTCGCCCGAGGAAAATGCCCAGTATATCCACCTTGACACGCTTGGAATCGTCAACGGTCTCATTGACCTGTCGATCCAAGGCGAGGCTTGGATCACCTACCCGTACAACAATGTGAGTAATGCATTGCCTCTAAGACGAACCTGGGCATTTGTACGTGATACGATGTGAAATAGTTCTGATTGTCCGTACAGACCTATGGAATCCAAGTCTTCAACGAGTCCATCTACGATGCATTGATGTACAACTGGACCCGCCCGAACGGCTGCAAAGAGCGAATCCTCAACTGCCAGGAAGCTCTCAAGGATCATGGACCGCTCATCGCAAGCGGCGTGAAGAAGAATTATACCGAAGTCTGTGGCGATTTCCTCACCGAATGCGGCTTCAACGCCGTCGAAATCTACCAGAGCCTGCCCGACGGGAGGGGATGGTACGATATCGGACACGGCAAACACGACCCCTTCCCGGCCCCGCACTTGTACGGTTATCTCACCGAAGGCGAGGTTTTGTCGTCGCTTGGTGTGCCCGTGAATTACTCGGAGTCGTCGGGGGCAGTGGGCATCAGCTTTCAACATACTTTCGGTACGATGGTTCCATTCCCATTCGCGAGAGCTTCGTGCTTTCAGACGAACGTTATACTGATTGACTGTTATAGACATGATCCTGGGTGGATTCGGAGAGTCAATCGGGTACCTGCTCGATAGCGGTGTCAAAGTTCATATGATGTGTGAGTATCAATGTCCCCCATTTTTTGAAGACTGTATTTTGTCTCTAACGCTGTTGCATGCAGATGGAGATCGCGACTACGCCTGCAACTGGGTCGGCGGCGAGAAGGCAAGCTTGGCGATCCCCTACAACCGATCGATAGACTTTGCCAACGCCGGGTACACCCCACTCATCACCCCCGACGGCGTGACGGGCATGACGCGCCAGTTTGGCAACTACAGCTTCTCGCGCGTCTACCAAGCCGGCCACGAGGTGCCGTCCTACCAGCCGGTGACGGCCTACGAGATCTTCATGCGGGCGACGTTCAACCGGGACATCGCGACGGGACTGATCCCCGTCACGGACGAGCTGTCGACGATCGGCGTCAAGGACACGTGGCACATCAAGAACATCCCGCCCCGGGAGCCGGACCCGATTTGTTACGTTCTCAAGCCCGAGACGTGCCCCGAGAATGTGTGGAAGACAGTGGAAGATGGGACTGCGTTGGTGAGGGATTACTACGTGATTGACGTCCCTGGAAAGGATGAAGGCCAGCAGATCTCCGAGGAGCTGTAAAGAAAAAGGCAAAGGACAGTAACTTGCTCAATAGACTACTTGCATATCGAGGTAGTTAGCGCTGTTCATGGTTTGAGGCAGGCCGCAAGCTCAACAATTCGGGGCCAAACAAGTCGTGACGGTCGGGACAAGTGTGTTTCAGTGATTGGACGCATGAGGGGAACTCGTCAGGAAACATGCAGCGCTGGTATCTGCCCTATGCCCTAGCGCCGGTGTCTACTGTGTTATAGTTGTGGTCCGACGGGGTTTAGCTGCCTCCATCTGCTCAAGCTTCAATGAACTAAGGTTCTCCTCATCTTTTTCGCGCGCATTTCGAGGGTTGCCAGGTTCAGTGTGCGGCGCTCCCGTGGTTCTGGGTGCGTAACGTGCCGTGTGAGTTCCGGAGAGACAGTGAACCTGAGTCGTCTGAACAAGAAACTCAAAAAGATACTCGGCGAGACAGACGATCCGCCAGCTGGCGGCCATTTCGTCCGATCCGAAGACGTGGATGGCCCTGGCGGGACGTTGTTGCGCCGGCGGCAAGACAGCACGAGCCCCACGGGAGGCGCAGCACCGAGCGAGGGCTGAGCAGGGGGGGAAACGCGGCCGCGTTTTTCAGACGGACGGGGGATTGGGTCTTGACTGGAGACAGTAAGAGACGAGTCTGTGTGGCGGTCATCGCGCGGGTGACGGGGCAGTGGGTGAGACCGGGGTCGTTTCTCTAGAGAGCTCTTGGTATGTGCCAATGTGGTAATGCACGACTTGTACGACCCTTTCACATGCTAGTTTGAAGATGGAGACGTAGGGCCTCTTATCTCAAAAGAAGCAGCGTTCCCAACCCCTCCCTCGACAGTAGTGGTCTCGAGTGTGTTCTGTTCCTTGTTACTTTATGTTGATCTATCCAGCCTTTTATTGTTTTTGTCACTCAACTCCACTGATTTGCTGAAGCTTTTTGGACGTGCTCAGTGTCGACTGAAACGACGCTGAAACAACTGCTCCTGACAGAGTCGAGACATTTGGCCATTTACATAGGCCTCCAGCCATTCGATATCCTGTTAGTCAAAACAACAACAACGAGCTATCATTTAGAAGCAGAACCACTTCCAGGAGACGATTCATAGACGGAGGCCACACATATATACAGCAAAGATGGATACAAAATCATTCTCATCACGGATCAGCGATCTTGTAAAGGTATACAGCAACGCATTCCGGAACCGCTGATTGCCCCATCAGCAGGGACCCAGCACATGATTCAAGCACTCCCAAAAAGAACCAACCCCGCTAACGAGAAACCGCTCTAGTTCCTCTCCTCCGTCCAAGGAGACCTCTCAAATGTCACCGCACCGCCCTCCTTCTTGGCGCCATCATCAGTGGTTGAGGTCGGCCACTGCTGGTGCCAGCGGCCCGGCGTCTTCGTCGCCCCGGCACTGGAATCGGACCCGGAGAAGCGCAGCTTGAAGGTGCTACGCATGATCCTCATCGCCATGCGCAGCCAGTTCTACGTTGCCGGCGCGCCAAACGTCAGCATCAAGAAGCCCCTCAACGCGTTCTTGGGCGAGCTGTTCCTCGCATCATGGACGGATTCTGATCGGAAGGCGAGGACGGAGCTCGTAGCTGAGCAAGTCAGCCATCACCCGCCCATTACGGCTATGCACATGGGCAGCAAAGAGCACGGCATTCGCGCGGACGGGTATGCGCGGGTGGAGATGACGTTTTCGAGCACTGTGAATATTCGACAGATTGGGCACGCCGTCGTTCACATTGATCGATACAATGAGGATTATCTGATTCCGTTGCCGGAGGTCAAGGTTCGGGGATTTCTCAACGCGTGTCTTTACCCAGAGGTTTTGGGAACATACTACATCGTTTCCAACACGGGCTACATTTCAGAGATCAAGTTTTCGGGCAGCGGGTTTCTTAGAGGCAAGAAGAACTCATTCGAGGCGCGAATGTACCACAAGAACGACAAAAAGAATACAATCTACGAGCTTCAAGGATGCTGGAGCGAAGGCTGGACAGTCAAGGACGGGAGGACAGGGGAGATTCTCGAAAAGTACGAGGTCGACGCCCTGGAGAACCTACCAGCACCGATGGAGATGGAGCCGATTGCGACCCAAGATCCGTGGGAATCGAGGCGCGCATGGAATGGTGTCATTCAAGGATTGGGGAAGAACGACTTCCGGGAGACTGTCAATGCAAAGAGCCAGGTTGAGGAGGGGCAGCGGCGGATGAGGGCCGAAGAAAAGAAGAAGGGCGAGACGTGGGAGCCGTTGTTCTTCAAGAGTATTCCTGGGGAGGAGCATGAGGTTTTCCACCGTTTGGCAAAGGGCGTTAATTGGGAGCTACACGACAAGCATACTAAAGGCGTTTGGAAGATTGATGATTCAAAGAGGGACTCTGTACAAAGGCCATTTAGGGGGGAGTCAACTCCACTGGGTTAAAGGAACTCTTTCTAGATTCGAATTTGATGCATTATGACTAACATGCCCTCTCAACCTCAACACTGTTGTTTCTCGGAGACCTATGATCCTTTGGGGATGAGGCGAAATCTGTTTGTTATCTATCTTAAATGCAAACATGCTACATAACCTAGACAGCTTAAAAACAGGAAGCCATACGAATTGTTCCGTGTAGCCAATGGAGTAGTCATACTGGGACAGATAGGACTTTGGCGTATCTAGTCTAATCTGAATCTGGGGGCGACTTCGGCCATGTATCCCAGTCCACCACATCTTCCCACCTCAACGGCTGTTCGTCTTCATCCTCCCATTCGTCCTCGGACGCCTCTCTTTTCACGAAAGTGATGTACTTGGAGGGTCTACCAGCCGGTTCTTTCTCAGCCCGTGGCACTGGCCTTCTTCTTTTTCTTCTTATAAAAGGATGTCTTCGCCCTTTGGGCCCAACTCTTCAACTTATCCGGGTTGTTGGCACAAAACAGCACTACCTCTCTCGTCGCCAAACAATCCTCCAAATCATCGTGTAGTACCCCGTCAGCCGCCCAAATCGGAGAACGAATCTGGATGCCTAGGAGTTCCTTGGACAACGCCTCCAGACCCCATCTCTTCTTGATCTTGGACTCTGCTCCGAGCACGGCGTCTGCAGTGACGATGGCGGAATCAATGACCCTCGCATGGGAGGTGTGTAGCACACGTAGATCATTGCGGACTGACTGCCCGATGAAGATCGTGTCCTTATCAGAACAGCGCCAAAGTTCAGCGCGAGCGGCTTCCCAGCCGTTCAGGGCTTCATTCCGTGAGAGAGCTGCAGACATTTTGGTCGCATTTAGACCGGTGACGTTTTCACGCCAGTCCAGGATGGGTCTTGTTGGATTCACGAGCCGGCGGCTTAGCAACACATTGCCCGTCAGGAAGTCGAGAATAGTGACCTGTATCAGTTCGTCTTCGTCCCTCTCCGCACCGCCCATCTCGCAGTCTATCACGAGAGCCGCATGTTTTGGATTGAATGGGTCTCTATCGGGACAGGGTGGGTCAGCTCTCGACGCCGAGCTTGATGAGCTTTGTTCCGTATCGGCAATTGTAGTTGGTAGAGTGTATCCTTCCTTTCGCAGTCTTTCCTCTGTGTGACATAGATCCGTCATTCGGCTCCAAATGGCATTTTGTTTGATTGCGGGTGAGTAGATGTTGCCCCGGTATATGGTGTGCATAGGTGCGCTAGGTTCGGCAGCTCTGACTGGCTGGATCACAATCAGATCGGGGGAGACGGGTCTTGTGGCTCTGAATGGCAGTTGGGCTACCACCGGGTGTGGACGGACAGGTTCAGTGGCTCTGGCTGGCTGGTTCACGTTTCGATCGGAGTGTAAAGATGTGGTGGCTCTGACTGGTTGAGCTATAACCGGATAAGGACGTATAGGCTCGGCGGCTATGATCGGTAGAGTAGAAGCCCCATCAAAGTGTTTTGCGCGCCTGTGTTGTCTCTGGCCCAGTTCAGTACTAAACTTTTGCCGACAGATAGCACATTGGTGCTTTTTCTCTGGTTTAGAAGGTGGCATGTTGGTAAATGATTCCGTTGAGGTCTGCGAGAAAGGGGAGGTAGGGCGGTGCAAGCCGCGGGGAGAACAAATGGAAGTTGTTCGTGTCATTTATAGCTTGGACTTCAGGCATGGACGTGCCCTCTACATCGAATCGAAATCAGCTTGCGCGAAAGGTTGGCGGCCAGCCACATGGTCTCTGTTGGTGCAAGAGCGGCTCTATCGACGGCGTGATTGGGCTGTGATATTTTCAATCGAGACTTCCCTGCAGGAGGCCAACAACTCATGTCTCAGTGGTCAGAATGTGATTCGGATGACTTGGTCGTTTCCCTGGGTACTAACTCGAACGATCTATCCTCGTGCTCCAATTGAGATGGTTTTCAGGCAGGAGCATTGTCCGTCCAGATAATCATTGCTATCCTTCCAGAGATGGCAACAAAAGTGAATAGTGCCAACCCCTCCCCCATTTAATCAGTGGGCGAAGGAAGAAGCAAAATACCAAGACTGCCAAGTTGTGTTGGGAGCATACGTGCAGGGCAACTGCAAGTGCCCGAATGTGGTATCTCGAACGAACCAAGAAGAGAATGCCACGAACCACTGCCCCGGACTGGAACAACGGGGCATAAGCTGATAATACCTGCTACTTGCTGGTAATTTTCCATTTTCGGCACCTTGCACTGTCATGTAACATCTGTCGCATTACGCGTATAGCTGCCTAACTTCCTCTGAGCGGCATGGAGGGCAGCTTTGCTGCGGAACGTAGGTTGGGTTGTGTGGAAATCCGAAAGAGGAACTACTGATCCGTCGAAAGTCGTCAATTCACCGGTCTAGGCCTCGTTTTTAAATGGCCCAATACTTCAGGAAATGTGTAATACAGAATGCCTCCGATGATTGCATACTACCTTACTTACGTGAATGGCGTGTTGTGGAAGATAATCTTATCCATTGAAACTGCATGTGCACCCCGATGTCGCTGTCTGTCTCTCCAACATCTCTCCATTGCCAATAGGTAGAAAAACGACGAGATGATACGAGGGTCTATGAAATTCAGGAGACGCTTATTGGGAAATAACCGTGGTGATGGCAGGCTTGGAGGCACTTGTAAGCATTAAGCTTCTCTTCATGATTTGCCTAATATCATTCATGTCTTCCGTTCATTCTCATCAAACAAGGCTGCAAATTATGGTTCTTCGGTGGAACAGAATCTTTCCAAACGGCTTGAAAATGCTTTTGCTAAGTAATACGATAATTTCAATCAAGTCTAGGCCCTCTATATCTCTTGTTGGCATACCCGAACCAATTCGCGACTGAAAAGAGCCCCATTACTCCGAGTACCACGCAAGCATAGTCTGTCCTTGGATTAGCGATGAGCGATTGTTAATACGGAGGGTGAAAAGGTAATTTACTCATGTTCGAAGCCGAAACAGGCATTACAACAGGAAAGTCGTAAAACACTAACGCCAGCAGTCCCAACACAATTGTCAAGATGTTGGCAACGGCACCAATGACAAGGGGCATTTTAAAACTTCGCCGCGGAAGTACACGACGGAAGGCAGCCGCTCCTTTGAATCGATGATATAGTGCCAAGGCAGCAGGAAAGCTGAAGCTGACTTGCTGGAGAATCAGGCCGGTAGCGACGAGAGCGTTGAAAGCTGTCGAAGATGCTAGAAAGATACAGCCGAGAGCGAATATGAGGACCCAGTTGACAAGAAGTGCGTTGACGGGTACGCCGAGATGAGGATGAATCTTGCGAAGGAATGGGGAGAAAACAATTGCATTGTCGCGAGCAAATGCCCAAGTCAGTCGACTGGCGGTTTGAAGGGCTCCCGTGCAGGCGAAGCATCCGCACGAAGATAGCACGAGCACGAAAGTCGTTGCTGCTGCGCTAGATCCGGTGGCCTGGGACCAAATCTCGAGAATAGGCAACCTAAGTTGATCCTATGTCAGTGCTTTTCATCAATCATCTCTGCAATTGGAAAACCACTGTTTGATTCTGCCAAGGGTTGTTGCCAGGGCTAATCAAGCGACCGAGATAGGAGAAAAAAGGGGCGTACGGAGATGAGAGCACAGGCTCAAAATCAGTGAAGCTGTACAGCATAGCAACACTGAACGTGAAGGCCGAAATAAAACCAATGATTCTTGTGGAAAGAAGCGCTTTCGGTATGGCTGATGAAGCATTCGTGCACTCTTCTGCCAAGTGTATCGCGCCATCAAGGCCGGAGTAGATGAAATTAGGGTTAAGCAGGCCAGTCAGAAAGACTATGCCCGTCGAGGACCAACCACTCTCATTGATGAACGTGGTCCACACGAAGGAGTCTTCTTGTTTCCGCCCTGAGCGCGCTAAGCAGGTCACTGCGATTACGAAGAAGCCAGCTAAAGACAGGAAGACTAGCAATTTGGTAATCAGCTGCTTGCTCCAGGGGATCTCAAGATAATTCGTGGGGTGCTTACAGCCAACGTCGTGGATCCAAGCGGTCCGTTTCATCAGGAAGATGTTGTATGCCGTAAACGCACCATTGAATGCCTGGAATACGAGAAAGATATGCCAGGTTTCTGGGATGTACGAAGAATCGAGGTACGATACGAGCGAAAGAATAATGACCGGCATCTGAATGATGAAACCCGCTCCATTTGCGATCCAGCCTAGGAAGTTGATACAACCGCAACAATAGCTCTAAAGCTCGCGTTCATCAGCAGATGACAGCGACTTATGGGCGGAGAGTCTCACCAGTCCACGACTGTACCGTTTGGGTGCTAAGATGCTTGTCCAGTGATATTGTCCTCCGGCAGTGGGATAGACGGATGCGATCTCGGCCATGCTCAACGCACACGCGCCTCCCAATACGAAAATGAGGACGATGCCGTAAAGCAGAGTGACGGGCCCTCCGGAGCTGATTGAGATCACCAGCGTGGCTGCAATTGCGGACCAGCTGTTGCAGATATTCCATCCTAACCCCACAATAGCCAATAGGCCAATGTCTCGTTTTGCTTGCGACTGAAGCCCCAGGCGAGATAGATCGGCGTCTTCGTCAGAAGTGATAGGAGTCGAGGCAGCTGCAGCAGTGAATTTCTCCGTTTAGATTAGTCAATTACCCATTCCCAAGATGATTCCGAACAATTATGGACCGAACCTTCTTCCAATACGCCGTGCTCAACTGACTTTTCCATCAAATCCCCTTTAGTGAGTGCATGTCTAGGCGAGGATGTAGGAACAGCCATGGTTGCTCTTTCGTAGGGGTATCTATTGATCGAGTCACGTTACGAATGGGTGAGAGTCAGTGATCCACGAGCTTCAACGATCATACCACGCGTATTTTAGGTGAACCCTGGAGTCCAGATGACGTTCATTTATGGCGGGAACCTGTGTGAAGATCCTCGCTACGGTACGAGCCGAGACCGAGACAAAGTGGCAAGTGGTATTCGACCCGTTACACTGCAGGTTCAAATGCAGTCATCTTTGTGCTTTGCTTGCACGCCCGAAGCTTTTCGCGTTCTTATTCGCTACCTCTGACGCGTAGACCGCGGTTCAGATTCTCCGCACCTAGAGTGTAATGCACAAGCAGGGGGCACAAACAGTATGACACCAGGCATGCAGGAATTCATTGGCCTTCTTAGTATCCCTCATGTCGTTTCTCGAGGAGGAATAGAAAGTTAAGAAGGTGACTAGTGATTGCACGTCTAACTGAGACAAGGTTTGCACACATTAATGTTGTGCGTATGTTTCTCATGCTCGCCATTTTCTCAACTTTATTGAGTCTATCAGCTTCTCCGGCCTAGCGTGACTTTGATGCCTCGCGGCATCTTGGCTTTAAATCTTCCCAGTGCCAAGTACACGTCAACTTCTAGTACTTTGTGTACGGCAACGAATCCAGACTTCACCTCCATGGACACCTCTCCTAGAACTGATGGATGCCTCTCCATCGCGGATTGATGGCATTGCCTAGATCCTTCACATCCAACACGAGACAATCGTCGCAACTAGCAAGCCCACAAATAGACTCGCGAATGACGATCGAGTTGAGCCGACGAACTCGGTCTATTCCCAAAGCTTTCGGGCAACGGACTTCCAGCGGTGATGTTATTGGCTCGAACGCAGCGGAAGACCGTGTAGTTTGAGGTCCCACTCTCCTCGGTATAACTGTAAGAGAGCATCACGGGCCAGACCTGTGTCATGGCGTATTCGTAGACCTCTCTGGTATCACTATCGTTACCGGCAACGTTGTAAGGTGCACTTGACTGGAATACTGTGTACGAAGAGTCCGACGCATTCGACGTGAACTTCGTGGTTAGATTTCCTAATATTGCACGTCAGTCACCCTTAGAACATTACCAATTAAGGAGCCACCCACTTCTTTATGCCGTTGTGTAAGCCTTTGAATCACTGCAACTCGTCGGGATGTTGAATCCGATCCCGTAAAGCGGCGACTCCAAAGAGCTGTCGCACTGGACCTTCGCTGCGGTTTCTCTGATGTCGTGAATGCAACTTTGTGGGATGACGCCACCACATGAGCCTTCGCTATCGTCATGGAGTTTATTGATTTCGTTTTCGGTCCAGCCCATCTGCCACCAGACATATGAGCAGACACGGTATCCGTCAGATACGTTCCCACTTGAGAATGGGGTATCTGAGGCGTCAAGACTGATTCGTGACAGGGTTGAATTGCTCATAGTACCCTGACTAACATTTGTGGCAACTGCGACGTTGATGCTCCACCCATTTCCTTGGCCGAACTCGTTGTTTTTGGGGGTTTCTGAGTTTCTGAGAGTGGCTTTGATAGATCGATGCCGAAAATTGGCCAGCTTCTGGTAGCATTTGGATTCGAAAGGCTATCTAGCGAGTCAGACAAGCTATTTTGAACCACGGAATTGGCACGTGGCGTGACGGAAGAGACAGGCGGCTCATGTGCACAGCTCACGTCGGTGGAACCAAGCAACCAGAGGATGCCGAGAGAGTGTACGACAAATGCCATGTTGTGAGCCGAGTTGGGGGCTTGCGACTCCCTGGAGACAACTAAATCGAAGCTGTGAGACACAGTATTGAGATACGTTTGGCTCTTAGAACAAGTTGTTATCATTCCGACCGCTTAAATATTCGAACGCAACGGGTAGCACCCTTTTTGCCGATGCTTGCCCTCTTACTGTGTCCTTCTTAGTCAAATGACCATGGCCAAGGTTCCGTACTTCATCGCCGCCCTCGAGAGCAACAGAGCATGGCTGAGCTCTAATCATGCTATCGAACTTTTGATTGGGTGCAGCGAAGTGCCTAGTGATCTAAGGATTCTAGCATCCCGTCGAGCACACTATCGTTCATTGCTAAGAAGCTAAATCTAGTGACATTACTACATGGAGCTAGAGCAAAGTCTTTGCCTACGTCACTCGAACATATTCGAACTTGGTACGGCAAGTAGATCCTTTTTTCCATCAATCAAGGAAACAAGGTGATCCCTCGAAGAAATGTGTCCCTCTACCGTATACAAGACACAGAAAAGCTAAACTAACACCTAGCCTAGGTACATGTATCTTGTTACTCCGCAGGGGTCTTATACAAACTCGGCCCTCTCCTTTTATTCGTTCTTCTTCATCCAGTCCATCAACTCCGCCCAATCAATACACTGATGTACCGTGTCGAAACCCGTCACACCGTCGACTACGACGTTGGCAACCTCGATCGTCAGATCCTGTCCGGACTATTTCAGCATGCAGACCTCAAAATGCTGGCAGGAGTCGTCCATGACAGGATTGAGTGTACTTACAGGCCTGCACATGATGACTTGGCGTAAGAGATCAAAGCAATGTCCGAGATGATCCATGTCGTGCGATGCATTGAGCTCCTCCGCCTCGCTTGCATAAATTTTCTCCTCACTGGAATATGTTGTGTTCTTTTCATGTCTTCGATGTTCCATAGTACCGAGACGCGCCTCAAACAGTGCCTTGCGGAGCATGTCTAGGCAGTGGATCTGATGAAAGACCGCTACGCAGCTCTCCGTTGGCGCAAGCCTCGGGTGTGTGAAGAAGCCGCCGTTTTGGGGGAGAAGAGAAGACCACGCAGCGTCAACTTCTGGGGAAGGCGGCATCGCGTAGGCGTAGTCTTGCTGGAAGACTTGTGTAGACGTTTTCACTATTGTTCGCCGTCAGCTTGCGTGATATTTCGAGACGGTAATAACTCATGGCTACGTACGACGAATCTCCATCTTAGGGGCTCTGCTCCAAAGTACGTGGGCCGTGTTTGAAAAATTGGAGGCGCATGATTGCTAATGACGGCAACAATGACCAAAAAGAGGATGTATGCAACGTGCAACTTTCCGCAAGACCAACGTTGCTTAAACCAGGATGGTTGCTCTAAAGTACTGGCTTCGTCCTGGGCAAGTTTGGTGTATGGCGAAAAAGGGGCCATCATATCATAACGTCACATTCTCAACACCCTATTGAACGAGTGGTCAAATTTCGAATTCCGATGAGCAATGTGGCATCTCCGAGAAGTAGGATAGAGGATTGAAGATGCGGGGCAGTGTGTCCAGCTCTTCTCAATAACCCGGTATGTGAAGTTGGGAACTTGAACTTGTTTAGTAGTTGCATGACCTCAGCTGAGTCAACATTCGCCTTGCCCTACTACATGCGACTCGCTGAAATTGCATTGCCCGAGTCCGCTCCCGTCTCGGTGAATTAAAAGTTTACTCATCGATAAACTTAAAGACTCCGATTAGTGCAGACGGTTACGAATCGCAGCGGGGGAACAATTGGATCTCTCTTTGAAGCACGATGGCTTGCGGCGCTTATTAAGTTTGCTCGAACCCAGTCAAGGAAACCCATTTCTGACCCGAAACATCGTTTATCAGATGCGTTTTGGAATCCGCAGCATGAACCTACACAAACCTGCCGACATACTCGAGTTCAGCATAAACTTACCTCGGAAACCCAAAAGAAAGAAAGAAAATAGTTGAGAACGTTTGATTTCCAGAAAATGACTGGATCGACGAAAGGCCAGAGAGCTATGCACAGTTGGTGAAATATGTGCAGCCCGCGAATCACACTGTATCGAGTTATAAGTAGGTGCTGTCTGATTTGGAGTGGCATGGTCCTTCGGAAGACGCAACCGAAATGTTTCGCGTAATTCGTTGACAACTTGCCAAGCTCCCAAGGTTCATCTGGGCAAAGTACTGTGCATCACCAAAAACGAAATCTTCATGTTGTGGAAGACTTGGGACTCTCAGTCTACGAATGGGAACCGCCCTTCAATCGGCTATATGGCAGTCTTTGAAGAATTGGATAAATCCAGTTGATGTATTGGTAAATTGACAGCTAAATTTTGAATAGCTCTGATTACAGGATCATAGTGAGTGAGAATGATAGGAGCATTCCAACGACTGCAGAGCAGGTTGACCAAGAAGATCGAACTGCAGAGCTTCTTCTATTACTTCCAAAGGATCCTGGTTCGCGACTTCCCTCTACGATGTTATTGGCGTGAACGCATCGGAATACGCTGTAATTCGATCGAGTCTCTCCGTCTTCATAGGTGTATGTAAGAAGCAGGGGGTAGACATTCGTAAGAGCCGTGTCGTACGCATCACGTAGACCAGCTTCCGATCTGTTCGAATAAGGTCCCCATATGCCGAAGAGTTGAGAAGATGAACCTTCGTTGGTGGAAGTTCCGTTGGGCATATTGAAAGTTACGTTTCCTAGGTGGCGAAGGTTATTATATTAGTCTTTGCTGTGAAGTCTGTCACGGGAAGTATGGGGAAGATCAGTGACTTACTTCGAAAAGAAGATGGGAATGCAAGTGCTTGGGGGCAGCTTTTAGGCAGGTCGAAGCCCCTGAAGCTATATCACGGCTTACCCCCCAGGACCTCTTTTGTCTCCTTGATACACTCATCGGAAATGATACCGTTGCAGAACCCGTTGACATCATCTTGGAGCTTCTCCAATTCTTCCACGGTCCAGACGTTTTCAAACCAGGCGAAAGAGCAGATATCGTAATTCTCAGTGTAGTTCGTCGACGAATTTACGCCTTGAAAAGCATTTTCTGGCACTTCGAGAGTGATGACTGCAGGATTCAATGCCGAAGTGCTGATTTTATCCGCAGTAATATTGGTGGCAATGGCAATGTTGATGCTCCAACCATTTCCGGGGCCATAGTCGTCGCTTGGTGGATCCAGAAGTGGCTTCGTCACATCAATGCCGTTAATGGGCCACGTCCCTGTGGCATTTGGGTGTGCTACTGCATCACGGATAGTGATGTTAGTCGAATTGGTTTGGCGCTTTTCAATTTTGTGGATTCGGGCGCTTTCAGCTTTTGCCACAAACATCAAAATTGTCGCAAGAATGCCGACGAGAAGCTTCATATTGAGTCTACTGGGCTACCCTAGAGAATTGAGCGACGTACTGCAAAGCAGTCAATGTTCCGAAGGGTACTGTCGTGGATAAAATCCGAGAATCTCAAACAAGGCGCGTCAATAGCCATGCTGAGGTGGAACTCAAGGGCGCAGGTAAGCCATTCACTCTTTATAAACCACTCCACTGATTCTTGCCCTGCCTTGAAAATCATCGTCATTGGGACTTCGGTATTAAACAATGACGTACAATGGCAATTATGCCATTTCTAGTGGTCAAATCCAGCGCCGGGGTGAGACAGAAGGATTCATGCTTGGCGGCGCGGTCTCTTGGCAGTCAGCATCGCCCAAGGCATAATTACCTACTGGTTCGTGGCATACCGAAGTACCTTTGAAATAGTAGAAAACAAAATCTTGCAAGAGACAAGGTGCAAGCAACGCCAGAGCATACACGCACGATTCGTTGTTTGTGACGGGACCTAACCGACAATGCCTCCTGTTCCCAGAGCCAACGCGCTCATTGAATCTCTTTTTTACAAGACATGGTTGTTTGTGTGTAGGGAACTCGATTTACTGAGTTCCCTCTCCTTCAGCAGCAGAGATAAAAAGTATTATTCCTGCTCATTTGAGCTCAGCCTGGAGACATCAACGATTCACGAAGATGTATGTTGGGTTGGCCCACCGTAAGTATTAGTAGATATAATCGTTGTATTCGCAGAAATGGTGTCCAAACTCGTCTACCCGATAGATATAGAATGTAGTACCACTTGGAGGAATTTTTAATCGTACTACTAAGAGCACGTGTCCTGCAAAATCTGTCGAGCCTCTTCCGTCGATAATAGTTCGGCCAAACTCGACAGAGCTGACTCGACCGTGCTCAGCGCAACAAATGCAGCGCCATACGTGACCGGCAGTTCTCCCGTAACTATCACTTCGGGGTGATCAGACAGTTCTTGCCTGCTCAGGGAGCTGGTGATGTCGACCATCTCAGATGCCACCGGCGGCTGCACATGAGTAATTAGTGGCAATACTTTGAGCGTCCTTGACAATCTTGGCACTTTGGAATCGTTCAGGCACGATGGCGGGTTCAGCAGCCTTCAAAGCTTGTTTGGCAGACCCAAAACCCCCCTCGGAGACGCCTTCGTCTTCAACTTTGATGAAGCCGGTGGAATTGAAGCGCAAGTGGTTGAACTTTCTGCGGTCGGTGGGCATTTCTCCAGGCAGTGGAAAGAACGGCAGAGGACTCGGGACAGCTTGCGCCGAAGACTTTCCACCTTTAGAAGCCTGTTGTTGGATACAGCCGAACTCAAGAAAGTCCATAGCCCATCCGTGTGCGTCGCAGGGGCTTTCGGCCTCAGTGTCGTTTATACTGCCCTGGTGCAATGTGTCGCAAAAACGACGCCGTTAATTGTGGGCAGCAATTAACGCCATATATACCCTACGACACAATGCAGTAAACATGAGGTAGATAGCGCGTCCAACAACCCAAGCGTGATATGTAGAAGCGGCTTCGCCGACGAACATAACTGACCACCCGCATTTGGCTTCGTGATTGCTGGATACAACTCGCTGTATTGGCTTGGACCGAAGTTGGCAAAAGCTCCAGCCATGTTAGAATCTCGTAGGCGTGATGCTCCGAGTACTAAACCATACATATGAGGAAGTCGAGAGTCTTCTGAAGCACCCTATGCAAACATGAAAGGGTTTGATGCGTACTGCCAGCTTTCAGCTGCGCTTCAAAATTTACTGCATTCAGCAATATTGACTCTGACCCCGTAAACTCGAGGATACTATTAGGGATTTTCTTATCAACTTGCATTCTTAGGCCCGGGCCGCTGGCATGATATTTTAGTTTCCGCTAGCAAGCCGCCGAGCCTGGACCGTTCCTCTCCCCGCCTCCTAAGCGGCAAGGCCGTTGATCGAACAACAGCCGAAAGCATTCACCTGATTTATTAAACGGTGCTTCCACGCAAAACTCGATGTGTGCTACCTCGATGTCTTGGCAGCGGACTCGTACTTGGAAAGAATCACTCATTATTCAATCAGAAGAGATATGAGGCATGAAAGTTTGACTCAATTTGAAGAGTCACCGAGACTCCAAGAAACACCTAACGCTACTCCTGACATTGAACCATGCAGAGGATATCTCAATGTTGCTACCAAATTGCCACCGGAAACACAGCCCAATGCAAGCCTAAACGCCTTCCTTGTGCCCATCCGAATGATTTGAACGTACTTCTGAAGCTCTTCGATCAATAGCGTCTGAGCTGGCCACGAGCGGTGACGTTACCACTAGCCGAGCCGCCAATGAGCATGCTGTTGAACATGTTCGCAGCAGTCTCATCCTGCGTAGCAACGACAGCAGCGGTCTGAGCCTGGTTGCAGCTCTCAACGGTAGCAGCAGGCGCCTTGCAGCTGTCCGAAAGGCGCTGGCAGATAAAGCCAGCAATGATACCAATCTTCTGTGCAGAGCCGTGGTTGAAGTCGCCCTGGTTGTTGGCGATGAAGGCAGCGGCCTGGCGGTCGGGCAGGCCGTCCTTGAAGACGACGGAGGGGTCGCTGCAGGAGCCAAAGTCGGTGGCCTGGCGCTTGAAGAAGCGCTTGCGGAGGCTGGCCTGGGCGCGGCACTGGGTGTTCTGCTCGTCGCACTGGGAGACTTCGCCGTCGAGCTGACCGCTGTTGACGGCGCGGGCGCAGGCGTTGTGCTGGACGTCGCAGGATCGGCCGAGGGCGGCGCCCTTGCCGACGAAGGTGTTGCCGTTGACGGAGAAGGGGCGGTCGCCAGAGCTCTGGATGACCGGGGGAGGCGCGCCACCGAGAGCGCCGGTAAAGGTCTGGACATTGTTGCCGTTACCGGCGTTGGCGTTGCCGCTGTTGGCATTTCCATTGTTGTTGGAGTTGTTTCCGTTGTTTCCACCAGCGGTGCCGTTGTTAGTCTGGGTTTGGGCGGCGCCGTTGTTGGAGCTGGTTGCTGAACAAGAAGCATCGTTGGTGTTGGTGTTCGTGTTTCCGCTGGCAGGCGTGGCATTTTTTCCAGCGTTGGCAGGAGTGCTGGAAGCCTGCGCACCCGTGGCACTTCCGGCCTGAGCAGCGACGGCAAGACCGGTGATATCGATGTGAGTTGCCTTCAGCTCACCGGTGCCGCCAGTGACAGTCTGGGTGACACCCTGAGCAGCGGCAGTGATCTCTTCGGGAGGAGCGTCAAGAACGAGCTTCTTCTCGGTGAAGATGCAGCCTGTAGGGTCGGTGTCGGTGTCACAGCTGAGACCCTTGAAGGTCGTGTCGGACTTGTCACCAGGAGCGAAGGTGCCGCTCTCAAGAGCCAACATGGGGTCGCCGCCGACTGCGGCCAACTGCTTGGCAAGAGCAAGAGCAACCTCCTTGTTGTTGGCCGCAGCACCGTCGGCGGCAGGGTCTTGATGTTTCTTGGACAGGGCGGCGATCTCAGCGTTGACAGGCTTGTCAGTGCAAGCTTCGCTGTTCACACCGACACCCGCAGTGTTGCGCTCAAGAGTCTGGTAGACGAGAGCAGCGGACATGCCGCGGATGTCCTTGGCGGCTTTAGCGTTGGTGAAGGCCTGGTCGGCGGTCTCCTGTTGCAAGCAGGCCAAGTTGGTGACCTGTCCGGCGCCAGCCTTTGCGGCTCCGTCTCCCAGGAGGCCGAAGACGGGGTCGGCGATGGCCTTGGGGTTATCCTTGTTCAGGAACTCCCTGGTGATGTTGAGGAAGACTTCGTGAGAGTGCTCCTGGGGAACCTCACGCTTGGTAACGCGTCTCACATGGTGGTGGCGGTGGTAAGGACCGGCCGCCACAAGACCGACGAGGGTCGAAGCGGCGAAAGCGATAGTCTGGTACTTCATCTTGATCGAGATTTGGATTGTCGACGGTCGAGAGTGATTAAGACAGAAAAGACCGGCCTTCTGCGTGCTGTCGACTGACGTGATATGAAGCGAAGAGTTGTTTGTAAGGTAGTATGGTAAAACGAGGTCAAATCTGTAGGCAGTGCAAAGAATGGAAGAGTTCACAGAACTCGAAGTTGAAAAGAATGAAACGAAACGTAGCAAAGAGAATGTCGTATGAAGATGAGAAGCTATAGCCAAGAAGAAGAAATTTGGTGCCGAGAGGGAGATCACCCAGGTTTATAAAGAAGAGATTGGACGGAAAACATGATCAGAGCAGATCCCTGGTGCATCAGTGGAATTCAGACGGTCCGGAGCAAGAGCCTCATACTCGGCCAGCACTCGCTAGCGCACCGTTGCGATGAGACTCCAAAAGTTCAGACAGACGTCGCCTTCCCCGGGGTATGGAGGCCGAGGGGGACGAGAGTAGAGACAACATGAGACGAGCCGAATCGGTTAAGACGGCGATTTCGAAGATTGCCAGGTACAGGAATCTGTCGGACCCGAAATCATGGTATGGCATGTGCCGGGGGTGCAGAGAACGGACGCGACGGGTGACCATGTCATCGCCAAGTCAACCACTCATGAGGCAACTCAGGTGGGGACATACGGTCTCCATGATCTGAACTGGGCGCTACCAGCTAGCAGACGATGGCGACGTGGCTGGATTTGCGTTTGCTATTGCGACATGGGTCGCGATATCGGCAGAGTTTTTGGATAGTGTTGCGATGGGTGGTGGGCGCATTTGGTAAGGCGCCGTTGACTTCAGACGCCTCGACAACAATGTAGACGGAAAGATAAGGCGGAAGATCAGACAGATTCAGCCGCAGGTTGTCATAGAGCGAGTTTCGCCTGGGGTAAGGGTGGGAACCTTTTCCGATGGTGGCATGGGTGGGAGGGGATAGAAGAAGAGGGAGGGTCTTCACCCGTGCGTCTCAAGAGGGCAACGGCCGCTTATCAAGGCCCTGTTCCCCACGACCAAATGCTTAACTCATTTCAAAGCCAATGGTAACCTTCGGTGTCCTCCGGATGGCAAGGACGCCGGGCGGGTATTTAGTCGGTAAGGGGTCACCTTCGCATTCTCTTAGGGCTTAGCGCAGGGCCTACCTGCGCTACAGATGTCTGGAAAGCTTGATTACTGCGCATTTCTGCAGGCGAAATGTACTCCAGATGTGCCTCCTCTCCCTGAAGATGCGCTATCTGGGGACAAGGTCACCCTATTCGGCATCTCGCTCCGAGCAGCGGATGGGGCTCAACCGATCTTGCTCAGCGGATACTCTG